ATTTTGCAAAAAAATATGCACGCAACATGCAAAACTTTCAATTTGCGATATCCAACGATATCCAATTACGAATTCATCAGAAAAGAAAGAAAAGAACGCCGTAGTGATCCGTGGTGATGATGATTCACATTGTTATGCAAATTGAACGTCAAACGTACGCGCAGGCTGTTGATACTGTTGATCCAGTTAGCGATTCGCAAATAGCGTACGTGAGGAAAGTCGCGCAACCGCCGTTGCGATGCGGCCGGCCGCATGCGATGCATGGGTCGTATATCAAAGTGTAGTGTCGTTCGTCGTTGATTATGCAATTCGCGTGCGTTTGCGCGATTCACTACAATATGCGGGAGCAACGACCACGTCGCAGCGTTAAATTCAATGTCATTATCATTATCGTATTATTGGCCATTTCGTTATTGAATCACACCTACACAAACAGGAAAATTGAAAAATTATTGATTCACGTATTAAACGACGTGTTCGGGATTTATATCGCAAGTCAAACAGAGGGTATTTTTCAAAGAAAATTTAAAAACATTAATTATTAGATTAAAAATCAAAATTTTGCAAATGAAATGTAATCTTATCAATTAAACACCTAAAAAGTGGTTTTTAAGTCATGTTCGGTGCTTATACCGCAAGTCAAAGCATTGGCAATATTTCCACAAGCAATTTTAGAAGATAAAAATAAATTGAAAAGAATAATTATAAGAATAGATTGATAAAATTATTGGAAAAATAAAATATCTGCTCTTAAATCAATCATTTGTCAATCATTCATCAATTACGACCTAAAGTTTAAGTTTTATGCCTTAAACTATCAAAATGTGTGCATAACACGTTACTTTACTTACTATAACATACCAAGACATTGTAAAAGTCATGTTCGGTACTAATACCGCAACTCAAAGCATTGGCAATATTCCCCAAGTCAATTCTAACCAAAAAATTAATAATTACGAAAAATACTTTAAGAAAAAAACCTCAAAAGGATCAATAATAATTTAGTAAATATCAATAAAACCCTTAATATCAATGTTTTCACCTATGTTCGGTACTTATACTGCAACTCAAAGCATTGTCCAATGCAATTTTTCACCATAAAAATGGTAATATAACCAAAATACCTCCAGATTTCATCCCACAAGTACATCTAACGCATCTAAACTCTAAAATCTCTCGTGGGACATGCGTGCGGGCCGTGCGCGAGCGTGTGAGGAAGAAAGTCGATCTAATTATATCCGCCGTGGGCTAAATACCTGTGCGCTGTCATTGGAGATGCGCGCTAACAAAAACATCGCCGCATGCGGCACTCTTTACGCTTTCATAATTTACTCAACGCCACCATTGATCGTCGATAAATCAAAGCGTGGCGTTGTTGCTGCCTGCGTCCCGAATACTTTCTTTTTCTTTTTCCCATTGGATTATTATTGATAAGGCCCTCCAATACACCAATAGCAAGTGCACTGCTGATTCATTCCCGATCTGTACACACTGCCCAACTGCGCGGTGTTCGATTTCTAGCCCCATGTAAGTCGCGCGCGCGTCTATTTATTCAATTTTTCGAATTCATGGCGACGCCTCCACAATAGATGTTGCACTTGCAGAGACGACAATGCTCAATAAAGCATGCCATGTCCCAGACGCAGCCCTTGTACTTGTACGTACACATCGTGTAAACGATCTTCTTCTCTTCTCTTTTTCTTTTTCTTATTCCTTCTCTTCTTCTTTTACTTCGCCTGATTCCTCGGCTAATGTTGTCACCAATCTTCGTGTCAATCTGACTCGTTAGGGCGCGAGTCGCGCATAAAAAATATTTACAACGATCGCTTTATGATTTATCACCGTTATTGGCTGGAAGCCGGGAATGTTTTACGATCAGGCGCGCGGAGTCAATGACGATATGTTTCTAGATATTCGTATGTACAAGTAGATACTTAAATGCGCAGGGAACGCGTCGTTAAAAATCTCGACGACAGCGATGTGATATTTAATTGATATCTTTAACTTTTATTACTTATCAGTATTTGACCAATGACCAAATGAATAAATGACTAAATGACCACCCTGTATGTGGTGTGTTTAATAGTACTAGATACAATGTTGCTGCTATTTAAGATAATATTTGAGTTTCCGTTTCAGCTTCTAATATTGAACAGTTGTAAGAGTAAGTAGTAAACATTACGTCAATCTGTCAAGTTTTAAGGAGAAAATCTACTTAAGTGTGCCAAAAATATATAAAATAATAATAGAAAATTAAAACTTCATTTTTTTGAGTATCAATTTTTTTTTGGTCATTTTCACCGTTTTCTATTAGAAAATTCGTGATATTTTGATGAAAAATTATTTTTTCGGAATTTTATCAATAATTCATCAATCATTTCTCAATAATTCATCAATAATCATCGTCAAAATCACAATTTGCATATAATTTGTTACTAGAATAATAATAATAAAGAATCGAAGAAAATAAATTGCTTTTTAACCAATTTTTTTCAATTTAAAAAAAAATTCGGCAAAAAACGCGTATTTTTCTATTTTTGCGTTTTTTCAAACAAAAACAAGAAAATTATTAGTCTTAAAATAATAAGACAATAATATTTATCAGAGACAAAAGATAATTTATGTTTTAGACCATTTTGGAGTTTATTCAACAATTTTATAAAATAATTTTCAATGTTTTTTAAAATTACTTGCTTAAAAAACACATTTTGCGATTTTTTTGCAAAAACCCATCAATTATAACCGAAAAAAAAAACAAAAAAATCGAATTCTAACGAAAAAAACTAGCAAAAAATGCAATAAAACATTTTTTCCAAACCTATTAATTTCACTCTGAAATGTTTTGATAAGTGTGTTGCATTAGCACTGAATAAAAAAACAAACTTTCCCCTTTCCCCGCGCGTCACAGCGTATTTTCCAAATAAATCTCTCGCCCGTTGCACGCTTCATAATTAATCTCCTCCCGACATTGTTTTCCTAGCCACCACTACGATAATTTAGCGACACTTTTCTTTCATCTCTCGACGATTTTCTATGTTTTTTTTGTTTTGCTCGGCGAGAGGAATGCCGACACATATTTCAGACGCGCCCAAACAATAAGGGTTTGTCTGTCGGATGGTCCGCTCCGGCGAGATTAGTTAAGAGGTTTCCCGAGTTTACACCGTTTACACCCTTCGAAGCCGACGCCGCCAGCAGGGGGCACGCTCGTAAAATTTAACTACCTTAAAATAGACAAACAAAGAAATTCACTTTTCACAACACCCAACAAGATAAAACCATTCAGCGTGTAGCCGAACAGAAAACACGCATTAAAGGCGCCTCAAACGCACGCTGCAATCATAAATTCGACAATTATCAGCGTGTATTGCGTGTTTTCCGCTAGTTTATTACAGCCACCAAACAAGAAAATGAAATTGTAATGTGGGTTGCGTCAATCGCACGACGCAATTACTTAATACGTGGATAATACGACGATAAACTGATACGATTGCACAAGTCGCATGTAAATACCCGATTAAATCGTCGAATTGGCCCCAGAGTGGTACTACCACACCACTCTCGGGTGATACTAATAAGACATAACCTAGTTTGAAGATGTTTATTGCGTGCGCATTAATGCGAGGGCATCACTAATAAAGTGGCTCATAAATACGCTCGATTTATGTGATATTTATGATTAGATAGTGGAGGAAAGTCAGACGGACATAAAGCATTGGACAATGGCCGCAACAATGGGTTTTTATTTGGTAAGGCGAGTGGTGTTTTGTTACATATGGAAATTAATATTTCGAGGGGGGTGCACTTTCGATTTATGCCGTAAAAGTGCATCGTAAAATGTTGTAATGTTGTGGTCGATGGTCACACACATTGATTTTGATAGTGTGACAGTGGGTTTTGGAGATGTATCAACTAAATAAATGCAATAAAAGTCAAGTCATAAACTTAGGTTTATCTCGGGCTATTTATTGTTAATGTTGTGTTGTTACTTTGTATGGATATGAGGCTTCCGATATTATTGGAGATTTATGAATTATGAATGAAAATATTTGATTGATAAGTATTATAAGTTGTAGTAGTGAAGAGTTTAGAGAGAGAATATTATTAGTACGGGTCTGTTTAGTTTTTTAGTTGATTGAGTTTAGTCTAGGAGGCTAGAGAGGTCACTAAATGAGTATTTTAGCAAAATCTAGTCTGATCATAGGCAACTAGTTGTACTTTTCTTTCAAGTTTTGCTATAAAATAATTAGTTTTTAAACGATTTTAGGAGATTTCTAGCATTATTTCGGTTAGTTTTGTGATAGCACTTGAACAAACAATTGTTTTGGTTAGATTTTATGACATACGTGTAAAAGTTTTTCAAGGAAATGATGAAAAACCGTTTTGTTTTCCACGACGTGCTTTTGGAAATTCCAAATATGTTCAAAACTCAAAACATGTGATAAAATTACATAAACAAGTTACTTCTACTTATTTACTTGATACCCGGAAAACTAAAACCACTCTTTTAATTAATAATACAATTTTTCCAAACTTTTTTTAGACTCATTCTAAAAAAGCATAATTTTAATTTAACTTGCAACTTTTGTTTTACTGTTATACCAATTTATACATAATATTCTTAAGTTAAAGTACCGCAAAATTTATTTTTTGTTGTTTTGCTTAAATATTATATGACTTTTTAGAATTGGCACGTATTAATTTACCTAGAAATACGCGACAAGTAAATATTTACTCTTTTCGACTATTCGTTTTGCTAATTGCAAATTTAAAAGCGTCTTACCTAATGTTTATCCAATAATGAATTTGAAAAACACATTGTAAATTACAAAGCCAAGGCTGTTTGCTTAGAATATAAACAAACCACACTTAAATAGTTGTTAGTTGTTTTACCATGTTTTGTATTATCATATTTATATTATTAATTCGTTTATTGCGTGCAGACATTTTAGAATACATAAATTACTTCACTGTTTTTCTTTTATTTTTAACCAGTGTTGATGTCAACGCCCTGATTGTGCCACTGCGTTTGCTATAGCTGTACTTCCTGAACCTGGCCTTCCGCCATACCCACCTCCGAAACCACCGCCTTGACTAACACTATGCGCGCTTGCTGAAGAAGAGGAACCAGAAAGCCCACCATTGTTAAAATTTTGTGTGTTTGCTGTCGCGCTAGATTCTGAATTACCACTTCCGGATGCTGAACCAAAAGCACCACCCTTCCCACCTCCACTGCCAAAACCTGGGCCGGCAGGGTATCCATTATTACCACCATGTCCACCCCCAAAACCTCCTCCAAAACCACCGCCTTGACCGCCTCCATAACCACCTCCCTGACCTTTACCGCCGCCATATCCACCTCCTTGACCTTTACCACCGCCGAACCCACCTCCATAACCACCTCCGCCTCCTTGTCCTCCTCCATATCCACCGCCGCCTCCTTGACCACCTCCTCCTCCTCCACCACCTCCACCGCCGCCGCCGCCGCCTCCTCCACCTCCTCCAAAACCACCGCCGTATCCACCTCCATATCCTCCTCCAACTCCATTACCACCTCCATTTACTCCACCAGGATATCCATGATTATGTCCATGATGAGGGCGATGATTATGCCCTGTATTACCACCTCCATAACCATTACCATAACCAGCTCCGGTTACAGTTGCTGAACTACCACTGAATCCTCCTCCAACACTTCCAATACTACTAACACCTTGGCCTTGACCATAACCAGCAGTATATGCACCAGTTAATCCCGAATATTTACCACCAGCATCACCTTTCCTGGCTGCAGCTCTACTAGACCTCACATATTCATCAAGATCATCACCATCAACAAAAACTATCGGTGTATCATCATCTATATCATCTATAAAGTAAAATATTCAACATTTTCTTAAATTTTTTAATAAAAACACAAAAATACTTACAATCAACAGGAATCGCTGCTGATAAACTCAAAAATCCAACCAACACTACCCAAAAACACTTCATTTTAAATTTATTACTATCCACAATGGATATTCTTCAATGTTCACGTCTAAAATGGCGGTCAACATTGAACCTCATCGAATTTATATGTACATCCGCGCGATTTTTTTGGTGCGCTTACCACAACCACAACATTTGTCGTTAACATAACGACCATCGTCCATTCCAATGTTTAATTAACATCTGTGACACGCAGATCTAGACATTTCGTACTAAGGATATTACGTGTGTTTATCCAATGAGTCATCAAATCATAATTTGATCATCACCTGAGCGGTGTAAAAACACTTTAAAGACACCTCGACGCACGCGATTGTAAGTTTTGCGAGTACATTAAAATCGTATTAATATTAGGGATTTACGCTTTGATTTAATATGTGACGCAGTTTAATTGCAAATCTTTGTTCAAATTTGTTTTATAACCGACGCTTACAAAAAGTGAGGTTATACCAGTTCAAATTTTCATGTTTTTCAATTTTGTGATTATACATCAATCACGGCAGTGTGCATGTTGAATTATACATCAAATTAAAGAGAAATTAATTGCTTAATACCTGGTAGTAGTTACAGTTGTGTCTTCAAGGAATAACTGCATGATAAGTTGAATTAAACCTCAAGACGTCACGGCACTAAAAACTCGACGGTTACATATTGTAAGAAGATGCAACCCAACATACACCAAACAAACAACAACAAACAAAAACAAAGAAACAAAGTTAATAAACCGAGTGTTACAAATTGCAACTGTTCAAAACTAGTTTTTATTAGTTTAGTCTCTGATTACGAGCTCTCTTTCTTTATTTAATACATCATCCACTAAAACAAATATAAAAACAATGTATAAACAACAAATATGTATATTTTATGTATACTTACATTTGTTGTTTACACGATTCAAAACACTATCAACAACGCCATCAAAAGCAATTTTTCCGTCCTTGTTTGGGACATTTCTGCGCATTATTTGTTGTGCGTCAGCCAAAATGTTTCTAAAGTACTCATTATAGTAGTTTCCAGTGGAATTTACAACATCTAAACAAAATAATTACATTTTATGGTATAAAATTTGTTATTACAAGATGAATTATTAAAACTTACTTTCTTTAACGTCGTCTGGAACAAATTGATCAATTGGAACAGCATTTAAAAAGAAATTTATCTTTAATTCCAATAAATCAGTAACTTTTGAAGATATGTCGTTAATTTTTGCCTGTGTGGCTTCATTAATGCTGGGAATACTTCGAGAATCAACCAGGATACCATAATTTACTAAAAATATAAGATATTTAGTATTAAATTAGTTAAAATTTGTGTTTAATTAACTTACAGGCCAAAATGGCAGTTAAAAATGCAAATAAAGACATGAAAACACCGTTTTCACTAGTTTAAACAGTCAAATACTAACATATTTCACTTGGTGAATTGAAATCTATCGTTGTAGTTTATTTAGGTATTTGCAAAAATATTTGTTTACGTATTTACAACACATTCTTCATTATTTTACTTCGAAATCGTACATTTACCTCCATCTATTGGTGATTTATGAACTATAACTTATTTTAACCTTATTGAATTTTTATTTGTTTTTAACAATAAAAACCTTCAAAATTATTAAACCAAAAGGTCATAAATCATAAGATAATGCCGTATTATCTTTGCAGTGACACTGAAGAGCATCCAATAACAAAATCATCTGTAAAACTACAAGATACAACTGTTACTTTGAATGAGAAACAAAACACCGTCAACTTACACACATCCAACACTCCAATATTATTTAATGGATATAGTTTATGCCCAAACTCAAACTATCAATTAAAAGAAGAAGATATTATCACAATTGATAAAATGGCTTACCGAGTATCATCCACATCAGCATCTAAAAGGTTCAAAGTAGACACATCAAAGAAGATCACATCATTCTTCAATATCACAACAAATTCAAACAATCAGATTGATAGTCCTTTTAAAAAGATCACGGGTCAATGGGAAGACTTCAAAGATCATCTTGTGTTTACTCCCAATGATGATGAGAGGAGTTACACAAAGGTAGCTGCTTTTGACATGGATGGAACACTGATCAAACCAAAAAGTGGTAAGAAATTCGCTGAGAATCCTAGTGATTGGATGATTTTATACAAAAACATTCCAAAAATCCTCTTGGATTACTACAACCAAAGTTATAAACTTGTTATATTTAGTAATCAATCACCCCTGGGTAGTGACACATCAAAACGAGGAGAATTCAAACAAAAGATTGAAGATATATTGAATGAAATCAAACTTCCGATGCATGTTTTCCTAGCCACACAGAAAAATCTAATGCGAAAGCCTTGTACAGGCATGTGGGAAGCTATGACAGAAAGAAACACCCAAGAAATTGATAAATCTGAGTGTTTTTATGTTGGTGATGCAGCAGGACGGCCTAAACGAGGTAATATTCCCAAGGATCATTCATTTGCTGATTTATTCTTTGCTAAAAACCTAAAAATAAAGTTTTATACACCTGAAGAGATCTTCCAGAACACAAAATGTACTAATACAGATGTAAAAATCTTGTATGAACCTAAAATAACTTGTAAACAAACAAATTTTGCTCTGAGTCAAAAACCAGAAGTGATTTTAATGGTGGGATCGCCAGCATCAGGTAAAAGTTCATTTTGCAAGCAGAATCTGCTCCCAAGTGGTTATATTCATGTAAACAGGGATAATTTAGGTTCATGGCAGAAGTGTATTCAATTAGTGAGAGATTCCCTGAAGAATAACAAGCGTGTTGTTGTGGATAACACGAATAAAGATAAAGAATCACGATTGAGGTTCATAGAAGTAGCGAAGAGCTTCAAAGTACCTTGTAGATGTTTTCACATGAAGGTGGAGAAAAGCAGAGCGATGCATAATAATAAATTTCGTGAGTTGACCAAAGAGGAACATGTGAATGTTACGGATATTATTATACATTCGTTTTATAAGGGGTTTCAAGAGCCGAGTGTTGAGGAAGGGTTTGATGAGATTGTTGAGTTGAAATGTGTGCCGGAGTTTGGGGATAATGAGTATAAGAATAAGGAGTTGTATGAGATGTATTTGTTGGAAAAGCCATGAATTAAAGTATGGATAATTAAATGTTATTGAAGAGTATTAATGCTTGAACTAGATATTTATTTAAGTATAAAACTTTAAGTAATAAAGTGTGATATTTGGTGGTTTTTTCAGGTTTTATTGTGGTTGACCTTTGTTTTCGATGGAATCGATGATGTTTTCAACTAAATAAATAGAAGGAAGAAAAAAGACAAGTTAATCAATGTATGGCTTAAAGGGAAAGAAATAATTACGGTGTTCTTCAGCGCTTCGTAGATATTCGCTCATGTTTTGGTCGAAAGTTTGTTTGCCGATTTGTGGGTTGACGTTGGCTCGCATTTGGCGGTAGACGTCGTACATGAGGTTCTTGATGAAGATGTAGAATTTCTCAGAGGTGACGAATGTTAAATCTGTTTATATAAATTCGGTTTTGTTTAATTGGAAGTGATTTTTATGTAGTTGTGGTTGTGTTTTTGTATCCTGACCTGTTTTGAAGTCTTCTGTAAACATGTTGTTGAATGCTGCGTCATTCATGAATGGCTGCATGTAGCCATAACCAAATACGTCGGTTACTTGATTGGCGATTCCACAGATTTGTTTCTCCATGGCGTCGTCAATGCCGGGGACTTTTTGGGCGTTGGTGGAAACTCCACCATTTACTTGAAATAAAAAAAAAACATGTTGTTTAATATATACCTACATGTATTTTTGATTGTTTTGATAAGTTTTTCACTGTTTTTTGTGTGAATTTTGTCATTTTTGTACAAATTAGCATTAATCTTTGACTAGATTATGCCCAAAGAGATTTTGAATCAATCTTAACCGTAAATGATTAAAAAATATTAAGAATATTAACAATAATTGTTATTTTAGTGCAAAGAAAGTGTGATTTTACTTACGTGCCAAGATGGCGGCGATCACAATAAACGGAGACATGTTTGGATGTTGTTTGAATGTTCTTTCGAGTATTCAGTAACTGATGTTTGTTGCATTGCTGTATTCTGGTATATATACTATTTTGCAAAGTGAGTAACACATGATTTGTGGCATTTTTCACATCACAAGTGAAAATTATAACGGAAAATGGCGGAAATGCAAAACAAACAAGTTCAAACAAATACTTCACTCATTGAATACTTAAAATGTAAACAACAGTGGCATTTATTCAATAAAAAATATAGTAATTATTTCTTAAAGTAGTTAAAATTACAATTTGTGATTTATTGTTGCTACAAATTATGTTAATGTGTTATTATTTTGTTATGGATATACTCCAACCGAACGAAAACAGGAATATAGATAATATTAATATAATTTTTTTGATAAAAGCAACAAGATAGCGAATTAAAATGTGATGGCGTGCGAATTTGTTAATTTTTGTGATTTAAAACCACTTGAACATCTTGGTACATTAGTACATGCAAAAATTTAACTGAAATTAAGCTGGATTAGTCGCAAAATTATTCGGATTTTGGGCTTTTGCCAAGGATATGTGAGATAGGAGCAATATGAGCAATATTATCAGATATATTACAGTCAAATTTCAAATGTTTTAATCAAAATTATACAATACTAATAAATATATGCAATTGGTCAATTGGCCAGCATTACAACATTCATGAGGGATCTTCAGTACAAATTGAGAAACAATTTCAAGGCAGCTTCAAGCACTAGCTAAACTCTAAAACGCAAGTTATGTAATATGTAATAAACTACTAAAAGAGATAAATACTAGATTATGGAAGAAAAATTAAACATGTATTGCAATAACTATTCTATACCACCATTTGCATTCTTGTAAATAACAATTTAAAAGCAATTTAGATTATTACACAGCAGAATACATTTACCTGAAGAGGGAGGCTTAGGAAAGAAGCTCTTCGAAAAGGACATCACGTTATACAAATGTATTTGTAAGGCGGGGTTATTCATATTAATATATTCATCAATATCAATTATAACATCAAATCATGTATCAATTTTTGTTTGTTTATTCATTGCACGTCTTTCTACATTTAATAAGTTCTGTTGTATGAAAAAAAAGTTAAAAATATAATATTAACTTAAGAAAATAAGTATTTATTGCAATAAATACAGAAATTCTATTTACATATTTATAAGAATGTAACTTAAGAGGTTTCTATTAACAACCATCAAAGGAAATAATCAAAAACAATATTCTTTGTAAAAACAATGCTTTATTAATGCTTGAACTAGATATTTATTTACATATTATAAGTAAGTGCGAAATTAAACCAATACGTCGTTATTAAATCTTCATTATTCATCAACATTCAGTTAATCGAGTGCCCCAATAATTGTTTCAACTAAAACAAGAAAAAAATAAGTTAATTGCAATTAATTGGGCGTTCATAATATCAAATAATTACGGGATTCTTCAGCGCCACGAAGGAATTCACTCATATTCTCATCGAAAACTGTTGTGCCAATTTGTGGGTTGACAGTAGCTCTCATCTGGCGGTAGACATCATACATCAAGTTCTTGATGAACAAATAGAATTTCTCTGAGGTAACAAGTGCCAAATCTAAATAAAAAATGTTTTAAAATTATAATTTCAAACCAAAACAAAAGTATTTAGCTATAATTTCATACCTGGTTTGAAATCTTCATCAAACATTCCCTTGAAGAGGTTATCATTCAATATTTGATTCATTGCAAATTCGAAAACATCAGTGACTTGATTGGCAACTCCACAGATTTGCTTCTCCATGGCATCATCAATTCCAGGGACTTTTTGTGCATTAGTCAAAATAGCTCCACTAACTGAAAGTTTAAAAATAAAAACAAGAAGAAGAAATATAATTTTTAATAAGCTTTTGTGTTGTTATAACTTACGAGCCAAGATGGCGGCGATCACAACAAATGGAGACATGTTTCAGTATTTTTTGAACGTTGTTCGAAGTATTCAGGAACTGATGTCTGTTTCCCTGCTGTATTTTGGTATATATAGCAGTTTTCGTGGTAATTAACCGTGATTTGTGACATTTTTCACTTCCTACTTAAAAATTACAACAGAAAATCGCCAAGAAAGAAACAAACAACTACTCCGATCGTAAAATTATAGAAAAGTAAACAAAACAAGTATATCTACCTATTATTTATTACCTGCTTCAAATTCAGCAAATAAATGTGTTTGCAACAACAACATTGATTTATTCTCCTCATAAATTATATTAAGTAAAACCTATTCATAAGTTATACTAAAACCTATCATTTTCATTTCTTGGATTATTAAAGAAACAAAAAACAAAATTTCCTTAAAATAAGGTTATGTGCCTTACCTAAGTTAACCTAAAAATCATAATAATTATTTTATTAAAGCATTGTTGTGCTTTCCTCATCATATAAATGATTCCTCCGACGAAAACTAATCTTAACATTACTCAGACACTTCTTTTTGTCCATCATCAAACCCAGAGAACTAAATCCTCCTTGCTCACTGAGAATACATTGCATTAAGAACACAAAAGCGTTCTTAATATTGAAATCATTCTTAGCTGAAGTGTCAAACCATGCCTGAATGCCTTGTTTCGAACAAAAATCGTCCAATTCACACATATCAAACGTAATATCCGGCGAATCACACTAAAAACATATAAAAATGTAAAAAATGCACAATATATTGTCAATCAATACAAAAAAACATAATTATTACCTTGCTAGCTATGAGTAAACAAGGAATTTGTCCTCTTTTCGCAAGTTTTGCTTTGGAATCAACACACTTCTTCAAGTTTTTAATAGATTCGAAACTTTTATCATCATTTATATCAAAAACAATAATGGCACCAATTGAATCAGAAACACATGTTGGTGAAACAATCGCATCACTAATATCACCTAAAAACAAAACAAAATTGTTTCAAATCAATCAAAATATATTTAAATGTGACTACTACCTGATATTTCAAACAAATGCAGGCAAAACTGTTTATTATTCTGAAACTTCATCAGTTTTGTCTCATAACCTGTACAATCCGCTATTCCTTCAAAATCAAAGGTTCCATGAACAAATCGTTGAATGATTGCTGACTTTCCAACTGATTTATCACCCATAATGAGAATTTTAATCTCAATTTCGTTTGATTTCATGTGTATGAACTAAAAATTAAATAAAAACACCATTATACATTGAAATAATGAAAAGTGAGGTTAACTTACAGATTTCAATTGTTTCAACATAGCAAATTTAACTTTTTTATCACTCTGAACCTTCTCTTTCAACTGCATGTTGGTAATACCATCAGATTGTGGTTTTAAATGCAAAACTCTTGCGAATTTATTGAGTGACACATCCCAATAACCTGGTTTTGACGCTTCAGACACATTATCATGTGATAAAGATTTCTTTAAATTGTTTTTGCGTTGAAATACATGTTTCCACCTTCTTCCAGAGTTGTTTTCCTGCTTTTCAGCTTCACATACATCCTCGGAACTTTCATCCTCTTCAATAGGTAGATAAGTTCCGTTTAACAAATCATAACTGCCTGACATTTCCATTTTCAACAACTTTTAACAACTTGTCGGTTACTTTAGCGAAGAAAACTTACTAATGAGAATGTTATTGTTCATTGGAATTTATAACCTGCGCATATTTAATCGAAACGCATGAATAAATCACACAATGACGAATTTTTTGATTAAAAATCGAAAGAAATGCGTGATTCAGTTTTCTAATCGCTTTGTCATGTTTTTATAAGGATGTACACCTGTAGGAGTGAATATATTCATAAGTTTTGCTGTTGTTGCTTTTGAAAACCGTCTATGTTCTCCAAAACAAACATTTTACAGATGATTTTACACAAAACTAGAAATTAAATCGGTTCACAACGCAATTATGTCCGAATAACTTGTGTTATCGATATGCATTCGTTTTGTATATCGATGTAACCAAATCCAACCTCAAAATTGTTGCGTTTAACTACATAACCTCATCTATGCAGTAATCTCTTTTCACTTCTAACAATAATTCTTGATCATTTTACATAGAAAGTAGAAAACAGACAAAATATTAGTAGAATAAATTGCAAAGTTACAGTTACAGTCGTTTAATTTGTTATATTCACTTGGTTTTATCAAAAAATTGTTTTTTAAATGTAAAATTACAGTATTTATAACCTAACCATAGAATTTCTTGTATATTGCACAAAAATAGAAAGAAAATCATTGTAACTTTTACAAAAATCAAAATTAAGAAAAATCTTTTGGTCAGGTTATAAAGTATACAATAGAATAGAAATCTTGAAAATTTCATCAAATTTCAAAGATTAGTTTAGAAGTTATAAGCTGTTTCCTTATAAAAATGTAATCCACGCACTTGAAATGCAATTATCTTGACTACTATCACTCCGTTTGAGTTCAAATTGATTGTGCTTATCAATAATTACAATATTTACAATCAAACAAAAGATTTTGTATACAAATTAAACAGGTTTTGTTTAAGCAACGAGTTAAACTGCCATAACTTTCCAATAACCTATAAATTTTGACATTTTCTTTCACCAGAACATAACCTGTACCATAATCTACCACTGACAGAAAATTCATACATTTTGATCCATCAAATTCGCTGTAATCTACAAAAATGTAACTTAATATGCGATTAACTAGAGAATTATCGCTCTGTTCGAGTTTATACTGATTGTGCTTATCTATTATTACAATATTTATAACCAAACAAAATATTTTGTGTCTAAACCAAACATGTTTTGTTTAAACAATGAAAAATCGACAAAAATCAATAATTTGGTAGAAAAACAGCCATAACTTCTACATAACCTTAAATTTTTGACATTTTCTTTCATCAGGACATAACCTGTACCATAATCAACCACAGACAGAAATTTCATACATTTTGGTCCATAAACTCCACCGCAATCAACAAAAATTCCAACATTTTCGATAAAATCCAAGTGAATACAACCGATTAAGTTATATATCAATATCAATTCACAAATGCTTGGCTTGAGAAACATCCTCCATTCTCACAACTCGCACGTATTTATCCGTTGTCTATCTAAAATCCTTACGTGCTAGAACCTTAAGTTTAAAATGTATGTAATATGTATATTATATGCATTATAAAACAACCTAATAAAGTCCTCGTCTTCGTATAATTACACTTACATCATATTCATATATAATCCATAATTTAAATATTAAGCTATCGTTATTACAAGATGTTTACAAGATAATTGTGTTAAGATTCTCAGTGTTCGATGCAGAATCGAATTTATTTCCCACCGGCTTCGAGGGCTTTACATTGAATCGAAAACATAATCACAAATCACAATCGATCAAAGGTATCTTGGGACGTAGAGAACACAAAATATTAACAAAAAAAGAATAAAATTCGTGCATCGCTAACTGATAATTAAGTATATGTGGAGTTCGAAGTTGAAAACCAAATGAAGGGGGCAGTCATTTCTCGCCAAACATTCCTTGAGCAATATGTTTTAAATCTTAGATACGGTAGAAACAGCTTACACCGACAACAAACTTATGTGAACATGAACACACTTAGATAGCTTCGAGTTACATCCGCTTCCAATCTCTTGTTTCATTCCGGCTGGTTGATCGATTTGCTTGCTTTGATTGCACAAAAAAAATGAAAAGAATTTTCTGCGATTCAAGGAGAATCGCGCAAGAATGAGATCATGATATAATTCATATAATTCATTGTTGCAAAACTGGTTAGAAGGGTGTGATTAATATTGATATTAGCACGCGTCTCACTGCAATATTGCCTCACTTTTCGGAGAAAGATTGTCACTAGTCATGTGAATGACCAATATATTGATCAAGCATAGAACCGCTTGGTTTTAATTTATCATTTAAAGTGAATTAAAATTATTATTGTTGACTCGAGCGTCAATTGTGTTTTTTTTTTAAGTATTTAGGTATTTCTTTTCTTTTCTCTGGTTTTGTTTATTTGTTAATTTATTTACGTTTGAGTGTGTATTTTGTGTGTGTGTGGGTGGTTCGCTAGCAGGTGGTTTCCAGAATGGGGCACCGGCACGCACTCACGCACGTTGAAATGCTGGTTGGGGCGCCGCCGCTGCCGCCGCCGTTGCATACGGGCAGTGAGCGCGTCTTCGGCGCGGTCTTGAGCTGCGCTCGAGGTGAGCTGCGCGCTGAGGCGGAGCGTGGGCGTTCGGGTAGGTGCAGCGGGGATTGAAGGGCGGGCTCCGGGCGCTCGGGGGCGGCGGCGGCCGGGCCCACCGGCTTGGGCTAGAAGAGCTTCTCGGCCGCTGCGGGTGAGTCTGATGCGCCGGATGCAGCGCCTAGGCTCGCTGTGCATTCGTCTGATGCGCTTAGACCTCCGCCGCCGCCAGCGCCGCCGCCGACCAGCTGATGTCAGTTGACCAGCTCCACGTTCACGAACTTCTTCAGTCTGTCCAAGTAGGCCGGGTAGAGTTCCACGTCGTTATGACCTGCGCCCTATAAAAAATAATCAGAAAATGTTAATATTTATATATTTTTGTTATTAAACAAAAACGGGAAGAGATATAATAATAATTCTTTCAGCAAAGTATTCAGTATTAAATTCTGTGTTTATAAAGTTAAATTTGTATGAATTGAATAATTATTTACAAAGTTACAGACAAAAAAGTTGAATATACTTTGATAACAAGTAAAAAACAACTTATTTTACTCATTACTCATTAAATAACAACAATAATAGCATAATTTTCTCAGAATATATGCAGAATTTGATACAGAATCAAAATATGAAAGAATTTTTAGTCTAACTTGAATAGTTTTTGAATTATCAACAAAAAATCATCAAAAACATTACTTTCATATGTATTTTTTGTTATTGCATAAAAACAATAACAGATACAATAATAATTCTTGCATCAGCTAATTCTGTATGAAATTATACACTTAAAATGTAAAATTTATGCAAATCGACTGATTATTTACAAAGTTACAGACGAAAAAGTGGAATATACTTTAAAAACAAGTAAAAACAACTTATTTTGTTTATAACTCATTAAATAACAAAGATAAAAGGTTAATTTTCTCAGAATATATGCAGAATTAGATACAGAATTAAAATATGAAAGAATTTTTAGTCTAACTTGAATAGTTTTTGAATCATCAACGAAAAACCATCAAAAACATTACTTTTACCTGCACTTTTTATTATTGCGTAAAAGCAATAAGAGATACAATAATAATTCTTTCATCCGCTAATTCTGTACGAAATTATACACTTAAAATGTAAATTTTATACAAATCGGCTGATTATTTACAAAGTTACAGACAAAAAAGTTGAATATACTGTAAAAACAAGTAAAAAACAACTTATTTTGTTTATAACTCATGAAATAACAATGTTATAAACATAATTTTCTCAAAGTATATGTACAATTAAATAAAGAATCAAATTATGAAAGAATATTAAGTTAAATTCAAATAATTTTTGAATTATCCAAAAAATCATAATAAAAAGTAATACATTCTTTTATACTTTAGGTGATTGCATAGAAACGATAAGAGATACAATAATAATTCTTTCACCAGCTAATTCCGCATGAAATTATACATTCAAAATGCAAAATTTATACCAATCGCATGATTATTTACAAAGTTACAAACAAAAAACCTCAATTTTACCATAAAATTAAGTAAAATTCACCTTATTTTGTTTATAACTAAATAAATAAACAAACTACAAACATAATTCTCTCAGAATAGATGTAAAACATCACTCTGAATAAAATTATGAAAGAATTTTCACTGTAACTAATATAGTTTTTGAGTTATCAACCAAAAACTAAATTTTTACTTACTTCGACCCATAATGGTTCCACAGCTTTCGGACACCTCTCAAAGATGGTCCTCCCATGTGTAAAGTCTATAATCTCATCCTCAGTACCATGAATCAACAGTGTGGGAGAAGTTACTTTGGGAACTTTATCAATACTGCAACAAATCCATCAACAATCAATCAAATTGTACAATCAAAAATAACCAATCAACTTACCTAGGAAAGGCATCAAAGAACCACGTCCGTTTCGTGTTTGGAAACGCAACTCGCATGCCGGACATCAACGGCGAGTGTAGAATGACAGCACCGACTTCGTACCGCGACGCCAGGTCAACTGTAGGCACCGTTCCGATACTCTGCCCGTAGAGGATGATATTCTCCGGGCTGATTCCATACCTGGTGCGTAATGCTTGCCAAGCAGCTTCAATATCAGCGTAGAGATTCTTCTCCGACGGCTTGCCTGCACTTTGTCCGTAACCGGAGTAATCATACGCGAAGACATTGCAGTTGATACTAGAGCCTAGATTAAGGTAAAAGGTGCTCATCTGCCCCAGGTCGACAGCGTTGCCGTGCGAGAAGAGGATTGTGAAACGTGCTGTGCTGCTGCAGCGGACGAAGACGCACGCGATTTTATTACCGCGCTGCGTGCGCGTGTAGAAACCCTCGACGTTTTCTTTATCGTGGTCGGAGAATTGCCATTCAGCACGCGCTGTTAACTCCACGGAGTATTTGCCGTTGACTTCGGCGATGAAGTTGTAGGTGGGTTCGGGTGGCAGGAAGGCCAACTTGGCGGCGATGCGGCTCGGGCATGGTGGGCAGCACAGCAGGCAGCAGAGTTCGCTGAAGCTCAGCCCGTTCATGGTTGCGGGAAAGTTGGGCGCAAAACCGCCCTTTGATTTATTATCGCCGAGAGAAAACTATCTTGACACCGCCATCTTGCACCTGCGGATGCGGGAAATGCTGTCTTTGCCCACCCGCGAGTCGCTATACACACCCGTTCTTGCTGACGGCGGAGTGCTGGGCGCGCATTTAATTTACTCGATGACGATCACGATCGCGATGCGCTAATTCACACTCTCAGCACCTCCAACTTGCCTTTGCTTTGCTTCGTTTGCTCGTTTTCGTTTACTTGGTTTACTTTCGGCTTGCACAATGAATCAGCCCGCGGTGCGCATGCGCACCACCCGCACGACTTTGCACGATCAACATGTATTCAAAAACAACATTTTCATCAGACAGCTGCTTTGTTTCAGCAGCGTGTCTGATAAGCGCAGACAGCAGATAAGATAAATCAGATGATAATATTAGAATAACCTATTTTTTCTGTACGACACAAAGTACAAACCAAAATAAACATTTTGACAGCGTTGATATTCTCGTGAATATTCGAAACTGTTCGAGATTCTCAAGGTTATTGCGCAGCGACATCTAACGGGATGTAATCTGCACTGCAGGAGGTCGTTTGTCGTTTGTCGATTTCACTGTGAATCCGCCACTGTCATTATCGCACCAGCAACCAACAACGGAACAGCAACATCCGTGTTTGATCTGTGTTCATCTGTAAATCCAGTGGAATTGTTGCGTTTGAGGCAGTGCCCGTCGGTTGCACTGAATAAAACTGGTGTGATTAGTGTTGCTACGTTCCTAGTGCGCATCAGCCGCCTACAAAACAATTGAATATCAACTGGTCGTCAGGCAACGAATAACAACTTGGGCGACGTTCATTTGTTCCATCAATAAACAAGGCGGAAAAAACTCCGAACGTAAGGTGAGTACATTTTGGGGCTTTTTACGCACACCTGGCGCTATTGAACACATCGAAGTGCGCGATGTGTGTTGGTGATTGGGAGTATGATGAATGGATGAATCGCATGTGCGTTTACCTCGTCGAAAAACATCGATATTTTCGTGTGTTACGGTCCAAACTGGACAGAACCGGAATTATCTAATAAATATTTATGCATAACTTCTAAACAAAACAAGATTTTATGATAATTCTTGCACTAATCAACTTTGAATTAAATTCTACATTTATTTATGCAGTGATTTTAGTGATAACAAGTTTTATCAGTGAGTTATACACAAATAAACATGTTGTGTTGTAATTTTTTACATAACCAACTTCAAGGGACGATAACGCATTACACAGCATTTTGTACAATAAAAACAAAAGTTGTCTAGACGCAGAATTTAATGTAGAATCGATGAGTGAAAGAATTATTACTGTATCTTGCTTAGTTTTTGAGTTATTTGTTAAAAAGTGCGAGAAAACATGATGAAATGTTTTCGAAACTGAATGAATGTAAGGTGTATATTGGGTTGCATAATTTTTTGACAGGAAATATTGTCAAATCATGCAAAATCACATAAAATTATACAAAACTTTACATTTTCATCGCGAATAAAACATGTGCGTGTAGATAATGACTGTGGGAGTGAATTATCATTGACTACATGGAATTTTTCTGCATTAGTTCACAAACAAACAAGTTATCATCCAAAACACAAATATTTTCGTATAATTACCGATTATTTTGTTGTACAAATCGCAGTACGTGATAAATTAGCAATAATCTTGGTTTAGACTTGGTTTAGGACTATTCTTGTTTTATATTTGGATTTGCTGAGACAATGAACTCGTTAATATTTTATGTTTTACTCCGACTGTTTATGATTACTACAAGACAACGACTAGTACAATGAATGAGTAAGTACGACGAGTAGACATCAATTAATTATTTATTAAATGTAGTTGATGGTTGTTTGGATGTGTAGTGAAGTGGCCAGTTCGTGGGAAAATACAACTTTCATCACTCAAGTCATTCAGGTTTAGAATTAAGTACATTTTCATTAAAATAATATAATATTGTTTTTGTTTTTTGTTTGTTTTTGTTATTATTATGGCAAATAAATAGGATAAACTGTTATTATTTATTAGAATATGTTGTTAGTAATGTAATGAAGGTATATAGTAAATTTTATGATGATTGAATGAATAGTTTCTGAGATATTTGCGTTTGAAGTAAGTGGTGAGTAATTTTTCTCTTTTATTGCATCAATTTATCACTTTAAACAATTTGTAAATCTTACAAATTGTCAGAATATTTAGTTTATATTATAGTCTAGACATCAGACTGGTAAAAAATTATTATTTACTTTTTTTTCTTCAAAAAAACAAGCAAAAAACGAAGAAAATGAAGAAAAAATTTTTAATTTTGATTAAAACTTAAATTTCTTATCAAATAAAACAAGAAAATGTCATTAATGAATAAATTCTTACGTAATTATTCCTAGGCAACCATATATACACATTTTTCTGATATTTTGTGATGTGTTTTGCCGAATTTTACGAATATTAACCCCAAACATACACTACACATTTGATTGAGAATTAATCAATGCACATTTTCATTTGATTCATGCTTATTACTTGCATGAATCTGCGTGTTTCAACTGAAATGTGAATAAGAATAGTAAAATGAATACTAATGCTGCGTGTGTAGCTTACGCGCCGGCGAATTGCGGAGGCGGCGGACGGCGTGGGTGGCAAAATTGTAAAACATCCCTGTTCGTCACTAAAATTGTTGTAGTAGTATTGTGTGGTATGTATTCGTGGAGGCCGTGGGATGCGTACGCTGCTACAATCCTCCCGCCACCATCACACCACTACTAACACCACCTCCACTTCCATCTCTTCCATATTTAAGTTCATTATGATGATAAAAATACTGTTATGAATGGATTATAATCGGTCAGTGATTATTTCAGTATAGAAACCATTAAAAATATTGTTTTTATTAAGAACTTATTAAGATTTTTTCGTGAATATCTTGGAAAGTATTGTTTTGTTTAAGCTATAATTTGGTATAATAATTTATTATTAAGTATATTATATGGTTATTGCAATTAATTTGATTTTGATATAAAATTTGGCTTAAATCGTCTTTGTTTGTTCAAAAACACTGAAAATTAGACATTTTATTAAGTAAAATGGTTATAACTTTTATGACAATTAATATTTGTTTAAATTTTGACCTACATAGTTTAGTACACATTATAAACAATATATTCTGAAGTTTTCATAAAAATCCATATATTAGTTTAAAAATTATAACGTTTTGAAGATATTTTTTCAAGATAATGCCAAAATCACGCTCAACTAACACTTAAAACGCGTTTATCTCGAATTATATCGGTATGATTTAATCAAAATTTAAGATATTGATTAATTAATATATTAGGAAGGACCTAATCGAAAAAATAATTGTTTAAATTATATTTTTAATTTGTTTATAGCGCAAATTGCAGAAAAACATGTTTTTTTGAACAATTTTCAATTTTTAGAGGAAAAATTGAGAAAAATCAATATTTTCAAAAACATCTTATAAAATAACGAAGCCAATTAATCATTACAACCTTGATTTTATTATTTTTTCAATAATCATGCCAATTTTTACTTAAAATGGATTTTTTACTTATTTATTAATTTTTAATTCTCTAAATATTAAAACCTTAAAAAAAGACATTGAATAACACTATGGCATTGATTTTATAAAATGAATATAGAACAAATATTGTATTTAACACTTAAACAGTGCCTATTCATTAATGCCTAAACATTAAATCGTTATTTTCGTCTTTATTTCAACATTTTCAACTCTTCCATTCAAATGTCTGTATCCAACAGGAAGTCAACTTGATAACAAACAAATAATCACTTCATTACAGACAATTACATATTCTCTCTCTATATTTTCCATTATTTTTATAGATAAAATCCTAATGTTAATAAAATAACATACAATTATTCCTCGAAAAACTTTCAAAAGTTAAACTTTACTTTCGTATACCAGCACCTACAATACGTGCGAAATGTCGCGCGGGGGCGGCTAATATATCGCCCACACAGCGCCCTCTTGCCTACACATGTAGTGGTGGTGGTGGTCGGTGGCTGGATATCGATAACTGCGCGCGGCGGAATGCGCGCCGGCGTCCCTCTGGCGTTAGCGCAGTCGATACACCGACCGACCGACAACCGCCGGTGTGTGTGGCGACAGTCACACGAGAGTCACAGGTCTCAGACTCTCTCAACGCGGTAAAAAACACGCATCTACATCCTAATCACAAATCACAAGTGAAAAACAAAAATATAATATTTCTAGTTATAGTTTAGTGCAATTAACATAAAAAGAAGAAAAAAAGAAACATTTTTATCTATTGGATGATATTAAATTTATTTGTGTGAATGAATATTTGGATTTAATGTGCGCGCAGTGAAGTCGAAAGTCAACGGTAGGTGGAACACGAATTGTGTTCAATTTAGTATTAATTTACGTTAACAATACTCAATGTCGACGACTGCTACAATCACACTGCTACATCTCTCATACTGAAGCTGTGGTTGATGTTAATATTAAAACGCAGTTTATTTTAATTTTTTTAATTTTGATTTTTAATTAATTTTAGTTGATTTTGTGTTGTGTAATGTTTGAAAACGTGTGAATTTATGGTGTAATTTAATTTGGTGTTTCGGCGACCCATTTTTACCACCGCCGCCGCTGCCGCCGCCGACGAATTATCGATTTTTGCGCGGGCGCGCGGGGATGGTGCCCCATTGTGCGCGACGCCGCTCTCGCAAATATATATCGTGTCAAGGTGACGGCGGAATTGGGTCAGCGGGGCGGGAGGCGGGGGTGAGGATGAGCAGTGTACACCAGAGAGATGAAGATGTTTCTCTCTTGGCTCTCTGTGAGGAAATGTAGGTGGTGGAGGTGGTGGTGGTGGTGCGTGCCAAGAATTGAAATCATTTCAAGGCTGTGTGCGGATGTATGATGCTGTGGCTTACGCAATATTCACGCAGAGGGTGGTTGAATGAGATTTATTTGCGCCAAGATGAGAAAAATGCGCGGTTTATTGATTTCGTTTGAGGGAGTATTACATAACCTTAACCTGTTTTGAAATATGAGTATGAGTAGGTTATGTTTGGTTGGATGTTTGGTTGGTTGGGTGGTTTATGAATTGGTTGTTTTTATTTTTTGTTTTATGTTTTATTTTATTTTATTTATTGTTGCTTCATGGTCGTCCATTTTAGCACTCTGTCTTCTTCCGCTTTGGAGTGCGCCCAGACAGGAATTGCATTTCCGGTTTCCTTGAATATAAATAAATTCATGATTACAAAACGGAAAAGTCTTGGAAAGCACTTTAGATGCGAATATCTCGTGAACAACTGTTTATATTAACATAAAATTTGTTGCACACGTCAACGGAGATGTAATATATAGGGTGTTAGTGTTTTTAAAATAAATTTCGTAATAGTAACCGTTTTTTTAAAGGTGCAAAAGTCGTAAACTTTTTATTTTAATTTTTGATATTCTTAAGTTTAAATGCGAATATCTTGGATATTAATATTTTGTTTCACCTAAAATTTGATGTATTAATTTATTATTAATTATATTATAAGATTATTGCAAAATAATTTGATTTTGATATAAATGTTGCCTTAAAAGCGTCTTTGTTTTTCAAAAACACTGAAAATTATACGTTTTTTTAAGTAAATTTGTTATAACTTTTATGACATTTAATATTTGTTTAAATTTTGACCTATATAGTTTAGTACACTTTATAAACTATATATTCTAAAGTTTTCATAAAAATCTAGACATTAGTTTAAAAATTATAACGTTTTGAAGATATTTTTTTCAAAATAATACTAAAATTACAATAATCCAACACTTCAAACACTGTTATCTCGTATTGTGTCGGTGTGAATTAATCCAAATTTAAAATATTTATTAATTAATATATTACGAAGGACCTACTTTAAAAAGAAAGTGTTTAAATAATATTTTTAGCAAGTTTATAGCGCAAATTGCAGAAAATTATGTTTTTTCAACCAATTTCCAGTTTTTTTATGAAAAAAATTAAAAAATCACTATTTTCAAAACATTCTATAAAAATTAAGAAGCCAATAAATTGTTATACTCTTAATTTATAAAATTATTATTGATTATTCGCATTTCTTACGTAAAAAAACATTATTTACGTATATTTTTTTATCTACTTACTTAATATTAACCTTGACAAAAACGGCATTACAATACATCATAGATAATTTCGATGATTACACCTCCATGTTATTTTAGTCTATACCCAAACTCACATACATTTACGTATTATTTACGTAGTAGGTACATATGTAATTACAGTCCCTAAAAAAATACCAAACAAATTTTGTTTTTATTTTCTTTTTTCCCTCTATCTATGTATTTATATTCACATTCACATATTCTCATCAAAAGCAAAAGCAAGCAATTTCATTTTATGAATAAACTCATATAAATTCTCGTTATGAATACGCAGAACTCACTCAACTCACTCTTATGTCATTCCGAGTTATTAATTAAACGCAATACACATATATTCAGCAAATCCATTCAAATACACAGCGTATAACAAAATAATTAATTTTAAATATAAAACGTAATTTATAACACTCTGTATGATATCCTGTTATCCTGTTTTATGTCTACCACTTCGTAAATAAAACAATCTTATTCGTATTCTACGGTTGAATAAGGCACAGACGGGAGTTTTCATCTTCTAGAAAATTCTGTTTCTTTTTTTTTAAGGAATAAAAACCGGCAAAGGAGGGTTTTATTTCTGTGTGTGCAGGTTTTTATTTCTGTGCTGCACTTGCACGGTGTCGACATTGTCACGCCTCGTGTACCTCTAATTGGATTGTGTATTGCTATTGCGACACACGCCACTTTCTCACTGCTTTTGCAAACGAACGAAAATTAGCCAAGCCGCGAACCATTACAATTACAACTTGTTTGTTTTAATTATAGTTTTATAAGCAGCAAGGCTATAACAAATTTTTACTTTATTGGTCATATAGTTTATGAAATAATTAAATTTTAAGTTTAAAAAATTGTTAATTTATAAGAAAAATTGCCATTTTTGTGCATATTTTGTGTTATAATTCAAAAAGTTGTTGGCGGATTGTAAAATCCTTTGGTAACTTTCTTTATACCACCACAATAAATACCTAGAACAAGTTTGGGCCTGATAAATACAATAGTTTGTGAAATTATCGGGATTAAAATGAAAAAATGCCAACTTTAGGAAAAAGTGCAACTTTCGTGCTAATTTTTGGTTATAATTCAAAAAGTAGTTATCGGATTGTAAAATCCTTTAGTCACTTTATTTATACTACAACAATAAATGCCTAGAATAAATTTGGGCCTTATCGATGCATTAGTTGATGACATAATCGGGTTGAAAGTGAAAAAAATAAGTAATTTTCAAGAAAAGCCTAAATTTGGTAACATTTATATGCAATAACTTAAAAGTTATTGTTGTAATGCAAATTCCTTTGGTCAACTTATTCAGTTGATAGCAATGCATAGCTACAACAAATTTAAGCTATATTGGAGCAGTAGTTTTTGAAATAATTAGGTTTGAAATGAAAAATACGTAGTTTTTTACAATTACTACTTGTTTGTTTCAATTTTAATGTTATTTTTAATTGATTGTTGCAGTTTACATACAGTAGCACCTTAAGAAGATAGAGAGACAACAAAACATTCAAGATGGCGTTCGCCGGGCTGAAGAAACAGATAAACAAATGCAATCAAGTAAGAATTTTACTAAAAAACAAAAAATCCATCTAAACATTAATTTTCTCTTATTTTTCAGTACATGACAGAGAAAATGGGCGGTGCGGAGGGCACAAAGCTGGACATGGACTTTATGGAAATGGAACGAGTAAGCTTAATCTTAAAAACCCCTCATAACCTATAAAACTAATCAAATTTCTTTTTTCGTCTTCTTATTTTTCACTTAGAAAACCGACGTAACATTCGAATTAGTCGAAGAACTGCAGTTGAAAACGAAAGAATACCTCCAGCCGAACCCCACCGCGCGCGCCAAGATGGCCGCCGTGAAGGGCATCAGCAAACTGAGCGGACAAGCCAAGCAGAACACCTACCCGCAGCCAGAGGGCGTCCTCGGCGACTGCATGCTGCTCTACGGCCGGAAGCTAGGCGACGACAGCATGTTCGGCCAGGCGATGGTCGAGATGGGCGAATCGCTTAAGCAAATGGCCGACGTGAAATACTCCTTGGATGACAACATCAAGCAGAACTTCCTTGAACCGCTGCATCATCTTCAGACTAAGGATCTTAAAGAAGTGATGGTGCGTATTGAAAACTTACATATTTTTTAAATTTAAATGCTAATATCTTGGAAAGTAATAATTTATTTATCCTGAAATTTAGTAGGATTATTAATTATTGAGTATATTATTGGATTTTTGCAAAATAATTTGATATTTGGCTTAAAATTGACTTTTTTGTTCAAAAATTTTGAAAATTTCATATTTTATGAATTAAAATTGTTGTAACTTTTATAATAATTAATATTTGTTTAAATTTTGACTCACATAGTTTAGTACACATTATAAACTATATAATCTGAAGATTTCATAAAAATCCAGACATTAGTTTAAAAGTTATGTATAACGTTTTGAAAATATTTTTTCAAAATAATGCCAAATTTGCACTAATCTAACACTTAAAACGCGTTTATCTTGAAATATATCCATCTGATTTCAACAAAATTTTACATATTTATTAATTAATATATTAGGAAGGGCCTATTTGAAAAAATAATTGTTTTAATAATATTTTTGGCTTGTTTATAGCGCAAATTGCCGAAAAAAACATTCTTTTTAAAACAATTTGAATTTTTTAAATTGCTAAAAATCAATATTTTCCAAGTTGAGGAGTTAATAAATTATTACTTTCATCAATATAACCTAAAAATATCCAAATCAGGTTAAATTAAACCTAAAAATTTGATGTTTTTGTTTCAGCATCATCGGAAAAAATTGCAGGGACGCCGGTTGGACTTTGATTGTAAGCGACGGCGTCAGGCGAAAGGTCAGTACACCCTGCGTGGCTTTCTTTACACTCACACCACGAAATTATCGATTTGCAACACGACGGAATTAAAAAAAAAGTTCGTGAAACTATTCACAGTACCTATATCTAAATAATACCGAAATTGAAATCGTTGTATTTGTTGTGTTGTTGTTGTTGATTTTCTTGATTCTTGGTATTGGTTTTATTGGAATTGTTGGTATTTTCGGACGCACGTGATGCATGTTTTAGCGAAGGGCGTTGCGAGCCCCTATTCGAGTCCTGTCCGCATGCAGGGCCGCGCCAACGGTACGTCCAACACACTTATACTCATTCTCGAGCATTCCAGCGTTGCTCGCATCGAACAATATATTGATTTACGTAGTTGCTACGGGCTGAACTTATTAACTATAACATTTGTTGGTACACCCCTGTGAGATAGATAAATAATGTTAGATGTTTGGTATATTTGGATTAGAATTAGAATTATTGGCTTTTTTCGTCGAGTTTTTAGACGGTTTTGTAGTTTTTAGTGGAGGTAACTTGGGTTTTGTCAAAAGAATATGTATGAAAGTAAGGGTAATTTATGTAGATGATAAATATCCTGTTAAATGGGTTAAAATTACTATAATTGAAAGTAAAATTAGAGTAATTTTACGAAAAAAATGACTTTTTTGCACTTTTTTGTTTATAACTTGTATAATTTTTATTTGAATATTATTTTCTACTTCAAAACGTATTAATTTGATAATAATAAGTCACTACAGTAAATTTTAACTTGATCGGTGCAGTCGCTTTTGAAATAATCGCCTTTAAAATTGAAAAAATGGTCATTTTAGAAAAAAGTGCAATTTTTGTGCAATTTTTTTGTTATAATTCAAAAACTTGTTGTCGGATTGTAAAATCCTTTGGTCACTTTATTTATACTATAACAATATGTGCCTAGAACAAATTTGGGCCTGATCGATGCAATAGTTTATGAGATAATCAGGTTTAAAGTGAAAAAATAAGTCATTTTCAAGAAAAACCCAATTTTGGTAGCAATTATTTGCGATAATTCAAAAAGTAATTGTAGCAATGAAAATTTCTTTGGTCACATTATTCAAATTATAATAATACTTTACTATTACAAATTTCAACCTTATCAGAGTCGTAGTTTCTGAGATAATTAGGTTTGATATGAAAAAACTTCACTTTTTAGTGAAATTTTAGAACTTTTTCAGTCAAAAAATCAAAAAATATTAATTGAAGAACATTTCTCTTAAGCCACTCTTTAAATCTAGTAACAATACATTGTTACATCAAATTTTAACTTGATAGACACTCTAATTTAACAAATAATCGCATTTTAAATTGAAAAATACCTCGATTTTCTGAATTTGACCCACAACTAGTTACTTTTTGACAAACCCAAGTATTTATTACGTATACTTACTTTTAAACTTAAGTTAAGTTATGATTTTGTTGTTGATTATGATTTGATCATTTCCTTTTTCTTTGCGTATTGTGCATGTGCTGTGGTTGGTGGGTGCAATACGACAGGTGCGAAAAATATTACAGATGACGAGATCCGAATGGCCGAGGACAAATTCGCCGAATCCATGCATCTCGCCCAAATGGGAATGTTCAATCTACTAGAAAACGACGTAAGTGCCAATTCACAAAATGATCATTGTCGCCATTGTAAACCAATTGTGTTTCTAGATCGAGCAGATTTCTCAATTAGCCACGTTCGCCGAAGGACTCTACGAGTATCACAGCCAGTGCACGGAAATCATCAAGGTTCTCGTCGAAACACTACACGAAAAGTAATTTTAAAAAAATAAATTAAATTTTGAACATAACCTAAAATTTCCATGTAAATTGTAGGAAAGATGAAGCAGCTAGCCGCCCAAAGGTGGAGTTCGTACCGAAGCCGATCGCCGAGCTGCACCTCGAAGGCGACACGGACATGAACGGTACACACCACCCGCAGATCATTCCCACCGCCCCGCCGCCGTACACCCCGCACGCTCCGCCGCCCGCGTACGGCTTCAAGCAGCCGCAGCCCCGCACGCGATTGGCCGTCCTGCTCCTGCGAAACCCAACCTCAATCACCGCCAGCCACCCTCCTCGCAAACGTATATCCTTGACCTTGACCCATGGAGTACAGGTACTTTTAATTTCTTCATTTACTATAATTTAAACATTAACAATTTACTAAAAACCTAAAAAAAACAAGTAAGAGATTAGTCTAATTCTAATTTTACTAATGATTATTTATAATTTGATGAATATTACGTTTGTTTACGTTTTGTGAGAGGTTAGAGAATTCCCTTCCGCGTGCCACGCGCTCCACCCTTGTCCCTCGGCCGCGTTTTGACCTTTTGCATGTTGATGCGCAATGTGTGCTCGATGTGTAGGTGTCCGCATATGCGTCTGCGAACTGTTTGGCCTCCGGCCAGAACTTAATTTTGGCCGCGTCGAACTTTTCCAGACCCGGCAGTTCGCAGTACGCTTGGCTACGCAGTGCGTGTTTCATTTGTTTCACTTGTAGTTGTTTACTCCGCATAGCCGCCGCCATCTTGCAAGCTAACCCCACTTTCACTCTATTCTCGCTTACTTCTTTTATTCTTGCGACGTGCGAAACCTGTGCGCGTGTAATAAAAATGAGCGCTGCAAGTTTGGTGCGTCGCCTCGCCGACTGCCTCAACTGTTCTCACGCCGATGTGTTGCTAGGCTCATCACAGCAGTCTTCGCCGCAAAACAAGCCGCATCATCTGGAGTTGCTACCCGGACAGCATTCCGCCAATGGTAAACAACACAGACTCTTCTCACTTCTTTCGCTCTTCTGTACTTCTTCCGATTTTGTGTTTTATCGTGATTGTTGTCGACGTCTACAACTTGTAATATTCATGATTTTATAACGAACAACGCCGCTTATAACCTCAAATATTTGATTTTGTGTATTAATTTGCTTGTTTGCCGCACAGCGTCGCCACTGCCGTCCCCGATGAAATCTCCGGCCAGAACGCCAATGACACGCGCGCCATGTTGCATTGCGCTGTATGACTTTGAACCGGAAAATCCTGGCGAACTTGGATTTAGAGTAAGCAAAATATATAACCTCAAAATTTAAATTTATACAATACTTAAATTTTTAGGAGAATGAAGTGATAACGCTGATTAACAAGATTGATGACAACTGGTATGAAGGTAGTGTGAATGGCCGCACCGGTTACTTTCCGGTGTCCTACGTCCGGGTGGAGGTGCCTCTGCCATGAGTTACCGGCTAGAAGACAACAAGAGCAGGCGCGGGACGCGGATACTGAAACCCCATTGGTCGTTGTTTTTTAGTCACGAATTGCTGCAGTCTATAGATATTGAGTTTGCGCGCGCGTAAAACAAATGACTCGATAAGTTTTGTACATACGTTTAAGTTGTGTAAACCAAGATTGTAATTAATTTCTTCCGTTGCTTGGGGTTTGGCGGAAACTGCACACATCGAAACAAGATGGCGGACACAACCAGGACGAGCGAAATGTTAAACATGAAAACAAAAAACAAATACTTAACTATTCTTTGAGCGATATTACTAAGACTAAGATTATACTGCATCATATGCATACTCACGAGCATTACAAAATGGCGGCCGGCGCGCATAACCTTAGTTTCTATTATTTATTTTACTTTTGAAAGCATCACATAGGCGAATGAGAGATTTATTGCGGGGCGATATCAATTACAGAATTTATCATACGATTTATAAATGTTACACGTAAGAGTAAGAGTCGTGGTGTGCGAGAAAGTATTGTGGACATACGACGCGAAATGTTGGCAACCAACACCGCACAATTCGAGTGCATATCGTTAAAGATTGATGATTGAGAGAATGATTGTTGTCACGTTCATGTTATTGATGTTCTATTATGAGATGGTTTATGAGAAATGATGATACATCACACAACTATTGATGGCGAACGAGATGGTTTCAATTCACACACAAATTCGATTTTCGATTTACTTGCTACTACTAGGTGTACTCCAATTCCGCGAGTGGGTGGGTGGGGGTGAGAGACGCGCAGAGTGAGGTTAGGATCAAAGTGTACTTGTTGAGGTGGAGGGTCGAACGACTTGTATGCCTTATAATGCCATAAACTTTGTATGTCTATACCGAGTGATAGTCTCGCTAGAAGTTCCACTTGTTCAAGTACACCGATAATATTGGGATTCATAGTCGCGCACGATTTTCAACAATGGCAACACACAAAAACGAGAATAGCGGTGGATGATAATGGAGGCAAACTGATTGTAAATTGTGACATTTGCGTAAAAGTACTTAACTTATGTATATCTGGTTCAAGACAATACATTAGATATAATAATATAAAGTTATATAAGTATATAAATATATATATATGATGATGATGATGATGATGCAGAAGATGGCGGATGACAAAAAATTATTAAGGCTACTATTGTTATAAGTCGTTTTCAATTGATCATTTGTTGAGCCAACACGAATATTATCGACGATTCTACTTGCTGTGACAGTAAAACATAAAAACAAGCAACACGTAAAGTTATAAACGATAGCATTGATCTCTTTAAACGTATAAATACTTCTAACTGCAGATAAGTTATGCGGCGATAATTCCATTCTACGATACACAACACTCAAATCTCCGATCAAATGTTCTGTGTGTGTGTGCTGTTCGTATTGCTCCGTGATTCAGATTCCGAGCGAGTTTGAGCAATAAGATTCGAGGGTTTCGACTGTTCTTTTCATTCTCACACCGATCAAAACCTATTCTTGCACATTGCAACTATTCGACTATCCAATCATCAGCGGATAGGAGTTACTACTAGCGTGCAGACTGGAGATGTAACGAAATGATACATTCTGATACATATGTGTAGTGTGGCGGTCTGAAGCTGTTTTCTGTTAATTACTCGATAACGTGATAAGTTGCAGTTGATATTTTGATATAAGTTGAATCTGTAGTAAATTCTACTTCTTTCATAGAAATTCTTTTGCTGTAACTTGTTTCTATGATTAGTTATTGTCAAATTTGTGTTTTTGTTCATTTTGAACCGTGTTTGATTGAATTTTGCTGTAACTTTTGTTGTAGTTATGCGATATTATCTTTGCTTTATTTATTCAAGAATTTAATGCGGAATACTTTGTTGAAAGATTAATTAATTAACTTTTCTAGTTATCGAGTAATTTAGTAAAAACTAAGAGAAAATATCTGGAAAAATTGTGTTTTTTGCAGTTATTGATTAATTACTAAGAAACTATACAAGTTTTTACAAAATTTCTTTCACTGGTTTGTTTAATATTAAATTCTGCGCATTTCTATGCAAAGTTTTTGTTTATAACTGATTTCTACTACTAGTTATAAACAATTTAAGTAAAAATTGTTAAAACTACTAAAAACATACTTTGTAGGCTTGTAATTTTGTTTATACTCATCTATTTCTTTTGATTATTGTATATTATACGTAGAATTTTATCCAGAAGCGAATTTTGAAAGAATTATCATTGTAGTTTTGTAACTTCTTGAGTTATTAATCAAAATGTCTGAAAAAAGCTCCAGTTTCAGACCGTTTCACTACACTCACGCCCAAAACTAAACATAATTGTAGTCAATTGCCATATTTTTATTATTTGACGAATACAAACAATTCAAAAAAGATGCAAAAAAAATAAAACTAAATAAATGATAAACTAAAAAAGGTGTAGCATGTTACCAAATAATAACTTGTTAATATTATACATGTATACAATTTAAATGTTACCGTATTTGTGCATTAATAAAAAATTGTCGCTAGAGCTGCATCGGTGTGCTAGTAATTCATATTATTTCAATAGTTTTATCATTTATTAGTTTTCTTTTTTATATATTTAACTGCAACACTCGGTTTATATACTTTGATTTGTTTTGTATTCTAACCTTAAAACTTGAAAACGATTTGTTTTTGTTCTGTACTTGCGTATTTTTAAATTTAAAACTTAAATAATGCGACTTTTAAACATATTACGATGTAAACTTATACCACAACGTGTAAATAATGTTTCAATCTGTTCTTCTGCCAATTTATTTAAAGAATCAACGTGTATTTCTCTTAAAATTAATGAAAAACCGCATGGGAGATATTACAGTGATATAACCCCAAAACACGAAGTTTTAACGATTTTAAGACAAACCAAAGTAAATTAAGTGATTTACCGTTGCATAAACATACAATATGTGCTTTAGCATCAGGTAGAGCTTTCAAACACTAAAATTATTGAGTAATTAAGCTTAATTTTGATGTTTTAGGTAGTGGAGCATGTGGTGTAGCGGTTATTAGAATATCTGGTTCCAATTCTTTGCCACTTAGTTCTATGATTCTTCAAAATACAAAATTAAAGCCAAGATATGCTACATTTGCAAAAATTTATCATCCTATCAATAAAGGATTGGTTGATACAGGACTGGTTTTATGGTTTCCAGGACCAAATAGTTTTACAGGAGAAGATATCATTGAATTACAAGTGCATGGAAGTCCAGCAATTATCAAATGTTTACTTAAAGGCATAGTAGAAACTAATTTAGCACGTATTGCTGAACCTGGAGAGTTTACAAGGAGAGCTTTCTACAATAACAAAATGGATTTGGCAGAGGTAGAAGGTTTAAGAGATTTATTGAATGCAGAAACAGATATTCAAAGAAAACAAGTAAGTTGTTTGAGTATAGGCAACCAAATATACATATTACGTATTTTATGTATACTAAGAGTGTTTCAAATGAATTTATTAAGTTATAAATTATTTTCTAAGGCATTAGCAATGAGTAGAGGAGTCCAATCTAAAAAGATCAACGAATGGATCAGCCGTTTATCAGACGCAACGAGCGTAATCGACGGTCACATCGAATTCGGTGATACAGACGATGTTACAATCAACATGGCCGATATAAACACAACACTAACGCAAATACAAAATGAACTAACGCAGGCGATTACAACAAGCGCGAAAGGATTCACAATCAAAACCGGGTTAAATATAGCATTATACGGCGTGACCAACGTGGGTAAGTCATCTTTACTCAACGCACTCACTTCTGAAGACCGTGCAATCGTGAGTGATAGTCCAAACACAACTAGGGACTTGATACAAGTACGAATGGACTTAAACGGATATCCGGTTAACCTCACAGACACTGCTGGCTTCTATAATGATCCTTCACATAGAATAGAAACAGAAGCTATGAAGAAAAGCATTGAAATACTGTTTGATAATAATACAGCTATTCACGTGCTTGTTATCAGTGCAGATATTTATTTAAAATATGCAATGAAGTATTTATCTGCTAAACCAGCGAAGATTTTGAGTGAATATGTGGAGGATATGTTTGTTTCTGGTTTGGTAAGACCAGAAAATGAAAATTTTCAAAGTTTATTTGTGAAAAACACCATTGTAGTTATTACTAAACTAGATTTAATTAAAAGCGAAGATAAAACACATTTTAATGAGTTATTACAAGAGAAAAACGTAATTGGGACTTCAATTGTTAATAATTACGGTGTTGACAAGTTGTTTGATTGTTTTAATCAACAAATCAAAGAAATGTAAGTAAAATATCAACAAAAACTTAATTTTTGTTTAAAAATATTATATTTTTGTAGTTATTACGATTTTAATCCGGATGATGTGCAATTCAACACAATCCGAACCTTGGAAGCTGTCAAAAAGGCGTCACAATGCATTCAAGACGCCATTTTAGTAGCCGACACTGCAATAGACACAAAATCACACTTTATGCGTGCTACAATCACTCATCTAAGTGGTATTTTAGGTAAAACATGTTCATCTGATATGCTAGATGATATTTTCGAGAATTTTTGTGTTGGTAAATAAATATTTTGAAGGATAGTCGTTTTTAAGGCGATTTGAGGTGATTTTTAAGTGAAATATTCATAAATTGACCTAGATTGTAAAAGAAAAGGCGTGAATGCATTAATAACTGATACGTGTCGAAGCTGACACAATAATTAGCCACATCCTGAAGGCTTTCTTTGAGTAAACAACGGTTTAGCAAGATGAAACACGCCGCAAGCCATCAACGCACTTACCGCGGCGAATATGCATTTATTCGGGAAAATATTTACACGTCGGCGATACAATAGAAAAAGATAACGCGCGTAATTGCCGGCGATGATGACCAGGATGACGAGGAACTAAGTTGAAACGCACAGGGGCGTATTTTATGCAAAGTAATAACTTTAAAAGCATCTAGAAGCCATAGAATTTCCTCCAGAGAGAAATATGAGGTTTTAATCGATTCTGTTGTTAATTCTTTATGAGAAAAGGTTAGTATATCTATTTTTAGGAGGTTATGTTGTGAAATATTGCAGAAAAAAGCAAAAATTAACCTTAAATTTGATTTTTTTCACTTAAACCTTTATTACGTGAAAATGGCTACACCAATATGTTTAAAACAAAGATAATTAGATTCTCTGTTAAACTATCTTTCTAAAAAGCTATCATTCAAGATCCTACGACGAATACTTCTTGAGTTATTCAACTTTGAAATTGAAAATTTAAATTCAATCAAATACGCGCCTGTAAATAATATATTTTGAAATTGTTGAAGATTGAAAAAGAAGCATATCGACGATATAAAGCGCGTGTTGTGTTGGCAACTGTGTGTGTAAACGAGTAAAAGAGTGTAAAGGAAACGATGACTCTCTTGTCTCTGCCGGCGCATCGGCGCTAATTAATGAGCGATCGCTTGTCGTGTGTTATTTTTCCTCTGGCGGCGCTGCGGCTTTTATCGTTTTAGAGTGCTATCGTGCCGCGGGGTGTAATTTTCGAGACGCCGACTAAAACAGCCGCCATCTTGAAACACATCGTGTATTTGTATCCGTATCAAACGCCGAGAAACTCAGGTAAAGATGGAATTGAAGTGGCTGGCTGAAATAATCAATTGAAAGTGTGTGGTGTGAGTTTCGCACATTCATCATTGGACATATGCTCATAGATTGAGATAGGTTGTCAGGTAGTTATTTAAGGAAACTAGTTTATGAGATTATGAGAATTGTGTCACTCAGTGTATGATTTTCGGTTTGTTAGTTTGGTGTATGTATGGTTGCCTATACGCTAAGAGTAACCTGTTTGTTCCATGAGTGTGTCGAGTCCAACTAGACAATGTGTTTTCATCAAGAAAAACAACAAAGTATTCACTGTAAGTAGACAAAATCATAAAACAATTGTGTATGCTATATTTTAAACTATAATTACCCATGCGGACTTGTGTGATTGATGAAGAATCTATAAATTATTCCGGTTAATTATAATAACCTTAAAACGTTTGCATGAGTTTGCGTGAAAATTGGTGTATGACAAGTTGCATATATTCTTATTTTCACTCGAAACACGAGTTATCTTGTACAACCTTAAAAATATCGCAATACAGTCGCATACGAAAACAAAAAATGAGTTTGCATCAAGAAAAACAACAAAGTTATAACTGTAAGTAGTCAAAATCATTAAACAAATGTATATTCTTTACCTTAAACTATAATGACACATGCGGACTAGTGTGATTGATGAATAATCTATAAATTATTACGGCTAATTGTAATAAGCTCGAAATGTTTGCTTGAATTGGCGTGAAAATTGGTGTATGACAAATTGCCTATATTCTTATTTTCACTCTACACACGAGTTATCTTGTACAACCTTAAAAATATCGCAATATAGTCGCATACGAAAACAAAACATGTTTGATGTTGTTGGCTGCCTTTGTTCGGCGTGCGCGACGCCCATGCAAACGGTAAAAACGATGCAAAAACGTTTTTGATCTTATTTTTCCCCACGCGCTCGCGCCGCCATCATGTAAATGATAAATATTCCGCATACACACGTCCGTCGCTTCGCCAGTCAATTCAGCGCATCGCGGAAGAAGAACACGCCGAAGAGTGACATGAATGTGTAAACGCAAAATTGCACGCAGTAGGTGGGTGGGCCCACATGTGATGTCACTCAAAACAGTCAACGTCTCATCAGAAAAAAAAATTAATACATTTTGAGTCACTCACCGGATATTTAAATTGAAATTATGGATAAAAGTGGAATTGTGCAGAGTTATCCTGCGGCAAACAGCGCAAAAAACATTTAACATATATTTTCCTTGGAAGGGAAGCGAAAAAAGCAAAAGTAACCGCCGCGTAACAAGCAAAAAGTGTGAAAATATGCGAATGAAATTCATGCACGAACACTTTTTTCGTTCCACAGGAAAATAAAATTTCATAAATTTATGTTTCGCATGTATTGATATTTTACTGCTGCGGTGGAGTCGAGTAAAGTTTGAATTTAGCGATTTGTAAACGCTAAACTGTTAATTACACGTCTAACGAGTTGGGGTTGTCAGAGAGGGGTTGGTGAAACATTGAAACACAGCGCGCCTGCACGTCGAGAAACATGGCGAAACATGGAAAACAGTTATTGCCGACGGGCGGCGTTTAAAGTTTCTCCCCGCGCGGATAATTGAAGGAATTAAGGTGTGCGCGCGGGGCGGCTGGAGCCGGCAGCTCCGGGTGCCTTTGTTCGCGAAGGGTGTAAACCGAAATGTATTCACACACACACACATCGAGAATACACAAATGCAGCAGCAGCAGCGGCGCAAAACAGAAAGCAAAAGCCGTGCAATGCATGGAAACATGGAAACCTTTTCGGTGTCTGGCTGAGGGATGAAGGAGAATTTGTTGGTGTGGCGTTGCGGAATAAAATAATTCAATAAAAAACCCCGACTGTGGATGGATGAAGAAGGCGCACCACGGTTTGGGAATACGCGCCGCGCAAGGGGCGGGGGGTTGGTCGGCGGGCGCATTTCGGGTTGGTCGTCGAGCAGAGCGAAACAGCCGCCGCGCGCGGACTACACTCGTCGGGGGCTATTTGCATACAAGTTACATAAAACATGAAGGTGTCGAGAAAGGGGAATGTCTGGAGTGGAGTGGAGTGGCAAATATTTAGTTCGACAAAACCAAAATTCAAGTCGATGAGAGACATTCGGAGCCAACATTTTCAGTCCGATGTTTGTTCCTGCATATAGCATGGCGTATAATGTTGCGTTTTGTCGTCATCATAACCTCACATTATCACCTCTTGAATGTCGACGGGTTGTTGGCGTTGTTTGTCTTTCGGGTGCGAGCGTGTAATGTCCACCGGAGTTCGCTTACAGCAAACACTCGACGACGTTTGCCTTCGATCGACCGGAGACTGAAGAGATGCTTCAGTGTCTTCACTTTTCCAGCTACCACCAAACAAAGCGTCCCTCTGCTAACAAAATAATGGCGAGCATGGCGACATTCCTTGGACCTTTTTGAAAAAAGGTTTCGTTTTATTAAAAAATCTTTTTAAAAAATGGTTGTTATTGTTTTCTTTTTGGTATTTTATCAAGAAAGGAACTTGATTTGTATGGTACTTGGAAATTCTTCTAGAAATCTGTTTGAAAATGTTAAGAAAACGTTTTTAAAGTTGATTTTTTGGGATTTTGAAGTGTTTTTTTGATATTTTTTAATATTTTGGTTATTTCTTGGAAATTACATGGGTGGTTTTTGATATATTTGCTTTAATTTGATTAAGGAAGACGAATACTTTGATTTTTTGGGAAAACTTTTTTAAAAACGGTTTTATTTTGATTAAAAACACCTGTTTTGCGATCTTTTCAAAGAATAATAGTTATATCTGCTGATTCACAAGGGTTGTTATTGTTTTCTTGATTTTATTTTATTGAAAAGGATCTTTTCAAAGTGTTTTTTAGTGGAATTTATAGAAATTTATTTGGAAATGTCATAAAAACTTCTCTAAAGTTGAATAGTTGTCATTTTAAAACAATTTTTTCGTTTTTTTTTTCTTAATTTTAATATTTCTCGGAAACAACAAAAGTTGTTCTAAATTTTTTAAAGTTATTCAATAGAAATACAGTTGTACTTTCATCTCCAGTGCTTTAAAACTCTCAATTTGTTTAAAAATGTCTTAAAACAACCATTTGTAATGATTATTTACTTATACATCAATTTTCTCTCCGTTAATAAACATAAATTTAGGTTATGTTATTATCTGGATGATGACAAATCGTGAATTTGCAAATTATACACTGAATAGGGTTTAATGAGCTTCCCTTAAGTCGTCGTCTCGTCCACGGCACAATGCAACAATGCCCGCAATGTCTATTCCGCCGTCGAGCGCTCCATCGACATTTCATCGACGTTTATGAGCGTTATTTATATAATACAACAATGCACAACAAGCGGTGTGAGGCGATGAAGAGCCCAAGACAAAACGACGATCAAGAGGCTTGAGTGAGGATGATGATGATGATGTGGATGTGGCGGTGAATGCGAGCGCGCCGCCGAGTGAAGTGCCAGCGCGCACGGCGCACAAAAGACAGCGCGCGCGTCTTAAAGCGTTATATAATATAATGTAGCATAATGCGGGATAATAAAATTATACACAAATGCCTGTCAAATAAGTTGTGTTTTGATATTGTTTTAAGCAATGCCAGACACGCCGACGGCGCACAATGCGGTCCCGCGCGCAATTCAAAAACTGTCCAATCATCTTCGTTGGAAATATTGTCATGTTTTCGAAACGCCGAGGATTAAAACTGTGTTTAATTTCTAGTATTTTCAAAGAGCGGGCATGTTAAGAAAACACAGCACACTCGGGAGATTTTCGTGATACACACCTAGAGCACTTGAAATGTAGCCCTATGGATCGATCCGGCTGCCTACGTAAACACTGCTCGAAAATTCCAGAATGTTTTTGATCGGTTTTTATGTTAGTTTTGTTAGATTCACATATTTTATGATAATTTTGTATTTAGTATTTCTACTTCAGATTGTGTATTAGCTACAATAGCCAGCCAATGTGAATTTGTAAATTTTGCGCTGTTGTTCCCACGTTTCTCTTTTGCCGCTGTAGGTGTGTATTATTTGCGCTTATCTGGAGTAATATCGCTGGGAGTGAGTGAGTCTATTGTGAATCGCACTTTGCGGTCACATAATATTAACACAAACATGTGTAAGGGTTTTTTGGGGTTGAATGGGTGAAAACAGGTGAAAATATTTTTGTTAAATTATTTGACATTTACGAGTAAAGTTGAATATTTCTTATTTTCGAGTTTTTTTATTGAATTTTTAGAATTTCGGTTATTTCTTGAAGAAATTGTTGTTTTACACTACTTTCTGGTAAAAAATGTTTGAAAGACAATTTTGTTTGACTTAAAACATAATTTTGAGATAATTTTTGATTTAAATTTAAGGAAATTGGTCATATCTTCTGATTCAGTAGGGTTTTTATTGTTTTCTTGGTATTATTTAATAGGAATAGACATTTTAAAAGAGGTTTCCGCTTTAATAATTTGATATTTGTAGGGAAATGTCAAAGAAAACGCTTTGAAAGTTAAATATTTATCCTTTTTGGAGTATATTTTTAGATTTTTTTGGTTATAATTCTAAAATTTCAAGGGTTATCTTAATTTTTTTTATTTTATTGCATCAAAATTGAATAATTATTTAATCTAAAATGCTTCAAGAACTTGGTTTTGGTGTTGAAAGGGCAAAACAGGTGATATTTAATGGAATTCTATATTATTTAAAGCTGAATTTTCGATTTTTTCTGAAGTCTTCTTTATTTCTCGTAAACTACAAAAGTTATTTTAAATCATTTCGTTTTATTGTCTCCAAATAAAACTCTACTTTCATCTAAAGTGCTTTAAATTATTTATTTTGCGGTGAATGAGTAAAAACACATAATAATCCGCTTTTTGCAACTTTATACCGAAATTTAATACCAATTCCAACGTTTTTTTAACACACAACCATCCACATTATACTCCTAAGGGTGGATGAATCGATGAGTGTGGAATAATCGCATAGCACTCTATTACCACACTACATAAGCTCATTTATGTCGACTTGTTGGGGTAACAGCCGTACCTACATCTTTTTCCGCATCACCTCAGCTCCTCGGGGCAGTTCGATTCAACACCTCGCACAATCATAAACGATTTATAACAATATCCGCTCGGCTAGGCGGAGTGTAAGTAAGGCGCTGCGGGGGGCTGCCCCTCGGCCGAATTCAACAATTCAATTCACTTCAATTTCGAACACTGGTGCAAGCGTAACACACGCGTTGTATGCACAATCGCAATTATTTACTCATTTATACACACTCCAATAAATCGGCTGCTGTGTGATGTGTGTGGATATATGTGTGCAATTGGAATCATCCTTACAATCGCAATTAGACTGCCGTTTATACACGCCCAGCCAAGCAAATATTATCCTATGTACGCGACGAATTAGAATAATACAAGTGGAGTAGTAAAGTGAAGAGAAAAAATGTTTCACACCTTAGGGGTGGTAGAGCCGTGGAGTGAATTGAAAACATTTGCGCATACACATCACACAACACATTAGATTTATTTGGATGAACATTGAAGTTCGTTATTAATTTTGGCAGTGGTATTGTTGGAGAATGCTTCAATTATTGGCAAGGACTTGAGGTTTTAGGTTGTTTGTTGGTTGTTTAAGACGTTGGCAAACAACTTTGGGGTCTTTACACTTCATTAGAAACATTTAGAAGTAAAATTTATTGTGTTGGAATAAAATTTTTAGTTTTTGGACATGTTCAATCTTTTCGACAGCTTTAACTGTAGCTAGAGTTAAATTTTTGGTGTTTTTTTACTTTCTGTGAAGATAGACACAAGAAAACACATTTTTATGATAAATTTATGCACAGGATATAAAATAAAACACTAAAAATTGAAGTATCAAGTTAAAAAGTAGGCGAAAAACGTCAAAGGACAGAGAAAATAGCAAAAAACACTACGAAATTTTGAAAAAAATAATAAGAAAAACCAAGCTTTCATCGAAATTTTTTATTAAATCTTTTTGGTAATATTCTAAAATTAAAAAAACTACGAATAATTGCCAAGAAAATTAAATATTTCCCTTAATTTTATGTCTTCTCATATTTTTCTTGATTAATTAATCTTTCACCCACATGATTATATGTGAAGCCCTTCATCACACCAATTTATACCTAAGTATACTTACCACAAATCTATCCCCAAAATATCGCCACCCATTGTACGCGCAGATTTAAATACGCATTGTGTGTGGGGTCCTAATCTACTTGACGTGCGTGTATCCTCTCGACAAGCTGTCCCTTCCCAGCTCTAAGCGCTTTTGGGTTTTCAAGATCCGCACAAGATTAGTCCCCGTAAACATATTTATTTTAAAAAGATTCCACCTAAAACCTTCAAAGAACAATCGAGGTATTACCTATAGGAAAAACCGGAAGTTAAATCAAAAAATAATGAAAAGCATTTATGTTTGATAGTTGATTGTATGTTTTGTATGTTGTACTATATTTACACATATGTTTGTAGTTTGATTATCAAGTATTTGACATTTTACATTTTACATAAATTCGTTTTGCGCTTCCTTGGAAGAATAATAATTATATACAGAGTAATATAGAATATAGCAAAATCATTAAAACTGAATTGCACGCACGTGGAGAATCTTCTTATCTTACACAACGGAATAATAAATACTAAACTAAATCACATAAGTGCACGTTCCAGAAATGGTCCGCATTTTGTCTCATCCGCACTGTTACTCGCGTCGTTGGTCTCCGTCGGTCGCGCTTGCAGCAGCGCTTGATAGTAGTTGACAATCGGAAATATCGGCCATGTTCTTCCGGCTACCGCCGCGGCTGCTGACGCTGCTGTTGTAGGATGTAACTCCTGTTGGTGATCAGCAGAAACAACATCAATATCTTCCTCGGCGGTTTCATCCCCTGAATCTGGTGCGAGTAATGATGCGACGTCAAATTGTCTTTTTCGTGATGGTCCTCTTCGGTTTGTCAATGCGGGCATACTAGGGAATACTGCAGTTGAAGGTCCAGGGACTCCAGAAGGTGATACTGATAGTGGTGGTGGACTAGGTGAGTCAGCCCCGTCTTCATCTACGGCTAGACCCATGTGTTTCCTTACTTTGCGTTGCGCTTTCCGTCGGCGAAAGTCCCCCTTGCGGAAATCTTCCACATTCGCGGGATGCACAGCCCAGTAGTGTCCTTTACCATTCGCAGACCTTCCGGCTTTGATAAAACAATCATTCAGTGATAGGTTGTGTCTGATGGAGTTACGCCAGCCTGGGCCTCGGGTGCGGAAGTACGGGTAGTTGTCTAGGATGTGTTGGTAGATGTCGGAAAGGACTAGTTTAGCTTCCGGCGCCCCGAGGATAGCCATCGCGATGAGTCCGATGTAACTATGTTGGGGTTTGGGTTCTTCAGGTTGTAGCACCCGTGGAAAAAGCGCTGGATAACAGGGTAGAGGTGTAGGGAATGGATTGAACAAAGGATATCGAAGTCTGCCAGCTACGGCGTATTGGTACAACTGTAGACGATACTGGTCAATTGGGAAGATTCCCCTGGGGCCATTTTCCAATCCGAATGGTACGGGTAGTCGGGGGGTTGGCGACGTTGGCGTTGTTTCATTACTGCACATCTTGATTGAGGCAACACTCACTATATGATTAGCACTTCCACTACTTGAGTCGGAATTGTTTTTAGTTGTGCAGATGTCTATGAGTGATCTTGATCATAGTCTGGGTGTTTGATATGACGCACGAAACGTAACTGTCGCAACTGTTGGTTTGGGAGCCCCGGCGAGCATCTCTAAACACGCACAAACAGGTCTATTTGTGAACCAATATTTGCCAACACACGGCGCGTCTCTCGAGCGGCCCGTGTGGATGGGGTGGTGGTGGGGTCGTGGGTCTCATCGACCAATCGCAGTTGGGCTACGGGTTGCTTCCGGATGAAGCGGAAACCACGCCCAGCCATGTTGTTCACAGCGACGCGACGCCGTCTTTGCCCCTTCTACAAGTTGAAGTTTATTCACTGATTTTCACTTTGAATCAAACAAATAATTATGTGCATTCATTAAATAATAACAAAATAACATTAGGAAATAAAAAATATTCTTTAATTTGATCAAAAAATTAAAAAGGTTAGTGATGTTTTTACTAAAAACACATTTTTATGAGTTTTGGGCAAACTTTTTGGGTAGCAGATGTTTTTCGTTTGTTACCACTCGGCTGGTCTTCTATCATAAATATTTAGCCAACAAATCGTAAAACCGAAGGGGCATCCCAGCTCCCAGGTCGACATTTCAACATTCGAATATACCTACACATCGAAAGACACTCAGAGTAGTGGTTACCAAGGGTAGGGAGAGAGTTTTCGGGGAGTGGCCTGAAGAGACGCCTCGCGCAACAAATCGAAGCGCACAAACTCAACATCTCAAGATCACTCACTCCGGATGCCCAACTAAACTCCAGCGATGAATTACTAAATCTGGCGCAATTATTGAGTCAAAGGTTGAATTTTGCAAGAAAATACGGCATATCACTGGTATGATTTCTGCAACATGAGGGTTGACCCCTTAAAATACATGGAAAAGTTTTATTTTATTTTTGGATTGTCCGTGCGTGATCGGCCACGTCCGATGCCTCCAGAGTCGTTCGTGCAGAGCAAACTCTCCCTTAAACTTAATCTGGAACATATACCTAGAGTTTGATATCTTTCTGAGGGATATCAGTGAAGGTTTTGGAAACACAATGCGTCCGACGGCGTCTCGTGACCAGAATGAAAAACAATGGTTGTTGATCGATCGCGTGGGGTGGTTGCTCCTCATTCCAGGTTTTCGTTCCCAGCCGGAAGCCGAATCGTAGCAGCATCGAATCACTTTGTGCATGTGTCGAAAACCGCCATCCAGGCCCGCCGCAATTGTAAATGAACTGCCAATGTTGAAATTAGCGAGCGGGCCAATTGGTGGCGCGTTTTGTGCTGCTCTCGCGCGCGTGTTTTTTGCCAAGCCATCGCATGCAAAGTGCAGTTTTTTTCACAAAGCGTTTATCGATGTGTGCCATTGATGGCGCGCCGCGGAAACGTCTATCGTCGATGTGTGCGGGAGGTTGAAGGCTAATGGGACTGCGTTTTGAGTGAGCTTCCAATTCGAAAGGGCGAATGGCAACACTTACGCAGCAGCGCGGCGAATTTCAACAGAGAGAAATTGATTCGAAGCGAACACCTCACCTACGGGGTGGTAAATTATTTCATCACAATAGCAGAAAAAAAATTGTGTTGAAAATGTGTGTAATAATTTAAAAAATATTTTCTATGATTCCGAAAATAACATGATTTCTTCATCTTCGTATTGCTAGGTGGAAAAAAAGCGATACGCTCCTCGGAAATAAAATCGGGTAATAAATCTATAATCTCATCCGCTTAGAGAGGTTCGCCCCGCTGCGTAGTGATCAATTTCTCTATAAGTTAGATAATATTATCCTCGCCAACGTGGCATTTCGCGAATCGTCGAAATAACTCCTCTCGCACATGCGGTGGCGGCGGCGGTGTGCAAGCAGGAAAGAATCTGGAATATCAGTATGCCTGCTGGTGCCGCCGGTTGGCTTTACTTGGTCGCTGGGAGGCAGACGGGGAGTTTAATTACAGACCGGTGGCGCTCCCCCGAGACCGACCCGGTTTGCCGAGGAGACGGGGTGGCTCTTTTCTGCTGCACGCCGTAACGTGTACGTCTTCATCAACGCGAAACACCAAACAGAAAATGCTCGATATTATGCAGGGAATATTTCAACATCGATTTCTTGTTTGTTTGGCGTGTTTATGGTGCTATTTTTTGTTCATTACGCTTTGTTTTCTTGGATAAATTATTTATTATGCAAAGAGGAAATAATATATCAACAGGAAGTCAAAATATAAACATTTTTTAGTGAGGTTTTAGAATATTTTTATTTTTTGGGAAATTATGAAAGTTTTTTTGGAATTTTCAACTAAAACTAATGAAATATTGGAAAAAACTGTTGATAATTAACATTTTACTTCTTTTCATAATGGCGACCGGAAATAAATGCCTTTTTATAATATTTTATAGTTTTTCGGATTTTTAAAAGTTTTTTTTTTGAATTTTACCGAAAACAAATGAAAGATAACAAAATCTTGGTGTAAAATAAATGTTATTTTATATTATTTTCAAGTTTTACGGAATTTTAAGTTTTTTTTTGAATTTTTAACGAAAGCAAATAAAAATGATAAAGTTCTGCTTTTTAATGGTCAATATTTTACTTATTTCCAAAATGGCGACCGGAAATGAATGTTTTTTTATAATACTTTCAAGTTTTTCGGAATTTTTAGGTTTTTTTTTCGAATTTTTAACGAAAACAAATAGAAAATGACAAAATTCATCCTTTAATTGACTATATCTTTACTTATTTTCAAAATGGCGACAGGAAATAATTGCCTCCTTAGTCCACCACTGTTTCGCAGGAAAATAATCCATTATGCTAATGAACTCTTGAACGCAAACAAAAAATAACAAACAAGAAACATTCCGCTGTTGATTTTCCCCATGCCTCATTGCGGTGTTCTCTTTAATTTGTTAAAAATACACACACAATGCATAAAAACGTGTAAGTAACATGATTAAGCACTAAGTGAGTCAGCAAGTTTGCATTGTTCTTTGCTGGCGGGCGAACAAACGAAGCAAAATATATTTACACAATCTCACACGTCTTGTACGCCGGCATTTACATAGCAAAGATGTTTTTCTTGTCGATTAATTAGAACGAAATTTATGCTGATTGTTTCATCACTTTAGAAAGGGTTCCACAAACGTCTTACTTAAATAATAACTAAAATGAATGTACTACCTAACGATGATTGCAACGGATGAACCAGTGCCAGTGATTATCACATAATACACGTGTCATAGACACAAAAGAATCATTATTTGATTTGGTTGTGCGTCGAGGAGCATATTGACAAGCGGAAAGAATGGGGTTATAATTAATGAGAGGTTTTTTCGCGTATGCTGGCGCTGCTTCTATTAAATATGAAGCGAAATAATCGCCAACAAAAACGACATTTTCTGCAAGATTTGGCACGAATGCGAGCGCGCTCGACGGCGCCGCCTCTCCCCGCGACCAAACCAACCATTGTTAATTTAATTGTTTCCGTTTTGCGCATGGCGGACGCGCGCGCGGTACGCACGCGAACGGAAGCCGGCAGCGGGGGATGGCGCGCACACCCGAAGGGTCGCATCCAGAGAGAACACAACCTGGTTCTATCAATTTCGAACAAAAGCACACAACTCAAAACACATTCACAAAGAATACATTCAAACATCTCTTGATTTCAATCGCGGATAGATTTTATGCGTGTATTATCGAAATGTGTGATGTGTTGTGGAATATAGGAATATTCATTGCTGGGCCTCTTTGGCCCGGCTCTAATTGAGTTGCTCGAAAGCGTTTGAGCGTCACGCCCGCTTTCGGCGCGGCGGCGCTTTCATCGTGAGTGCCAATGCCGGCCGATCGTGCACTCATCAACAATGCGGCTCTTCTTCATCCGAGGAACGAACAAATTTCGATGACATTGTAGATTTTAACCCAGGGGGGCTTTTAACTATTTTTTTATTTTTATAAAACTTAAGTGAATAGAAATATTTTGGCGTGAAACCAGAATACTTGTACAGCAAGTCATTATCATCGTGTATAATGTAATTCGGAACAATTACAGCAATTACAAGTGTTGGAAACTGTTGTCAACTGTCAAAACTACCCTTATTAAGAGAAGGTAGAGATAAATTTATTAACGTCTTCAGTTAAATTTCGATTATTTAATAAACATTTATTTTTTGCGTTTATTTTGTGATGTAGATCATATTACGATTACTATTACGTATGTAAATATATCGCTGGAGGGGGCGCACAGCCTCCCCGGGGACCATGCTCCCCTACGCATCTCGCGCCGCCGCCCTCTTATTAACTAATAGTGGTAAATACCGTGTGATGAGTCTAATCATAAGCTAATTCTCATCTCGACGTGCAGACTCACCCCCTGTCAGTAATAAAACAATTATCTACGGCTGTGCCATGTGCAGTGACATATTTAAATGGAGTCTTTTTACAGCGCATTATCAATTCTCTTTCTGGATGACAACAGATGACAAACAGAAAAGGGTAGAAGCGGGGAATAAGCAAGTTTAAAGATAAGGGTGAGTGTATAAAATATTTTAATATTAAGAGAGGGAAATATTTATTGATAAAGTTGTAGTTGATTATTACCCAATAGTGTTGTGTAATGTTGAAAGGCGTTTGGTCATAATTTAATAAACTGACATCGGACACCCTCTCACACCCTGGCGGTGTACTATGCGCACATGTTGCGACCACGCGATAGATTGCGTCGCAAACCGCCCCTTGACAGCTTTGCACTGTAATTAACCATGGTCCGAATAGGTTAAAGCAACTACTACCCCTTCAACCTCCATTGCTGCTTGTTTTACTAATTGATTTAACTCACTTTTCTATTTTTATTGTTCAAATATTTTACCTGGATGTAAATGTTATCTTTGTGACTTGAGTATTTCCCCGAGTGACTGCGACTGCGAATTTCCCAATGAGTGAATGAGTGAGCTTTGAAAACGGAATTTGTTGTGATAAGCGCTCAGCTTTTGTGCGCAGATTAAGTCGGTCGATAAGCACGCCGAGCACACGGAACAAACGTTTAAGAGCTTACGCGTACAAATCGCCAAATCTCTTTGACCACGCCATTATTACGAGCACTCGAAGCTGCCAAAATATTTCCAAAATATTCCATGCGGGGCATTATTCACACTATTGACACTCTATTGACGTCTTATTAACGTCCAGAACTCGTCAAATTAACGCGGACAATGTGGGTGCTGGCACCGCCCCAAAGGGTTGTGTGCTGCGGGTCCTATTCAATCGGCGCGAATAACAAATTTGTATAAAACCGGAAATGTCGCACGAATTAAACCCAAACATTTGACTGTTTTTATTCGCGGATAACAGATGTGCTGCTGGTGGTGATGTGGTTGCGGTTGCGAATGCAGCCGCGGCCGTTTTCCGTCGACAATGAGCGAATAATCCCGGGTTTCCGATTTCAAAACGCGGTCTCCGCACCGCTATCAAATAACACAATTGTTAGCGAATGCAACATACAGCGAATAAACTCACACCTAACCTCAGGAGATACTTTTATCCAGGTTAAAAGAAGGTGATGAATAAATTGTGTGCATAATATTTATTTTGATTGTCACTATCAATACCTACAAAGAATGACAATTGAGTTGGGTAAGTGCGTACTAATTTTCTACCTACCTACAGATTTTTTTTTGTGGGTTCTTATCGCGTTTACTATCGCTTTGTGCGCTGGAAAGCTCATGTTTTGACAAGGCAGCTAGGGTCTTACAAATTGCCACTTTAAACTGTTCGTTTTGTGCGCGTTTTTGCTCGCCAAAAATTCCATTGTCACCTTTAAGTGTTTAGTGAGTAAATAACTGCAAATCCAATTCATGAATAGCATGAATACCACAATGGAGGTAAACTGGTAATTAATTTACACACGGAAAAAAAGTATCAAATGGTATGTTATATTATTCATTGATAAATATATTATTTTAGGCGTTTAATATTATTAACGCCCTTTTGGTTACCCTGTTGTCTGTCGATAATGAAGTTTTGGACAACCCTTTATGTAACACGCAACCCGAGCTTAAATTACGCCCGAATAAATCTTATTACATACCAATATGTGATCAATGCGTTTGACAGGAATTACTTCAATTCCTGAATTTTCTACTTACCGTGTTTGTGAAATGTTGATAAAAATCACATCAAACGCTCGTGTGTTTAATGAAAAAACTCTATGTATAACCTCATTTTGTTACCTACCTACTACGAGTCAGTGAGCTTGGTTGCTCGCATCAAACAAACAAGATTTCGCGGCGGGTTGCTGGGGCTTCACATTGAAAACCCTACGCGACGAGTTTCCATTACCCACACGCGCGCATCCCGAGGTTTAGCTTTTCATTTGCGAATCTGTAGCAGCGCTGCGTGATCCGCTTATCGTTAGAAATTAATAATTGGAAATGCAGCTGTATCATCTTCATACAACTAGTAAGTTGTAAGTGAGGGAGGATGAAATCTGAAATCCCTGCGATTGCTTCCTCTCCCGACTGACTCCTGAGGTAACTCGAAAAATATAATATTAATTCGCTGAGAGCAGCGCGGCGATGTGATGTGATTGCAATTTCTGCGCCCTTGTGCGCGTAATTATATTTGGCGTGCTTTTAGCGGAACGCTGCCGCGTTTTAAAACATTTGCCTTCGAACCTTTTACACGCGTTGAGTGTTGAGTGTTCTAATTAGAAAAATTAAGTAGGTGGTTCATGGCAGTCTTTTGTCGAGAGAGTCAAAAGTGGGATATTTTCTATATCACACAGAGAGTAAAGTGCTCTCCTTATTCACACCCTTTTTGAGGGCCATCTGCGCATAGTACCTACCTAGTGAGTGATATTTAATTTTATGATGTGAAAGTGCCCGGAGGGTGACGTGTAATGCAATCAATTTGTGCTGCAAAAAGCCCGGGAAACTTCACAGCACAAAATTAATTTTTGAAAAATTTTGTTTTTGTATTAAAACCGATAATAAATAATGTTTTAATTACGACAACACAATACATTCAACATTGTGTTTGATCTTGCTGGTGTAGGGGTGGCCACCCTGTTAGACACCGATATAATCCCCTTTTCATCGTCATTATGCCTCCATTCATGCGCGGTATAATACAAAACTTTAATCTCCGCATTTATTCGAGCTCACTACTACACAACGTACACACACACAGAGTTAACATAATAACATGTTGTGCATCACGTCATCAATATTCATCTCACCACATCTCGCACTGCTCTCTGCACTACATCTACCATTACAGCGCCGGACGCTGCTCGATAATCATCTGTTTATGTTTATATATAACTCGCACACATACACTGCATATTTATCTCTCTGTGTGTGTGATTTGTCGCGGAATATATGCGCGAATTTCATGCGAATTATATTTTGACAGTGAGGGCTGTGTGGCGTTTTAAGCGAATTATCCCGGCTTGTTAACTTCAATTTGCGCCGCCATCATGTTTTTCCACGTATACAAAACACGCACACCCGTAGGTAGGTAAATGCAAACGGGTTTCAACTTTTAGTTTTATTTTGCTCGCCGATTGCATTAATATATTATCATGGTGAAAAGTTTGTAACTAAATTTAAACGAATATAAACCAACGTGAAACGATAACAAAATTAACGTGCTTATAAACAAAAATGTGCTAAACTAATCTATGCTACTTGTAGAGGTTATAATTTGATGTTCTTTTTGGGTTTTGCAAGCTTATCCGTGCTCTGAAATTAAAAAAAAATATTTAAAACAATTAATTTTTGTTTTTGGGGTAGTTTTATTTATTTAAGGGTTGACTTACGGAATTAGGGGTGGTTGATGTGCCCCCGTTTGCGCTACGCATCAGAGGGCGCTGTGTTGAGCTCGTGTCTTGTTTAATCTGTCTTTCCACACTGAAAACACAAATAAGATTTAAGTCAGTTTCATGTCTTTTTGGATTAAGTCAATTTACCTGTTTGACCTGGATTGTGACCCACTTCTTTTAAACATCCCTGTGATACGATCTTTCAAATCCTTCTTACTACCTTTGGGATCTTCAATATCTGAACTTTGACTTGGGGCCTTAAATTATTTTTTATTTTATTAAAAAGTTTAATAAGTATCAAGAGCGCTAAACGGCAATTTAACAACGTGTAACGTTAATCTACTAAGTACTTTAGTCACGGTTTTGGCGGTGCGTGATTTAAGTGCCACTTTTCGTGACGATAAACCGTAGAAAAAATACTTTAGTCACGGCTTTGGCCATCCATGATTATAGTGTCACTTTTCATGTCTCAAAACCGTGGAAAAAGAGCTGCTTTAAAGATGGAAGTAGAATTTTTTTTACTTACCCTAGATGATGACAATGGTTTGCTAGGTGAGAAATGTGAATCATCTGAATCATCAATACTCCTGGACTTAGTCAATTTCTTAAGTTTCCCCATCAACGATTTCTTCTTCTTCTTCTCACCGGTAATCTCACTCTGTGTTGATCCGCTAGACAACCTCGAATCTAAACTTACATCCCTCTTATACCTATAGTCCATGGATATATCTGATCCCATATCCAAAGACTGTAAACTTGACATGCTGTCATCATCTCCTACACCTTTCCAGATGGTTCTATCTTGCATTGAAGCAGTATGCTCCAATGATAAACTCTTCCGATTCAAATTTGAATCTGTTCTTGTAAGTTTCCTGGTTGAACTTCCGCCGTTTGCAATTTGATCATTTTCGGTTGATGTGGCCCTTCGTAGATTCATGCGTTTGATACGATCCCGCTCCTGGACCTTTCTCAACTCCTCAGTGGCATCAACAAGTCTTTGAAGAGTGTTTTGTACTTGATTACGTTTCTCTTCTCTTGCCACAGAGGATTCCCTGCTAAAATCACGTCTTTCTAAAGAAGGAGAACCTTCCGGGATTTGGACCTTGTGCGTTTTGGAGGTGTAGGGGTATAGGGAGCTTCAGAACCCGCACGTTCTCTACCACTACTGAATAACTCCGGAGCCACATGGAGGAGGTTCTCGACTTGTTGGACTAATATTTGTATACGCCTTAAGTCATCTTGTTCAGACCTCTTTCTTTCCGAGATGATAGCTTTCAATTCTTCACGTTCTTTCTCGTGGCGTTCTTTTCCCTTCGGAGTTTTTCATTGGTGGTTCTCAACTTGGCATGGGCATCTCGCAACTCCATGAAATCAGATTGTAATTCATTGAGTTTCTTCTTATTCTCACTTTGTTCTTCATCCATTGTCTTTTTGAGTTGTTCCATTTTACGTTTGCTTTCAAGGATGTCTTTATCACGCTCACGTTCTTGCTCAAAGAGGGTTTGCCTAAGATCCCTCGCAAGGGTAGCAGTTTCCTGAAGAAGTCGTTGTTGGTCTTCTCTTTCTTTCTGCCAGGACAACTCCATTCGTGTTCTTAAACCTACTATCTTAGTACGTCCGCTACTAAGAATCTTCTCTTCTTCAAGTTCATTAACTCGGGAATTTAATTCGGAGAGTCGCACCTCTGAAATTGAGCGTTCTGAAATAAGTTCCGTCTTGAATTTGGATGCTTCCAGACGGGATTCGGAAAGTTCATCTTCCATACAACTGATTTGTTGTTCCAGGCTTGCGATTTTAGATTTATATTCTTCCATCTTTGATTAAAAAATTAAAATAAATTAATAGATATGAATTTGGTAAGTTTTTAATAACTTACATCATCAATACTAGATATAGAATTACGATTTTCTCTGCCTGGATTAGTCTTCAAGTCCCCGATGGTTTTCTGCGCACTCTCCAACATATGCTTGTATGTATCTTTTTCTCGCTTAAATCGAGATACTTGAGCATGTAACGAGTGCATTTCATCATTCAAAATGGTGATTTGTCCTTCATAACGCATTTTACACTCGGATAAATCAGACTTTTTGCTTTTCTCAATCGTAGACAACCTAAAACACTAAATTAAAGAAACAACCTTCAAAGGAAAAATTAATATTTTTACTTAGATTTTAATTCTCGAATTTCTTTATCCATGGCACTACTATCCGCGCTAATATTCCTCTGAATTTTCGAAACTTTATCAAAGTCATCCAATTTTTTCCTTAGTTCATCATTTTCTCTCCTCATAAACTCCAATTGATCATGCATCATCTCATTCTCTTTCTTTGCATTATCAATTTCTTCTTGTTTTTGTTCAAAGAGGACTTTATATCTAGGATTATCCACCTCATTATTAGCCATCTTTTTAGTTAACTCATTATAGTCTTTATGGAGTTTATCAAATTTACTTTGAAGATCGTCTTTCTCTCCTTCGTAGTTTTCTTCAAGTCTTTCAAGTTCCTTACGCGTTGTAAACAACTGACTAGTTAGAGATTCCATTTCGGAGACTAATTTGGCTTTGGTAACAACATGTTCCTCTTCGAGAACTTCATACTTAGCTGTTAAATTCTCATACTCTTTCTTTTCTTTACTCAATTGTTTTTCGAGCTTATCAATTTTATCTTCGCATTCTTGACGAACTTCGGTGATCTTTTTACTTCCACCACCATTAAGTTCTAAAGATTTTATTTTATTTTTTAGAGCGGTTAATTCTAACTCTCTGTTCTTTGCTTCCTTCTCAGAATTTGATTTTTGTACTTGTAGCTTTTTCTTTTCATTCTGTAGGTCAATATCCAACTCCGAAACCTTTTTCTCTAAACTTGTTTTGTCTGTTTTGTATTCATTCTCTAATTTCTTAAGTTTTTCTTCTGCACTCTGTGCTTTTTTATCCGCTGTTTTATATTTAGATTCACTCTCTTCCAAACTGGACTTAAGTTTCGTTATGTCGTCTTTCAAAGTTTTTAATTCCTTAGTCTCCGCTGGTGATTTAATTACAACTGAAGTTGCAGAACGTTCTTTTTGAAGATCATTCTCCTAAAATTTAAAAATAAACAAAAACATTCAAATTTTTAAAATTAGTCTTTAAACTAACAAGTTTTTCTATAGTTGAATTTTTATTCGCTATAGTTTTCTCCAATTCGTAGATTTTATCATTCAATTTATCTTTCTCCGAAGATAATTTATCTTTCGACTGAGTTTCCTCTTTGCTCTTCTTCTTCTCGTCTTGTAACTACAAAAAAATATTAAATGCAGAGTCAGAATTCTGGAATAGTTGCTTACAGTAGCTTCTAATTTCTTAATCTTCTCCTGTGTTTCCCTATCCAAGCTTCCAATCTCGTCTTCAGCTTCCTTCAGCTTCTTCTGCAATTCGGCAACTCGCTTCGTCTTCAACGTGAGCTGAAATTTCGCATACATTATGTCCGACAGCTTCACGCATGTCGACTCGCCGCTTACCTCCTTGGTCAGCTTTGTCTTTTCTTCCACCTCGTCTTTCAGCTTCTTCAATTCTGCATCCTTCCTATCCAGCTCACGTTGGTGCGCGTCGCATTTGTTTTTCAGGTCGAGCACTTCCCGCTTACTCTCTCGTAAAGCAACTAAAAATTTAAACAATAAATCAAAATAATCAAAATTTCAGTATTTTAGAATTTACAGCTATCTGTTTTCAGTTTGGTGACATCTTCATCGAGCCTTTTGTTCTCATACGTGAGGATTTCTTGCTCGCCCTTCATTTTTGTTATTTTTAACTTTAATTCTTCTTTTTCTACATCGGCATCAGTTAATTGTTTACTTAATTCTTCCAGACGTGTTTTATCCTTTTGATTATCCTTCTGTAAACTATCAAGTTTCTTCGTTAATTCTTCTAATTCTTTATTAGTGATGTCTTTTGATCCCTTTGAAGTTTTGGACTTGCTTAACTCCTCTTCCAGTTTTTCTACATCTGCTTCCTTAGTACCCAACGCGCCTAAAATGGCTTGGACTTCATTCTCCAAGTCATTAATCATCGTTCTCAGTGCTAATTTCGTAGATAATTCAGTGGGAGCTTTCGGTTTGCGATTTTTGAAGGCTTTGGAAGTGTTTTCTTTAACTTTATCTAATAACTTCAGAAGTTTATCACGTTCCCTCTCAAGTTGAGTCACTTTCTTCGTAAGATCTGCACCTCCACCATTTGTGGCATCTCCATTTGTCTTCTTGACCTCAGTCTGTGAAGACTCCATATCTTTTATCTTTTTATTAGATGTTTCTAAGTCTATCTCTAACTGAGCTATTTTATCTACATATTTATCTACAGATTTATCATTTTTAGCTCCTCGCAAAAGTTCTAATCGTTTTACATCTTTCTGGAGTTTCTCATTCTCAGATTCTAAGCTTTGCGCCTTATTTCTGAATATTGAAGCTTCTTGTTCTATAACCTGCAATTGTTTCTTCAAGTCAAGTGTTTGCTGGTCTAGATTCTCAGATGATCTTGTCTTAGAAGAATCTCTACCCATTTTTTTCGTAAGTTTAATTTCCGCTTCCAATCTTTCACAATCACGTTCCTTTTCTATTAATTTCATACGGATATCATTCATTTCCTTTTCTAAAAGGCTCACTTTTTCGTTTTTGTCATTATCTTTCTCAAACTTAGAACCAAACTTCAAGGAACGTTCGGGAACTTTAGAATTAATCTTATCTTGAAGTTCCTTGGCTTTCTTCTTGTGGCGTTCGTTATCTGATTCTAACTCTTCGATCTTTTTACGTAAAACACCAGTTTCTTGTTCGTTTAGTTCCAGTTGGAGTTTAATCACACTAGGATCTTCATCTTTATCTTCTTTTGTCAGGGATGATTTTCTTGTCATAGCTAAACACAGAAAAACAAAAAAATCAAAGAAAATTATATTTTAACTTAAAATTTACGTCTTGTTCTGGTGTTGGCCATCTTTTTCAGTTGTAGAACCAATGATTCGTTGTCCTCCTCGATTCTGGAAGCCTTCTTACGAATTGTCTCAGCTTCCTCTTCAGCAAACTTAAGTTGTTCTCTAAGATCAGCTTCACGTTCTAAAGAATCTTGTAAATCTCTCAGGAGTTGCACCGGATCATCCTGGGATCCGCCTCTTGTTAGAGATTCACGAGATACTTTCTAGAACACAATATTTTTATGTTTTTATTGTTGATATTTTTATTTGTTTTAAAATTTACCATTTCACTTGAGGCACTTTTTCCTACACTACCTAACATAGGTGCTTTTCTCTTTGGCAATGTGCTTGGCAGCTTAATCTCCGTAGCTTTAGACAATTTAACATTAGCATCGTCCAACTTTTTCTGTAATGACCCACTGGTTTCCTTTTCTTTTGCCAAATCTTTTTCTAATTGTTTTAAACGATCTAATTGTTGTCCACCACCACCACTCGATAATTCCTTCACTTTATTCTCAAACTCTTGTTTTTCTTGTTCTAATTGTTCAGTTTTTCGTTCAGTTTTTCGCAATTTAAACGATAAAATTCTACAGTTTTTCGTAGTCTGTTCAAGTTCCTTTTTAAGTGATGAATATTCATCAGCTTGGTCTTCTCGGAAGTGATCCTGCATCTCTTCCATTTCCTCTTCGGCATCTCTCAACTCTTTCTTCATATCTTCATTCTCATCCATCAACTCCTCACACAAAGTCTCAGCAGCTAAAAGTTTCGACTTCAACTCATCAACAATTTTCTGCGTCGCTTGTGGAGCAGGCCTATTCTCCAAATCTTCCTCCAATTCCTTCACTTTTAGATTCAGAGACTTTTTCTCATCTTTGTAATCATCCAACTGCCCCTGGAGCTCATTAACCTTCTGTTGTAACTTTAATACTTCAGAACTATTTCCTTTGGTGTCCATTGCAGTCAAACGTCGTAGAAGAATATTCGACTTTTCTTTCTCTAATCGTTCGCATTTCGTTTTTGTGGCTTCGAGTTCCTGCCGCATGCTGTCGAGTTGGTTCTTCAGATCAAACTCGTTGGCATCAACGAGGGTGGTGGATTCAGTGGTTTCTGTACCTGCTAGACTCACAGCATCATCTTCTACGTCCAAACTATCCGATCTAGGACGAGTGTATCCATCTCGATATGAGGTTGTAGTTGTTGTTTTAGGTTTCAACTAAATCAGGAGATCAATGTCAGATACAGAATTTTATTTTGATGAAAAGGTATTTAGTCTTAGAATTTATATTTCTGGAATTAAATACGTTTTCATCGGGGTTATAGTCAGTAAATGAAAAATGATTTATTTTTAGTTAAAATCAAGCAACAACAACAATTTTAGAATATGCAACGTTGATGTTAGATTAGTTTTGTATTGGTCTCAAGCACTCAAACCTTATTCGTTGTCAATCAGCCTACAATAAGACACTACATAAAACATACAAAATTTCTTCATAATTTTGTTAACTACGGTATTATAATATTATTCATAGGAAAAGGTTGAAAACCACGCCACATCCAATTACTTTGATGCAAAATTGTACATCATGATCGTTGCCTGGATCCTTCGTTGTCTTCACTTCTTTGGTACTCCTCCTTGGCGGTGTTTCCGGTGTGGATTCTTTAATAGCTGCCAATTTCTTCACTCTCGTTGCAAGACTATCACTCTTGTTGAATACTGACGATTTTGTCGTAGGTTTGGTTTCTATAAACATCACTTTCAGAATATATTATTCTAAGTCTAAGAACATTTAATTGCCTTTTGGTTTTTCTTGTCCTGTATCCACCGGTGGTACCTTTCTTCGAAATGGTAGAGTAAGACTGACTGTGGGAGTAGACTCGTCATCTAAATTGGCGAGGTCGGGTGTGGACGTCCAGGAGGAAGGATTTTTGAAGGTCACTGTCGTGGTGATCTCCGAATCCTTCTCGTTTTTGTCTAAGTTGGTACTGGAGGACCAGCTTCTGCGGTTGGCTGGTGTGCCGAAACTGCTCAGCGCAGGTGAAGACGACGTAAAGTCGTCTTTGCGTAAGGGTTCCGGGTCCTTTCGTTTACCGCCGTGTTCTTTATAGTCACGAAAGCAGCGTTTGCAGCGTGTGGGCCATCGTACTTGCGGATGGAACCCGAGTGGGCATAGTGGGTCACCCTTACCCATTGGGTACAAATGTTGCAGACTCATTTTTGATTCACTTTCTCACAATTGCAAGCTGTAAAATGGGAATTTTTAGGGTTTCGAAAGGGTTCTAAGCTTGTTTTGTGCAATTCCACGAATATAGGTCGTGAGCTCTCGTGGTCCACAATCGACACGCGCGCACTCGCACCAAAAATAGTCCTGTTGCGTTTATTAAAGCGATAATTGTGCTTATATAACGACGAAGAGTTTTGCATTACCTTATTCGACGCAAGCAGCGCACTAAAACAAACAGAAAATAACGTACACTGCACACTCAATATCCACGCGTGGGACACTTTGTATAATTTGACTCGTATGGTAAACAGTTCACACCTTTCGGAAACAGAATCACATGTCACTCTTTGGCTCTTTGGCTTCTTCGCCTGGCGGAGGAAGAAGTTTCGGCACACATTCGCACGCTTACACACACCGACCGGGACGTTCGGGAATTTCGTGGGACTCCTTGCTCTCTACTGCATGCGGTGCATATGTGTGAAAATGTGTTGCGCCTGTCACGCGGCTAAATTTAGCCGCGAGCATCGGGCGTCCATGCTCGCGCCGCGACCAGACCTTGTCTAAATCTGCGGTAGCGCCCAGATAGTTGAATTCTTTCTTGCGCCGCCGCCGCCGGCGCGAAATGCGAGAAACGCCAGTTTCGCCGTTTCGGCACCGAATTGCCCAACGACGTATAATTAGAAACTTTGCGCGGTGCTACCAACACGCCAAGAAAAAAAATACGAATAATTAACAGGTGCCATGAAATGCTCCTCTTAATTCATATTGTAGTATATTATAGAAAATTAAGTTTAAGATAGGAAATTATGTTAGAATTTGTGTAATAAATCATGTTTTTAGTGCAGTTTAGTTTCGGTAGTCGTTAAATATGCACGAATCGTTCTATAATAAACAAAGGATGATCGTTTGTTTGCCAAATTACGTCTTCAATCATTCTATGTAGGGGGAAGTCCCGTAACGCCGGACGGCACCTAGCACCGGACACTCGTACTATTTAAGCTAGTTTAAATCTTTTCATTTCCAAAAACAAGTGAAAGGGGTGCGGGGGGCACACAGGTACAGGATCACTCGTCGTGGCTCGCCAGAAACGCACACGGCCACGGCGGGAGCAGCCGTTTGCTGTTTCAGGCGCAAAATCACGACGTCACCTAAATATCAATGTAAGTAATTCTAGTATATTTATGCATTTACATTTGAGTGGTATTCAAAGATACAAGTAGTACTTGATTGTTATCCGTAAAATGGTAGAATATTATTAGATTTTTTAAACAATTTTAGTAGGTACCACCAAATGAACGAAAATGTCTGTCCCTTAGCACCGGACACTAAGTTGTCCCTTAGCGCCGGACAGTAAACATATTGATATTTCTTATGAGAGAGAGAGTGAGGAGATGGCTATGTTGCAGTCAATGCATACATTTAGTAAATGTATACATTTACTAGTCAATGCATACATTCGCTAAAATTCGTAGTTAAAGTATTTATTGTAACTGAAATGAACACATTAGCTAGTGGATGTATGCATTCACGGGCTGCTTCTAGTCAGTGTGTTAAATCCGTTGATTAAATCGTTAAATTCTATCACCCCACCCCCCACCGCCCTATAAATAATACCAAACAAGGTAGCCTACCTAACCATATGACATATTTGAAATGTCCGGTGAGAGGGGTATGGCACAAATATGTGTCCGGTACTAGGTGCCACTTTTTAAAACTATACTTTTTATTACCAAAGTTTGATTGATAGTATTAATTATTTTTTAACAGAGGTTGCATTTTTGTTATTTTAATTTGATTTCTAACTTTGTTATCTACTATATGTCATAATTTAATTAACATTTCTTCAAATATTTTTTGATTTATTTATAAATAACCTTAGGTGTCCGCCACTAGGGGACTTCCCCCTACATTTTACGAACACTTTTGCATGAAATAACAGTCAAAACTTGATAAATATTACATATTTAGTTTTTTTTTTCCTTCTTTTTCAACACCCAGTAACACTATCGTTAGCAATATTTTTATATCGTTTATTGAATAGTGTAGAATAAGTGTTCTATTTTCTGTAGTAAATAATTCAGTACAGTGAAATATTCCAAACAATCTTAAAATAGCCATTCAAATCAATACTTTGTATATTTTTAGGCAACTTTTTCATTAAAAACGCTCTAACTTTTTTATTATTTTAACAATTTTAATTTTCTTTTTATTAATTTATACAAAAAGAGCGTTTCTTTTGTATTTAATTAAATTTCCTTGATTTTCATAATGAAAACTAGCCTTAGATTGCAATTAAAACTTAGTTTTTGTATAAATTCGTTAAAAATTGACTTATTTGTGTTTTTTTCTGTCAAAAAATTTAAATGAATGTAATTTTCTTAATTGTTTTGTTTTGTGAATATTTTCCACTTGTGTGACGTCTATCCCACTGGATTTTATCCGTATTCGGTAGCGTTTGACGCCTCGGCGTTATCTCGTCCAACACGTGTTCCGACATAAATTCCGCGCTCGCATCATCGATCGTCATCAGAAATTTATTTCAGTCCATTTCACTCGCGCGTCGTTAATGTGTGATGCGGATGATGCGAACGCAAATGTTATTTGTTGTTTATTTCTGATAGCGTCGCAGCTAATATGTTATGAAGAGCAGCCAGCGTTCGACGCTGATAAGCGCGCGCACGTTTTGTTGCTTTTTCTGCGGTTTTCGGTGCGGCCGCAAGTGCGCCAAGGACGCAAATAATTATTTATTACTTATTATTACGCCTAGCGATATTAGTTTCTGCTTTGTGATTTAGTTGACGCGTTATCGCCGGCCACTATGGACGAAATTTTAGATTCAATTAAAGTAAATTGCATTTAAATCAAATAAACTAGAATTTAATAAAGAAGTTTTGTAAACGTGCGAATTTAGTGTCGAAACAATCGATGAGCGAAATGAATTATGTATGGGACATTAGTGATCGATTGATGAACGTCGTCAAGTAAGTAGCTTTGTGTCACAAAGCACAGAAAGCTCCTTGCGTGTTAATATTTTAACACGTGTACATCTGCTCAAACTGTTAGTGGTAATTACAGGTTACATTTATGCACGTGTAGGCAACCCAATATACAATAAACGAAGAACGCCATTTTGTGAGCGTGATGTGAGCGCTGTTTGTTTTGTAGGAGAAAGCTCGCGTCGGGGAATTCGCGATTCGCCACACGCGTCAAACGCCTCGTCGACGGATTACGCGCGGTGCGCAAATGGCGGAAGTCGATACCCACCCGCCCCGCACGAGCGCCATCTGTTTCCGGTCATCAGTGAGTAGAACTTACAAAATATTGTTTATTTCATACGCGAGAAAACAAACAAATCTCAGCGGTAAATTGGGTTGCCTAGCGTTTTACACGGGTATTCGAAAACGTGTGCGCGCTATCGATTACATAATAATACAGCTCGTGCGCTTGTAGCCTCGCAACTCTGTTTTGATTTAATGATTTACATTCTCTTGTTTGAATTGAGACAACAAATAAACACGAGTGAAAACATTTGAGAGAAAGTTTATTCTTTTCTAATCTTAGTGTCAATTTATGGCATAGAATTTTATTACATTCCACGCGCGTGCGTAAATGATGCGTGCTTAACCTATAAACTTAACCTAAATGTGCCTAAAAGCAATAACAACTGGGTGTATTTACGAGCGTGGCTTGCGTGTTTGACAGTGTTTATCACCGAAGGTCATTGAAGGATGACGGCGAATTTCGCAAAACCGCACATTAATTGAACATTAGCGGAATTAATTTCTATGGTTTACTTTCTATTCTTGCGGTTGTCGAACGTCGTGCGTCCAAAAGTGGATTTTAATTGTTTACGCCGTCGGACATCCTGAGAGGTACATTAATAAAGCAACAATGTCAACAGTAAACAAGTTTGGTTTTCCATTGACTAACACACATACACACACGAACACATAGCAAGTGTGTTTATTGATTGTTTGTTAATCTGTTGCATTTTTGTTTTTCCATCGCTCGCGTGTCAGGGCGCATGTAATTAAAACCAGTTTTCCGAGGTGAAAATGAAAAATGGCGACGTGCGTGCACGACTCATACGTACATACAAAAACCCGTTTTTATCGATTAGTCTACCGCTTTTTTTTCGCGCGCGAGAAATTATTACACTCATAAGTTATTATATTCCCAGCGGCGTAATAATCGTCGCGTGCTGGCGATTAGAACAGATAACATAATTTTGCAGTCGTAAGTAAGAAAACAATCGATAGAAACAAAACAAAATCAAGTTTTCTATGATCGTAGACGTTGTAATAGTAGAATAAAGATGGTTAAAGTTTAAAAATAAATGAAAATTCAAAATGGCTGCTGTTTTCTTTCGGTATTTATTTTTCTTTTTGAGTATTTTGAGTTGATTTGAAACTTGTAGCGCCCTCTGCGCGCTAGTTGCTTGAGGATTACAGAGAGGAATCTGTGCGCCTGGGCAGAGATAATTCCGATAAATTTCGGCAGGCAGTGAAATGCTCATTTCTCGCTGCTTTCCTTTCCAATCACAGCGATCACGACAATCAACCGCGGCCGGGCGAATGTTTCAAGCTGTGTGCTCGGCGGTGTGTGTGCGTGCATGTTGCGTGCGAGTGTAGTGGTCGCAAGTAGTGCTGGTAGTGCTCGTGCAACAACTGTTCGTGTTCGCCGCGTACGGCTCGTACACTTGTCGACGCGACTTTAGTCTCTGTTGATTTTCTCTCCGCGAGCGTTTCAATTCGTTGAGGCGACCCGTCACCGCATGTAAACGTAATCGAGCGCAACAGCGAACGTGTGCGGGACTGTGGGACCATGTCAGCTGCTTGATGTCTGCTGGCTGGAATCGGGATTCGGGACGTTTGTGAAGGATATGAGATTCGCGCGCGCCGTACCCAGATCAAATTCTAACGCTCGCTAAAACTTCAAGTGTTCTAAAATATCTCTGTTCGCACAGCTTCGTGCATCCGGACAAGATGCCGCTCTTCGGCAAGAAGGATTCGGATAAGAAGAAGAAGGAGAGTAAGGATGCGGACAAGATGCCCTCCGTCGAGGACAAATATTATCTCAAGGAGATGCTCGGCACGTAAGTTATTCAACATGCAACAGCTGTTTATGTGTTAATGTTTTTATGTGATTTTAGTGGGGCTTTCTCAGTGGTGAGGCTGGTTGAGAGCAAGGAGAGACCTCGATGCATGAATGCAGTCAAGATTATTGACAAAAAGGCCTTGAAGGGCAAGGAGGACTCACTGGAGAATGAGATTAAAGTCCTAAGAAGGTATAAACATCAAATATTTAATATCTAGAAAAAATAACTTAAATATTTATTATTCCCAGGCTGAAGCATCCAAATATAGTGCAACTTCTTGAAACATTTGAAGACAAAACTAAAGTTTACTTAATTATGGAATTGTAAGTTAATTTAAAACCAAATTAAACTAATAATCTAATAAAACATGTTTTCTTTAGAGTAACAGGTGGAGAACTCTTTGATAGAATTGTAGAAAAAGGTTCCTACACTGAAAAAGACGCATCCGACTTAATGCGACAAGTTCTCGAAGCTGTGGACTACATGCACGAACAAGGCGTAGTTCATCGCGACCTGAAACCCGAGAACTTGTTGTACTACAGCGCCGATGAAGACAGCAAGATCATGATCAGCGACTTTGGCCTCTCAAAGATGGAGGACTCTGGTATCATGGCAACAGCATGCGGAACTCCCGGCTATGTTGCTCCGGAAGTTCTTGCGCAAAAGCCCTACGGAAAAGCGGTGGATGTCTGGAGCATAGGCGTGATATCCTATATTTTGTTGTGCGGTTATCCGCCGTTCTACGACGAGAACGACGCGAATCTCTTCGCGCAGATCCTCAAAGGTGAATTCGAGTTTGATTCGCCATACTGGGATGAGATCAGCGATTCAGCGAAGGACTTCATTCGGAATCTAATGTGCGTCAACGTCGAGAAGCGGTTCACGTGTCGTCAGGCGCTGGGTCATCCGTGGTGAGTTGGAACACATATTACTCTATTTAGAGTGTTTAACCATGTGTGACATCACTGATTGATGTGTGGTTTGATGTTTTTTAGGATATCGGGTAACGCCGCTAGTAACAAAAACATTCACGGGACTGTTTCTGAACAACTTAAGAAGAATTTTGCCAAATCACGCTGGAAGGTAGGAATATTGCGTAATAATTATTATTGGACTGATATTGGTTTGGTTGATAATGCGATGAGCACTTAAAGTGCGTACGCATTTTGAACTAGATTTGATTAGTTTGTTTAGAAGTGCCTTTATTTTTGTACCACTTAGATTAATGAGTGACATCAATAAGGTTGCTGATATTTTTCAATGATTGTGAGCGTTCTACTTAAACGAAATTGAAAATTTAAACTGATTTTTAACAATTATTTCAAAAACTTACAAAATATCTGTTTTTTTTTTGTTTTTTTTTTCTGACATAAAGTCCAAGTTCTAAGACAATTTTGATGTTTTAGCAAGCGTATCACGCGACAACGGTGATCCGCCAAATGCAACGAATGGCGCTAAGCAGCGGCAGCAGCAGCGGCGGGCGCAGCCCCATCGCCCAGAGGAGCATGTCCACCGGCGAGCCATGCGGGCGCCTCAACGGCTCCGAAGACAAATAAGACGTCGCCGCGTCGCGCGAGGATACTTCTTAATACTCACGTTCAAACTACTTTCTCTCTCTCTACCTACAACTACAACCTGTAATCACATACGTTTTCACCTGCCATCAGGTGTATAATCTTTCTCGCGCACTTGCGAAACAATTTCAAACAATTTACACGCAACTATATCCAATTCTAACTTAAAACCTAATACATAATGAAATTCATGCGCATGTTGCACAAACTGATGAAAAACACACGACGAAAAACAAAAAGACAAAGAATTTAGCTAGGCTTATACACGTAGATATCATGTGTCATGCATCTTCATCCCATGACGACGACTTTATTAACTGTGAAATGTGCAAATATTTAGTTGGCGGCGCGCGCGTGTTTGTTGTCTTTCGCGTCGTGCGCGAGTTGAAACACACTACTGACTTCCAAACAAACCAAATGTGATGTGATGTAGTTAGTCTCCAGCGCTGAATTTAGCACATTTTTGCTTTTCAACATGTTGCAGCATTTTAAAATGTTTCAAACTAAACAGACACACGTAGATGCAAAAACACACCAAAACTAACGAGCGCACGTACGCTGAGATAAACGTTTCTATTTTTATATACGTATTTTTTCGGTTCTTGCTTCTTTCAAACATTCGTACGGATTTTCTAGAGATTATTTGTATTATTTTAACTAATTTTTTATACACATTATTATAATATCGGTTATTGTACACACTTAATTCATATCAAATTGTTAATACTCAACAAGCAACTGTGTGTGACATAATCTAATAGTTTTAAGCTCCGAACGCGTCCGGCTGCAGAAATATAGGCCTCGATCAAATTGTCGCGCACGCGTTTAGATTTCGCAATTTGTTTCCAGATCTTTGCATCCTGCAGATGATCTCTAAGCAATACTAAGTGTTAGATTGTAAACAAAAAGCGCCAATCGTGTTTGTGCAGAGTTAAACGAGCTTGCTTAATGTCTACACACACAAACCACACTTACACATAAAGTCAACTATGTATTTGTTTTGAAAACAAGTGATATGTAAGTAGAAAAGTTGCCAAAATGTTACGTTTCGGATTGGCCTAGCAACTTATCAAAATTACGCCTAAAACGTTTGGCATTTTTCTATCAACAAAGAAAAAAACAAAGTGAATTTAACTACTGCTACTCGTCCGTTTGTTGCATTTTAGAGTTAGACTTGACAGACGCAGAACCTAAATCTTTATCTGATTGAAAATAACTCATATGTGATATGACATGTACTATTATTATATATATACATACTATATATAATACTATATATATATTCTCATACATAATTTGTTGTTGTTATACAAAGCGCTCTGTGCTGGGTCGGGGTTTTAGTCGAGAATATTGTAATCATTGTATAATCAATTTCGATGTGAAACGCAGAAACAAAACAAAGAAACAAGGCGCCATCACACACACGTACACGCAGTCCCCACACCAGTACTGGTGTGCATCTAGTTCGAATCACGATCATGTGCTAGTCTAATTATTCTTACGATATACAAATAATTGTCATTGTTAACAATAACAGAAGCCATCCAGACGCGCATCCACATGTACACGCGAACACACATTACAAACACGTACAACGAGCTCCGCGATGAAAATCTGTCTCACCTTGCACACCAAAACATGAAATATATAAGCTGCGATCGATTAACGCGCTGTAAAACAAGTTTTATTGCATCTGTGATGAATAACGGTCTAAACAATCGCAGAGGGGTTTTCATCAAGTTAATTACTTAATACTTAATGCCTATATGTAATATTGGCTTGGATTTAACTGTTTTTTAGTAACTAGTTACAAATAGTCTCTGTCTGTTTTGTAAAGTTTTAAAACTTTTCAATTGTTTAAACTCTAATTGTTTAAAAATTGCCCCAAGTTCAGACCGTTATTCAAGGCATAATGGCGCGTTATTCTGCCGCATGCCATACATTAACAAATTGAAACGAATATTAACTAGTTAAGTTATAAGTGGTGAAGGTGGAAGATGAAGAAGGTGCGCTGTGTTGAATGGACTCTTTGACTCTTTCATGCGAATGAACGTTTTTGAGAAAAACGAATATTTAAAGGAAATATTGATGAATTATTATGAACTAATGAAAGTATCTAGCTGTAATATCTGATTATTGCGATTCACTGTTGATTGATCTGTGCATTTTACTGCATTTATTGTTCATTCTTTCTTGAGGAAAGCGGCGAGGAGTCGACGTACAATGTTATTGTTTACTGAAAGTGTCATATTTTTTAAATAAATGATTTTAGCCACAAGCAGCGTTTAATTGACATGGAGATACCGATACCCATTTTTACCTTGCATTCCCTTGTAATCCCTTAGGAAGTATCCTAAAATTCCCATTAAAAATTGCTGTATTTTTTCAAATTTTCGACAAGTTGGTGTGGCAAACGCCCTGTATCTCGGGAATCAATGGAGGAACTTAGATTATCTCATCGGCAGATTATAGTTAAAAGATTTTCTATAAGACGCATACCTTCCCCACTCTTGAAATCCTTAGGAAGTACTCAAAAATTCCAATAAAAATTGCTATTATTGCAATTTTTTTAAATGTTGTAGAAAACTCCATTTATCTCGGGAAGTAATTAAGCAATTTAAACTATCTTACTGTCATATGATAGCTAACGAGTTTCTAAACAAGATTCATACCTTTCTGACCCATTAAACTACTAGGAAGTAACTTAAAATGCCCTTTCAATATTGCTGTTTTTCAAATTTTTACAGGGACTGTATGGAAAACGCCCTGTATTTTGGGAACCAATACAGGGATTTAAACTATCTTAATGTGAAATGATAGTTAAAGAGTTCCTCTACAAGATGCGAACCTTCTGGATCCTTTAAACCCTTAGGAAGTAACCTAAAATGCCCTTTTAAATTATCACTAACATGCGGTGGAAAACGCCCTGTATTTCCGAAATTAGTAAATGAATTTAGACAATCTTACTGTCAAACGATAGTTAAAGAGTTGCTCGATAAGATGCATACTTTCCCGATCCCTTAAACAATTAGGAAATGCTTTGAAATACTTGTTAAAAATTACCATCTTCTTAATTATTTTTTAGTGTTGGGTCGAATATTCTGTTGAAATTATTTTTAGTCGACAGAGGGCGTTCACCACGTTCAATAAAAATATTTTGTGCTGAAAGACAGGGTCGAACTTTTTTTAATGAAATTATTACCGGCCGAAGAACAGGGTCGAACTTTTTTTTAATGAAATTTATATCGGCTGAAAAACAGGGTCGAACTTTTTTAATAAAATTATTATCGTTCGAAGAACAGGGTCAAACTTTTTTTAATGAAATTTTTATCTGCCGAACAACTGGATCGGATATTTTTCTTAAAAATTTTCAGGTCGACACGGTCGAAGCGCCTCCACCAAGAATAATTTTTAAAGATTAAATGATAATTATCTCAAGAACTAAAAAGATAAACAAAAACCGAAAACACTTTTATGCTCAGTATAAAATCCTAGGTATTATAACATCTAAAAAAAATAAAATATATCATGTACCTGCAACATTTTCAGACACGATTTTCTCGGAAAGTAATAAAGTTATTAACAAACTTTCTTCATTTTCTTCATGCCTTGATGAAGGTCTATAAAATGGCAGATTTAGTTTTTCCATTTTCCAAAGTTTACAAAAACTCCTCAAAAAGAGTCAAGAGGTTACACTTGACTCTTTTTGGGCCTCAAAAATTTTTTTTATGCTAGAAGAAAATGGAAAACGCTAATCGATAGAGTTTTCCAAGGGGATGAAAGATATTCAGTCAGTTTTCTGATAGCATCAATATTTCGGAAAATAAGAGGAAAATTCAAAACTAATCATTACAACCACTACTCCGATTTATCTCAAACTTTCCACATTGATATAAACCAATGCCAGGAATACAATAATCCAAGTTTTGTTGCGTTATGTTAATTAGTTTTTAAGTTATTAACAATTTTTAATTATTACATAAGTGTCGATAAGTGAATATTTAAACCTGTTATATAATGAAAAATTTAATTCTACATGCGAATATGAAAACCGTTTTTCTGTATCTCTAATGGTTTTCAATATAAGTGCAAAAAATTGGTTTAATTATTTCCTCCATCATTTTCATAGTAAAATATAAAAATGGAAAATTTGGCTTTTTTATTACCGAATATTGAAGAACATGTGATTCTACACAATTTATCTTAATAAAATTTTGTTCTAAAATGAACCATTTCGATAATAATCACCATGACTAAATCAGGTTTTGTCGACGAGCAGGTAATAATTTCTTTAAAAAAAGTTCGATCCTGTCTTTCAGCACAAAATATTTTTATTGAAAGTGTTGAACGCCCCCTACCGACCGAAATTAATTTCAACGAAATAGTCGACACAAAAATGAAAAATAAATTTAAAGATACTCATTTTTAACGAGTATTTTAGGGCATTTTCTAACGGTTTCAAGAGTTGTGGAGAAAATCAACATATATGAAACTCTTTAACTATCTGATAGCATTAGTTTTCCACATTAAGTTTTTGTAAATTTAAAAAATATCAATTTTTAAACGCAATTTTGGGGCACTTCCTATAAGCGTAGAATGTCAGAAAAATACCTCTATTGTAGAGATACTTTTTAACTATCTGATACCATTAAGATAGTTTAAATTCCGCTTTTGATTTGTGAGATACAAGACGTTTTCCACACCGTATTTTTGAAAATTAATTTTTTTTTAAAGGGCATTTAAAATTACTTCCTAAGGGTTTGAAGGGTCCAAAAGGTATGCATTTTGTAGAGGGAGTCTTTAACGATGATTTTACCTTAAGATGGTCCAATTTCCTATGTTGGTTTACAAAATACAGGAAGTTTTCCACCCCATTTCCTTAAAAATTTGAGAAAGAACAATATTCAAAGAGCATTTTAAGTTACTTCCTAGTAGTTTAAAGGGTCAGAAAACTGGTTGAGCAGAAAATTCAGGGTGTTTTCCCACACCAAATTGCAGTTAAGGTAAATTTAAAGGATGCAGAGGGAGGCATTTACCCCAGATACAAGGTCTTTTTCAATGCATACAGTATTTGCAAATAGTCTGGCTTTTGTTTAACAAATGTTTATTTATTACATTATTTACACCGTGCGTGAAATGATACAAATCGCATAAATGTTTACAAAATCTCTCCATTCTCGCCACTAAAACTAGGCAATAATAAATGTGCTTTGATTTGATATTTTCTAATTACTGCTAATAGACTAAAATTACCGTACCGAAATTTTTTAGACCGATTTATTTTATTAACTAGCTCAATATTAATTAATATATACACAATTTTGAGTTTCTGAATGATTCAATGAAATATCATGTTCTTTCCGTAATACAATGATTACTATGCATATGCCTATTAAAACATTTATGTACAGATAAAAAAGATAAATAACTAGGATAAAAGTTTGAATGGTGTGATAATCTCCTGAGATATATTGATGTTTTCAAAGTTTTTACCCAAAAATTAAAACCATAACTGAGTCGTTCCTTCAAGCCCACTTAAAACTGAGTTGTATAAAGTATTTAGGCAATTAACATAATAACTAAATCACATGTTTTCTTAATTTATCTTACTCCGCTCCGTAGAGACTGAGATATTCGTTTACTTTTGTGATGAACATTTCTTTGGATTTGAAGTACATTTCGGCTGCTTCCATATTTAAAGGATCATCAAAATTAAGTAAATCCTGCAAATTGATAATAATACTTTAGATTTTGTAGAAGATTGCAAATAGAATTATGTTTCTTACTGTAAAAAGTGCGTTTAGGCCCCAAACTACGTCTTTGAGTCGTCTTATCGGCGACCAGCCAAGTCCATCGACGCTATGCTGGCGTAACAATGACAAGCATACATCCCCTGTTTCACTAATATTAGGATGCCACAGTTTTGTAAGGCATTTAACTTGTGGAGGCTTAAAAAAGAAAAAAAAAATTCTTCTTTAAAACATTCTTTGATTTATTTTCTTGTACTTACCACCATATTATATTCTTCTGTAACATTTATTGAAAATTTAAAAGCGCCTCCTTTCCAATATCCTTCAATGGGGCTCACAGTAAGGGTGAATGCACTGAGCTCATCAACATCATCATAGTGCACTGAACAGTTGCTAGGAAGCAATTGGGCCATCTCCTGCACCTCTCGAGTGAGCAGCTTATCGCGGATGGAAATACGCGTGGTGGACGTATTTGTATCATCCTGCTGTTTCTTGATGCGTTGCGACAGCGTGATCATGGTGCTAGAGGTGTACACACAGAATATTCTCTCTCAAGGGAGTGTCTTCACGTGCATTTAGTTATAAATATATCATTGCGATTGCAATTTATCGCTGCGGGGCAATGTTTAAAAGGGATATGTTTACTCTGCGTAGAGCAGCTGGTTATTTTTGTGTTTAACAACAACTAATTTGTTTCGAGACTAGCTTTTTTGAGGTTAGTGATTGTGCTGGCTGCATAGACTGGCTGGTTGCAGTTCACGAACCCCATTGGTCGAGTTTAAATGTGTGAGACGCGCAAAATTCAAACTTTTTGTTTGCATAACATTACTTCCGCAACATTATTATTATTACAAAAGTTAAATTAGCGCTAAATATTACCCTATTGTAACAAGTTTCACTACTAGAATATATTTGTATGTTTGAAATGATTTACCTGAGATTCCCTGCATGTGTGCGCGATTCTCGCGTGAAAAACGAAGTCGGGAATTTTCTTAAGGGAACTCGATCACGCAACGCTCCACACAATCAAAGGAAAGCGATGCAAATTCGCGTTGTGGAAACGTTCTCACGCGCTGCGCCTGGTGTGCGTTATGTGTGTGGGTGATGGAAAACAGGGGTAGCACCGAAAGCACTATACCTTTCCGCTCGCCATCATTGCAATCAGTGGTAATTTCAACTTCTCCGCGCGCAGACCACAAACATATTAAACCACAAAACGACCGAGCAAAGAAAACCCGCAAAGAAAACAAAAGAATAACACCACGGCGCCATTTTGTAAATAGAAAACATTTTAAAAAACTTTTCGAAAAATGTTTCGGTTAAAATTGATGTGTTTTTTAATGTTGTACACGTGTATGGCACGGGAACCACCCACAGTGACGGTCCCCAATCAAGGAGTGTTGGTTGGCACAGAGATTTCGAAAATTCGCACGCAAAGGATTATTGGTTTCATGGGCATTCCTTACGCTCAACCACCCGTGGGAAATCTTCGCTTTGCTCATCCCATGATAGATCCGTTACCTTCGTGGGAAGGAACACGAAATGCGTCGATTTTTGAATTACCATGTCTTCAAACCGCTGATGATTTTAAGGCACAAGATGTACCTTTCTTGAATTTGATATCACCGGAGTCGAAAGTCAATATCAGCGAGGATTGTCTATATTTAAATGTCTTCAAACCATACGGTGAGTTATTACATCTTTTTATATCTCTATATTTGATTTGATTCTGTTTTGTTTTGTCAATATTGAATTATTTTTTGGGGAAAATCCAATAAGGTCATAAAAACTCAATGACACGAACATGAATCATTTGTATAAATGTCTGAATATGATATTTAAATTTACGATTATTATTTAATATATTATTTGTCAGTAAAAGCTTATAGTTGTAATTTTTCTTTTGTTGAATAACAATTGTTGTTTACAATTTGGTAAAACAAGTTATCTTACTTTAATTAACTGGAAACATAATTATCACTACCAAAAAACAAAGGAAACGAAAAAAACAACTAAACTAATAGCATTTAATGAACTTTACTGAGAAAAATAAATGCATATTACATGTAAACACATCCTATCGAAGTATTACATCACTTCCCTGCAGCTACAAATTAAATACGGATTTATAAATAAAAATAAACAACAAGTTTAACACATATGTTTTTTTTTGTTATTTGAAGGCTTGAAGTTGTAGTGTTCTATACTAATGCATAGCAATACTTTTGTTCATGTTGATATTCACAATTAGAGGATAACTATAACATACAGTTAATTGTGTGTGTATCAGTTGTCAACCAAGGACTCATGCGATGACAAATTAACATCATAATTAATTTACATTAACACTTATTACAACTACATAGAAAAAATGAATAAAATGACATGGAAAAAAACGTATCTTAGTGATATATCAATACCTGTGGCTCAGTTCTCAATACTTTTGTAGGTATTTATATCGACGAGTAAAAAAAATCATATTATTTAATTTACTCGTAAATCACCTTTGATTTTTTCTCTGCTATAAAACAAAAAATATATATATTTGTATACAATTTACAAATTTCGTATTTTTTACACTCTGTATAATAAAAACATCGACCATAAAATAATATGAATGCAAATTAGTTGTATTTTTATGTATTATTCAAATCAATTCGACATTTTCGTTCCGGTCAAGAAGTCAAAGAGTTGAAGGCCAAAGCCAAGGATAGATAACGTTAAATGATCTTTAGCTCAATCTTCAAGTTCATTTTCAACCCGTTCTAGAACACCACAACATAAACTTTACAAGCAGCTAGAAAAACATTTTGCCAAACTGCAGGTCTAAACAATACCGGCACTGGCCGATACTATAGTTTTATTTTCGAGACTTATTGGACTTACTCGGACCTCAGAACCAGGTTAATTATAGTTTACCACCCGTTGGGGGAGATTACAGCCCGATATATGCCCGATGTGTTCAAGATAACGCCTCAAAGATTTACTGGGCATTGCACTGGAAAAACGTAGCTTAAAATAACCTAGTCTAACATAACCCAACTCTAAGACTATTTCAATGTGGTCAGCGTGTTCATGCTTTCGTGCAATTTTCAGTTATTAGGCCATAAAGCACCCAATCTCAGGAATTAAATAGGACGTGTGTAAACGTTTTTTCTACGTCGACGCATGCCAACGGAGTCACGACTGCAGGAAACAAGGGCGGAAAGTCATTGCAATCTTTTGTTTTTTAATCTTTCGTGGCAAACCACGTCACGCAATGTAAGAAAAACAAAAGAAAGCTTTACTCTACATTAACCTACATAAAATGCCAGTCTGCAACGTAGTAATGTCATCGTAGATGTGATCTGACATGGCGAGATGTGGCGGCCATATTGTTGTCGAAAGAAAGCAAATTGTTGTGAAAACAACGTTTATCGGTAAATTATGCAGAAATTGTGTGTAAAAACTTCAAATATGCCTTATTAAGGACGATAAATCTGTGAAATAAATGCACATTACGTCATTCAGCGTGATTATGACTCATATCAAGAACTTTAAACCGGTATTTTCGAGTGAAAACGCATTCATTTACATTTTCAAACATTTCTTAACATTTACCCAGTGTGGAATTGTTGTTGCGTGTTATATTTCATTTTCACTTCCGGTTTTGAGCATTCAATTTGAATTGCTGAACATTTCAGACGTTTTATCAGTAAAATTGCAAGTTTTCACATATTTTTCACCTGAATGCTTCGCAGAATGTAAGTTGGGTTGCGTAAAAATGAGAAGAACACTTTAAATTCACTGTTATTTTTTGTCTTCAAGGGGCTTATCAAGTCTAGTCAAGTCACGCAATTGTTTTTCACGTCATTTTGACGAACTAGCCGGAATAAATTAATGAAACACTCAATATGTATGCAATTCTGACCTGGGCTCGCAGCAAAACGCAAAAAACTGCCATAACGGTGAAAAAACTGCTACTTGAAGGACATTTCAAGGATAAATGTTTAGTTAAACGACGTCCGGTGGCGCGAAACGAAATTCAAGGTTGATTCTTATCAAATCGCACATATTAATCGGCCTTTTACAAGAACCACCCGCTTGGCTACCAACAAACGATTTGTTTTTCAGAGGAAATAATATATTCTTGATTTCAGTATAAACAACTTTTGTTTTTGCTTCGGCCTAGCATATAGATGTAAGCAGGAGTTAAGAATTGCACAAAACCTGATTAAATAATCAATATCATAATGGTGTTGCGACGCGTGCACAATTTTTTACTGATTTTGTCACGACTCGCGTGATTTTTCACTTGTTGGCTGTTTTTATTTGACTTTTTCGTCTTTGAAACGAAATTATATTCACATAAATGCACCCTCCGCAATGTTGCGACTCATTCATTTAAGTTTCACGTGGCAGGCGCGGTAATCTCGTACGAAATCTACATTCCGACGTACGAAGTGAATAACTTACTAGCAACTACCCCAAAGTCTTAGGTAGACGGCTGCCGGGCATAAATCAACCCTTCACGAATGAAATAAAGTTTTAATGCTTTCAGGAGGTGCTTAGTAAAATAAAAATAAAATGCATTAAAATGTGACTAACATTTGGTTGCCTATGTTTACATTACCTTAAAATTGAGGTTAGATTAGAATTTGACATGTCAACGTTTAATAATCATCATTTCAACAGTATCAAAACTTACATAATGACATTTTAATCCTTGAGTGAGTCAACAATCACAAAATGGTGGTAATTTATCAAAACAAATCCAATTTTCCAAACAAAAATCAACGGTGATTTATTTTCTGAGGGTGATATTTTGGAGAATGATTATGCACTAATGACCTATCGACGTGGACAAATATTAACGGCCACTTTCCACGCATGCGACTAAACCACCGGCTTGGCAAATAATGTATATTTGAACGAGGGCGGCGCACAAAAACTAGGTTAATGTGATTTCTTTACGGCACACAATACGAGAAATTAAAAGAGGTGTAATGGTCATGTAATAATCGTAAAGTTACTCAATGCCACGGTTTAACAAAGAACTGATTTCTTTTGTTTAGGAACTCCACCCAAAGAAGGATACGCAACAATTGTTTGGTTCCACCCTGGTAATTTCACCACCGGTAATCCTGCACTATGGGATCCCTACAGAATAGTCTACCATCAAAAAATCATTGTTGTTACATTTGCATGGCGTATGAATATCATGGGATTCTTTACTACACTTGATGGTGAAGCACCTGGGAATTATGGTTTGATGGATCAACAAGCTGCGATGAAATGGGTGAAAAACAATATTAAAATATTTGATGGTAATCCTAAAAACATCTGTTTGATGGGTTATGGTGCAGGAGCAATGAGTATTGGTCTACATATGATCAACCCTGAATCAAAAATCTCTTCCATAAAGCAATCATGATGAGTGGTAACTTTCTAACACCTTCAGCTGTAAAGGATCCATCAGAAGACAAAGAACTCTTGGATTACCTAGCGGAATACTACGGATGTTTCAAAACATCCACAGCTGAATTAATGCAATGTTTAAGAAACTTAGATGCTGTATCCCTGGTGGAACAAACCTCCCATGTGAATTGGAGACCTTTACTTGATAAAGGTCTTAGCAATAGTTCTTTACCTTTCTTACCGGAACTACCTAGAAACTTCTATGAACGTGGGGAATACGCCAGGGTACCTCTTCTGACCGGATACACCAACATGGAGGACGTTTTATCTTTGGATAGTCTAAATAACAATGACAACCTAACCTCTGATCATATTCAGACATTCCTCTTTGATCTGGTTAATAAAGACCTTCCTATGATCAATGAATCAGATCGTACGCAATGTGTGTATAATCATGACCACATAATGGATTCAGCAATGTTCTTCTTCAACCCATCTATACCCTTTCAAGATTCTGATAGAGTCCGAAGGGTTGTGGCGGATTTTACACGGAGAGATATTATGGGGCTTCGACTATTCTTCATGCTAACTTTATGAGTAGATACAAACCAACGTATGTTTATAGGTTTGATCAGAAACCTTCTACAATAGCAGCAACTGCAAATATACCCGAATGGATAACGGTACCACATCTTTTTGACTTAATCTACGTCTGGGGATTACCATACTGGGTGCAATTACCTGAAAATGAATGGGATGATAGAGATAAACGTACTTCTGATATCATAATGTCATTCTGGGCAAATTTTGCTAAAAACTCAGACCCTACCAGCAACATACAAATTCCTATACGTTGGGACCCATATACAAAAGAAAGTCCTGGAATACTAATCATAGACAATCGATTTAGCATGAGCGATGACCGCAGGACAAATTACAAATCCTTTGAGTTCTGGAATGATTACTATCCGAAAGTTCTAGAGTTAGCCACACAATGTTGTAACGCCACAGAAAGCACAGGAAATCACTCCTCGAAACTCAATGGAATCGCACACATTTGGCTTTTTATCATCGCACACATCGTTTTAGTTCTACCTATCGTTATTTAAAATTATAGATGCTTACATATGCAACCAGAGCCAAACATATTCTAAATTTTAAAACATGTTATCGATATAATCAGCTTGAAGGTAAATATTTTATAAATATACTCGACTTGTGTAGGATATTTCAGTAATAACACAACACTATGTCAAAGTAACAATTGTTTATATAAAAAAACCTACATTTGTAAAGGAATTGTGTTTGAGCACATTTGACACTTTGATTCTTCTGTTGAGATAAGTATTACAATTCGGTGTGATGTGAAGGGAACTTCTTTAGAATCGCATGGTAAAGGTTGTAGAATGCGTAGATGCTCACGCTGATGATGACTAACAACGCTACACCAAAAACAACACTGAGGAAACTTCCATCGATGATACTTCCGGCTCTGCGTCGATTCTGGCCTTCATCTAGAGACATCCCAGCTGATTGTCGTTCAGCCATCATGCGTTTCATGTTGTTTAGTCTTTGTCTTAACTCATCAACTGATTCACTATTAGGATCACGTACTCCTAAAAATATTTGTTGTTATTATGGGTTGTTTATGATGGTTTTTATTAGTTTTGGTCCACTTACCAGTCTCCATTTTGGTGCGGTGTATCACAATATTGATTCGTGTAGCGTGCAGGATGTCAAACTGGACCAAACTGAGATGCGCGTGGTGGTGTTGTAGGGATGAAATGACGAGGGTGTAATAGATGCGCGCGCTTCGGTGGTAGTCGGTGTTCGCAGGTCGAAGCTGAACGCGAACGCATACTCAACAACCACCCCTTTCTGCGCCACGCCAAAGTCCATAAGTCTATAAGCGAAAAGCGAATAAGCGAATCATAAGTTTGTTGTGCACATTGTGTGTGGGCCCTTATTGTGGGTCCGCGGAAATTAGGCCACCCGCTCTCGCGCCTCCTCTCCAACCCAACATCATCCTCCGGATCAATCAGCATCGCGAAACGAACGAACAAACACACGCGTCATTTCCACTCCGGGTCAATATTGAATCGCGTGGGTTTTCCGGACGACGCCATCTGTTTCGGCACATTTTTCTGGGCAAATTGTACGAGTGCGTCCTGAGAGTCGACGATTTGCACGACACGAATCGATTCAAAGAGTAAATGTTACATGTCCGAAACACATGTACGCAACAGGTCTATTAAATTTGCGTTCTCATTTAAGTGTGCGATGTAAGTGTTTGGATGTGTAATTGTTACTCTGTCTCTGTGTGTGTAAGTAGACAACTACAACAATAACAACAACAAAAATATAACAACTTCAATCTCTCGCCCTGTTACAACTACCATCACGTAGTTTTTGGGGTCCGGTGATTAGTAGAGATCATTTAGTTGAGCTCGCGGGGGTTGTTTGTTACGTTGCTGGCTTTTAACGCGTAATTCCGGGATGTTATCGATCCGCGGAGCGTCCTCCCCGGCCTTAGGATGCACGTGCAACGTCTCTACCATCACCGCCGCCGTTGCCGCCGCCGCCGTCGACGCCGCTCTCTTAGCGACATCCTTCAGCTCCCTCATTTCGGCCACTATCGATCTCTAAATGGGATGACGAAGCCGCCCCTATGTTGAAGATTCCCGCACGTTTTAAACAATGTGACCTCAGTGTTTCCCTTGCGTTTGATTATTGTGACTGCATTGTCAACATGGGTACTCGTGCCGCTGCATGTAAGCAATCTCATTTTTTTTACAACAACAACAACAAAAAGACAGTTTTTTGACCATATTTTAGCCATAAGTGGTAAAACAGATATTGTAGATCAGGTGTTTCCCTTAGAAATGCTTTTGAACCCTTTTGTAGTAGCAATCATTTTATTAAAACATCGATCAACATGATTTCTAAGTATTTATGTATTTTATTTTATTTACTAATTTTGAGCCTGTTATGGGCATGCCCCCTTTGCCCAGCACCAAGTATTACACTTGCCCTTATAAATATTTACCACTGTGGATATTATTCTCTCCCCACTTTATGGTTGTTACTAGTTATTTGGCACCACAAGTCTTCTTTTTGTACACGTGAGTGTATTTTTTCTTCTCACGGTTTCAATTTGCAGTCACGGTCAAGATACGCAGTCTCAACGACTATCATGTGAAGCTCATGCAAGGGATTATGCCGCCCCCTTCAGGGGTGGACATAGCTAACACCATCAAGTATTTTTCACAAACACTGTTAAGTAAGTATTCAAAAGTATGAAAAATTGGTCCCGGTTTTAAAATTAGAGGGTTTATTGTAGCGGTCTTAAAAGATGTACCCAATTCACCACTCGAGCTTCTAAAAAATCCTGATATGGATGCAACCCGGATTGGACTCTATCCCAGTCTGGACTATAAAGGATTATATAACTCTCTTATACCTTTAATTGAGGTCGCACCTTTGATTCAGAATGGTTTACATAGTGAGTTATTCGAAAAAGAAAAACAAAAAATTTCGATTTTTTATACTTTTGGGGATATTTTTAGATTTTGGCCAAGCATTTCTTCAATGTCTTGGTTGTCTCCTTCCGTTTTTAGAACACGACCTTATTGATAACCTCCCGTACCTGATGGCATCTTCCATCGCGGTTTTACCAAGCAGTTTACATCAGGATATCGTCAATTCTTTATGTTTTTATATTTTACCTTTCACTATAAGTAAGTAACTTTAACTTAAAAGTATAGAAAGAAATATTTTTTAATTATTAAATTTATAGCCCGGCATAAAACCAGAGAAGACATTAGTCAATCTGTCTGCTCCGTTATAATGATGATCTTTCAATATTCGAGTAACCCTGCACATCATTGCCAACTTTTGGAATGCCTAATGAAGCTAAAACAAGCTATTCTAAAAGATGTGCTTTCTGTTATTGCTTATGGTAACAGCACTGCTCGATATTCTGCAACAAAGTTACTCTTTTATTATTGGCCTACTTTCAACGCCAACTTTTTCGATCGAAAGAATTTAATTTGCAAACTTGCTGGTAAGATTTCCTTAATTTCATCAAATTCTTCAAAATTAAGTAATTGATTGAAATATTTTTAGACCCTGCACCCTTTGTCTGTCAAAGAGACATGTGCCCTAACTCTGGCAACGCTGAAGCTGCAAAAGTTTGCTATGACCACTGCATTTCCATCACTTTTGCAAGTGATACCCCACCTCCTCTGTATCTCTGTATTGAATGCGCTAACGAGATACATCGAGAGCACCCAAATCAAACCTTCTGCGACATTTTGCACCCTATGCAGGCACAGTCTATGGTCTGCGAAAACAAGGTTTGTCATATTTTAAACCAACCAATAACAAATTAATAAATAAAATGATTTTTGGTAGAATTGTCGTTCTAATGACAAATCAGCAATCTCTATCTGTTTCTCTACTGAATGCGCAAGTTACAACGGTAACCACCCTATCAGATACTGTGAACAATGTCACAACAATCGACATAACAACCGCCGAGGTGGAGATCACGTTGTCCATCGAGCTTTACCAACAACCTGGTCAATGGATACTGAAATGCAGACTTATATGGTCGAAGCCATTGTTTCTCTTCTAAAAGAAGCTAAGACACCACAACCGGAAACAAGTAAAGATAGTAGTCCCATGGATGGTAAACCACATATTGTCCAAGTTGATAACATCACAGCTGAAGAGAGACAACTCCTGGGACGCTATGGTATCTGGTTATTGGTGGGACGTTGTACACCAGACGAAAACACACCTGTAGAAATCCTTGGACGTCTTCTTGCTATGCTCTTTCATTGGTTTCACATGACTGCTTATTCTTCAGATATGAAAGAAGAAAGCACCTTAGAAAAACTTAAAACAGAAAGTGTCTGTGCATGGCTTAGAGAAATTAGCAACACTCATTATAAACTCTTCATCAGTTGTCTATTACCACACCCACCGGAATATGCAAGAGTGGGAGGTCATTGGGACACTTTAGCATCAAGAACCTCTCATTTAAAAGAAGGTCTCAATAGGTTATTTTGTTTGGTCCCGTATGAAGTAATAAATCAAGATATATGGGATTATGTAATGCCGCATTGGATGGAAGCAGTTGTCAATGATGTTCCTGAAAAAGAACTTCCGGAATTAAGAATTATCTTGAGTAAAATATTAGATACCGATATGAGTCCCTTGGGTTTCGATGCAAAGAAGATGTATAATTTTGTTAGTCTACGTTTTGAGAAACCGTCAGCTAAGGTGCAAGAACAAGCCTTAAAATGGTTACAGACTTTGACAATGTTAGAGATTGTAATCCCTTTACCATTATTGTTTTCTATATTTGGGGATGCTGTTAAGTTTATGAAGGCTTTGATAGAGAAAGGTCAGGATAGTCCTGATAAAACATCAGCTGCAAGGCAAGAAAGAAGAAGTTCAATTTGTAAGTTTTTTTTTCTCTCTTTAGAAGAAAGGTAGTTAAGGTAGTTTTTTGGGATCAGTTGTAGAAGACTGCGATTCTGCAACAACTTCACTCTCGGATGACGAAGGAAAGATGTCCCAACATACAGAATTCGAAACAGACGCCGAACGCAATTTATTCTGCAGTATTCTAATGTTGGACGTGCTTCTGAAACAAATGGAACTTCAGGATATCGATAAACACACAGGTCTCAACTCCCAACTCTGCAAAGATGTCTGCTGGCTGCTGAAATCAATGGTCACCGCTGCCTGGATAGGATCCCATGAATGCAACGCCAAATCCGAGTGTGTCTACTGTGAATCCAGCATCATGTGGCATCAGCTCTCGCTACAACTGATCAAGTATTTGTCACCGGTGCAACCGGCGCATCCGCCAGACGTGAGTACCCGCCGCGCCGGCGCTCTCGATGTGTTCTAAGCTCTCAACGGTGTTTGCATCACTGTCTCTGTTAAATGTTTTAGCCACCACTCGAAGAGAACACTGACGATGGTCATAATCGCAAAAGTCCCCCAGAGAGTGATAAAAAAGATTCCAAATCAGATGTTGTTTTGAATATGCCCATTCCTGAAATTCATTCGGTTGGTGGTGTTTTGGTTCATATGCCGCATGTATGTTCGGTACGTTACACACTAGTCATTCTTCTACTCATATTTAGCAAACAAACAAACAAACAAGCAAGATGCGCGCGCCGAACTCAAACTTTATAGCAAGTGTGTGGACACATTGAGCAAGTACTCGTAATTTGTTTTTGATGCTATCTCTTTGTCTGGGACCATGACTTTCGACTAAGGTCTGCTATTTTAAAACTATTACTATATAGCTCTTTAATTTCTCTCATCAATTCATGTAAGAATTAAAATTATGCCGTCTTCGTCTTGTCGCTTCTCTAACTTGTGTTTTATCACCTAATCTTTTCGAACACAAAATGCAATTTGGAGTTTTGAAATGAAGCATGAAACTGACTTCTTCTTCAAATTAAACCACAAAATTTAATACCAACCACCCTAAAATATTAACTAAGGCAATATATTATCAGCGGCGACAGCACACATGATATATTAAACATATTTATTAAATCGATATCATAAAGCATGACTTTGTTTAGACTAATTGGCGATGTGAATGTTTAGCTGTTCCTAGAGTCGGAAAATACGAACTTGAAAAAGGTTGTTATCGCTTTTCACGCTTTTGAATCATTTCTATTTACATCGGCATTTGTCCTCAATCGATTACAGATTATGACCGCGACAGTGGAGACTGTGTCTGAGCAATTGGACCTGGCTGCGATCATACCATCAGAGAAAGTTGTTTCTGCTGTTGCTAGAGCCATCACTTTATCTGAATCTGATGTTGGTAAGAATTTGGTAAATCAGGTTTATGTTTAGATTTACATTTTGAATGTTTTGATGAATTTTAGCAACTGCAACAGCACAAGTTGCTAAACCACAGGTAATTGGTGAAAATGATGAACCTGTTGAACCAGAACCAGGGGATGATCTAGAAAATTTCTGGCAGACATCAGTGGGGAAGTTTAAGTTTATAATTTCTGATTTACCACAACCATTGCAGTATATTCACCAATTACTTCATGAGTTACCAAAAGTTGAAAAACCGGATGTTTTATACTACATGTTGCAGTGTTTAAATGTTTTGATTTTACATGGCGATGCTTGTACCAAAGCTTCGAAAGAACATCGAGGGTTCTTCATTTGGTGCCAAGAAAATTTACTAATCAAAAAGTATTTTCCATATCAACATTCCTATAATCAAAACTAATTATTTTAAATTTTAAAGTTTATGGAATTTATGCAACGCAGAACATTCCCATATTTGCCAGGAAGCCGTACCACTTCTCCTTCACTGTATAACTTTACCAGCTGGTTCCGATGTCTTCTGGAGAGTAATCCAAGATGAATTCCATGATTACGACTGGGGAGTACGTTTCGTCGCAGTGGAACGTGTCACTGTCATCGCTAGATTCATGGATTCTAGTCCCCTGCGAAACAATCTTCCTTTACAGGCTGCATTGGCAAATGCTTTCTGTTATCTTATTTCCAGCATGGATGATCCAAACGTTTACATTGCACAAAGAGCTACTTTATATCTGGGAACAATTCACGACAGCGCTATTAAATCATTACTCATGTGTTTGGAAACACAGTTTGATTCTGTAATCGTTGACCGTCCCATGGTGCTTCAATCTATTTACCAACTGCATAACTCACTAAGTGAAAGGAAGATATTAACATGGGATTTCTTCCTGAATAGATTTGATACGTTGTATATTGAAGCACAGATTAATTTGGAAAAGTCAGGAGACATTTCCTACTTCCGGGATTTACGTAATACCGAACCAACTAGTGAGGCGTTTAATAAAAAGATGAATAGAGCTCAGGAGGCTTTATCGAACACAGAGGGAAGTGGTAATAGTCTGGTGAAAACTCTAAGTGCAAGTTTCGGGACAAAATGGCCGTATAAACGTACCATGTCAGCACCTGCATCGATAATAACCCGACATGAATTTAAAGGTTTGTAAATATTATTATTAATTTGATAAAGATGATTATTGTTGATGATTTTAGTTGAATCTAAAGAAAAAGTTTACAATCGTCAAACATCTGCGCCGATTCTGAAGCGCAAGAGCTCCAGGTTTGGACTCGGTCAGTTTCTAGGCACTAGTAACAGTCTTTCAGGTAGTACTAGCTGTAGTTGTTTAGTTGTCACATCCCGCATGGGCCGTAAGTGCATGAAACCAAAAATACATATGTTAATCGTCAAAACTGTTCCTGTTCCGGTTGTAACTTTATGTTTTACAGATGGTCACATGCACTCGATGAACGTGGTCGATGATGCCAACCTGGCAAGTTTCTCACAGAAGATTATCGAGTTGGAAGAAACAGATCGCGAGACTATGCACTTGTTGATCTTTTTACTCTTGCAATTCCTGTCGCGGTCGGATCAAGCGTTTCCAACTGATGATAAGCGTTTGACCAAAACGCAAGGAATTGTTTTGAGGCATTTGTATCTACTTCTAGGCTATAACCAAGCTGATAAGAGTTTGTATTTACCTCCGACTAGATTGAGGGGCTCTGCAGCTTTCAATGTCTTCTTGTCTATCTTACCACAATTATTGGACCAGAATCATCTTATGGGAAAGATTATTCTACCTACGTCTATTACTCTATTGCAATTTGCTCCGTCTCCGGTTTATGTGACTACGACTAACATGGACTATCAACCATCTTATAGTTTGTGGTATTTGGAGTGTCAATCAAGGAGGAATTGGTTGATGTCATTGGTGGTTTTATTATACAAAGTGGGTACCTTTAATTTGGGTGATGATATGACATAAATTTTATGGGTTTTGTTATTTTAGTACCAATACAATGTCCAACCAAATTGTCTTCAACTATGTTCCCTGATAAGGATTGTCTTGAATACTTTGGATGCGCAACATCATACCTGTAAGCGAATACCAGCGACGATTGTGATGGGCGCGCCCCCGTCGCGCTCCAGAGGTAACTCCCACTCCCATTGTTTTGGTATTTTTTAACCGTGTGTTTAGATGTTAGTCAACCGTCCTTAGGTGCTGATAACGAACGTACAGATACGCGCGGTAATACACCACCCTTATCACCAATGTATTCTGCAGAGGCGCAGTGCGTGCAGGTGTCCCTGGGCTCCAAGGGCACCAAGTCGCAGGTGATTTACACCAAACCATCATCAGCATCCAGTATGGAGACACACTGGGAGGAACCAGACGTCAAAAAAGAACGAACACGAAAGAATACTGATTATAGTCTCGACGGGGATGAAACTGAATCGGAATTGATAGCTATACCTGAAAGTGATCTTTCTGATAGTACCCTACATGGTAGTGGACAGGATGAGTTTGATGATGCTGTTGATGAAATCAGCATTACAAAAACAAAGAAACAAGTCAAACCTAAAAGGAGTACCTGGTTTATTGGTAGTGATGAACCAAGTCCCAAGTCTTTTGAAAAGAGGAATTACACTATCGAAAGATCTAGGTTTGAAGGGTCCAAGAACTGCGCAAAGTTTACAGGTCTAGCAAATACAGCTGCATTGGTCGTGGGCGTACCACATTTAGCCCTAGCCAAAACCGTAACCACGGATATCCATAAACCTGTTACATGTACCACCTCACTTGACCCACCACTTGCCAAACCTTCCCCACTGGGTAAACACAAAAAAATAATCGATCCTAGTATCACCCCAGTGTGCACACCTGTCTCTGACACTGAAGAAGCAAAGAAAAACATGCTCCCTGCGCCGTCTATCGAAAGACTCTTACCAATTGGTTCCGCCAAACCACCACCAGGTAATTAACAGTCTCACCACTTCATGGTAGTAGTAAAAAATTATGATTTGTATGATTTTCACTGTAGTGTTGAGTAGTCTTGAGCAGCATGCTAGCGTTGAAGGTGATTCTGCATCATCACCTGAAACACCAACACCAACGCAGGACGATGACCCTCTAGGTAGTACCACCCGCACCCTAAACACCTTCTAACCAATTGCACACACTTGTATTATACAAACTTGGCAATGAATGGGTTTGCATACGATGCTCGTTTTTAGAATCGCCACGGACGACGTACGCGGCTAGCCTAGAGTCACAATTAGAGATCCCTAGTCAGGAGCGCCTGCTTCCCATAGGCCAGCACAATAAAGACATCAATCAACTGGTGGACAAAGTGCGGCAGGCGCTAGGTATACCAACGCCTACACCCGCTGCGAAATACGACCGCTCCGCGGGCAATAGTAAAGAGTCCACGTCGGCGACACATAGTCCTAGACGCTTGATCAAACAGGTCGCCCTTGAAAGTCCTCCAAACACGATGGATCCAGATGAATCTGTATTTACAAACGTGTTCATCGATAACAAGAGTAAGCTGCATCTTGCATGTTATATATTCCTATCAATACCTAAAAGAAAAAACTAAATTTTATTATAAAAATTTAGGTGATGGTGTTATACATAGAGCAAGAATAAGAAAAGTTGGTCCATTTGCAATGGGTTCAAATATAGCCAGGGACCCACGACGACCTGGTGCTTGGTTAAGTCCGGATGGTTCCCCGAAATCTCTAGAACAACCTGATATGAAGCAATCGACTTTTAGAGTTGGAGATGAGTGCGTCAATGAAAGATGCACTGAATGTGGTACCATCATTGAAGAATACAGTGATGAAGAAATAGGTTTATGTATTGTGACCTTGGGGACGTTTATACATCGAGAACCCGCTTTAGCAGCACCTATGCTACCTGATATCTTAAGCATAGTTGCTAAGTAAGTGTCTCACCTTCAAAATTTACAAAAAATTTCTTTCTAAAATTCTAATATTTTAGAGTTGCTACCAATGCCAATTATCCATGGCAAACAGAAAGTAATATCCATCTTCCTGGTGGGGCCGTAAGTGTAGCCCACCAGTTCCTGCGTTGTGTTTTACATCAACTAGCGCCTAATGGAATATTTATACAAATGTTCCAATCGTATACAATCGAATCCACTAGAATTCAATTCTTCAAAAGTGTGATTCAAGCCTTGGTCGATTTCAACGAATTAAGCCCAGTGGCACCTTTACAGTTGTTACTGGAAACATTAAACTCAAAGAAAACCCTACCCATTGATTCATTACCACGTATAATGGAAAACTTAGCTTGTTATTTGGATTGTTTACCATTGGAAGCTGCTCTGGGGCCAACATCACCTCTATGGAGCAATGTCCTTCAACAATTGGAGATTTTATTTAGAAAGATGATTTTTTTGTTGAATACTATTGAAGATATTATGCCAATGTTACGAATTATGATTACTATATTTAAGATTCCTGTGATATCACAATATAAGGTTAGTATTTTAAAATTTATTTAAAAATCAAAATAAAAATATTTATGTTTCAGGGTATACTGGAACCTTTTTCGAAAGTTTTAAGTTACGCTATACAAACAAACGTTTTGAAATATAGTTATCTAGTAGATGTGTGTTATCTATGTAATCGCGCATTTACGAAAGACCGCGATAAATTAATTCTAAGTCGAATGGTGGTCTACGAATTGGTTCAGGCGTTAAAGTTTAAAACATCAATTCCGGATTCAAATCTTTTGATGTTGATCAATTTGGTTCTGCAAGATGTAGGAGGATCCATACCTTCTAATGTAGTTTTAAAGGATGCTAACCCTTTGTATGTTGATTTTTATGGTCCTGTTTTCAATACAAATGTTTCTGAATGTATGCGGATGCATCTCGGAGACATTTTGGAGTTTTTGACTGATTTTCATACTTTGGCCAAAATTAAGGTAAAAATTTCTTAAATTTTCTAAAATTTAAATAATAATATTGTTTTTATTAATTTCAGAGTTATTGTAAAGGTGTCCCCGTTGGTCTTAACGATGACACTCTAGGTGGGATAATAAAATGCGGCGTAGCACAATATTTAGCCCTAGAAATCACACGTGGTAATGGAAGAGACAATAGAGCAGTCACTAGATATCTTCCATGGTTATATAGTGCTTCTACAGTACAGCAAACCCCACGTGAATTTGTTGAGTGCATTAGTCACATAAGATTACTCAGTTGGTTACTTTTGGGATCACTGACGCATACAGCATTACATGGGACAGGACAAGGTCATACCATCTCGCAACCCATTCCACAGGAAGCATCTTGTCAAGTGGCTGACCATATTCAAGTAATTATGGCTGGATTTGCTGAACAACCTAAAGCGTCCATATTGCATATGTCATCGCTGTTCCATACGTTTATATTGTGCCAACTGTGGACTGTTTATTTGGAGCAAGGTCTTAGTACCCATCTTCCAACCTCGGAGGCTTATAATGTTACAATGAATATACTGTTTGATTTTTGGGATAAGGTAACACCTTGTATTTTACAACTTGTGCAGCAGTCAAAAGTGGTTAGTATAATTTTCAAACGCTTTTAAACTGTTTCTGATTAAATTTTCTTTTTCAGCTAAGTGAAATTGTAAGTCTGCACTTTTTAAGCATGTTGGAGGCTTTAATTGAGTGCCATTCAACGTTTGTTGGAAAATTGCTACCGCTATGGACGCCAGTTTTGTGTTCAAACCAAATTCAAGTAAGTTTTAAACAATTTTAAAGTGGGAAATTAATATTTTTGTAAATTTTAGTTGCCTGGTCATCTACAAGTGAGACTACAAAACTGTCGCAATTTTATCCCAATTGGACACGCTGAAGTACTCCCGGAGAAGAGCAAACAACACATTCACAATCCCGTTTTGCTAAAGTGGTTACAACGCTTGCAGTTTAAGATGGGTCAAATCGAATTGCAATCGTCTACGGCCACACAGTTTTATTCATTGTAATCGACATTGTTAGAAACTGTACCAATAAAGATACATAAAAATAAATACTCACATATACAGGGTGTTTATATTTTATTATTTTTTATTAATTTTGAAAAGTGAGAACGTTTCGTGCAATACATTTATTTAAAAGTTCTTTTGGTGAGTTTAAAATATTTCTTTAATCAAACATGAGTTGTATTCCAAGCTGAACTTGATCATTTCATCATTACCAAACTTCTCTTTTCTAAGATCAGCCTCTGCTTCAACAATAGATTTCTCCATACTGGTCCTTGCTTTAATCATCTCACTCTGGACATTCCTAATAATGTTTCCATTAACAGTATTTTCAATTTTATTCTTGATATCTTCAACGTTTTTGGCGAAAATAGCAATACCTTGTGCAATAGCTTCATTTGACTTCAATTCTCCAACAATATTGCGAGAAGCTTCAGTGGCAAAGAATTCTTTACGACTTTCAATATAAGCTTTGATTTGGTCTAAATTCTGACGACAGTTTTCCGGACCAGATTCAACTCTTACAACAAAAGTATTAGCAGCTTGTTGCACCAATTTAACAAGTAGTCTATGGTTGTCTTGAACTTGTTGGATACGTTTTTCGGTAGCTACTTCTTCATTTTCGGCGATTTTCAACAATTGTTGAAGGTTTCTTGCAGCCAGAATATCCAAACCCAGTGGACGTGTAAGGATATTCTGTGCATTAGCAACGCACACGCACATCAGTGCAAAAACAACCAATTTATTTAACGACATTGTTGATTTTTTAAATTTTACTGATTCAAAAGTCGAAATATATACTCAGGGACATAATTATTATGCACATTTTGATGAATTTTGTTATCTTTCTAACAGTATAAAGCTTTTAATATAATAGCTGTAAAATTATTTATAATTTTTCAAAAAAATATTATTGTAGATTATTTAATACCACAATTGATTATTATTATTCAAACATTGTCTTAATTCTTGAAGAAAATTATTCATACCACCATTATCCGTAATATTAATTGCATTATTGGCATTTCTGAGTACTCTCTGTACATCTTGACGTGTGGTAATCATTGACTGCCGAATATCAATAAACGCAGTTCTATCAATAACACAATTTGTGAATCCAGGTCTACATTTTGCTAATTCCCTCCGAATATCCTGATCATTTGTGACAAAATTTTCATAAATCCTTGCAACCTGAGGAGTTGCTTTAATTTCTCTGACAATATCTCTCCTTTGTTGTTCAGTTAAAGCCTCACGACTAATTCGAACGTACTCACGTACTTCTTCTATTTTTCGACATTCCAAAGGTGCATTCTGCATTCTTCGCACAATGTTATTTTCATCTCTAGCTAAAGATGCTAATAAATTACGTATTTGTAAAGTGTATCTTCTTTGCAAACCATTTAATTTTTATCAAAATCTCGTCGTTCTCTATTGGATATTTCCAGTAATTGTCGAAAATTTCTAGCACGTTCAAGACTTATCTCACGATTAATTTGTCCAGAATTTATATAAGGAAATAATAAAAATTCAAATAAACCGGAAACACTCTGAATATTAAGAATTAAGTATAAAATCGCCACGGACACAATCAAAACACGCATTATACTAATTACACTAGCACTTTACAAACAAAAATAATTAAATTTCGCACTCTGTGTGTGTTTTAAACTAATTTTTAAAAATATTACCATTGCTATCTACAATTTTAGCAATTTTAATTTATTTTATTACTTGTGAACTGCATGACAACAATGGCATAACTCGTCAACATATTCAACAGCGTAAAAATCGTTGTAAATTTTATATTAAAAAATCCCGCCGCTGAAATGTTCGAATAGCCGTGCAACCTGTTCTGCGTCAAGACAAACAGTGAGTTTTTAATCACCGGAACTTTTCGATAGAATGCAATAGACTTGTAGCATATGCTGGTAGTCTTTCGTACTTGTTTGGTTATGTTCTCACAGAGTGACGTCAGTATAACCGCTTGAATCTAAAATTAATTTTTATAAATAAATAAATAAAAATTATTAAAATTAATAAAAAATACTTACAACCATGTAAATAATCCATACAACATTATAATATAATGAAGGTTTACGTTCATGTGTAAACATAACCGTGTATGAATAAATAATTATAAGTGACATGTATAGAAATTGCAAAAATATATTCCCACCGAAAATTATATTGAAATCATCAACTAATTCACACAAATTTTGATCCAGATATAAAATATCTTCTAAATTGTGTTTCAATGATTGATTTGTAAGCATACGCACGCTTCGCCATTTTAATAGCTCATTAAATTTAACATGGCGAGCCAAAATAGCGCGTAATATAAAATATTGCATCATGAATGAGAAAAACATACAAATTGTTTGGATATTATCCATGAAAAGATGAAATTTATAAGCTTCTGATTCATATATGTACCAAATCGAGCAATCAAATATAACCAATATTATAACAACAAAAATCCAAAAGAAAAATTTAAAGTTTATGCATTGTTGAATGTGATTATTTTTTAATTCAATCGGAAATCCATGTCGTAATAAAATATTATCAACACTATCAAAAGTATTAAACATTTTTGATATTGTTGAGAGTTTTAGCTTCCAATTGAAGAATAAAGTTGAATTCGCAGCAATACCAGCGATTGACATTAATAACGCCATGATGATTTCAAACTGTAGATTAATCCGAAAAGTATTTTCTGTCTGGGAATAAGATTCCTGGAACAATTGAGTGAATAAAAACAATACACAAGCGAAAAGATAAAGTTTTATAAGATTTCTATGCCATTTGTAGGTTATGAATTTGTTTTTCAGGTTAGTTTCTTGAGCTATTCCACCATAAAACGGAAACAAACAAAAAATAGCATTTATAGTAATCACGGTTTTAAGATTATGCGCTAAAGACATCCTGTTTGTTGGATAAATATTCACTCAATGCAATGTAACAATATTTATTTGCTCTGAATAATCACTAACCACGTAGATGTTGTTAATGTCAATTATTCGTGATTGGTGGATGATTAATCAGTTTATCACATTGTCAGTTATAATTTATAATGAGTAAAGTATTGACCAACATCCGCGATTGGCGTACCAACGTAAATTGATTGATTTTGTGTTTTGTGCGATTATTTTGTGTGTATGTTATTTGCGGTGTCCTTTCCTGGGAAACTGTATGTCAATGGCACATCGGCCGCCCGACTTTCCCTCAGCTGGGGGGTGGTAAGCGCGTCGGAAAACTTCAGTTCGTCTCGCGCTCAGTGCGATTGCATCCACCGACGCGTTCGCATCGGATACACGTGCTAACAAACGCGACTTATAAAATAAAACTAAATTTTTAATTAAATTTTAAGTGCACAAAAATAAAAATTTTATTCGCGGAATTATAGTGCTGTGTTCCAATGAGATGTTGACCATTAAAATAAGGCCATTAGCGTGCGTGTAATAATTGACTCATAACTTTGTTAAAACAACCCTCAAACGCTCCGAAATTAACGAGCATAATGTGAGTATGTAAATAATGTGAAACGCGGAGCTAGAATGGCGTCCAGGTCGTTTTATATCCACATAACTATCTATGGTGAGTAATTAACTTAGTTAAAAATTTTACGACGACGGCGAAAATAATTAAATTAATGTTTTATGAAATAGCGTTTGTTTTACTGCCACTGTCGATGTGCGCCGGAATCGGTGGTTTGAAGTGGGTGAGTGTCAATTTGCCGCATTTCCGGCGGCCTGGTGAGGCGGCGCATTTACACTGCGATTATGACCTCGGCAACGACACTCTTTACGCCGTCAAGTGGTATAAAGACAACGAAGAATTCTATCGTTTCGTTGCCAAAGAACGCCCACAGTCGACAAGCTATCGAGTGGATGGAGTTGATGTTGATGTAAGGCAACATAACCACAAACTTAAACTATTAAAATGTTATGTGTCATTTTAATTTATCTAGGTTAGTGCATCGGATAATAAAAAAGTCGTTTTAAGACCTGTACGCCTGCGCACTGGAGGTTTGTATAGATGTGAAGTGTCTGCAGAGGCGCCATCTTTTGCATCTGCGCAAAGCGAAGGACGTTTAGAGGTTATATGTAAGCAAAATAAAAAAAATAAAAAATTTAAAATTTTTTGTTAATTTTTGTTGTTTAAATATAGCACTACCAATTGAAGATCCAAAAATAACCGGGGTGAGAGTCCAGTATCAAATTGGGGATGAAATCAACCTCAATTGTACATCGGGACGTAGTTACCCCGCCTCCATGTTGCATTGGTACATAAACGAAGAAAAAGTACGAAGTGGAAACCAATTTTTTTTTTTTACAATCCATGATTTTGTTTGTTTTTATGTTATGTCTAGATCTCAAGCAACAGTGTGCTCATCAGATACCCAACGAGAAAATCTCGACAAGGATTGCTCACCACCGTCTTGGGGCTGCGGTTTCACCTCAATAATCATCACTTTCTGGGCGGGTCGATGCGCGTCAAATGCGTCTCGTCGGTCTCGCGCTCGGATTTGGACGACAGGACGTCAGTCATCGAAAATCTGCCAATTACGGACCTGAGAGAAGCGCTCCTGCTCGGTAAGAATACATAACCTCATAAAATTTTATTATTTTTAAAATAAAATTTTAACAAAAATGTTTACAGTGAGGAATTCTGCAGACCTGAAACAAAACCAATACATTTATACTTTCCTGATTATTTTTGTTATGTTTTCTATGAAATTTCTATAAAATAAAATGCTAGATGATTCCAAACACCCTGTATAGAGTTCAACGCGTCTGAATGTGTGCTAAACATCTAAATGTGATTTTTGTATCTTTCGAATTGTAAATAAAGAAAAATATTAACACATATTCAATTTGTGTGCGATTATTTTCTGGGGAATCCTTGACAGGTGGAATTTAGTGTGAGGAATTTCACGCGTAGACAAATGCGTCCCGTCATACACCCGTCTTAAAGCTTGGATCCGGCTGATCCTTGCTTTGAGATCCTTCTATCCTCGGCGTCTTTGGCGCTGTCGCGCGGTGTTTACTCCATGGGCTTAAGCGAGGCTCTCGAGGACAATTAATCAAAATTGATAGCATAATGCAGGTGCCACCACCGTGCACGCCGTTGAGTACCTGCGTCTCCTGTTTCCACCTTGCGGTTTCCCGTTGCTATTGCTATTGATATCCCTTCCAGCTGTGGATCAGCGCGCCCGGATCAGTCCCGACGTAGACAAACAACAATGGGTTGTGATAGTGATCGTGATCGTGGGGCTATCAGCTCGGTACGCGAAGGGTCTCGGTGGGAGGACTCCAAACGACGCCGTTTACTGTAAGTAGTTTGGCGCAGGCATCACCATCCCGAGCGCGGCAAATGGGATTATTTCTTGTGGATACAATGGGATTCTACAAAATACTCTCATATTGTCATCTCGACAATAATCATCAACTTGTAAGTGCATTGCAATACGTGCTTCTATTTGTCGATCGATGTTTAACCAAAGAATATCTTACTTTGAATTTTTTGAGAAAAAAAAATTATAACCTTAAAAGATACATGTGAAATGTTTCGTGTTTCACTTTTGAATGATTCAGAGGTCGTGTGTTGCAAAACTTGCAGCACCAGGAAATAAATTGAGTTCATATTTATGGGCGTACGAATGCGGTCGCGGAATGGGACATATGTGCGCCATATGCGCCGGAAACGAAAAGGGTTTCGCTGTAACGCCAGGAGACTTCCGGCCGATGGGAGAACGTTAGAATGTTGTGATTATGATTTAGCGAACGCGAACAACTCCGCACCTCGACACCTTTGGGAGTTACTCGTGCGCAACTGTTGCGAAGTTTAAATTTTATAAATTTACAAACTTTTTCCAAATCAATATCATCAAACAGAAAAATTGAATTCTTTTTATTCTTTCTTCTTTGCGTTAGTTGAATATTTTTACGCTAGAAATACTAGTGGTAGAGTTGTGCGCTGATAAGAGTTTCCATTATGTCGCTGTAATATTTCCACCCCCTCGCATTCCACCCTCAGTGAGCTATCCGAGCTAATGTAGAGTAGAAAAGAGTCGGGACGAAAATGATTTTGCGGATTCCCGGCCGAGGCGAAAATATAATTAAAGATAAACGTTTGACGCGATTTCGGGGCGCGCGTTTTCAATTTGAATAAGCGGCTCCCTGGCTCGCGATGCGCTCATGCGCGAAGCGGATAATCAAGAGCGGCCAGCGCCGTCGACCGTGAGAAAGAAATGATTTTTTTCGCACTTCTAAAGGCGAGATTTTAGTTTTTTGCATTTTTACATTTTTGCATGAAAAAATAATGCTGTGATTATCTACGGCTGTTTGTTGAAAGTGCGAAGATTTACGGCTAAAATAATTCATTTTTTAATTTAAAATCATAAAACCCTTTGTTTTGAAAATTTTATTTGAGCATTTATTACGTAAACTTTTTCTACTTGTGTTGTATTCACTGATAATAAGCTTTAGCGAATTTATCCCACTTCAATACGAATATGACTCGCGGTGGTAAAAGTTAGCGAAACATTTTCCACGACAATTTTCAAAGCGTTCGTACGCGCAGAGAAGTTATGTCAGAATTGATGTCAGAAACAGAACACCGCACACAGAGAGGCTCTTTGCGTTTTTGCATTCGGCGAGTAAGTAGATAACTGCATTTCCGCATTCGCTTCAGTATACAATTTACAATAAACTTATGGAAAAGTCGACGATGGCGGCGGCGGCGGCGGTGGCGGCTGATGTGGAGTCGTAAACTGTTTACGCCAGCAAACACACAACAAGCAACAACGAGCGTGAGAGACTTGTTGAGGCATTGGGTGGGGGCAAATTATCGATTGCGGGGTTTTTATGTTTATGGAGCCCTTGGAGCGCTCGCTGATGAAGACTCCGCCGACTCGCGAAGCCGATCAGAGCGGATTATCGTCCGCGGCGCTGTTGTGCAATATTGAAGCGAATTCGTGCGCTGCATTTTTGATAAGACTGCAAATCCACTAGCCGCATGCCACACGCCCGGCTCCTCCACCAACAATATAAAGAGGAAACTAAATCCATACGTGAAATTATTAACCTAATAAACCATCAGAATGTTTACATAAAATTAATTCTGATAAGCACCTGATTATTTTTTCAATAAATAAAAAAAATTAATTTTGAAAATTTTAAAATTTAAAAAATAAATATATAAAAAATAACTCAAAAATGACTTCAGAAGCAATATTAAGAGAAATGTAATTTTTTTTAACAACAATTTTAGCAAAAATAACTCATTATAAAATATTTTATGTTTTTTGCTCCACCTATTATGTAAATGCGCATGCGCAGCGCATTTAAGTGTAAAAATCAGGTCAGATTATAATTAAATATGTACGCAAATAAAGTCGCTACCTAGTCGGGAAAACTCTAAATGCATTACTCATTAGCGCAACAGTAATTAATAATTTGCCTCGACGGCACTCCGGCTATTTGATCTCGAAAGTCGAATAAGTGAATTAGCGAATGATAAAACCGGCGAAACAGCACGCGAATTAATTTATTTCAATTTAGCATCAGACACACATTCGGAGGGGTGGTGCATCGCGTTCATAATTTTTCATTAAAACTCATTTCGCTCATTTTGTTTTACGAGAGCCTGCAAAAATTACTGCCTGATTAAACCGAAGATAGACGCGCCCCCCGGATCGGTAATGCGAAATGAAAACATGATTAAATGTTGTGCCGAAAGTACGTAAAGTTTAATGAACGCGATATTAAAACTTCCCGGTAATAATTACAGCGCGCGCGCAAGAGAGGGTGAAAAACGTAGAAAAATATGTAATAATCATTACATTATAACCGACAAAAAGAAGCATTAAACAACAACCATTAGAAACTCTAAGTAAGCAAAAAATTAAATTATGATGGAGCTATATTTGTCGAATATTTTTTCTTTTTCCATCCCAAGAAGTTTTGAAAAATCAAGCGCTATGAAAACCGAGCGATACTCAAAAGGCGTCAATGAACAAGCAAACTTCGGTGTAAATTTTTTTGTCTTAAGGAAAAAAGTTGGAAACTTTTTTGAACTTTGCTAATTGTTTGCGAATGGCGTGCGAAAGGTCGAAGGAAAGTTAAATGGCTGCGGAGAACATCATAAAACGGTGATTAGTGCGTGTTTGAACAATGGCAAAAGCAAAAAAAAAAACATGTCATTAGGAATTAAAAACACAAAAAAAAAACTAATGAGCTACAAGTACCAGGAAAACGCACATAAAGCATGATCCCACTTTTAACGGGATATGTTTGTTGTACGTGGTCGCCACACCACAAACCCATTATCACTATTAAGAGGATTATCCTCGATGCTCAATTTCCCGCATCTTGGAAACAAAGTTTCCACGCGAGTTCCTCAATTTTCAATGTTTGACGCCGTAATGGATGTTTGCATAATGCTAACTAAACATCGAATTCGCATTAAACGAACGCCAGCAACAAACTGTGAAACTTTTCGAAATAATTCTAGTTATTTTACGAATAAACAAGCTTCAATTAACACTAATCAGAAAGTTATTTTTCATGCATGCGATATTATTATAATCCGGGCGTTATTTATGGAAATATTAACGACAATCGCATAAATTGTGTGATCGAATCGCGGGGCATTTATTGTATTTATTGCATTTGTTGCGTTTTTATTCAATTGCAAGCGCAATTCCCGGCCTAAAAAAATATGAAACGAATCGCTCGGCGCTCGCATTTAAATGCAAATCGCATCGCGTGCACGATGCGTCGTTTGTAAATATTTAAATTTCAATCACTATGGAAATTGAAAATAAATAAAAAGCTGACCCGCACCGCGCCGAGATTCAAACAAATTTAAATGCCGGACGAACTTTGACAAACACCAACCTGCATGCAATGCATGCAAACGCTCGCAAATGCGCGAAAACCCATCGGTGATGCCCGGCGCCTCCACCGGACACGTATCATATGCATAATCGGATCAAGGGGTGCATTTCATGTGCGCATTTTGATTGCCACGGCGAAAATTTCATCAAGAAAGACACTAACCTTGCGCAAAAATTGCCAGCTAAAGGGTTGGAGAAGAGGAAAACAATTAGCAGTGACGTTCGGCGCGTGTTTTGTGTCCAAACAGTGAAGAAAAATACTTGGTTTAAAAATGCACGAAATTCATTGTGCTGGTCTTAATTAAAGAACAATATTTACGTTTGTAGGACAAAATTATTCCATCTCAACTGGATGTGAAAAATTAATTTTATGGTATTATTAAGATGTGTATTAATAGTTGACAAGAGTTTGCAGTTTTTGCGCGTGTCTAGGGCGAGATAATTTCGGGTCGAGCGACTTGAATGGCCGAATGCATCATTAATTCGCCATATTTCATGCGAAGCGTTGTCTCTGGACCGGGCGAAACGCATTAAGTATGAAAAGGGCGCTGGCATAGACACATCGTTTGGGTGTGACAATTTACTGAGCGAACTCCGCAAACACACCTAGCGAAACATGCCTTGTTGATGTCTTAGTCGCTTTCGTAAGGACCACTTGCAAGTCGGGCGGCTTAGTTGTACCGGCAGTAGTCTTAACTCAGTATTGCAACACTTGTAGTACACCGAGTCGGACGCTGTAAAAGATCCAAGGATCCACGCGACCGGATACAAATGGGCATCGTCTCGCACACCATGAATAACTAACGCGCCAAGCGAGAGTGCTTCCTTCCTTCCGTTTCGGATGTTGATTAATTCAGAATGGCTTAAACTACGTTGGGCCACTATCGTTCTAAACGACGTAATCGCTTGACTATTAGTCGTTAAAAATCTCTTTGACCGGTTTTGAAAAACATTTGTTTCTGAATACTGAAAAATTTATATTTTTGAGAATTAATGAAATATTTTTTGTAATAATTGTTAGTTTTTTGGTTAAAAAAAAAACATTTTTGATTGTTATCTTTAAATTATTTTTCAGGGTTTTTAGATACAAAAATAGTACTTTAGCCATGGCCGTGACTAAAGTACTTTATCAATCTCTGGACAAAAATTCCCTTTTAGTCACTTGATAGTTAGCTGTCCAATTTTTACAATTTATAAAAACTAAAAATTTAAAAATTTTGCATTCCGGAAGTCAGTTTTCATAAAAATTAAAATATGATATCAATAAATTATGTTTTGTGACAATTGAAATTAATCTCTGTAAGTACTTGTCTCGTTGAATCCGATGACAACAGAAATTAGTGCCACTCATGCGAATGACGGCGGTTTGTAACCCGCGCGCAGCAGCAGCAACGAGAGATTAAAACTAATCGTAGTGGCGCACGCGGAGAAGGCGGCAATTACGCGAAATGATAAAACTTTTGTCGAGCCTGCGTCGGCGAAACAGCAATTTGCACCTTAATGGCGAGCGTTTAACGTTCGGCCGTGTTCAACAATATTGCGCGCAGTGTTTGTGCCAAACCAGGAAAACCAGGAATCCAGTCGCTGGAATTTGACCTGCCCGCCAAGCAAGAAGGATCGATTTCCCTAAAGAGCTTCTGTTTTATTTTTTCCGGCTCGCGCGCGTAAACCGCGTTCGTGAGTTAATATTTCAAGAGGTAATTTCAATAATTGACTGTTGGTTGCTGTTTTTTCTTCTTCTTGCTTTGGGGGTTGTTTTAGTTGGGATTAAATTAAATTCATGACTGCTGGAATCCCAATTAGAGTCAGTCGAGTAGAGTGGAGTGGTGATTTGTACACACTTAATCGCTCAATTGCGAGGCGAGCAAGTGCGCACACATCGTCCGCTAAGTGATTACTTGCTGGCTGATTGATTCCAAAGTCGATTGTAACCAGATCCTTTGATATGTGACATTCAACAAAAGTTTAAAATCGAATCCATCAGATGAGTGCATCTGCATTGAGAGTATCTTCAAAGGACCAAAAAATAAAAACGTTAAGCGTTTAATGTAATGGATATTGTAATATAATATCAGAATAGAATTAAAAAGAATTTCACTTCAAAGTAAAATTAAATATGTGTATTTTGTATTGTATTGGGGATATATTTAGTATTTTGTGGCAAAAAACGTTCCAAGAGAAAATATGTTGTGGGTTTTTAGTAAAATATATAAAAGTGTACAATTACAGGTAATTTTTTATAAATAATGCCAGAAAATAGCAATGGAAATCAATATTATAATTTGCAAAGCATCCTATTGAAGAATTTAAAGAATACAAAGAATATTTAGCAGAAATTCTGTTTGGATTGCTGTGGTAGGAGCAAAAAAATATATAAAAATTCGAAACTAAAGAAAAACTGAATTCAATAATTATTGAAAAAATTTGTTTGTAAAAAAGCGGAATATCTACCAAAATATTAAATATACTGAATTTCCAATTATACTCCATCCTTAAGAAATTAATTCTCTATGTAATAAACAAAGAAGATTTAAAAAAAAATGAAAATTTTCGAAAATTGTAAGAAAAACGTTTTTTTTGTTCTAAAAATCACTGTTTCAAGTTCCTAGTGTAGTTATGTAGTACAAATATTTTTCTAGCAATTTCTTTTGTAAATTGTCCCAGTTTAAGCCCCCGCCTGAGTCACCGGGATGAGTTTTCGGGCCTCTTCACGTCTTCGCGTCGCGCTAAATTGAACAAAACGTTTAATAAGGCGTGGTAGTATTCACACTCGATTGCCCGTCGTCATTGTCAGCGCCTTGCCGTCGTCCTGCCGATTGCCGACCTGCGCCGTTATTGCAAAGTGCAAACTGGCTGCCTTTCTTCATTGCCAGCACCTTCGCGCCGGCTTCGTTAGCCGAGTCGCAATTTTAATTGCCTTTAATTAAACAATGCCGGCGACAAAGTACTTAAAGCACTAAAAACTAACAAACTAAGACGATTACGATTACGCCCCAGCTGCACTTTTTATCTCTCCGCTCGCAAAACTTTTTCATCTTCTAATGTAAACAAAACAAGCAGAGAAAAAAATTCGATCGACACAATTGTCCACAACACATTAAATAAATCGACAGATAAATATCGAGAAAATTGATTTCACGTGTTGTTGGTATTTGAACAGAGATGAAATCCATTCCGGAATGATTCCACTCCGCACGTTGGTAGTTTTAACACAGAATGAAATATTATTGATGACGGGATGAGCGTCCCGCACAAAACATCGCCCAACTTAATATAGAATATATTTTGCTGTAAGTGTGAGTGTATAAGTTTCGCCGGTGGAGCGAGGATTCTCGATGAAACCGACGTCCTGTTTCTGTCCGCGCCCGTTCGTGTCCAGCCTGACAGCTTGGACCACCAACCACGGACCGCAACACGTTTCCCTACTGCTTCAGACCGATAGTGCAGGTAAGAGGGGTGGATGTGCCCGGTAATGGTGGTCGTTAAAGTTGACGTGTCGCTATTATCGTAAGCAGAATCATCAGATTCGTGTTCGTATGATGACCACGCGTTCATCACCGTACACAACAGTGTAATACATAATATACTATATTCAAAATTAAATGCGCAAAGTCAAAAGCATGAGATTTTCATATTTTCCACTTGGAAATCTTGGTAATAAATGCTTGTAATTTCATTTCTATGTTGTTTCTTTTTGCGTTGGTGGTTTGGCGGTGATGGCGCAACGTGGAAAGGTGTGTTTTCTCTAGGGTTGCACGCCGGGAAAACGATTTGTACCCGCGCTCGGCCCGCTTCAATCTTTCAATGTCAGTGTGCCTTTCATTCCGCACCTTCGGGAGGCCGGCATTGCTCCGCACAATTTGCGCCCGCTTTGTACACGAAGAGAAAAATTGATCCGGCTGAATCAAAACCTCCTCCGCCTTCCCGCGCGCGCAAAAGTGCAAAATTAATGGAATATTAAATGGTGCAGCAAAGTGCAGCATGCAGTTACCAAGTGGTCAATGTGTGTACTGGTACACGAATGTCGCCGGAGTTGAAAAATCAATAAACTCCGAATATTAATCCGTCGAATAAAAATTATCTCCGGGAAATTGCCGGCGAGGATTTGCGCGCACGCTGCGAGGATTTGTGTGCAGCGCGTACACAGATTTTTATTTAATCCTAATCCACTTGTGCCTCGATTCTTTTGATACTCTGGTTCTTATAGACGAAAATCTCCACACAGTGTTTTTCAGTTGTTCATCGCAAAGCCCACGCGTTCGAATCCCGGTTGATTTCGGATAAATGAATTTCCATTAGTCCCACAGTGTCTCCACAGCCGCGGGATGAAACCAGATAAAACGCTAACGACGCATTCAATAAAATCTGCACGGGCGTAAAACGCTCAAAACGCTAACGACGCGATTAAAAACGAATCGGAAATTAAGTACGAAACTAAGTTCGACACTAAATATTCATGTATGGTGTGTTGTCTAGCTTAAAACTTCGATTCATACCGCGAAACTTGCTAATATGGTTCGCTCATTAAAAGATAATTTGCTTCTCCTGCCGCTCGGAGTAGAGATACTTACCTCAGTGGTCAAGCTCCTACAAGACGCTTAAAAAAACAACTCCGACTCTAACGACTCTAGTGGCGCTCAAGATTCCTACCACAATTAGAGTACAGCATCATTGCTAGTTTCCTTGTAGGGTTACCAAACTTTCAAACATGTTTTGAAAAAAATCCAAAGAAATTTTCTGACGTTTGGTAACCCTGAGTGTAATTATGTTAGGTATAACATTACTCATTGCTACTACACTCACATTCCAAATAGAAAACTAACCTTTTCACGACCACCACCGACACAGCACACAGTCATCACGCTATGCGATGTGATGATTGTGAAGAAATTCAAGACAGGTAGCGCAACTTTAAGTCCACATGCAGTCCGCGCGCACACGCACGTACTATGTTACTTAACATCTTGCATCTTTGTCGCCGTGGTTGCAACTGCAGCTTCTAAGTTTTACTTTTCCTGTCTTTTCCTGTCCTAAAGTCCACTATGAGCAATGACTTAAGTCATTGGTGCGCGCTGCGCAGAACAGCACTACTGGAAGTGGAGTTGAGTGAAGTTAAGCACACTGCACACCTGAGGCTACCTGCGTAGAAAAAAAGCGAGTGGTGCGCGGTGCGCATGCGCCGCGAGCTTAGCATGCTTGCGATGCGTTTGCAAGCACAGCGACAACAGTCTTGTTGTGGACGCGCGCGCGTTGGGACTTTGTGAAAGAACCGCGCGAATCGATCGTGATCATGTGACTTAATAAGCGTGAAGCAATACTAATTCTATCGGCGATAAGAAATCATTTTTAAAACTCACAGTGCTGAAGATTGTTACTCGACGGTTTTATATGAAGTGAAGTTTTAATCCCAGAAATTTATTAAGTAAGTAATAAAGTTTTATGTTTTTGGCATTTGAAGAAACACTGACATTTCGATTTTGTTGAAAATAGTTTTGTAATGTTTATTGTTCACCTACACTGCACCAGGATGTGAGTTTTATTTTTCGAATTAAAAAATAATTAAAATTGTTTTGATGTAATATTACGTTGCAATCGATTTCGAGAAGAATCTCATTTTGCAACCTGCACAAACAAATTATTATAGAAAATAACAAATTCCCAGCGCCATCAGTTTTTGTAATTTAATTGAATGAATTATTACAAAGCCAATTTTTTTATTTGTTTTGCAAACTGGATGAATATTTATGATCGATGACAACATTAAACAATGCTGCAATTTTTACTCGTTTAAACTATGTTTTCCGTTCATAAATAAATTGTCAATTAATATGTTGAATTGGAAATAAAATTGAATTTGTTGTTGGCAATTCACTTTCTTTGACACGGATTAGTTGCCGGTGCTGTATTGACACATTTTAAAAATTATATTCCTTGACCGATAGAAATTGCTGTTAGTGTGTGTTTTTTTTTTGCTTGGAGCGAAGGCGCATTCTCGCGACAAAATTTACAATCGCGACACACATCCATTTAATTTCGTGTGCGCGTACGCGTCGGCATGCATTGCGCTGCTTTCTATCTGTTTCTATCGACGAAAATCTCACTTAGCGTGCGGACAAATTGAATATCGTAAAACGGGCATTAAATAACGATTTGTGATTATTGACAAATTTCTAATTTTAGGCTTTAAATTGGTTTTAGAGTGTGTTTTCTACACATGGTACACATAATATTTTTTCGCCCACTTAAATTTTCACCTTTCTAGGGCTAAAAAGAGGACATTAAACATTAAGAGTAGAAAATAATGCGTTTTCTGAGGTTTGCACTTTGTTGCACATCTTAATTATTATTATAAATACAAATTTGTATGTTTTGTTTGTTTGTGACACTTTCACGCAAAAACCACTGAACTAATTTTGATAAATTTTGCTGTGAAGATAGTTTTGACTAAGGAAAAGCAAATAGGCTACTTTTTGTCACAAAAAATAACTAAATGGGTGTAAATTACGGGATGAAAGTTGATATAGATATTCACCCATAGTTATATCTACATAATTTGACTGTAGATGGCGCTAAAGTGCATTACCATCATATTTCATTAAATTAATTTAAAATTGAGAAAAAAACGAAGAATTCTTTGTAGTTTACTTATTTTACTTGCAGAAAAATTAGCTTTCCATATATGTATATTGCAATATCTGCAATAAATAACCTAATGAATAATTTTCCTTCAGCTGTAACAATATGAAGTCGATTACTTAACTGTAGACTTAACTGATCAATTGTTACAGCCGGTTATTAGTCTTATTAGCATGCCTGCAACACTGTTAATCTGCTGATCTCGGCCGACGCGCGTAATGCAGTAATGCAGAATAAATAATGATGTATCCACATGACACATGACATGCGCGTTTTTGTTTATTCGCAACGCCGAAGACAGCGGCGCGCGAAAAAAATTGAACGGAACGAATGCAGCCGCAATAAACGTAATAACCCGAGTGCAATGCAAACAAATTTAATGAACAACTCGACAATCGTAGATAATACATCTGTCACATGTGTCCACAGAAAAAGAATATCTTCACATACGAAATGTCTCTAGCATATTACCAGGAAATTACAAAACGCGCGCGAGGCTCAGAAACAATGCGAAACATTTTAACGCGTTGTAAATCACCGATGACCACAATGCATGCGTAAACTTCTAACGTTTATATTGGCTGCCTCAATCATGCGTGTGTCTTCCGTGAACTTGACGTTGATGTGAAGGCGCTAAACGCTGAAATTAAATTTATGCTTTCCGCTCACGAAGCATCCAATCATATTGTTGCGTTTGTGACAGTTAACAACGAAAGTCATCAAAGACGCATTCCGCAGTGTGGTTTTTAACCAACGTGACAAATGTACAAACAAACAATCCAATAAGAAATTAAGTGTTTTGTAAGTACGTGATTACACTAACAAAGAAAAAAAAACGAAGAAAAATTCGAATTGTGGTGTCAGTTTAAAGGTTAAAGACCTATTCGGGTGATAAACCATGTTTGCATAGAGAATATTTCTTCAAAAAGTAAAGAAAAGATAGTTTACTTAAATGTTAAACTTTTACTGATATGTGGTGCTGTAATGAAAACGAAATTGAGATGATGCGCAAGCCAACGGTACATTCTTCAGAAAATGAACACAATCGCGATTCCGTTGCAAGAGCGAAAGGTAAACGAAACAAGATGCAAGTCATCTCACACCAAACGCATTTTTAATAAAACGCACGCGATGAACATATACACAGAGAAGAAAAAACCTGAAGGCAATTTTGTTGATTACATAAAACTTGCGTCATTCTAATCTCGACCTGAGAACGACTTCGATGAAACGAAATAATTGAGCAAACAAAAATCAAAAAGCAGACTTGACTTAACATAAGTAGAGTATGAAAGTGAATCAGCAATTTACATAAATCGCTCATCATTAGCATGGCAGGAAACTGCAAATTTATTCCATCCAGGTGAAGACGCCGAAGAATCAAGGATAAATTCTTTGGAAAATCGAAAAAAATGCAAGGAAGATTTTGCGCGCATGTTTAAAGTGAAAATATTCATAGGTAAAGTTGAGCATTACAGCCGTCTGGATACACGGGTGGTGCGCAGTAGCATGGCGCATTTTTTACGCCATCAAACCTGTTACCATTTAAATACCCGGCCCGCGAAAAGATGTCAAGTTTATACGGCTAGAATATTGCATATTGCAAAACGCGACGGACGGAATTCCACCACAGCCTGAAAATATATATTAGTGTATACTCAGCCGAGGAGGAATTATAATTGATGAGACTAGTGCGCAGTCGCCAATTACGCTGATAACTAACTCAGAAGCACGCGCATGCGCATTAAAAATTTTCCAGAAGAAAACAACAAGTTTTAATCACCGATGGTAAATATTACATAAGAAATGACATCGGAGCGGATTGAGTGAGGGTATCGCAATTCGATCCGGCGAGGTTTCGCTTTATTTGGTCAATTGCGGACGCGTGCAAGTTGTAAAACGAGATGCGATCGATAGAAACTTCAGGTTTCCGCAAAATCATCATCATTGAAGGCAGTGTAAGATGACTTAAGTCAAAATGTAGCTACTATTTGATTTCTGCCTGTATATACAAGCTCATATGGTTGGCTGCGGCGATCTCGTTGCGTAGTTGCGCAAGACCAGTTCGGATATTTTTCCAAAACCGGCGATTGTGCATATTTGCGGTTGGCTCGACCCGACTGGACGCCAAATCGCACTCGTTCTTCATCCAGAAGTCAGTTTCTATCACGTTTCTAAGACTAGATACGCAGGAAATTTTAAATCCGCAAAACGTGACTTAAAGAAATCAATTTTAGACTAAAACGTAAAAAACTATGTGTATGAGTCATGAATGTTGCAATGTTGCACAGGTAAATATTATACCTGCTGATACAAAGTGTGCAAAAATATTCTAAGCAACTAGGTTTTTAATACCTTCCTCTTTTTTGTGTGTGCTGTGTGCTCAGTTGACTTAAGATAAACTCGGTGCGCATCAAACGCATCCGGCTTGGGATTTGCCTTTTGACTCGCAGCGAACGAAAAACTGACGAAATAAAAACTTGTGAGCTGTGAACCAAATCAAGCATGCACAAACTCGCTTTCGTTGCGGCCGTAAAAGCAGCATTTTTACAGTTCCTAGACGAGCTTCGATGACGATGCTACGAAACAACTCATTAGGAATCTGGATCTGGTCGATATCAACATGTTCAGATCAAATTTTTCGTTTTTCATATTGAAATGAATTAAAATTAAAATTTAAAAATAAAATAAAAATATTTAAATTATTATTTATTGAATCATGAAATAACTCCCACAATTCATAGACGTAGCGCTGGGAGATTTATTGTTGACTCCCACGCGAATATTTGGCAGTAAATTTTATTTATTGTTTGCGTTTGAAAAGTTGAGTATTTGTTAAAGAAGTTTAATGAGATTCAAATTATTAGTTTGCATACCTTGACATCAATTATTTCTGGGCCACAGTGAAAGAATTAGCAAAAATTATTTCAAATTATTTTTGTTTTCATAAAAATTTGCCGAATTTTTTTTTAATTTCAATTTTCAAATTTTTTATTCTTCTTTCTTTATTTTAAGCTATTTAGCATGTTCCTACTTTGCTAAAATTAATTTTGACATAGATAAACCCCAAAAACTTTCTGTTTCTTAAGTCAATATTTAAGTTGACTTAAACAACTGCAACCCAATATACATTAGCGTTTATAAAAAAATGTTTGTGCAATTCACAAATATTTCAGCAATGTACCATTCGGCTCCCGTCTGTTGATGACGATGTCGTGCATCATCAACAGAGGAACGCAGGAGTCCACCGAGAAACGACCGCGAGCGTCCTTGAGGTCGGATTATTGCCACTTTTACACACACACACCTTAACTCATCCAGGCAAATGACGCATGTTTCAATTTCGTGTGCGTTTATTTTTTCATCAGCGCGCACACCAATAATTTATGGCGAACGCTATAAAATTTTACGATAAAATATTTTAAAAGCTTTTTCCCTCGGCGCATCCGCAATTGAATCCATTATGCATGCGAAAAATAAAACCAGCTATTGATTAATTGATTGTTTGTTACACTTTGCTTACACAGTTTCTAGCTGGCGCACATAACCTATCATAACCTGGCATAATAACACGATTAGTAATCAAAGTGGGTACTGTGGATGCCGAATGCAAATAATCAATTTTAACTGTATCAAATTACGATAATTACAGAGGTGTAAGTACGCACAGCTTGTAGTTTGTGGAGCTGGGTAACAGATACGAATGCTAATGCGGTGTCGGTAAGGATGTGGAAGGAAAACGATTAAATATCGCAAGATATCAAAACGATGACAAGATCACAGTTATGTAAATAACATGCCATAACGGACTCGGCAAATGACCGCGCATGGATTTAATTCTTCTCGCGGCTGCAAATTGGCTTCCTGGCGTGCGCACCGAAAAGCCGAGAGGTGTCATAATATCATTATTAACATGATTGAAAATTACAATGGAAATTAACACCGCTAGGCGGTACATTTTTTGTTTTTGTGCAAAACGGTAAAAAACATTGTCAAGATATAAGATGAAAGCCTAGGTTTATAATTCGATAATCACACATAACATAACATAAAGCATAGAAAATTGCAAATTGTCCACGTAGCAAATTGTAAATTTATAAGAAAAATTTTTTGATCAAAATTAACTGCGCTAAGAACTGAAGACGGTTCAACTCGTAAATGTCAAGGACTAATATGGTCAATATATTGCTTTGAGTAGGTATGTACTGTATAATACCAGTTTTTATTAAATTTGATTCAACTCAATAAATTCGTGTGGTTATTAAATGCAGTGTAGCGTTAAATATTCATTACTGAAGGGAATAAAACAAACACGCAAAGGAACGCGCAACAATCGACCTGAACAAAACGTTCGAATGTATCATTAATGTTTACTTGATTAAGGTTGCTTCCCGGTACGATAAAAAGCTTTATTGCAAGTTGCAAGACAAAGCCAAACATTTGTTTAGAAATTTTATTTTAATGGAAAGGCAGATGGAATTAAACTTGATATTAAAATTATTATTTTTTCGATTGGAAATTGTGAAAAACTCTTTTATCTACTACGCTACAATGAAAAAACTAAAATTGCTTCAAAGGTATAGGAGGTACAGGGTGTTTATTGCTGAATTTCAAAAATTTATAAGAAATTGTAATTTTTTTTATTTTTTAAGGGTTTAGAGAGTGGACAATAGGTGATTATCATGAGAGAAATATTTCTTTATCACATTATAATCAAAAACTCAACAATATCGTAGTAATGCAGGAGATACTGAGTGTTTTTTGCACCAATCATTAAAAACTTTGCAAATTAAAAACTTTTGGCGGATATTTCAACTCTAACTCATGATTTATCATAATAAATATTACGCCAAATTCAAAATTATAAAATTTCTCCAAAGGGACAGGAGATACAGGGTGTTTTTTCGCGGAATTTCAATAATTTACAAAAAGTTGTAATTCTTGAGTGCTTTTTAAGGGTTCCGAGAGGAGAAGAAATATTTCTTTGTCATATAACAATCTAAAACCTAACAATATCTCATTAATTCTTCAGATTCAGAGTGTTTTCTGCTCTAATCATGAAAATTTTAACAAAACCAACAATTTTTGTCCTAAATTCAACCCCTAACTTTGAATTTATCCCAATAAATACCATAAAACCATGTTTATCAATCCATTTAAATTATTGATCATAAATACCACAAACAAAAATAAAGAAACGGAATAAATTCCTAAAGAAGTAATCCTTGATAAAGTTGCACCTGTCTCGGCACGTACCTGGCGACTTGTACCTCTCCTCTTCGCACGAAACAAATAATTCGCTTGTCTCGCTGTCGTTTCGAATCGAAAAAGTCCTTGATCACACACTTCTTTCTCCGCACTCCATCATTCAAAGCCACACTGATTGCGGCATGATTTATTTCTTACACCACTAGTAATTATTCATAATCCCATGTTTTCTGTGATACAAATTTCAATAAGAACAGTTTTTTCGCTTCAAATATGCATAAAGTAATCGTTTGGCATAAATAGGTTTTACCTCACCTCTTGCGGTATGTCGTTCACGTGTTAGCAACATTCTCTTCTTGTCGTGATAAACTATTGACCGATTGCGATTCGAACTACATATTGCAATGCGAAAGAATGCGTTCATTTAATATTAATATCAAAACAGTTATATGCAGGTATAACAATCATCTACCGAGTATTATTATTATTATTATTTGATGGATTTTTATGTATTAATGATTTATATGAAATAATAATTACTTTCCAGTTATGCAACGCCTTGTATTTGTTATTAAATATGCATGCAATTGTCGTCTTTGGAGCGCTTGAGTGCGTTTTCGATTTTCTGCATGAGCACATTGGCTCACACTCGCATCTAAACTTGCATTCAACATTCAACAAATTGTGTTAGCAATGTGACTCCGGGCGGCTCCCAACTACGACTACTCTATTCATTCTATTCATGCGCGCATAAATAAATCGCATGTTATAATAAATAATAAGCAATCAGGCGCTTACAATGATCATAAATAATATCCAATTCCGTAGTATTTTATGCCTCACGTGGATGCCACACGCCTTAGAGTTTATTCTAGGCAACCAATTGTACGCCCCACGTGCTGATACACATTTATCGTAAGTACGGTTACAATAATTGTTAGCTAATCGATAAACTGGGTTACCGGTATGTGTTTGGATCGCATTACATGCGCAATTTGCTATGTTAATGTCAATAATTAGTTTTGCATTAGTTTGTTAATTAAACACAACATTAAAACAGCGGCGCGCGTTGGGCAATGTTCCTATGATATTTGATTTGCCAGAGAGAATTAATTGATTCTCGTAAAATTTCTGAAAATGTCAGGTGATTACGCCGCTTTGAACACCGAAATTCCACACATTCTAAATTTATTATATATTGTGGAACAGGTGAAAGGCAGTTGTTAATTACTGTCACGTGTAAAATATATGCAATCAAAGCAACTAATTAATAATTATATAGGTTTTACGATGTAATATTGCAAAGATTTCGTGTATAATTTTTAGTTTTTTTTTTTGTTTAAAAAACATAGTTTTGATGTAATAACAAAATTTATGTAATCTCCGCTAATTGGTTGGTTTATTATGTTGCAGAAAGCGAAAAGATGCGATGGTTTCGTAAGCAAGGCGACGCTCCGCGCTTGCTGAGCCTGTCGCCATTGAGGACGGATTCCCATCGGCCGGAAGATGCCCTCATCGAGACACCGAAATTAAGCGTGAGACATGCACATGCACACCGATCTAGACTTGGTAAAAACAATCCTAAACAACATAAAAACTTTCTGTAAAACCATTTATTTCATATCTATAGATATGTCCTTGGGAAGTTGGAGAAACTCCAGCAATAAACACGAAACAAATTTTTATAATGTTGAAGAGTCTATGATTATTACCGAAAAATCTCATCGGAGGAGACATAAATCCCAACCACGATGTGACTTTAATAACCAAACATCAGAAAATATAACCCCTAACACCATGAATACATTTTCAAGTGGTGGGGGGTTCAGCCATAGAGAAAAACGTAATCCCCTGTTGGATAGAGTTAAACACACGAGGTTATCATGTTTTAAATCATCAACACCTCTTGATAACCTCACTAATCCTTCAACATCTGATAAGATAATAAACCCACCTCCGGATATTACAAGACATGATTCAATCATCTCCACGATACATAATGATAATGATAAATGTAATAATATTAAACCTGTTGTAAGAAGTAGTAGAAGCACAAGTAGAACTTATATCAAAGAAGATAGTGATTATGTTGATGGTAATAGTCCAGCTCCAATGAAAACAAACCCAATGGAGTGCTATGACAGCCTCCCGAGAGTCTCCTGCCTGTCGTCAAAGTTGCGCGCAATGTCCGAGCGTTATCTGCAATCGACGACGAATAGATTCATCGCAAAGTTGTACAAGCCGGCCGATGATGATCAGCCATTAGCGACGTCGACGCCGAGCAAAGGCTATCAGAGGTCTCGCGCCAAACTGCGCAGCTTCAGTTATGGCGCGCTGCCCGGTTTGGAAGAGTTCCAAAAGAAGACGGTGATCGAGTCCCAGAAGGCGGCGGCGGTGTTTGATAACGACAACGATAACGATAACGAAGACGACGATCAGGCGCTGCTCATTGATGGCGAGGACACTGACTCGGGGATCCTTGTCACCGACTCCTCATCCGCAATGGAGAGCGATAATGGCGATGGTGGTGATTTAGACTTGCAGATGAAGACGAGCAAAAAGCCGAGTGAGAGGATTCCGAATATTACGATGGTTGCACTGAAGAAGAGTGAACCCAGGGAGGAGTTGGGGATTTTGATTGCGCAGAAACAATCACCGATGAGAGGTTATGTTGTTGCACATATTGTACCAGGGACCTTAGCTTACAGGTTAGTTATTAACATCAACATAACTAAACTTTTAAATTAAATTTTTTTGTTTTTTTATTAGAGAAAACTCTTTAGCTGTTGGTGATGAAATAATCAACGTCAACGATCGTCTCTTATCTAATTTAACTGCTTCGGAAGCCCGTCAAACACTTAGTACCAACGCTTTAGAAGTCCATCTTTTAATATCAAGAGAAATTTCAAGTCCAAATGTTCCCAGTCCTCACTACCCATCACCTCCAAAACCCTCGGAATCAATAATACAAGAATCCCCTGTTGATTATGACCTTCAAAAAACAACCCCGGTATCAAGAAGACAACACTACTTCCAAAAGAATAGCAGCAGTCACAGTTCTCATAATAAAATCCTTCGGAGAGCTGTTGTAAGCTATTCAAACCACTCTAAACATGGCGACTCTCCTTTTAACAATATTACACCACCTCCTCCAATAAATCCATTGAATAAAAAAACGCGGGAAGACAATTTAGATCAATTACAAGTTTTCAACCCACAAAGTAAACTTATCCGATTAGATAGTGATTCATTGGATCAAGTGACCTCAACGAATTTTTGTACACTTCCAAGAAGACCCAGGTCATCAGTATGCTCGTTTCATACTGTTGTGTTGGAAAAAGGTCCCGGGAAGAAATCACTTGGGTTTACTATCGTTGGAGGAAGAGATTCACCGAAAGGTGCGCTGGGGATTTTTGTCAAGACAATATTGGCTAATGGTCAAGCAGCTGAAGATGGCAGATTACAAGCAGGTTAGTTATATTTTAACCTTACTTTTTTTTACAAAATAATAATAAATTTTATTTTTAAGGTGATGAAATCCTAGCTGTCAATGGTCAAGTCTGTCATGATATCTCACATGCTGATGCTGTGCTACTTTTCAAGACAATTAAATCAGGACCTATTGCTTTGCATGTCTCACGTCGTAAAACAAAAACGTAGGTTATATAAATATGGCTGATTTTAACCTAACCTCAATTTTATTTTAGGAGTAACAAAGCAAAATCCTGTACTGATTTGATGACAACTCCATAACTCAAATTAATTTTTAAATTATGAAAAATTAATTTTTGAGTTTTATGAAAAAAATATGATTTATATTAAATACTGCCCTGTTATTTTTGTAATTTTTACGTGCTCAATTTATATTATTGTAAATTTTCTATTTATTCTGCCAAATATTCTATTGTAAATGTGGTTTTTGTGATAAAGTCATTTTTAAATACTTTTATATTTAATTTTGTAAATATTCTAAAATTTATAAATATCTATATATATAAAATTTGCGTGTCACAGTGTTTGTTTCCATACTCCTCCGAAACGGCTTTACCGATTTTTACCAAATTTTATATGCGTATTCAGTAGGTCTGAGAATCGGCTAACATCTATTTTTCATACCCCTAAGTGATAAGGGTTGTTCACCCTTAATTTTTTTTAAAATTTTTGGACAAACTCTTTTGTTTTTATTTTTTTTATAATGTGGAATTAAAAAATACATACAACCCTAAATTTTTAGTTTTTTATCACCAACCCCTATTTCTGTATAGCCATTTTAGTAATTTAATCATTTTTCATCCCGCTCAAAGAAAATTTTTATATGCGTATTCAGTAGGTCTGAGAATCGGTAACTTCATATCTTTAAGTGATAAGGATTGTTCACCCTTAATTTTTTTTAAATTTTGGTCGAAATTTTTTGTTTTTATTTTTTTAATGTGGCATTAAAATATACATACAACCCTAAATTTTTGGTTTCTTATCACCAACCCCTATTTTTTATAATAAGTAAGTTACATTTTGTCTACACTAAAATTTATCTAGAAACTTGAAATAATTTATATGGCAAAACAACGTTTGCCCGGTTAACTAGTATAAATATATAAATGTCTGCTGAAATTATAGATTTTTCAGCATCCCCTCCAATTTACACTCATCCAGCCTCTCGTACATCTGTGCATCCCTACGAGATGGCGGCAACAAGTGCACGTGCTCCTACTCGATCTGCCATTAAAATTAACCACCCCCTCATAAACCTCAAAACGTTCTTTTTTCTTTAAATTTTCATGTAAAACAAGAAAAAAATAAACAATTTAAAATACAATTATTACTATAATGAAAAATGTAAGTATTAAATTAGTTTAATTGTAATTTGACGTTTGTTCGATTGTTTATTGGGGGTTAGATTCGTATTTCGATGCATGAATTAGTGCCCTCGAAAAATCAGCGCTCGATTTATACAATTGCGCTGCTATACGTCATCAGCAGCCAATTACGCGAATGCCAGTCTACGGCTAGGTGATACCAGAGCGTTAGGGGTGCAATTTCAGCCTCCATTACGACTTGATACATTAATATTTACGTTCAGGGGACAATTAGTGCTCAATTAATAAAGTGATGATGAATGTGGAGAGTGAATTAAGCGCATCGCAAGAGAAAAAGATGTTAAAGTGTAGATTATGTTCGAGTCCGGGTGAAAATGGCATAATGGCGTTTAGTGACGAGGGGTTGATACGGTGTCTTCAACAACACATTAAAAAATATTTATATATTACGGTAGAAATTAATATTTTCAGTAATTATAAATTAATTTAAAAATAATTAAAATTTTAGGTGACTATGGATGATAAACTAACAAAATTCGTCTGTTCGGAGTGTTTGAATATGTTGGAAAGTTTTCACTGCTTTGCAATAATGGCGTCGCAAAGTCAACGTGATTTAATACAAGCCTCCAAAGATGAAACAAGTAAAAAAGCAACAACCAACGGATTATTACATGCATATCTAACAAAAGAGACAGTGAATAAAGATCATGATTATGCAACAAGTGAGAAAAATAGCAAAAAGAAACGAATTCGTAAATTTAAAGAAAAAAATATTTCATCAATACCAAATCAAAATAACAACAATAATATTAATAATAACAACAATAATAATAATAATGAATTATTAATTGACGCATCTGATTCTAACACTCATGAAACCCTCGAAATCGTCGTAGATCCATCTTTGTACTTAGAAAGCAGTTGTGAGAGTCTCCAAGATGACCATAACCACTCACAACCGCCATGTTTGATGTGCGATTTTAATTTCACGTCAATTTCACCGAATTCAATCGATGGTGATCATAATGAAACCAACAACAATGAAAAGTGTTCACATGATGACACTAACAATGATAATGATGATAATGGAAAAGATTATTCATGTCCAATTTGTGGAAAGAAAAATTTTACTCCTGTTAACTTAAAACTACATCTGCGGATACACAGGCCTAAAGGGAAGCATGAGTGTGATATTTGTAAACGAATGTAATAATATTTTATGATGAAGTGAATGGAAATGATATTAAGTTTTGTTTGTTTGTAGATTTAAATCAAACGCGAATCTGGCTCAGCATAAAATTTATCACAATCGCGTCCAGTTTCAATGTGAGATATGTCAGCGAGTGTATCCAACGCAGAGTACTCTCAAAGCGCATGCAATCACGCATAGTGACCTACGACCACATCAATGTCAACTTTGTGAGAAATCATTCAAACGCAATCAAGACTTAAAGGTAAAATAAAATATAAAATAGACATTGCAGCGCCATCTGTGTATAAAAATATTAAACTAAAACAAATAAAATTCATAATATCTACATTGTGCTGCCATCTGATGGTTTAAATTAAAAGCTTTGATTGTAAAACTTGCAAAGTTGTAAATGACATGATTTTACACTAATTTACCGCTTTGTTTGCAGTTTCACATGAATCAACACACCGGCGCACGCCCATATAAATGCATATATTGCCCGAAAGCATTCGCGAGCTCTGGAAATTGTTTCTCGCATCGCAAACGTATGCATCCGGACGAGGTGGAGCGCGACCGTAATTTTGCCGCAAAAATCCTCCGATAACACGTATAATTATTTAGTTAATTACAAATTTTATATAAATATATATACATATATAAACTAGTAAATATACTGATAAAAAACCGTCATATCATTCAGTATACAAAGCAGTATCACGAGCAGTATGAAAATCAAAATCAATCAAAACTGACCGAATTTTATTTTTAGTTGTCTGGATACCAGATTAGATAACTTATATTTATTATTATTATTGTAATTGTAGATAAACTTATAACTTGTAAAAAAAATCAAATAAAACTTGTTGTTTCTATTATTTATCTCGACGCAATAATAAAATAATAAAAGTTGCTTATCAATTAATTAGCGCTCGACGCGCATGAGACGGCAAACTTTTCAATTTTGTTGTAATTAACGGAATTATTTCATTATTTACGTTAATTACAGACAGAAAATAATGCCATGTGAACTTTGGACAGCTGGCTGCATTTTTAATTTAATTACGTGCTTAATGATTACCATTCTTGTTGTTTTAAATTATAAATTAGATGAATAATAATACGGTATTATTAGACTGCTGATAACTCAATTTTGCGCATCAGCAGAATACAAGTCAATGTTGTAATAAATAAGTTTTGGCTTAAGTCACGTTGAGTTTTGACTTAGACTTGAATTTCTTACAAATGGAAAACTATGACTTATTATCTAGTATCTACTCAAACACTAGAACACTAGAACACTGTTTGAGTCCCGTCTCACTCTGGACGTGTATTTACCACATCTGACCTTCGGCATAACCTCTCCCAATCTACCAACGTGTACCAACGTCTTTTATAGCCTTTCTCATTTCCACCTTATCAGATGTGTATTATGTTGTTTCGGTTGACGAGTAAAGGAAAGGGGAAAGACGGATCGATGCGAGCGCGTTGCGCGTGTGCAGCAGCGATGCCCGCCGGTAATAAAAGCGCGCGGCATGCACGCCGTCTAAGCGCGGCAATCCCCGCTGGTGTGGTGAAGTTTGCGTACGGCGGCGATTCAGTTGTTTTGCGTGCTTCGGTGCGGAAATGTCAGTGGGTCATCGCGACTCGCCGACGACGACCACGTAAACCACACACGCGCGCACAAACAAAACAAACGATGACAGAGGAAGCCGTCAGCGCGCATCAGCTGGTCGAGCGTCGCCTGGGTCACAATGGCATCGTACAACCCCTTCTCACAGGTATAAAAAACTACCCTCGAATTTCGCCTAGTATTTTCACGCAAGCAACAAGCGCTTCCATTCATTCATTCAACGCATTGGCTTGCTAGAATAGAAATTCTACCTAACCTTCAATCGCGATTGTAAAGTTTTATTCAAGTTTTATCACACAAAAATGATGGTAACTTTCCAGAGACGCGAGCGTTCGTAACGTCAGCAAAACAAAACAAATGTTGTTTAGCATTGCGTTCGGTGACATTTTGTCGTACGCTCAATTTATTAGGTCAAACGCGTTACAAAATCCAATCGCATTTACATTCACGAAATTCACATTGCGCACCAATCAACTAGCAACGAATACCAATACCAATATTCATTTAATCGACTTTTAATGAATTATTACTTAGGTCTATTCGTGCGCACGTAAATAAATCAACAACGCATTTTTTCATTTAAAATTGTTTCATGGGATTCCCCTGATTCTTTGCTTTTAAAAATAAAAATTGCAACATCATGAATTTTCTATATCTGGTAAAATGACTCATTGATAACGGATTTTTATTATTCTGTTATTTTTTATTCTGAAAATTTCTTTAGATTTATACCAAATCACAATGGCGTATGCCTATTGGAAGTCAGGCAAAACGAAGGACCATTCAGTTTTCGACCTGTTTTTCCGGAGGAACCCTTTCCAAGGTGAATTCACCATTTTCGCCGGCCTTGAAGAGTGCCTCAAGTTCCTGGAGCGGTTCCACTACTCCGAGAGCGACATCGACTACTTACGCAAAACCTTGCCCAGTACCATTGAAGATGAATTCTTTGTGTACCTCAGTCAGTTGAACACCAATGACGTCACTGTGTATGCTGTCCCTGAAGGTTCTGTTGTATTTCCACGGTATTATTATTTTTATTAAAAATCTAGTTTAGATTTTAAATATAAATATTTCTAGTGTGCCTCTAATGCGAATTGAAGGACCATTAATAATCGTGCAATTACTGGAGACGACTTTACTGACGCTGATAAATTATGCGAGGTAAAAGTTTTGTTTTGTTGAATATGTTGTGTTTTTATCCGCATAATTGGTATTTTTAGCTTGATGACGACGAACGCCGCCAGGTACCGCATGGCGGCGGGTGATCTTCAGCTGTTTGAGTTCGGCCTCCGGCGGGCGCAAGGCCCCGATGGGGGTTTATCCGCTTCAAAATACAGTTACATAGGTGAGGCATAAACTTTCGCAACTTATCAACTTGATGAGTCACCTAATTGCGATTTCTTCACGCGCGGTGGTGCCAGGTGCCAGGCACCCCTGAGATTTATAATCTTGCTAAGTCGGTGCCTGGCACCGACACAATCGGCATATCTAGGTCAATCGTCGACGAACGTTTGACTTGTTTGACTTTGCCACAACAAAGCACATAAAATCCGCGCTCGTAAACTAAACTGTTGTTGATTGTAGGTGGTTTCGATGGAACAAGCAATGTCCTCGCCGGTAAACTGTTCAACATTCCGGTGAAGGGCACCCATGCGCATGCGTACATCACTTCGTTCACAGGCCTCAATGAATTACGCACGCAAACGTTGATACACAAAGGCGGTGGAGACGAGGTGGATTTACTGGAGGCGTCAACCACGTGGCGTGCACGTCTCGTTGATCTATTCAAGGTCGTTGGTACGGAAGCCAATGATGGTGAATTGGCGGCGTTGATTTCGTTCGCCATCGCCTTCCCCGACGGCTTCATGGCGCTTGTCGATACGTACGATGTAAAGAGGTATCCCTGTCGCATGACCCACGCCATCACAATGTGGCCTGTCACTCTGCCCAACACTCTATCGCATAACGAGTACAGGTAACCGGCATGCCAGCCTAGTTGCATGCATCAACCGGACTATATACAATTATAAATCAGAATTCAGAACCGCAACAATCGAATCAGCGATCATTTTACCGTTTATATATCTTATTGCCGTGTAGTTCGCTGATGTCCTACGTTAGTTCTTGTCTCTCAATGTGCAGCCAAATCACTTTAGTCATACACAAAAAGACGCTTTATACAAAAAATAAAAGGGCTAACCGAAGATTTCTGTCCGAAAACGGAATTATCCACAGCAGGGTATGTAAGTCTACCGCTGCTGCACCTCCAAGTATGAATTAATGTGTAGATCAACCACGTTATGCTTTAGATTTTTTGAACGCAGTCGATGAGAGCGAACAGAGTGTCGGCCAACTTTGATGATGACACGTGGGGCGCTTAACATTCATTGTTGGTTGTTGTCTCTTAGTGTGATTGTGAATTTGTACAACTAACAACACTTTTTCTTCTTTTTTTAAATTATTTTCTACCTTTTTAAAGTAGTTATCAACACTAATCAGTGTTTGTTTGTTGTTGTATGCTGTGCTACTTACAATCATTTATTTTTGCATTCATTCTTCATTCCTCTAATAACACTTACTGGGTATTTTGAGAACTGCATGCGAATTTTAAAGGCTGCATACACTTTTTCTATTTAACCACTGTAGTAGTATCTTTAGAGTGTTGGTGCACTTTTTAAAATGCAGCCTTTGATGTTCCAAAACATATTTTAATTTTGAATTGTATTTTTTAGGAGTGGTTTGTTGAATTTCTGCTCCGTGGCGTTGGCCCTACATGATTTGGGTTACAAAGCGATTGGTATACGTATTGATAGTGGTGATTTGGCTTATTTATCCAATGTGGCTCGTCATTACTTCACTGAAATATCAACCACTTACAACATCCCGTGGTTTGCTGATTTGATGATCATGGCTTCGAATGATATCAACGAAGAGACAATTCTGAGCCTGAATGAACAAGGGCATAAAATTAATTGTTTTGGTATCGGGACCCATCTGGTGACATGCCAGAGACAACCAGCTCTGGGTTGTGTATACAAAATGGTTGAGTTGAATGAGCAGGCCCGGATTAAACTGAGTCAGGATGTGGGCAAGGTGACAATGCCTGGCAGGAAGGATGCGTATCGTTTGTACAGCGAGAGTGGTTTCGCGTTGATTGATCTGTTACAACAGACGTATGAAGAGGCACCACAGGTGGAGAAGAAGGTTTTGTGTCGACATCCGTTTGAGGAGTCGAAACGCGCGTATGTCATTCCTTCGAAAGTGGAGAAATTACACAGGGTGTGCTGGAAAGATGGGAAGATACGTGGCCCACTGCCCAATCTCAAGGATATCAGGGAGAGGGTTAAAACTTCTTTGAAGACGCTCAGGCCTGATATCAAACGAAATTTGAATCCTACACCTTTTAAAGTAAGTTTTTTTCTCGAAAATTTAATTTTTTTATGATTTAAACTTTGTTTTGTGTTGCAGGTAGCCGTAAGTGACAATTTGTACAACTTTTTACACGATCTATGGTTAAAGAACGCACCAATTGGAGAATTATCTTAGATAAATACAAGAATAATGAAAGCACACACGCGAATCATAAAAACAACTTCAACAATTCCAAAACAAGACAAAAAAAAACTCAATAAGTAGTATTAAAAAGACGTTTTTGTATAATTTTGTAAAACACCACTAATCAAACTAACAAGTTGTTGCCTTAGGCTGTGAACTGTCCGACAGAATTTACAACAAGTGTAATAAGTTAACCTAGGGGCAGCTGACCGAACGGAATTACTTGCCTGCTGCAGAAATTATTTTTCTACTCTTGTTGATTGAAACAACGTAGGAAACAATTGGGAGATCAAATCTCATCACTTGTATGTTGATGAGGATAATTGTGGAATCATTGATTTGTTCGAAATCAAATCTTGCAATCATGTATCAGTGTAACACTGAATGCCTTTCAGCAGAAATTATATGGTACAAGTAACTTACAATAAGATTTAGTCAGTAATGTTTGATGTTTGCGATGTCAAACGATAAATTAATTAGTTACTGTATGAGAAATTAATATATGGGTTGAACAAACTGGAAAAATTTGATTATTTTGTTCCTTTTGAATGATTTTTAGTAGTTTTGTGTTGTATTTTGAGGTTATTTCTTTGTTAACCTTATTTATGAACTAGACATGCTTAAAATTATGATGTTTTTTGAGATAAAATTGATTTTTAAAGTGAATTTAATCAATTTTCATGCATTAATCATCTTTTAAAGCCAAAAAAGACTAAAATCCAATACAATTTGATCTTCAGATTAATTTTCAGGTGTTTTATATTGTAAAATTGAGGTTATGTTTATTTTAACCAAATTCATGCATAAAATTATAATATTTTTTCCAAATAAAATCATTTTTAACTAAATTTAAGCATTTCTCATGCTTTAATCACCTTTAAAATACCAAAAAAAACTAAAAATCCATTCAAATTTTATCTATTTTCAACTCAAAACGTTTTTTCTTTTACCTCCAAAAGCCTACTCCCACGGTTTCCACCTCAACACCACTAGATGCCGTTACCGGTACCAAAATCGCGTTTATTCCTCACCACTCATCGGTCGTAATCGGCACTCGCATTCAGCAAACGCCCAGCGTGCCAACAACTGCGCCGCGCGCCGATTACATACAGTACTGTTATCTTACTCCCTCGGTCTGTGCGGCCGTGCGACGAGTCCAGTGAGTCATTCACTCAAAATATACACGGCATACGCGCCGATTCCGCTTGAGTTCGCAACACAACGTCCGACCAGTTATCGCCGATTACGCCCAGCGCACCGGTGAGTACCTTTTCATTCAATATTCATGCGATATTCCGCGGAAATATTTCTTGTACGGCTGGCAAACTTTCATTGCGGTGAAGTGGCCTTTGTTGATGTTTTGACAATGACCTTAGAAGACTAGAATCATAACCTAAAATGGTCTTAGTTGCGGAAAATTACTCACTACACTCGCGGAATACTCTAATAATTACATTGCCATGAGTAATGACAACAAAATTGTTTGTTGGTTGTATCATACCTTATAAGGTGATTTATAACCAAAATATTTGTGAGTAATTAGTGAATTACTCATCAACGAAACAAGCTACGATAACTATTCTTTCATTAGCTTGTTCCTAATTTAATTCTGCATTATTTAAAAGAATAACGACATTGATAACTATTTACAATAATTTTTTATAAACAAATAAAGTAATTTTTCTAAAAATTAATTTTAAAACCTTATAACTTTTTAAATAATCACCAAAATTGTTTAATTTTTACGTGATTATACACAGAATTTAATCTTGAATATAATCCTATAAGAACCAAGATAATATCTCTTCTCATTTTTAAGTAATTAATTAAAAACGATGTGAAAACATTGAAGCCGCGATGAAGAGCTGATTGACGTCAGCAATTTCGCTGCGTTTCGGTGCGGTAAGCATTAAATTTATCGATGCCACATGCAGGACGTCCTCATATAAAACCCACAGATTGTTACGCAATGTATTCAACGCTCTATTATCAGTAGAATCTCAGTTGTTCACTGATAAAGCGAAAAAAAACAAAACGATACGAGAGTGGAATATCTGGAATATCTGACGATCTGCGAGAGTATTTCCCGTTGTTTTCCATCAGATGTCGCCTGAGGTTACCGGCCGGCATCCCTAAACTAGGGGTGGCTTCAACTAGGCTCACTAGGGGCGTAGCATCTCGGGTAGGGATGCTGTGCTCGCGATATTTACACGCCAAACGGCCTATCGTGCAGTATTATAGAATAATGTGATTATTGTGCTCTGTTTTGTGATTTAATACAACGAGTGTAGTTAATAATAAATAAAAACAATGTTCGGCAATTGTTGCGGGCGTAAAAAGGCCAAGAAGAAGGAAACCAAGGACGCTGAGACCCAAAGCGAGTATGAGTTATTCGATGAGAAACACGAGATTGATAATGAGATCGCGAAAGTTCCTCTGGATGATACCGCCGACAACGGGGGTGATAACGAAGATAAACTATGTGATAATCAGGATGCGGCCATTGTGGACCAACCCCATACACTTCACACGCCTGATGTGCGAATTGCTCAAGAAATAACCCCGGAAAGCCCAATCAAAGAAGCACAAATCAAACCAATCCATGAACAACCTCAACCGCAACCTGTTAAATCTCTTCAAAAACAAGCAAAAGTCGAAGGTTCATTAGAACTCCCTGAAACCCCGCGATCCCAGGAATCTGAATCACAACCAGATCTTACTGTTTTGATTAAAGTGAATGGACATGATTGCCGCCCACAGGACTCAATCGAAAGTGAATCGGTTATTGATGATGAAGTTTTTGAAGAAGGTGTTGGTCCTCCGATAAAACTAGCGAAAAACATGGGTAAACCACTTGCTAAGGGACAAATTCATGTCCCGCTCCCAAACTGGTTATCAGAGGAAGATGACACTGAGGAGAGAGGTGGGACACAGGAACCGCCCGCGACGCCAATCGGTAAAGACGAGCTGGCGCTGCGAAGACACCGATTCTTCTCGGAGTTACTCTGTGCGGCGCAGAACGCCACCGAACACAAAGTGCATTTTGATCCACTAGGACCTAGTGTTGCAGGGGCAGGGGTTGGTAAGTGAGAGAGAAATTAATTTATTTGTGTGTGCAGCAGCGTTGCCCTTTTTGTGTTGTTATGCTCTCACCCCACGCGAGGACAATGCACGTGTCAACTCACGACAACCCCTTGCGTTCATAAATTCTACTCTGCCATAGCCACATACAGGCTGATACAAAATGTATTTTTGTTATTATGTTGAGTATTCTAAGGCGAGTATAATATTCGGATTGCTTGCCAAGTGGAACATTGGATAAAAATATCCTAGACGTGTTGGTTTTCCACGATTTTGGTACTTTTGATGCACCAACGCGTTTATTGGCTATTTATAACTTGAGTTTTCAACAGTCGATGATAGTTTACGCTTGTTTTAATCTGCTTAGTGCGCTTTCGTGTCTTCTATCGCGGTATTTGTCGAAGATAAGACCATATTAAGGCGGATTTCACTTCGATCCTTACCTTAATTGGATTCGCGACCAGTACCACTGGTCTAATTCACGTTTTATTGACCTTCTACACCGAGTGAGGTACAATAACAACATATTTAGAGCGTGAACTGTTTTGTTTTATAAATGCTTGCGATTGTTAATATTGTGTGATGTAGGCAACCAGTCATGCGTGAAATTTTCATGCCAACCGTTTCATAAATTGTGAGGTTAGACCAGTTTGAAATTTTACGCATTTTAATTCTTGTGATTATCTTGCAATCACACCAGCGCGCATTGAGATTTATACATCAGATGAAAGATAATGACATTGTTTAATGGATTTGAGTACTTACAGTAATGAGTTGGATGTTTTTCTAAGTGAAAACTGTATTTGAAGCCGCACACGATACGTTGCTTGAACAAGCTTGGCGTACTTTACGCATAGGCAACTTTTTATACACCAAACACTAATTCGAATAAACCGAGTGTTGGAAATCTTGTAATTTATGTTCTGATTTCTTTTTTCTTGTGGCATATGTTTGATGGTTTACGATGTCGTTGACATTTAGTATCACGATAAAAATGTCACTTTTACGCCCGACCTTTTAGGGGCGCTGGAGCCCAACCCAGTAACATTATACGCGAACGCAAACAAAACACAATTAATTAAACACCGTTGTAACTTTTTACTACTTTCGCCATTTTCTAGATGCACCTCATTCGCAAGAACTTGAACAACTCGTCTCACGTTTAGAAAACGTCACCTCGCGACTTGAGAACGTTTGTCAGCCAGTACAAGAAATATTGTAATGATTTCATGTATTTTCTTATAGGAATGACACTAATTTTGATTTATTTTAAAGAAAACTTAGTTCTTGTGCGTCCCTGCAAGATTTCCTGGACACACCACTAGAAACACCTCTACCGCCACCAGTCCCCGACTCACCGGAAACAGTCATCTTCAACGAGGTCACCATGAGTGTCTACGGATATCAGGATGTGATGTCAGGACCTCTGGCGCAGTTTCTAGCCGTTTCCCAACAATTGGGAGGAGATGTGGCCACGCATGCCGCCATGGTGAAAACAGCATTCGATACCCAGCTGCAGTACATCGTCATGGCCAGCGAGTCAAAGCAACCCTCACAGGGAGACATCAACAACCTGATCCAACCAACAGCCAAGTGCATCCAGCAGATTCAGGAATTCCGCGAGAAGAATCGTGGCTCACCGTATTTCAATCATCTATCTGCCATCAGCGAAAGTATCCCTGCTCTTGGTTGGGTTGCAGTCAGTCCCACGCCAGGACCCTATGTCAAGGAGATGAATGACGCCGGTCAGTTCTATACCAATCGTGTATTGAAGGATTGGAAGGAGAAGGATAAGAAACACGTTGATTGGGTGAAGGCGTGGGTACAGACGCTCACGGAACTTCAAGCGTTTGTTAAACAACATCATACAACTGGTTTAGTATGGTCTGGTAAGAATACACTTGCGGGAGGAGCACCTCCACCACCTGGACCACCGCCACCACCTGCCATGTGTGATATCAGTGCACTATCAGTGGATCCCAGTCAGGATAGGTCCGCGTTGTTTGATCAAATCAATCAAGGAGCTGATATTACTAAAGGTAACTTATTAGAAACAAAAATTATGAAGATTTTGACATTGTTTATGTTTATGTTTAGGATTAAAAAAAGTCACTTCCGATATGCAAACTCATAAAAACGCGGCCCTACGTCAAGGACCTGCACCTTTCAAGACACCAGCAGGTGCGGGTGCTACTTGTGTACGATCAGCTGCTCCAGTTGATAAACCACCTGTTTTCAACCGTGATGGTAAAAAGTGGATGATTGAGTATCAGAAAGGCAATCATAATCTGTTGGTTGAGGGCGCTGAGATGAACAACGTTGTTTATCTCTTCAAATGCACCGATTCGACGGTCACGGTCAAGGGCAAGATCAATTCAATCACGCTTGACTCCTGCAAGAAGACTTCCGTTGTTTTCGACAGCCTTGTTTCCGCCGTGGAGTTTATTAATTGTCAATCGGTGCAGATGCAGGTCCTCAGCAAGGTGCCCACTATTTCGATTGATAAAACCGATGGATGTCAAATGTATCTGAGCAATGATTCACTCAACGTGGAGATTGTCAGCTCGAAATCGTCGGAGATGAATGTTCTAGTCCCCAAACCAAATGGAGACTATGTAAGTATTATATCTTGTGCAAAAAATGAATATTGTGATGTTTATTGTTTATTTTTTGATAGGCTGAATACCCAATCCCTGAACAATACAAAACGACCGTGGTCCCCGGTGGTCTGAGCACTGTCATCGTCGAGAGCAAAGGCTAAGCGTGAAGAGTCGTCAGTATTCGTGCGATTTTTCAATTTTATACAGAATTACTACGGTACGATTTTTAACTTATCAAAAACAATTTGTAAGATTATACAGGCGTGTTTTTAATATGGCATAGTGATGTAATATTAATATAATAACGTTTGTACTATTAATATTAATTCTTAATCATGGTTTCTTTTTGGTTGTGGCTTTACACTTGCATTATTCACCGAGGTACAGACACTGATAATCTAGACCGACAAAATGAATATGAATGATAAATAAATTCAGCTTTACGATCAAACACGTGCGTTTCCACATATTTATTACACCTCTTGAGACTTGGGCATCAATAGCAGGTAGGAGTGATGTCTGTGTATATGAAACAGACCAAAATTGAGGCAAAAACAGAAGAAAAGAGCTTAAAATCATGTGAATGGATTGCTGGACCATTTCGGCACTATTTAACAGCCTGGTTGTTGCGTGCTGTCTTTTTATACCTGCAGAATACCCGCAAAAAGTGGAGAAGGAAGTAACGAAGCAGTCTGGATGTATTTGAGCTGTGCATCTGTTCAAATCACAAAACAACAGAATTCACAGCAATTTAAAGGTTTTCCAACCATTTTTACAGGTTGGGCATGAATATAGAGGTAAATTGGTACATCCTTTCTTGAAATATCCATAGCATAACATCCGCAACTTTGTTTTTTGTCCAAAACATTAAATTTTTATCCTAATTCTGTTAGTTGAGTTTGTTTTGGTGTATACTTGGTTGCCTATAGAAAATTAGCCTTTAACCTTTAAGTTTTCCCTCAAAAACCGAAGAAAGTAAGTAATTTATTTAATATTCTACAAATAGTTTAAATATTCAATACCCCTATAAATATTATCTCATAAAACACAATACCCCAGAGTAAAAGAAACAATCTGCTGCAGTTTTTGCTGTATTTCATATTTATTTTTTATTTTTATATTAATTCACAGTGTGTCGATTATTATTACTGCACTAAACAGAATCATAATATTTCTCAGTTGTTCATCAAACGAAAACCAAAAGGTCCAAGATAAAGAGAGGTAGACAGGGAAGAAAGAAATCAATAAATTGTTACGCATACGCATCGCTTAAGTATACTTTAGAAATGCAGTACATGTGCAATATGTGTCCGCCATCATCATCAACATCATCATCATCAAAAGACAAGGAAAAGGAGTAAGTAAAGTAAAGAAGAAGCATGTGAAAGGTGTGCACAACGGCATGGTCGCACCGCCACCGCCAAAATGTATCATATATCACATCGTTATTATATTGTTTGAGTCGGCGGATGGCGGCAGTAAGTAAGTAGTTCACGTGTGAGGTTAGGAAAGAAGGAAACAGGAGAATTGCTAACGACCACTTCGTCCTCGTGGCTTGCAGCATCAAAACAAAAAAATGCCGATCTAATTAAGTACATACACTTATTCTCCGCACGTCAAAGTCAAACAAAAGACTACTCAGGTGCTAAGGGTCGTAGAGAAGTGTGAAAGGGTGGGGGTGAGTGACAAGAGGTATAGAAGGTCGTGAAAATGACGCGATGGGCGTGATATTGTATAATTTGTTGCTTGTTTCGCTTAAATTCTGTAACATTCTTGGTCTAGGCCGCGTCCCCTGTCGAAGGGCTGAGGGCCGGGTGCGGATATGCGCTCGATTTAACTACACATTATATGTTGTACACACATATTCAATATGGCGGCCAGTCACCACCATCATTTGCGCGCATTCTTGCATTTTTGGTTGCTTCATCATCCACATCGTCGGCAATAAATAAACTTAAATGCTACGGTTTTTAGTTTTGGTTGGTTGGTTGTCACGTTTGTGTGGAGAGATTGTACATATATCGTATCTTTAGTTGTATTTTACGTTTATTATTTTTTGTTTGTTTTGCGTGCGTGTTGAGACTTTTTTTTGTTTTGAGAGACTACAATTACATTACTTACGATTAGATTGTACACTAGACAAGACTAGATTCAATATTGTTCATTTCTCCGCCATTTAATTTAATTAATTACAGTACGCAAACGCAAACCCGCACCGCTTTGATTTGTGGAGATAGTTTTTGAATAGTTTTCCACGCTAGGGGTTAAACATTTTCTCTTTCGGCCGCTAGGCGGCGCTGTATACACGACGCTTTGTTTCTTTTTTGTTTAAAATCTAAAGTGTGAGCGGTAGACATTTTGTGTGTTGTGTGTTTTGTGTTGTGGTGTATCATTAGCGCCATGTTTGTGGTCATTGTTCATTTGTTTTCGATAAATCAATTGGTGTTTGTTTGCATTTTGTGTGTTTTGTTAAGTTTTGCATCTATTGCTTTCTCGGTGTGCTGTAGCAGCGATACGCCATCTTTGGTTCTCTGATTGTTATTGTCTGGTCGCATCCTCGTGTGTGTGCATCCCATTGTGCGCTTGCTTATCGTTATACACTCGTAGACACATCGATTTATTGCAACTGCAACCCGAGTTTAGGCGTGTTTTCGATTGAATTTGAGAAGTGGGGTCTTCTTAGGCCGCGGGCATCCAGAAAACAATTGAATTATTCGCACAAGTTTGTTGTTGGTTGTCGTTATTAAGTCGGTTTTGTGGTTGTTGTTGGTGGCTGGTTGGTTTGCTTGTTCGTTTGTTTAAACTTGGAGCACTGAGAGGGCGCTGGCGGGCGGCTGTTAGCCGTGCGCGCCGTCGTTGTCGAGCAGCATTGATGCACTGTCGGCGGCGTCGCCGCCCCCCGCCTGCTGTACCAGTGATTTGTACATCGACGAGTTGACGAAGCGCGGGTAGCTGTCGCGATGCATTAGGGTGTAGATCTGCAGCTGGGCTTCGTCGAACGTCGCTGGGATTGGCTCCACCATGTTGCGATTCACGATTTCTCGGACTCGAGAATCCAAAGACACCTAAAAACATTCAAATCCATTAGTAAATAGAATAATTCTTTGAGTTTTGTGTTAGTTTTTGTTATGACAAGGTTTAAACACATCAAAACACAGGAAAGAGAGTTTTTTGTGTGTTTGTTTCGCTTTTACGCATAAACCACTGAATATTTTTTGATAAATTTTGGTATAGAGATAGTTCTGATAAAGGAAAATGTCGTAGACTACTTTTTGCCACAAAAAAAAATTTTTAGGGTGAAAAATAAGGGTTGAAAGTTGATATGGTGATTTTATAATAGTTTTAGTTATATAATTCGCATCTAGATGGCGCTAAAGTTCAATATTAGCATTTTTCATGTATAAAAATTAAAATTTCTGATTTCTCTCGAAATTAACCCCAAAATTCTTTCAAAACTTCCAAAAATTTCAAAAAATTTTCCGAAAAAATCAATTTAAAGCAATTAAAATATAATTTTTCAAATCCTAACCTCTCTCGGTGAAAGAATCGATATAAAGTCTTCGTAGATAATCCTCGCTTTCTCCTCGATGGCCTCAGGACTGGTCTCCTTCTTGAGCTCCTCGCACGCCAGCCAGAACAGGATGTTCTCCTCGGAGTATTCGCATTTGAGGAACTCGCGAAACACCTTCCTTCCAGCTGCAAATTTAATATATGCACACATTCAGCGCATGACTCCCGACATAGTTGTCTGTCTCTCCATGTGGGTAGTGAAATTAATTATACTTTGCTTACCGGAACTTCGCATCAGTTTGTCGAACGACCGACCCCAACTTCGTATCTCCTCCAACGACGGACTGCAAACACACCAATAATATAATTACTCACGAGCACAAAACACAGGTTAAATTAAATTAGAGGTTAGGAATGTGTGAGTGTGAGTGTAATGTAGGCAACCGGGATGACATTTGTATAAAAACAATTTTTATGCAATTGCTGTGAATGGGAAATAGATTGACGTTATCTTTTTGGTGTATCGATCGCACAGCGTATACATTATACATATTTCATCATTAAGTTCAATATAATAATAATTATGGGTCAATAAATGGAAGAAAAACATTACTTACGGTGGATCTCCGTCAATATTAGGCCCTTCTGAGTTTACTTTCGTCGGTCCGTTTTCGTCACTGCCTTTTCCGGGAGTCGAACTGCAAAATAATCAAATTTTTATTAATTTTACAATAATTATTAACAAATTATTAAATTTTTTCACCGAAATTTTATCTTCCTGATGAGATATTTCATCATCGAGGCACCAATCCAATTTTATATATTTTATTATTTAATTTACACTGAATTGTTGTTTAAAAATCTCGATCGGTGAAGAAGAACGCGACGTGCAATGGCGACTGACGAGCGAGTTTCCCGATACGCTCGACGCATGATCGTGCCGCGTGATGAGCGCGTCGGCAATTTTCCCGATAACAAGTGACGATCGCGCGCCCGCGTCCCAACCTACAGCTGCGAGCTAAATTAATAATTGATAATCAGCTACACAAAGTGATAACAACCCCTTTGTACACCCGCGCGCGGCATAAACATATCTCTTAAGCGGTTTACTCTAGGCAACCCAATTGACACAATGGGTATACTGACACTCTGTATAGGCTATAGAAGTGAAGTTATATTATGAATTGTGTCGCGCCTGTTGATATTCGGTTACCTGGGCGACTGGTAAATAATTTATGATGCGGTGGATAGTTTTCTTGTATTTTTTGTGTTTTTTGACATGTCAAGGTTATTCAAGTAAGAAATCATTAAAATTTAAGGTAGGCAACCAAGTATACATGTTTTTTATATGGTGGTTATAAAAATATTTTTAAAAATGTTTTTTTTGTGTTTAAGGTATTGGTATGAATTTAGGTTAGGTTATAAAATGATTTCGTAAGCATCGCGCGTGTGCACGCCGCGCCGCACCAACGAAACACCAAGTCGTTGAGAGATAACGTAAATATTAGTATGTATCGAAAGTAAACCGACGCTGGAGCCGTGCTGCCGTTTGAAAGTCACAGCGCAATGAAGATTTTCTACATACGTATGTTTTCACTAAATACCTATACGAAATTTTTCTGCTTACCAACAACTACAGCAACAGCACCAGCAGAGTCGACACGGCCGCTGGCGTAGTGGGCCATTGCCGCCGGCGGAGGCCGCGCCCTGCTGCCCGCCGCCCTTGGAGTTGGGTGGCGTCGCGAGGCTGGTGTTGCTCGAGCCCTTCGGCCGGCAGCCGCCGCCCCCGGCGCCGGCACGGTTCTCAGGCAGACGCTCGCTTACGCTACAGGACATCTGCAACCAAACATAAAACATAACCTCAATCGAAATTATTTTGTCATCAGTTGGTATATATGCTGCGATGATTTAATTAATTAGGACTTGCTCAGGTAGGGCAAAGTGTAATTAAATAGAAATACAATGGTAGGTAGTACGAGAGGGTGAGTGCGCGTCAATGCAGTATTTGTCAAGCCAGTAGGTGTGCTGATGAGACCTCTAATGGTCGAAATAGCTATCCACATCAGGCTTGACAAATACTTGCATTGACTTGCAATGGTTTAGTAAAAATATCGTTTTGGCGATATTGTGAGGGTGTAATTAAATAAATGCGAAATTATGTGACGACGGGGTTGGAACGCATTAACGCCGTTATAAATTGTGTAAACGGGCGAAAAGGTTGATAATCCTTAAAACACATTATTTAAAAATCAATATTATGACAAAATTCGTATTATTATATTGTGTATGTTGGGTTGCCTATGCAAAAATTACTATAAGCTATTCTAAGGCTTAAAATTCAGCTGTTTTATGTATATGTGATGTTATTGTTTTCGCAGTGAATGGGAAATGGCGGAAAATCGGTTTTGCACAAAGCAAATTCGCGTCTATTGTCATTCCGAGGGAATAATGCGTCATTTGCGTGGCACATATGAAAATATTTCAAATAACGCAATATAGGTAAAGCCGGAAAACCGGAAATGGTAATAAAAATAAAAAAAATAAAAATGCAATTTGTTAGTAGTACAAATCTCGTATTTTCCACGCGAAAAAACCACAATTTCCGGTTTTATGAAAACATTGTTTTCTCATGAAATAAAATTTTATAAATATCTAGCGAATGCTTGCGACAAGGTTTTTAGGTTATTCAGCAGGCGTCGCGACGTCGACGTCGTCGAAGCTCCTTGTGTTTACGTGCGAATGTGTGCGTGTATATGCATTAACGCGCTCTGGAACGCGGTCCGCCTGTGCTCTGCTAAAAAGCAGGTCATGAGGCCTGTATGCTGCCTCGCGGCGCGCTCGCACGGATCGTGTGATCCAGTTTTAGATAATTATATTTGTGTTGCCGCTCACACACACCCACATATGTGAGCATATGCACAAGGAGCAAGTACTTGTTGCATAAAGAACACATCATCCATCAATGCGACAACAACAGATTTTTTTTTTTTCAATTTTTTGAACATAAAAATGAATTCACTTGGGTTTTGACCTATATTTTGTAAATGTTTTGATGTGACGTGTTTTGTTTATCGATCTGATCCCTCGGGAGGTGATTTTCGGGAGTGTTGAATGAACCACCGCTTTGTTTTTACCTTTATCAATGGCCATGAAGACGCTGCGCGGCGCACGTGCCCGTTACCGGTGCGGCCGGTGCGGATCCATTCATTCCTGGTATTCCTGTTTGCTTTTTCTGGGTTTATGCACTCGCGTTTAGTGGATTCGATGATGTTAATGCGCTGTGTGTTGGTGTGTATTTGTGTGTGTATCGATCGGTCACCAGGTCGCGGTGGGCACCCTCCGCATGGCACTCACATACACGCCGCCACCACAACACCACTACCACCACTACCACCACCAGCAGCACACAAGAGCGCGCGCGGCGGTCCCACCCTTACCGGTCGGCGCGCGTTACACCCATCGGACCGAGCCGGGAGCGTCGATGAGCGGGCGATGGGCGCGGGTCCGTGTCCGCGACGTCTCTGCGCGCGACGCCGCCACGCGCAATATGGCGGCGTATGGCTGAAACAGCAGCGTCGCGGCGGCGCGCGGCTTGAATGAGATGTGGGGAACGATCGATCACGGCCGAAAACCGTCAGCGCCGCCAGACGCCAACGCACTTTCTACATTCTTCTTCTTCTTCCCGGTCACATCCGCATCTCCATTGATGTACCACTCTAGTGTGGTAACTCTACACTTTAATATCCGACCACTTCACTGCTCTTAACATACAACACCGAAATAATAAAAATAAAAAATAAAATAATATCAATGTCACCGACAGGCTAAAAGCATGAATAATTTTTTGTATTTCTTGTGTGGTAGGTGTAAGATGAGTCGAAGGTTCAATTAGAAAAATATTTTATGCGAGTTGGTGATGAGTCTGAGGCAGACTCACCCTTTCCCGGCAATATCCGGTTGCTAAGCAACCCCCTGCACGGCCGGCCACCCCTCCATACTTCCTCGCCCGGATGGAGTGCGACCCCTCTCTGGGGAAAACTACGGGGGTGGCTAAAACCCCGACTCTACGTCGATAACTCATACTCGCTTACCTTACACACACACACCATCAATGAACCATCATGAAAAAAATTTAAAAAAACAAAAAATACCTACCTACACTCAAATAAACAATAAAAAATATTAATATTATTAATATTATTATATTTTAAAATGTTTATGATTACTAGTTTTGTATATAGAGGAAGATGATAGCTTGGCGTCTGATTGAAAATCGTTACGAGCCGAAGAAAAGCCATGACGAACGCGCGGCGCGTCGTCCGGCGCGTGGGGCGGTGGAGGGAGGCGCGCGTGCGAGGGCGAGGGTGGGCGCACACACACCGGGAGGGACACGCCGCGTCGGGAGAGGGGTGGCTGGCCCCGGGCGGCGGGTGCTGCGCTGCATAGGGTGGGTCAGATATCTCAAACGCTCGGCTGGGGCTGCAGGTGGCACTTTTCGAACATGTCGTGCGCGTCCTAGTGCTGTGCTTCCTCCTTCGCTACTACATCCTGGTGCAGACCGGAAAAATGGTAAGTGAAACACAATCAAACACATTTCACCCCTTAAAACTCAACACAAAGCAAAAAAAAAACATTTTTACCTCAAAAAAACAAAATTTACATTAAAATAAACAATTTAATAATAAAATAACAATAAATGCATGATAAGAAACAAGTAGGAATAGTATGTATCGATGGTGGATCTTTCTAATGCCACTAAATATCCTCTTTATCCTTGTTATGCAATGCGGGTCATATTATAACCGCAGCGCCATCTCTAAACCAAAGTTAAAACTATATTCAATTGAAACTAGATCCTGCGAAGTTTGCTCTGAGCCAGCTCCCGCTCCAAGGATGGAAGTGGCAATGCCGATGACGGGCAACGCGATCGACAGCTATGAGGACATGTTCAAGGAGATAACGCGTAAGCTCTACGGCGAAGATGGCCTCCCGGAGTTGGGGGCCAGCGAGCGTACGCATGCCTCCGCCTCGGATCGGGGTCTCACTCCGATTGACTACGACATCGACACGCCCATGCTTAAACCCGAAGAGCACCTAACCGCCTTTGGGTTAGCAGCGTTGATGCAAAATGGTTTCCCTTCGCCCTTTCAACAACACAAACCCAACCCAAACTTTGAAGATAAATGGATCATAAGTGAAGATCACATACCATGGACACAATCAAAGATAGCCAGTTATAATCCTGCACAGAAGTTGTTCCGATGTGCGGAGTGTGATTGTGTTGGGTATCTGCCAAGGGTTGCTGAACATTGGTTAGGTACCCATTCGAATCTAAGGGTTTTCCAATGTCCGCAATGTCCTTATGAGAGTGCATGGGCAAGATGTGTACGCATGCATTTAACCAGGCAGCATAATATTGATACTGAAGAGACTACTGATGCTCTACTGAAGAATAACCCTGTTTTACAAGAGGTTACTAGGTACCTTCAAAGGTTAAAGACCAGATTGGAAAGCACCTGTCATAAACCTCCTACTAATTCATCAGTTGAAGAGTTTTCGACTTCGGGGAATACAAATCATGCTAATACCAATTCTAATAGACAACAACCGGTACCCACACCTCCAGATACCCCATCAGGTGGGGCTGGTGGTACTAACAAAAGGTACACCTGTAGTTATTGCCCTTATGCTACGGATAGACGTGATTTATTCACGAGACATGAAAATATCCATCGGGAAGAGAAACCCTTTCAGTGTTACGTCTGCCAGAAGCAGTTCAATCGAGCTGACCATGTGAAGAAACATTTTTTACGAATGCACAGGGAGCATGTCTATGACCTCAATAGAATACGAAGACATCCTCCCAAAAACGCCTCGGGGATGTCTTACTATCAGAAATACAACAGTTCCACCACTAATGGTGACCATGGGACTGACCATCATTCCGCACCAGGTGTATCCAACCCTGCTATTTCCATCCCGAATAGTTTCAACAACATAAATAGAAATCTAGCGAATATGGGCAGGAATAATGAGGTGGTACCTTCAAAAGCAAAAAATTCATCAAAAGGGAATGGTTCTAAGAAGAAAGGAGAAAAGAGGTTTTCCTGTTGTTATTGTTCATGGTCCGGGGTGGATAATTGGTGTTTGAAGAGACATATGAACACACACCTGAAACCTTTTGTTTGTGGGTTATGTGATTACAAAGCTGCGAGGTCGGAAAGGTTAGCCACACATGTCCTGAAGGTTCATAATAAAAGGGCCTGTAGTAAGTGTACCTTCATGGCGGATGACCAGCAACAATTAACAACACATCAAGCGGAACACCAGTAAGTTTAGAGGTAAAAGATTGATGAATGATTGATGTAATATTGATGGTTTTACAGTCCAATGGAACAAAGGAGATCAAATAACACTTCATCAGCAGCTAATAATGTCCTGAGGAATACCAGCTTTGCAAATAGTACGGTTACAAGCGGTGGGAGTTTTGGGTAAGTCCATAACCATCAACCTAAACTTTGTTTCATTTTGGTAAAGTTGGTTTGCCTTGTAGGTCCTCCCAAACCCTCAAGTCACAAGACCTAGCAGCTGCGGCTTTGCTCCATGGTCAAAGGTTACTCCATGGTCCACCTCCAGATATCAAACCATGGAAACCACATATACCTAAACAACATGGCGCTGCGAGGTTGTTTAATTACATGGAGGCCTCGGATGGGTCCGAACCGGAGTGTGACAGCAGTTGTGGTGCTGAGGACATGTCAAGGTTAAGCCATCGCGTGCAATCGGATTTTCTTGAAGCGGGAGATGTCGGCGGCGGCCACCATACGCCGGACGAAGACGAACCAGAGTTGCCGCTCTTCGTCTGCCCGACGTGCGGGTGTGAGTTCGAGGACGATGCGTCCCTGGCTACACACCGCTGGACGCACGCGCGCAGCACCGCATCTCCCGCGAAACGCATCGGGAACAAACAAAACAATCCAGAAAGTGAAAAAAACATAGAAAAAGAAAACCTAAATCCGATGGATCATATATATCAATGTAAGTATGAGTATTGCAATGCGTCATTTACAAGTCAAAAAGAAGTTATAACTCATATGAGTGTCCATTCGACCTTGAACACTTTCACTATGACAGAGACTGTTACAACACAGTGTAAACAACGTATGCAACCCAAAAAGCATCTCACAAGAACATTGTACTGCGTGAAATGTCCAAAACTGCGAAAATTTCAACATCGACATAACCTCATCCTGCATTATATGTACAATCATACGAAACAAGCAAACATACGTATTGAGTGCGAACACTGTTCACAAACGTTCAATCACAAATACCAAATGATTCTACACGCGAGCAAAGCGCATGCTAATGATACAACCAACGTAGTACCTGCGAACAATCACGATCACAATCATCTAATGATGATGGATCAATCCAATGCGACGCTGGCCGTACCTGACCATTCGACATTTTCGTCAGCGTCCAACGTGCACAAGCTTGGCATGTACTTCGATCACTCCTTTAATAACGGACACATGTCACTGATCATTCCGACATTTCCACCGAATTAGCAACTTCAGTTTGGATATGATGAAGATACAAGCAGATGACGGATACAAGAAAGAGTAAAATATATTTTAGTCAAAAACAAATTGAGAAAACAAAATGGAGGCGATGCATATTTTTGACATAACCACGTTCCATCGCAGTTGTCCAGAAGAGGCGGCAGACGTCACGTGTGAGAAAAAGATATTTTTTTGTACTTTAATATTAATAATAATGGACGATGGCTGCGATGAAATGAAATATTTGGTCTGAAAATCTGAAGAATTTGATTTTAGGAGTTGAAAGTGACCTTCAAAATTGTTTCTTTCTGATTATTGTTTTTTTTTGATAGTTTTAATGTGTAATCTTCTGATTTGTGCAATATGATGTTGTTTTTATTGATTTATTGATTGATTGATTGATTGATTGAGTTTAGTTTAAGCAGCAGACCAACATGTGAATGATGAATGAATGATAAAGAGTTTAAGATGATGAAAAATTATTGTAATTGGAATCAAGAAGACTGGTAATTATGCGCACTGGCTATTTCGGTTCCGTTCAACGTAATCATACCAATACCAAGTATCTGTAATGTAAACGTGTTTTATAATTCAAATATATTATTTGGAAATAATGAAAACATAAAAATAAGAAGAGATTTTGACATCTGGGGGGATATTTGATGTTGACATACATAACCTAAGTTATATTTTGAGGTTAAATTATGTTAGAAGTTAGTTTTTATTGTTTTTCTTGGTTTTTCACAAAGAAAACTTGTTTTTTGTTTGAATTGCAGTCATTTATTATTTTTGTATCCAATTTTAACTTGATAACACGTTTATTATCAGTTTTTATCAAGTTTTTTTGCCATTTTACTCATTTGCTTGCGCAATATATTGACAAATGCCATTACTAACCTTAATTTTACTATACAACAAGTTTATTGTCAGTTTTTAATCAGTTTTTTGCTACTTTACTCGTTTGTTTGTTCAATATATTATCAAATACCATTTTTAACCTCACTCTTTTTTAAAATGATTTTTTGTGGTTTTTGGGAACAAAATCAAACATTTTAAGGGCTATTTCTTTGAATTACACTAATTTATCTTCTGGTTACTTAATTTCAACTTGGTAACACGTTTATTATCAGTTTTTATTAATATTTTGGCTAATTTCCACCTTAAACCACTTTTGGATTGTACAATATATTGACAAATGCCATTACTAACCTCAATGCTACTTTACAACACGTTTATTGTTAGTTTTAAATCAGTTTTTTGCTATTTTTGTTTGTAAATCACGTTTTGATTGATCAATATATTGACAAATGCTATTTCTAACCTAAACACAACTTCAAAAGTAGTTTTCTGGTGTTTTTAGGAATAAAACCAATCATTTTCAGTGTTATCTCTTTTATATGAAACAATCATAACAATATTAAACATGTTTACAACATGTATACATAATATATACACAAATATAATCAAAAATAGTAAAGAAATTTGTTTGGAATCATCGCCGCGCATTTTTCACTCCATCTCTCCACAAATTCAGATTTTATTACAAATATTAGGCTCACAAACCAAGACAATCAATATTCTTATCATCATCAGGGTTGTAGTTGTAGTTATACTTGTAGTAGTATCAATCATTTGTATAAAAATAGTTTGAGCGCCTCACTTTTACAGTAAACGTTGAAAACGTTGAAAAGATGTTCGAAAATCAACAATACGTGTCTGCGTGTGATTACAATACATTCAATCTGGTGTTACTTTGGAAGATTTAGGCGTTTCAGGCGTTATTGTACACAAATACAGGTGTTACATGATAATACATTGGGTGCTGCATTCTTGGAATTTGGGGGTTATGTCCATCTGAAAATCGAATTCGAATTATTCATCTCAATGGAAGTTCACAACTAAAATTACTCAACGATTTATCTAATCTCGCTAATTTCATAATTCAATAACAATAAATCCATCAATAAAGAAGACCCAGAGAACCAGCTACAGTACATGTTAGTGTTTATAAAAAACTACGTTTCTATAAAAGTGTAGTGTGTGTTGCCTAAGTATTATTTCGGTTAGATTCTCATTGATTATACTTCACTACGTGTTTCTTAATATTTTTTCATCAGTATACTACAACAGATTAAATATTTTACGTAATTAATTATTATTGTAGTAGTTTTGGGCAACTATAATTTCACTAGATGGAGCCACTACTCAAAGGGTGCTAACTTTCTCTAATACAAATCAAATTCGACTACGAGTTGAGTTATCATGAGTTATCGTGTACGTACATAACCTATAAACGTGTCTAGTTTATCTAAAAGAATGCGTACGGTAGTAATAATGGAGTAATATTTTTCATGTTTCATTAATCCTTCGAAATCTTGTATTCTTGGGGCTGTAGTGTTGTATTCCGTTGCTCCGTTCAATTATTGCCATCTTTTTATATCCTGTTTCCGTTTTCTGTAATTTTACGTGTGGAGATTCTGTGAACTACGGTAGACTTGCTTCAGGGACGCTGATTGGTCTTCCAGACTACGTTTGAGGTTAGAAATTGTGTTTAGGAGCACTTGCTGTCGGAGACTTTCACAACTCTTCCGGCATGTTTCCTCAATGGACATAGAAATCTCTACAAACCGGAAATTACATTAATTTTATCATAAAACACAACATAACCTTAAAATTTATAGTTTGGAGGTTATACAATTACCACAACATAAAATTATTTGAGGTTAGGTTTAGATGTTTACAGTTAATTCTCGTCCGGATGTTTCCGGTATTGATTAAAATAATGCAACCACAATATTGACTCTCTGCTGGTCTTTATCCTTCCAATTACGAAGGGGAGAAGTTGAGGAAAGTTAGGAAATTGTAGTAAAATTAAATAAGGGTGCGTTGGTTATCGATTATGTAACCCCCCCTCCCCTCCCAAACCACAATACTAACCCGTATGTGTAGCAGTCGTGATATTCTGATGCGCCAAGTTGAACGCCACCGTCTTACTTTGATTACTGTAGATCTTCCTCTTGACAGGCTCACTCTGTGGGCATTCATTAGCAAACTTATCCCTAACATCACCCACATCTTCATTCTCCTCAGAATCCGAACTAAAATGACTTAAATTCTGTTTCTGTATCTGTTTCTTTCTATATTTAGGACTACGTCTTGATGGTAGATCAGTTTTGGGTTGTCTCCGACACATCAAAGGAGAATGTGCATCCTGTGGGGTCTTCTTAAACAACACAGGACTATGTGTAACCTCCTCACGTCGCATCATGATTGGCGAGTTGCTATTGATGAATTTCGTGATGTGATTGCGTTTTGGTGAGAAGCGTGGTGAAAAACTGGACGGAATACGCGGATGTATTGGGTCTTCGTTCAGTCGGGGTTTCAGTTCCGGTGGTTTTACCAAAACCGGTTGATTCTCAGTCCGGAGTAACTCTACGCGTTTATTCGCAGGTCCTGGTACCCTCCGGGGTGACAACCCTGTAACATTACTCTTCATGTTCTTCAGAATGTGTTCTGCTTCAACAATGAGCTCCTTGTACTTTTTATCAGCTTCCTTATCACGTTTATCGAAAAAATTCACGGGATCCCTTGGAATACTCACAGAATTTGATCTTCTTCTGAAGGTATCATCCAGAGCTAACTTAGATACAGGGTGTTTAGTTCTACGGACTGACACTGGTGTCGCACCTGCACTTCTGGTACCCTCAGCGATATTAACCTTATTCTCAGGTAGTTTATGTCTTTTTTTAGATGAAGTAGATCTTCTTCTTCGTTCTGATTTATTACTATCCTTCCTGGATCTACGGGTTGTCTTTTTTCTTGATGTCTTCCTCTGCATTTCAAAGTTGTAATAAGTACAATGTCCTGTATTCAATCTTTCATCTTTAATGTTGAATTCAAGGAAGGATCCATTATCGATGAAATCAAACTCGGTCTCATGAGGATCATCCTCATCCCCGCCATCTTGTCCAGTGTCTATATCCGTCTCGCAATCCGTAGGGTCGCTATCACTCAGTATATCCGTCTCTTTTTCATAGACGTAACTCTCGTCGTACTTACCCATCATTTCATTGAGGGTACAGTCATCTTCCTCATCACTCCCTGTGTGAAACCGAGGACTACGGATTGCTGCTGCTATCAGGGCTGAGGAAGGTACTGTTGGCGGATCATCACGGACAAGATTCGCGTCCCAGTTTAGACTTGCAGCCGATAGGGATGAACAGGACGAAGAGGAGAGGGAGGCGCAACGCGCAACGCGATTTATGGGACTGCAGGGAACTGTTGGGCTCAAATACCGCGTGGGGACACTGAAACAGATAAAAACCACTAATGCATCCCTTAGTACTAAAAATTTCCGAGGATACTTACGGGCTATTCATAAGACTCGCGCGAGGTGTAAGGTCGTTCTTTAAGTGTAAACCCACGGAACTATTGCAGGGACTTAGGTTGGTCCCGGGGACCCATGGGTTGGTCCTGATCCGATTGCGTTGTCTTGGTGACATTAGACTTGAATTCACTACGACTACTTCTGTGATTCTGTTTGGAAGCGCGGTGGATGTTGGGTTCTGATTTCGCAGGTGTTTATTATCAAAATCTTGACCCTAAATTTTTTTTTTTTGGTTAAAATGAAGAAAACGTGGAAAAAATTAATTCGCATACCATAACTGTGACTGTGGGCCTTTCTGACGTCTGAAGTAAAGCGTTGTTGGTGTTTGCGGTCGCCGGTCGGATGACAGGAGATAAATTATTCCTGGTTGGCGGGGGCGGCGGAAGCGGCCGTGTCGCGGCCTCTAAGTGATTGCCGGTCGGCGTCGGCGCGCATTTATCGCCACCCTCAGACGGAAAGTATCGTGTGCCTGTGAACATTCCCAAGCGTAGCATATCATATCTGTGCGCATCCCACATAAAAACATAACTTTGCGATAAATTCCACAAATCGCAAACCGTCGAAAGTTTTACAACTTCTTCGCCAGAACCAAAAACCTCGTAAATCATCAAAACGTGTCGATTTCAGTTAATAAAAGTCTGTATTGTTATCTAAAAACTTTTTTCTAAAACTTTTTAAAGTTTTACCAGTACCAGTACGGATGTTGATGTAGTACTCAGGGGGAGCGCCAGGTGACGTCCCGTCAGTCGAGTATCCTGTCGAATACGCTGACTCCGGGGATGAGAGGTTCGCTCCGGAGTATCTCGCGCCTTGACTCGCGATGGTTTGCATCGATTTGCTGTCTACACTCGTCTGGAAACACACAAAAAACAACAATCAGATAAAAGCATTTGTATTTCATTACATATTACATAACATAACCTAAAATTAATAAAATAAAGGTGTTAGAGTAATATCACGCTAATTCTCCTCAATGTAACCCAAGGGTCTTAACCCTTGGAGTGTCATTGCCCTCGGGCGTAATTCTCCAGGATCTCGGCAGGTCGTTACAACTTTTCTGATGTTTTGATAACTGCTTCACGCCGGAAACTTCCAAATTAAGATGTTAACTTAAAGGTTACACGTTCAACACATAACCTTATTTTATATATTTAACCTCCAAATCAACATTTTGGTTAATATTAATATTTTATGTATTCGCGTAATAAATTTCGTTCGGTTTCTTGTTTCTAATTAAGTTTTGGAATAATACTCCATTGTTATGCAGGTTTTCGGCGTGGAAGTAAGAAAGTTGGCGCTCCTGGAGGCGAGTTTATTAATACATCCATCATCATTCATCCGAAATGGGCGCGGGCACGTGGATTATACACAATGTGAACGTCCGCCAGTGCTAAGGGTGAACACGATAATAATTGCAATGCGGTATTGCGCGGTTGATGAAGAACGCCGGACTAATGGTAATTTATTTGCAATTTATAAGTCGTTAAATTGCACCCGGCATCAAGCAGCCATTACGTGTACGTATATATCCCTTAATTTATTTTATATTAGTTTTTGGGTAGAAATCACCCTGTATTTTTTAGAAAATGTGATTAATTTTAAATTTTATTTAAAAAATACAAAGAAATTATTACCATAATACATTTAGCGCCATCTGCCGTCCAATTATTTAACTATAAATATGATTAATTGTCCATTGAAACTTTCATCCCTTATTTAACACCCTTAAAATAATAATTTTTAATATTTTAATATTTATTCTCTTATTTCAGGCAAAGACGAATCCAAAAAAATTTAAATCATCAAAATCTATCCAGCCGTTCATGAGTTATAAATGATTTAACTAACAAAATTTTATTTAATACATTTTATATAGTAACGTATGCAACTTATGCTACACCAAAGCATTTTTCTTTCATTTTCATTTATTTTTAACTGTTTATTTCCTGTTTTCTTTCCGCTGGGGAGTCTACTAAGGTTAATTTGAGTTGTTGCCCGGTGTTTTCGGTGATCACGTCCGCACCTCGTACGTGTTTCTTGCGTCTTGAGCTACACCCACCATTATTTGCTTTTTTTCGTACGCCTCTAACGCTGAAATGGAATTTCAAGTCCTGCAGCATGTCTTTTCACCCTCCCAGAGGAAGGATGTGGGCAATACAGCGCGAAATGGACCACCGTTGCTTTTCACCATCCTCGGGATCCTTTCAAGAGACATAGTCGTAGTTATAGAGTAAGCAGGGATCAAAATGCACGTGGAGAAGTGAAAGCATTACGGGTTGTGTGCGCGCCGACATCATAACGAGGTAAAAACGTCGTTTTCCTCTCGCTTTTCTTTCTTTTTCATCATATTTTTTACCCGAGATGCGCCGGAATGCGTCGTATCTGAAAACGTTTAGGTCGTTTCGATGATCAAGGATAAAATGGGTTTTTCCGTTATAACTTCATCACATCTTTGAATCTTTTGAAGATAAAGGTAGAAAATGTCAATATTTTCTTTTAAGGTTTTTTTTTTTAATGTTGTAATATTTTGTATATTGCTGAATATTGTTCAATGTATATCGATTCGAAAGTCATAAAGTGGAATGTGATAAACGTAAGGAAGTTAAAGTCGCTGGGTATGTGCATAGCCAATTTGTTTGGAATCGTATTTCACTCGTAATCCGATAACGGAAATGTCAGCAATTCTGCGATGATTTTTCCTGCATTCGGAATTTCTGATTTTCAGAAAATCCGCTTTCATATTTTCATATTTCCGCACCTATGAATTTCCTTATGTAAAATGATGTCTTTTAAATTGATTTTAGAATAATTTTTTAGGTTAGGTACATAAATCACATGTATTTTACAAGGATTTTTGTATTTTTAACCTAAATTCATGCATTATTCAACAACAAGTGACATTTATGACTTAAAACTTCAAAAAAAATATAAATTTGGTTATATTTTGCTGTTTTTAAGGTTATGTTTCCTAATTCTAGCCAAAATTTACTTTAATATGTTTTTACAATAATTGAAATGCGTAACGTATGCAACTTATGTTACTTCAAAGCATTTTTCGTTCATTTTTGTTTATTTTTAACTATTTATTTCTTGTTTTGCTTTTTGGGAAGTCTACTAAGGTTAATTTGAGTTGATTGAATTGATTTTTAAATTATTTTTAGGATAGATACATAAATCACTCGTGTTTTACAAGGATTTTCGTATTTTTAACCTGAATTCATGCATTATTCCACAACAAGTGACATTTATGACTTAAAACTTAGAAAAATAAATAAATTTTGTTATATTTTGCAGTTTTTAGGTTATGTTTCATCATTTTAACCAAGATATTACTCTAATATGCTTTTGCAAAAATTGTAGTAAGTAATGTATGCAACTTATGTTACTCCAAAGCATTTTCTTTCATTTTCAATCATTTTTAACTATTTCAGTTGATTGCATCGATTTTATAGTGATTTTTAGGTTAGATGCATAAATCACATGTATTTTATATGATTTTCAAGGTTTTTACTTGAAATTTTCATGTATTATTCACCAACAAGTGACATTTATGACTTCAAACCTCAAAAAATAAATAAATTTTGTCATATTTTGCATTTTTAGGTCATATTTCATAATTTTTACAGAGATATTACTCTAAAGTGTTCTTTCAATAGTAGAATTAAGTAACGTATGCAACTTATGTTACTCCAAAGCATTTTTCTTTCATTTTCGTGTATTTTTAACTGTTTATTTTCTGTTTTGCTTTCTGGGAAGTCTACTAAGATTAATTTGAGTTGATTGAATTAATTTTAAATTGATTTTTAGGTTAGATACATAAATCACATGTATTTTATATGATTTTCAAGGTTTTTACTTGAAATTTTCATGTATTATTCAGCCACAAGTGACATTTATTACTAAAAACCTCAAAAAAATAAATTTGATTATTTTATGCATTTTTAAGGTTATTTTTCATAATTATAACCAAACGTACGTAACGTCTGCAATTTTTGTTACTCCAAAGCATTTTCCTTTCATTTTCAGTCATTTTTAATTATTTTTTTCTTGTTTTGCTTTTTGGGAAGTCTACTAAGGTAAATTTGACTTGATTGAATTAATTTTAAAATGATTTTTAGGTTATATTCATAAATCACACGTATTTACATAATTTCCAAGGATATTACTTAAAATTTTCATGTATTATTCAAAACAAGTAACATTTATCACTTAAAACCCCAAAAAAACAATTTTTCTTATTTTTTAGGTTATGTTTCATAATTCTAACCAATATATTACTCTAATGTGTTCCTGCAATAGTTGAAGTGAGTCCCGGTACGTTTGTTGGTTTTTAATCCAAGTTTGGAAGCATCCCAGACGCCGCAGTCTCAAGGCAACTTAAGATGTTAAGACGAGCGCTGGTTTGCAGTTTGCACAGCAATTCAAGTAAGTGCCGCCCCACTATGTTGTACATTACCGAAGAGTTCACGTTTCGAGCGCGCCAGACGCCATTTCATACAATATAGATATGTTTATTTAATAATTCATCAAAGCGTCGTTTTTACGCAATTATTCATGACTGTGATAAAACTTTCTATACACTGGCTGTTACTGTTGCACTCGGCAGTAAAACGTGCAAGTTAAAAGTCACGTTTGTGATGCGCATAACTTTTTATTAATCGTCCGTGAAATTTCCGCCCGATGCGTTCGAAATAAACGCAAACGTGAAAAGGAAATCGCTAACGGCCTACAAGTTGCCTACATACACGCACTGCTACACGTATAACCATAGATATTGCACACGAAGCAATAGAAAATGGCCGCCGATATTTATTATTCGCTATATACGTGAAACACGTGCTGTAACACTTTGAATTCCTATATTATTACGCAAGAGTCGAAGCATTCGAGTGGATTTATACATTTATATACGCGGCGGCTATCTTTCAGCGATTCGCCGGCATTAAAACGAAAACTTTGCACATGTTTCACGCAAGTTATAAAACAAAGTTACAGCTTGAACACGCACGGAAAGAATTTAAATACATTCATCATTCAGCGCATTCCATGTACAAACTGTATGTAAAGTAGAGTAATGTATAAAGTAAAGTATAAAGTAGTATATCATGTATATTATTGTAGATGTGGAATAATGCAGAATGGATTCCAAGTTTGCACTCGGATCTGGATATTGTAGGAGTCGTGACCGATATACTAATTTGGTACGCGATGCACGTCGGCCAAAATGGCCAATGATACACGTGGCATCGCATACCAAGCTGGTTGGATAATGGAATATTAAAACATTTATGTTTTAGGTAACAAAACGGTGAAAATTCAAGAGTTTACAGTGATTAATGGTTTATATACTTGCGGTTAAGTATTCCATTGTCATTTATCACTTTTATAACTGTTTTTGTGTTAGAATCATTAATTTTCTTTGTTTTTGGATTGTGGGGTAATATATTTTTAAATTTCGTGTAGGTTTGGTTGCATATATTACAAGATAAAGCTAAAGCATAACAAAAATGACACCAGTTATAATTTGAATGTTTTTAAGGGATTTAAAGTGTTTTCAGTTAAAATAACAAATTGTTTTTGTTTTAAAATCATTAATTTTCTGTGTTTTAAGAAGGTGGTGTAATATATTTTTAATTTTGGTGATGTTTTGGTTGCATATATTACCAGATAAAGCTAAAGCATCACAAAAATTATAACAGATATAACCTGAATGTTTTTAAGGGATTTAAAGTGTTTTTTAGTCCAAATAACAAACAGTTTTTGCTTTAAAATCATTAATTTTCTGTGTTTTAGAAAGATGATGTAATATATTTTTAATTTTAGTGTTGTCTTGGTTGCATATAGTACAAGGTACAACGTAAGTGCAACAAAAATGACAGTTGTTACAACCCGAAACGTTTTCAACGGTTTTAAAGTGTTTTTAACTTATAATAACAGTTTGTGAGTGTCGGTGTCATTAAATGTTAATGTAATTCTGTAATTACATTGGATAATTATGTAAGTACCGCTGTGCATGTCCTTAAAATCATTCTACGACGTAAAACGAAGACAATTTGATTATATCTCAACTCGCAAGTCACTAAATTCACTAGAGACACATTAAAAAGTAAATTCGAGTGGTTTTTAGTGCATTAACACTAAAATTACAGACACTAAAACTTTTCTTTTTCGTTTTTCTTTAAATCCCAGAAATCTCCAAAGTAATTTGAACTCTTGAATTGTCTCTGCACTTTCTTTCTTCCTAAATGAGAGTAAGTTTAGGGTTATCTGAATGAGGTTGTTTTCGTAGGACACGAGAAAGAAAAACAACTCATTTCCATTTCATGGAAATGTTTTCCACACTCGAATCGTCGGAGTTTTATCCGCGCGGCGCGTCTTTTTCTGATGTTTTTGAGGTTGTGAGTACACTCGGTGCTGCGGGCGGCGGGCGAGCGCATAAACAAATCAATAATTCATGTAATCGCAAACCTCCAACGCGAAAAAGGATGAGCAGGTTCCGTATTCCCATTGAATTTAATATTTTTCGTCTGGATTATTTCCATTCAGACATCAGAAAAATATCCATTTTCAACAAATCTCCTCAAATGAGCTTAAATACAACAAAAAGAATACTAACCATTTCGTTTTCGGATGATTGTGAGTTTGGAACCGTCTTGAACTTGGTGACAAACTCCGAATTGGCGTTCGCAAGTTGTTTTTGTTTCTCTTTACGTTGCTGCTTCTTCCTGGGACGCACCGCTTCCATCCACGATCGTAATTTACCACCAAACATGCTGACAATTTCTGAAAACATACAAAATTATATTTTGTTAGATTTTTTTGAGATTTTCGTTGCTTGATAAGTATCCCAGTGCGCTGGGCAATTTTCCCAACTATAGGCAATCCAACATACAGCGTCCATAAACCTAAACGCCGTAAACGATGAAAACACGTCCGTTGTGTCGACGTAACATAATATATCGATTTTGGTAGACACCTAACGGCCCTTTGGGAACTGTACACTCTGTGTACAGCTATATACTTGTATGTCTCCGCGTCTCACCCTTCAGATTCCTTAATATTCCACTGCGTATCGAATTCCACGCGGGATATTTTTTTGCTTCGCTTGCAGGACAATAAACAATAAGTACACGAGAATAACGATGACGTTGCATATTCAACTCAAAGAACTAGCTGACAAGAGACAATGCGTCAATAGTATTGCTTTGAGGTTATGCATGCATGTAAATTTTCAATCTTCATAGGGCTTTCATGTCGAAATCGTATTTACTTTTAGTATGAGCCTTTTACTCTCGCTACACTCCAAAATCAAAAGCTTTGTGAAGCGGCGCTCCAAAAATAAATAGGTACATTAGTGGCGTACACGTATGGCGGGTTAAAAATGAAAAATCAAAAACTAGAGGTCCACTTCCGGCCGGCGAATGTTTTCACAGCTGGTTGGTTCAATACGCGTTTTTGTTTGTCGTGTTTTTGTTTTCTTCGTGTTTCGTTTGCCGCCGGGCATTGCGGCCGTAAATATTTTAAGAAGTATGTAACCTAAAGAGGCATTTAAAGCTCTTCGTAAAAGTCGAAGCTTTCAATATTTAATACCAGATTTGTACGAATTTATTCCTCACGGTTGTGATTTAATTTGTTTGTAGACACGGCGAAGGAAAACAAACGATAATCAAGTTCAAGTTTAATTATAAAGTCCAACACGCGTCTATTTTTAGCATTTAAATGCTTTCTTTTGCCTTTGCTTGCGCAAGGAGTATTCTTGGGAAGTCGTTTTAATGAGGTTTAACTTTGGCGCGTCTCGGATGCAAATTCAAAATTAATTTCGTTTTGTAATTTTTTTGTCATTCCGCGCGCGTTAATGACGCGCATTTGCGCAACTTTTTGCATTTTTAAGACTTTTATCTCCGTTACAAAGCACATTTTACTCGAGGGCGTAATATTTCCAGACGCTGAGGTGCATTTGTCATATCCCCTCAACTTTACGAAAGAAAATATTTAAAATAACACTTTGAAAGTAAACAAAACGTACAGGATGCATAATAAAACAGATAAAAACCTGAAAAATTCAACGGATATAAGGGTTGGGATGTCCGCGTTGTGAAAAAAACAAAAACGGAAAAATCTGCTAGGGATTTTGGTTTATTTAAGTGAGTTGTTCTTTTTTTTTTGTATTCTGTATACTTTTCTGTGGGGTTTGGTGTTAGTCTGGTTGCATGCATTGTTTTAATATCAACCGAGAACTGAAAAGGGTGCGGGATGAATGTTAACCACCACCGCCACACGTCGCTTTAATTAAAACTCAATTGTGCCACGTGTGCGTGCGTTTTCAACCTACAACCACCTTTCACCTGTCACTTTACTTCCGCCCAGCATTACCACACCTAAATTTTCTTTCTAAATTAAAAACTTTCACAACGCATGAATTTATGTTGATTTGGTTGCCTATATTTTAAATACTTAATATTTTAGTCCTATATGTTTGTGTTTGTGACGTAATGAAACATAACATATTCATACATGTCTGCGTTGCATGTTTGGTTGCCTATGTTCCCCTCTTTATCAAATATTAAACGCTCGCTGCGGTGCTTCAATAATAACTCCAATCGACACGAGAGTTGTGCTCCACCGCAGCAATCTATTGAGACAACTTAATAACATAACCTAGTGTAGTATACGCGTTCCCATTGCGCTCTTATCAGTCTTCTACTTTAGCGCCGCATTGCCGCAGTGTGACTCGTTATTATGAACGGTTATTACGCGATATCTAACCTGCTCCCATGTGTGCACCACGCGCTGACAATACCCTCAACTCCACCGCATCCCCTTTTCTCATTTTGTAAACATAACCGTGTTTGAAGGGAGATTTTTAATCATTGACACACTCTGACAATAGCTAACAAACAAACAACATCAACAACAACAAAGTTTTGTTTTATTCACGTTGTGTATACAATGTACAATATGATTATTGTTACTGTTATCTTTTTATCAGATATGATGCGTATCAATGTTCCCATGTGTGTGTTTTACTCGCAGTTGAAAACGTGAAAATGTTTCGTCAAGCGCATGAAAGCCAACGAGTCGTGACAACGTTTTTCGCCTTCGTTAATGAACGCGGAAAACGCAAATATAAAGCGCGCTCAACGCTATACAATAAAACGTGCTAATATCTCTGCAGCGCGCCATTCTCGCATGATAAAATAACATACGTTCATGTGTTCATTTTATTTGTCGTTGAAATTAAACGCTGCAATGTTTTTGCAACGCGTTTAAATTGATGGTTATGTTAATTTGGTTGCCTACATTATATTTTTATTCAGTTTAAATCGAATAGGATTGGATTATCTGAATGTGAAAATGAGTAAACTTTTGCAAACTCATCTGTTTGTGATTTTAAGCTGGAAGTTAAAGCTTTGAAAACTGCCGAGTCATGCACAAAAAACAAATTATACCCAAAGACGTATTACAAAACAAGCGATTCCCTCTTCGTGAGTGTTGAAGAAAAAGAAAAAGCACAACAAACACTTTTTAATAAGCGCAATCTAATGATAGGTGTACGAGTAGGATGAAAGTAAGAGGCGACCGCGTCTGTTGTTGGAACTGCACATCTCTCAGCAATGCTGCCGGGCGGTGTGTTGAGCATTTCGACCCCTCGTCGAAGAGTGTTGTCATGGCGACCGATAGACTACCCTTGCCAGCGTTTCCCTGGTAGCTCACTCCTACACACTGACACGTTACAACTTTCCACTTCCTCTTTACCAGAGCCACATGGATGTGATATACAGTAGGTTTCATGTGAACGGGACCGAAAACAGAGAGACTGTGTGACTATGACTGTGACATTCACCGTAATCAACTATATAATCTGTTTCAGGACGGGCATTCGCAAGTATTTCTAGTGGCAGTGGCTCCCCTGCTAGTTTTTAACTGTGCTAACTTTACAGCGGCGTTTACCTTCACTAAGACCTCTAGATTGGAAGATGGGGAGGGGTGGCACCCTTTGGAGGAGAGGCGAGATAGTTGCAATTGCAGGGGTGCATACTATTAAATAGACTAATAAGTATTTTGCTAGATCTTAGAGTATTATCGGGATATAGGAATATTTGTTATGCAGGCAACCAAATATACATATTCTAACCAATGCATAATAATATTAGTTTTGGTGGTAAGTTTGCTTTTGTTTTTGACAATTTTTGTCATTTTTATTGTGATTTTTATATCGCGATAAGAAAAATACGTTTTTTGTTGTTTTAATAGTGAAAAGAAATGCTACATACCATTAACTAGACTAATTTAGTAAATATTTTGCTATTTCTTGAAGTATTGAAGGTTTATGGGAATATTTGTTAGGTAGGCAACCAAACATACACATTCTAACCAATGCATACCAATATTATTATAGGTTGTCTTCTTGACTAACTTTTTTGTTTGTTTTTGTTAATTTTTGTCATTTTTACATTGTGATGAGAAAAACAATGTTTTTTGTTGTTTTCATAGTGAAAAGAAGTGCTACATACTATTAAATAGACTAATAATGTAAATAATTTGCAAGTATTACTGGTTTATGTGAATATTTGTTATGTAGGCAACCAAACACACATATTCTAACCAATGTATACCAATAGAACTTCAAGTTGTGTTTTGTGGTGAGTATTTTTTGTTTGTTTTCGTCATTTCGACCATTTACTTTTATCGTCAGCCATATTCACATTCCGATGAGAAAAACACGTCTCCTACATAGAAAAGTTTCTCTTTGTAATTTACTCGCTCGTGAATTTCGTACAATTCCATACAATTCGAAACTCCGCAATTGCGAAACAATCCAACAACTATTCGCGTAATTGAATGTGACTGGCATCACATTCACAGTATTCCATTAACCCACTTTTATTCAATTGAATAATATCGACATTTTTCATATTGAAATCATAAAATATTCATGCATGTAAATACGTAAACAAAGATATCGCATTTGCAATATAATAATGGGATTGTAAACTCGGATATGAATTTACCGGCACCCTGGCAAACTAAATTAATTAAATTTAAATGGAATAATGGCAGTGCATTAGGAAACTTCATCACACACCCCAACAATTGATTGGAATTGGAATTTGGTGCGCATGAAGAATATTCATATTGAGATCGTAATCGGAAAATCGAAGATCTGCGCGATGTGGGTTTGGGTTCTATGGTCGCTGATGCCTTGGGGGGTTGTGAGATGGTTTACGGTGTACATCCTAACGCGAAGTTGTGTCGTACGCCGCTAATGGCGGTAATGAATTATTAATTTCCGCCCTTCCAGCACGCTACTATCACCTACTAATTCATTCCGTCGGTTGGATGAGAAGAGTTTCGGTGTTGTTGCTCTTAACACGTTCGAAATTAGGATTACGTGCAGTCGATTGGTTTTCAATTAAAATTTACATTTTTAGGGCTGTAGCGAAACCAAAATGGCTTTATTTTGATGATTAATGATCTTGATTAATCTCTGCTTACATAATGATACCTGCAGTATGATGAAATATGTAAATTTTAAAATTTTCAATTTTCCTCAATAAAAATCTCATTGTTTCAGCAGACAAGGGAGGATAATGCATATTGTGACCGCGTCTTCATTTAAATACGAAGCAGAGAATGCAAAACGCATCCCGCGTCTCTTGTCGACATCTTTGTGCGGAGAATGAGAGATGAAATGAAACGAAATGAAACAATGAGACGACGCCGACCCAACGCAGAGTCTGTCAGTTAGACGAAATGAGAGAATGCGAATTTTTCACCCTCAAGGAACAAAAACTTGAATCGAGGTAAGAACAAAAAGTGAAATGGAAAAGTTTGAATTCGCACACACTTGTGCGCCACGAAACAAAAACGAATGTGAATGTGACACTATGATAAATAGCTGTTTTTCTTCATGAAGGTTATGTCAGTTTTACACTTGTGTTTAATGTGTTGCATATCCCATCGTTTTTGCGGTTTTACGCTACTATAAAATGTAAATATCGAGTTTTAAGAAGTAGAAAACACGTTGCGGTGGAATTATCATTCCGCACGCATTCCGACACGCAATTGCACGTACCAACTTGTGGTTATACGCGAACCCAGCCTGAAAACACGTAATTTCATGGCAAACACGCGTAATTCAACACGACACGCACCTACTAAGTGAAAATGTATTATTCCACATTGGTAGCAATCAATCCTACAGTGTGTTCAAGAGAAACTTGGAAATTAATTGATTTACATCGGGAATTAATCGGTAAACATTCCAAAACCACCCTTATTGGATCCCGGCCAACTCTCGTCGGTTGTAATCTTTGTGTAAATGTGTATTTGACCAAACCGACCGCCCGAAGCCAGAAAAAAAACACAATTCGTTGATTTGGCTCCAAGATATAAAAAAAATTACGTCGATCGATTTTTCTTTAATATCACAAGCGATTAATCTTTTTTTTTTTCGGCGCCATCGATCACGGTTGCCTGTTTCACGCTGCAGTCTGTAACGTTTTGGCGCATTGGAGCACTTTTGAATATTTGAATATGCGGAATTTTTGAATATTCAAGCATAACGTGAATAAATTTATTGAATCGGCGCGGTTGGATTAGCGCGCTGTGGAAAAGTTGGACGAGTTTCTGATCCATTTTCATTTCGGCTTTCATCTCCAAGCCCGGAGAGTGCACATGCGAATGTAAAATTTAAAACGTTTTCGGTGCGCTTTGTGTTTATCCCAATTCCGCAATTCAACATTTCTTATTTGTATAATAAGCACAAGCGCAATGGAAACGTGGAAAGCTCGTTGGCGGAATTGTTTTTGCTCTAATTCACAATTTCGTGTATGGATTTTCTTTGTGGCAACGCGAGACTCTTTGACTTTGTATTCACATCGCGTAGTCACTAGTGACAATTTGTTTTTTCAATTTCAATTTCAATTTCTTTTTGCGGAGGAAAACTACGAAAAATATGAATGAATTTTCATTTGCGTTTTATTCCTCGTTCGTGGTTAGTCATCCCTCTTATTTTGGCGCACACTGAGGAAATAAAAGGGATGCGAAAACAATAAAAACGACGTTGTCGCATTTTTCTGCTGGAGCAGACCTATTCTATCAGCATAAAACGTTCGACAAAGCGCTACTTATTTTTCCTGCTATCCCACTTTTCACCAGCAACTTTTTTACCCCTCCCGGAAAGAAAACTACGCGAATTTTAATGCGCTACATTGCAATTTATCCTCCTAGCGATACATTAAAATATACAGAGTGTTTAAACCCTAAAAAAATATAAAAAACATAAAAATATCAGTTTTATGGTTTTGAAACACAAAAATTCTTACTACAAGGGTGAACAACAACGTGTTATGGAATGTGACAACCGTAGATCATACTTTACTTCACGTCTTATTCGTTTTCACATGCAATAGAAGCGAAATAGGCCGCGAAAAATGTGATAATATATTATATTCACGTTTTTCCCGGCTTAAATCCGCAAAATTCGAGATGAAACGTATAAAAATCTTTTTATGCGTGTTTTATATGCAAAATATAAATAAATTTTATGAAACATGCTCCGCCCATTTCGGTCTGCTGTGATTGGCTAGCCACTAAACAGATTGTAAGGACTGCAGCGTGAAATATCGCACAAAATTGCAAGCGAGAGGAAATTACGTCTCTTGTGCTCAATTTATTTCTTTGGAAACAAGAAACCGGAACCCGGAAATGTTCCAGAACAACGTAAGTTGCGCAAAATAACAAAACTAGCATCACTTGCATTACTATCGGGTACCACTGGTGATAAATGAATCACAAAACACGAAATTGCACATTTTGTATGAAATACGAACGGGACAAATCCAATAATCGACATGGCAAAACTAGTCATAAATAAAAACAATTTTGACAGTGTTACAGGTAAGTTTTGCTATAAATAGACTATTTTCACCCGAAAAAAATTGTTTTCCGTGATTTTTGCTTCAAAATTGCGTTTTTTTGTTGGTGTCATATGTTACATCCTTGTTACCCGGTTTTTGATACTCCACAAGCCACTCAATATCCCATACTCGCACCCTGGGGTTATAGCCCCATGTAGGAAGTAGTAAATCCAGAAAGATCCCATAGATTCACTCGAATTTATCGATCACACGCACGCCGGCAAACTATGCGCGTACCAACTCCAAGTTAAATTGACTTTAAAGCAGGAAATGAGAAAGATGCCTTTCCGCATACCCATAAATTTGCCTAACCTACAAAAATGCTTCCATTAGCGTATCCACTAGATCCATTACTCCAACGACCTCTCAAAGGTAAATTTTAGTTAAAATTAGAATAAAATGTTCAAGGCGTCCGGATGCAATGCTTCCGGTTTGGATAAAATTATATTCCTAGCGTAGGTAAAATTGGGTCATGCCGGAAAACGATTTTTTTGGCGCGGGTGCTTTCCTTGAAAGCATCAGGCGATTGTCAAGTGCTTCATCAATCTGCAGCGATTCTTCGCCGCGATTAGGGCGGCCGCTGACAATAGAAAAGTGGAAGATTTTCATTTTAGCTCGGGCAGGACATGAAAAGTGGATTTTTTCCACGATTGGCCGACAGCTTCTTTTTCATTATGTGGCGCGTCTATTCAAGGTGGACACACAAAAGAAAAATAAAATGAGAAAAATATTAAATGTGGCTAATTTTCGGTTAACTATAGAAGAGATGTGCATAGAAAGGAATGTGTTTGATGTTGATGTGGTTGTCTTTTGTTTTCTTTCGCGTGTCTGATGTCACTTCACCTACATACCGCGACAAGAGCGTTTTTATCTTTGCTTTTCTCCTATTTACCGTTGGCGGAACGCCCACTTGCACGTTTGCGCGTTTTCCGCAAAGATCAGAAAGTGGTTGAAGCGTGGTTAAGTGCATGCCAGGCGTGTGACGTGTGTGACCTGAATTATAACCAAAGTTCACACGTCACACAACAAGTACAAATTGCGCAGGCGGATTTTTTCAGTTGTTTAGTTTAGTACTTTTTCTGTTTAAGCCAATAAAAGACGGGGATAAAACCTTTTTAATGGAGTTTCCGGTCTTTGAAAGACCCTTTCAATCGCATTGAGGTTATAATCCTCTGAGTTGTATGCAGAGGCTTGCAATAAATTTCTATAGACGCACAAAAATCAATTTTTAACTAAATAATTAAATTTACTAACCTCAATAGAATTTTTTGTTGATGTTGATTGATCCTGTGTCCATGAAATGGCTGCACACGCGCGAGTCTTGCACAGCTTGAATCGAATCGAGTCGGGAGCGTCGGGAGCGCGAACGGCGACGCATTCCCGGCGGCGCGCGAGTCACGTCTGGATCCGGGGGCGAGCGTCGCGACGCCACGCGCAACGCCAGACGTCGCGTCGGCGGGCTTGGTGCGCGTGTGCCGTCGACGCCGCACATTGCGCTTTATCAGATTACTCTAATGAGAGGCAGCCAGGGACTCACTGCGACCCAAGGACCCAAAGTCCTACTTTGCAATGCAAATGCAACTTTAAAATCGCACCGACGCAGCGCACTACACGAAGTACAAAAGATAGAAATGACAGCATAACAAAAGAACAAAACAAGTGCATGCTCGGACTACTCGTAGTATTAAAGCGGATTTTTTTACAGATTTGTCTCGAATTGATTTCAACTGCTGGACTTTCTGTTTGTGAGTTGATGGTAGTTGAATTAAGCGTTACTTTTGGTTTATTTATCAGATGCGACTGCGGAGCCTCTCCAAGACATCTTGTAGGGTCCCGGGCGGAGTTAAGGACGCTATAAATCTTCGCCAAGCAACGCCCGTTGAGTTGACTGAATTATTTATCGAACTTTAACGCAATTTCAACTTCTGTGCTCAGCCCGAGGGCAAATAGATATTGGAACCTCTTTGAAAACTTCTTCCCGACCAAAGGAATACTCAAGGTAATGTTTAAGCTCCGCCCACATTAAGATTAACCTCATCTTTTAACTTTTCTATTTATTTTTTCAGGATTACTAGCAACATATTAATACGAGTATGTTAGTTCTTCGCAACACGTGAAGTTGAAAGTTTGAATTGTCATAAATTGTATTTGATGGAATTTGGTTAGAAAAAGGAACAAATTAAATGTCATTTCGGACGACAGCGCGTCAGGTGCACATGTTGGACGGAAATCAGTCGAGCGTCCTTCGTCCTTCCGTCCATTCAGGAGATTATAAATGTGGCGCTCGTGCATTCGGGCGGTAAATAAACAACGCAAACAGTCGAACTAAAGAGACAAATGTGAAATGCACACGCTAATTGAATGTTTAATTCGGTTGTCAGTGTCACAGTTTATAAATGATTGCAAACCCCACATAATCAATATACGTTTTGTTTGTTTGGCTGCATACAGACAAACAATATATATTGTTTTTGATAATAATTATTAATTGTATTAAAATTAATTACATTTTGTTTTAAAAATGGGTTTTAATGTAATGTAGAAAAATATTGTTATTATTATACATTGGATGAATACAATAATAGCGTTGTTTATATATTATTAATAATGTATTTAAAATTAGCGTTCATATTTTACTAAAACTGTTGTAAAGACAAAAGTATTTTTAATTGATGTGAGTATTTTTATGTATTTAAATTTTGGTAGCAACTCTATATTCGGGTGGAAAAAGTATCTTTTGAGTTTGTGTAGTCAATCATAGAGGGCGATGTACAATGTTATTGTTTACTTGAAATTTTTTAAATAAATGATGTTTGGCAAAAGCAGTGTTTAAATTACGTTAATAGGGATTACCAACACCTATTTTACCTTGCACGTCCTTTTAAATCCTTAGAATGTATCCTATTTTAATGGAGATAAGAAATTAATAAGAAATTCAAATTTTTAAAGAATTACAGTGAAAAACGCTCTGTATATCGGTAAGTATTTGAGTAATTTAGGGTTTTACATTGTCATATAATAGCTAAAGAGTTCCTCTACATAATAAGTATTTTCACGAGTCTTGAAACTTTTAGAAAGTGGCATAAAATTGTTGTTAAAAATGGTCATTTTTTCACTAATTTGAATTTTTGTGTTGAATATTTGGTTGAAATTTTGGTCGACAGAGGGCGCTCAACACGTTCAATAAAAATATTTTGTGCTGACAGGCAGGGTCGAACTTTTTTTAATGAAATTATTACCAGCCGAACAACAGGGCCGAACTTTTTTCTTAAAATTTTTCTGGTCGAAACCTTCGAAGCGCACCGCGCCTCCACCAAGAAAAAAATTAGAAAATACAATTGTAATTATCTCTGGAACTAAAAGAGATAAACGCAAGCCGTAAACACTTTTATGCTCAGTATGATGTCCTAAGTAAAATAACAATTAAAAAAAATCAAGTTTTAAATTACAAACACACTTTATGTGTCTGAAAAATTTTCCGACACGATTTTCTCGGAAAGTAATAAAGTTAATAACAAACTTTCTTCATTTTCTTCATGCCTTGATGAAGATCTATAAAATTGCAGATTTAGTTTTTCCATTTTCCAAAGTTTAGAAAAACACCTCAAAATGAGTCAAGAGGTTACACTTGACTCTTTTTGGGCCTCAAAAATTTTTTTAATGCTAGAAGAAAATGGAAAACGCTAATCGATAGAGTTTTCCAAGGGGATGACAGATATCTAGTCAGTTTTCTGATAGCATCAATATTTTGGAAAATAAGAAGAAAATTCAATACTAATCAGTACAGCCACTACTCAGATTTTTCTCAAACTTTTCACAATGATGTAAAATAATACCAGGAATACAATAATCCAAGTTTGGTTGCGTTATCTTAATTAGTTTTCAAGTTATTAACAATTTTTAATTATTACATAAGTGTCGATAAGTGAATATTTTATCCTGTTATATAACGTAGAATTTAATTCTACATACGAATATGAAAACCGTTTTTCCTTATCTCTAATGGTTTTCAATATAAGTGCAAAAAAATGGTTTAATTATTTCCCCCATCATTTTCTTGATAAAATATAAAAATGGAAAATTTGGCTTTTTTATTACCGAATATTGAAGAACATGTGATTCTACACACTTTATCTTAATAAATTTTTGTTGTAAAATGAACCGTTTCGATAATAATCACTATGACAAAATCAGATTTTGTCGACGGTTTTGACCGGAAAATTTTTTAAGAAAAGAGTTCGACCCTGTTGTTCAGCTGGTAATAATTTCATTAAAAAAAGTTCGACCCTGTCTTTCAGCACAAAATATTTTTGTTGAACGTGTTGAGCGCCATCTGTCGACTGAAATTATTAATATCAAGAGAATATTTGACAGCACACTGAAAAATAGTGAGAAAAATGGTCATCTTTAGCGTGTATTTTAAGGCATTTCCTAAGGGTTTACTGAATTGGGAAAGTATACATCTTATAGAGGAACTCTTTAACTATCATTTGACTGTAAGATTGTCCAAATTCATTTACTAGTTTCAGAAATACAGGGCGTTTTCCACCACGTGTTTTTATGAAAATTTGACCAAATACCAATTTTTAAAGGACGTTTTAGGGCACTTTGCATGAGTTTATGGGAAAGAAAATGTATATATAATGTAGAGAATTTCTTTAGCTATCATATAACAATCAGATTGTTTTAATTCCTCCTTTGGTTTCAGAGATATACGACGTTTTCCACAACAATGTTTAGAAAATATAAAAAATATCAATATTTAAGAGGAAATTAGGGCACTTCTCATGGATTTCAAGGATTAAAATGGTACTAGTCTTGTAGAGAAACTTTTTAGCTACCATATGACAATAAGAATATTAAAATTGATCGATTAGTTCCAGAGATATTAGGTGTTTTCTATACTGCTTTCAAAAATTTTCAAGAACAAGCAATTTTTGTTGGGAATTTTAGGGCTGTTTCTAGCGGTTGTAAGGGTTGAGAAGATACATATCTTATAGACAAACTTTTCAGCTATCATCTGCTAAAAAGACGGTTTAAATTGCTCCATTGGATCCAGAGATATGAAGTGTTTTCCCTAGAAACTTTCTGAAATAGACAAAAATGTATTGAGGAGCTATTGAGTAAACATAGTTATTACTTAATTTCAATTTCACTTTATTTATACATTATATAAAAATAACAACGAACAAATTTTAACATGATAGTATAAAAACGCACAATTTCTTGCAAACTATTGTCTACACTGATTTAGCTTGAAATGCCCTGGCCTTGATTCAATTTATCTTGAGACATTCACTTCTTCAGTGCTTTCACAGCTTTCTGTGCTGCATCATCTAAATGATCCGCAGAAATAATCGGAAGACCTGAATCTTTAATAATCCTCTTGGCTTCATCAACATTAGTGCCCTCAAGTCGAACAACCAAAGGCATATTCAACTTGATTGATTTACAAGCGCCTACAATACCGTTGGCGATTGTGGCGCAGTTCACAATTCCACCAAAGACATTCACAAGAATAGCTTGAACCTTTTTGTCATTAGTCAAAATCTCAAAGGCTTTCTTGACTTGATCTTCTTTCACACTGCCACCAACATCGAGGAAATTAGCTGGATCACCTCCATATAGCTTGATGATGTCCATAGTAGCCATTGCAAGCCCAGCACCATTCACAAGACATCCAATATTTCCAGTCATTCCAATATAGTTCAAGTTATATTTGCTTGCTTCCACCTCTCGTGGATCACTCTCGGAATCATCTTCCATGGCAAAAATGTCTTTTTGGCGGAATTGCGCATTGTCATCAAAGTTCAACTTGGCATCAACAGATATAACTTTGCCATCATCAGTCTCCACCAATGGATTGATCTCGATCTGTGTGGCATCTACTTTGCAGAACAACTGCCACAATTGTTTGATTTCATGAGCTGCTTTTGATTTTAAACCACCTTTGAACTCTAGAAACTCAGCTAGTTCATTAGCCATATTGTCTGTGATGCCTTGATGAATGTCAATGGGGATTGTTTTAATCAAATGTGGAGTTTTCTCAGCCACACCTTCAATATCCATTCCTCCTGCTGGTGATGCAATGATAACTGGTCCATTCTTTTGTCTATCCATCAATATACAAACATATGTTTCTCTCATAATATTGACAGATTCAGCAATCATTATCTTTTTCACCTCGATGCCATCCTTGGGTGTTTGTTTTGTGATCAAGCGATGTCCTAACATCTTATTAACAATGTCTTTGATTTCTTCTCTCTTCTCAGTGATTTTAACACCACCTTTGTATCCATTTGAAAAGTGGCCTTTTCCTCTGCCACCAGCCAAGATCTGAGCTTTGATTACATATTCCTTCACATCTAAAAATAAACATTATTTATGTTATTATCATTTATAACTTATGCAATCATGCCAATATTTATAATGATGAAACAACTTACTGAACTTCTCTAGTTCCTTATCACTGGTCATATCAACCATGCAAAAGTCCTGGACTGCAACACCATTCTTCCTCAGTAAATGTTTGCTTTGATATTCAAGAAGATTTAAATATCTGACAGGTACCTATGAAAAATCTTTAATCAATTCAACTTCCTCGATCAATATTCATAACTTTTCTACATACCTTTGCAATTCCACTGACTTTCTGCAATTTGTGGAATGAATTAAACAATGAAGACATTTTTGTGCTAATTTGGCTTAGATGTTAACGTAAAAAATGGTTGAGCGTGTGCCAAAGTCCAACTTCAAACTAATCACTGGCCGTGGTGATCAATTTAAGGAATGGAACCAAAACGATTGAGCGAAGCGTGCGATAACATGAATGGAACCGGCGCATATGTCGAACAACCTCCAACTGATTGTGTTGTGAAAACTAGTTTGGAGATGGCAATAGTTGTATCAAAATAGAATTATTTATGAACCAATTTAAATGTTTATTCAAGTAAATAACAAAGATATACATCAGGCTTGTTACAGATTAAAAACCCATGTGAAGATGCCGTTCGGTTTCCTTGGATCTCCTCTTTAACAAAACAATACAGATTGTTAGCAGACCCAAAAGAGCAACGACAAGACCAACTAGTGTGTACATAGCATGGCGGAATCCTGCAGCTGGATCTACAACAATTTTACCATTAACAAAATGTCCCCCAATTATTCGTCCTCACATTAAATTAAGTAATCTTACCAGGACTTAAATACAGCTCCCTTGGATTGTCATTAGAGTTAAAATTTGGATTCGAAAGCTTTGGTAACAACTGTGTCCAGAAGGACACTCTTTTTGCTCGTGTTAAAGTATTATCCAAAGATTGTACATCAATCCGTTCAATGTAAAAGTCACTTGGTGCGTATTTCTTCCAAGATTTCACATTATTATTCGGTGAAGGATTTCCAAAAATAACAAAATTCGCAATCAACTGTTTAAATCTCTTACTATATCTGAGCTCATTATTATTAAACCTTCTCCTTGCCAGTTGATTCAACAAAAACGGCCCAAACAACAAAATCAAATCAGAAGTAATCAATGAATCAGCGTTGGTATTATTAATTTGCAGCCCAAAATCATCAATGTCATAAACATAAATCGGTTGCAAATACGTCCTTAGTAAATAATTCACTTGTAAATAATGCGGGGCTTCAAGTTTAGTCTCAAATTCAAATGCTTTCAATTGGTCAAGAAGAGATCTGACATTTCGTTGATTATCATAGATATATTGCCATTTAATCAACTCAATAATCTCTTCTTTGTTGTTAATATCCAGTTGATATTTACGCATGATTTCTTGGATCTTTGACTGCTCAAAAAACTGTTGGAGTTGTATGGTACCTTGCTGAGCTATTTGCTCCCATTGTAAAAATTGTGGGTCTGTAATAACCTTGGAGATACCAGTTAGAATTGGTAGTTGTAACATGGTACCTTCTTGGAAAGCTATCAAAGGTTCTTTTGGGAGATAACGATCTGATTCTGGAAGGAAAGTATCTATAACTGGGTTGAATCCATCAGGAGCATTTCCACTCTGTCAAAAATAAAAAAATAAAAACAAAATTTTGATAATTATAAAAAAAACTTACTTCGATATATTCTTCATAAGCTTTTAATATCTCCACAGTACGTTTACTGCGTAGACATTGCATCATACTCTTAGAATAATCACTGTAACATCCCAAAAGTGATATGATTTTCTCCGAAGACTTAAATTGATTTGTAGGTAGATGCCAAGGTGATAAGAGACTCCCACTAGCCATAATCACACGATGAAACAACCCTAGAGCCAAAATAACACAAAAATTATCAATCAACATAACTTAAGTCACTTATAACCTGATGTCCTTGGGGATGTCATATGATACGCCACACTCGCAGCCCCTGCACCATGTCCAAACAATGTAACCCGGTCCGAATCACCTCCAAAGTGTTTAGCATTCTCCCTCACCCAAATCATAGCAAAATACTGATCAATCAAACCATAATTCCCACGTAAATCATTGGTACCTATACTAAGAAACCCGAAAACATTGGTACGGTAATTAACCGTCACAGTAACCACATTCTCCATTGCAAGATCCTGCCCAGGGATACGTATGGAATTAACCCTTGCAAATTCAACTCCTTCGAAAACAATCACCACAGGTGCCAGGCCATAACGACCAGCATTCTCAGGTGCCCAAACGTTTAAATACAAACAGTCTTCATCACTAACAGTTTGAGCATTTAGAATTGGTAGTTGGGGACATGGCGGAGCTTGGTTCAAAGCATGCAGGGTTCCATTCCAGCCATGATGGCGTTGTGGTGGAGAAAAACGTAGGGTACCCACTGGGGGAGCAGCGTAAGGTATACCAAAGTATGCGTCTGCTATAGCTCCCGAATCACTATATACTTTAGTCTTAAATAATTAAATAAATATTAATTATTTAGAGATTTATAAAGAATTGAGTTTAGTTAGGCTTACACCAATCAATGTCCCTTGCGGAAGTCGCACAGTCGGTCTCCGATTCTGATACTGAGCAAACACATCAACACTGCATCCCGTGAAGACAATCAGAAACCAGCAGCACAAGATGGCAAACAAGCGAAACATGTTGTTGTTGTCCAGCGCTCGGAGTGCACTGTTGCGCCAACACAACTAAACGGCATCGCATTATGCGTGCAGATGGAATTGGATGAAATATAGAAAATTCGTATATGCGGCCGTGTGATGCTTCCGGTGCGCATTGTCTCGCATCCGGTCATCTTGATGCGGTGTTTACCAACTGTCGCTGGCTCTGTCGCGATTATTTAACTAAATAGAAAATAACACGGCGGATTTGCGGCGCTATTCGCACGTTATCTTTGTAATCATCTAACGTTTTTCAGTTTTTCAACGATTTACAATTCTAATAGAAATAAATTTCACTTTTTTATTTATTTTGTTGTAAAGTATATTATATTTTATTTGATGTGTGTGGTAATTTTTGTTTGGCATTGAAAATTAAGTACGAATAAAAATCGCAGCCATTTATGGCGCGATCGGAGAGCTGATCGCGTATAAGGTAAAATTTTAATTCTTAATCTAGGCCAGACATATGTGCGCATGGTGCACTTATTGCAATATGCTCGATTGGTCAATTAAAAATGCCAATTGTGATAAAAATATCAAACAAATAACATTTTTGACAGTGTTGCCAGTGTTTCTATCATCAAAATACATTGAAACTGATCTAATAACATCGATACAATTACAATTGAATCATTTGTGATTCATTTTGGTATTTTGGCTGCTTGCCTATGACCAACATATTATATTGAGTCATTACAAAAAATTCAATCAAATTTTTAGGTTATATGTGTTCTCAATGCATTGGGTGCAACACTGAGTAGCTCTCAAGTGGGGTTATGGTAAGGTGTGTGAACTTGTGTCTCGAACTTCGCTCGAATTACACGCTATAAGAATCCGAAAAGATCTGCGCTCACGGACAGTGCGGGTCTATTATTAGCAAGCGCACGGTCGTGCACAAATCTCAGCTTCGAGAGAAAATCAGTTTTCACGACGTGCGCCGATCGCATGCACGCATATTATTTTAAAAAACAAACAATTCATATTACAAATTATAGTTATACATAAAAATCAGTGCAATATAAACTTATTATTAATTATATTTAAAAAATCATCAACTACAACGCAAAAACTTTAAAAAACTTTAAAAAATATGAAAGAATTGTGTTTAAGTATTGTTTTCTTATAATTTAGTGAAGTTTCCTGCATATTTTGGATAAGTGTCACTGTCACCTGTGATTGCAGCGTGAAACATCAAGAAGCTCAAAGAGCTTCGAAGGTATTTTAATGATTAGAACACGGCGGCACATGCCGCATATTTATAGACGTGTAACGCATAACATTTGCTTGGTTAAGTGCGTACCATACATACTCAAACATAGATTTTCTTCAAAAACTATATAAACAACAATTGTTTCCCACACCTAAACACATATATTATTAAAATAAGTGAATCCAAACCTTTTGAAACAATTTTTGGCACCGTGATGTTTATTTTTAAGCCGTGACCAGTCATTTATCAAAAAAGGTGTCAGATTTGATCTCAATTTTCGCGTCTTTGAAATCAAGTCCAATATTTTATTGGCGATAATGCAAACGGATTATGTTATGAAATTCAACCACAACATCCTGATAAAATTAAAACACGTATGAATCATTGTAATTGTAGTGGGGTATAATTATTCCCCTTCTTGGCTTAAGTTAAGTTAAGTTAAGTTAAGTTGACTTAAGGTTGTTTTACATAAGTATTGAATGTCTTTTTCAGTCGACTTACAATGTTTTAGTGAAGTGGTTGCCAATGAATTCCAAGTGAATAATTAATGTTCTGTCAATGATCAATACAGTGGCTTAAATCGTAAAAAAATTGGATACGTTTCAAGTCAGGTATAAATTTAGATCAATTAGGATACATACGGATTTAAATTAAATTCGAATTAAGTTCAAGTGTATATAAGTCAGTGTTAATTTGGTTGCCTATACTTCTCCTATACTTATATTCAAGTTACTGTATTAAAGTAAAGTAAAAACTTTAAAAGTTGCAAAACTAGTTGCTATCACACTTACCATTAACATTATTGAATTGAATCGAATGGTTACTGATAAGATTATTGATAAGCATATTGATTTAAGTTAAACAAACTATATGACTACATGATTTCAGGCAGTAATGTAATGATTTATTGATTTAGAGGCCGAAGCAAAATATTTGAGGATCCACATCGCTAGCGAGCTAAGCGAAAATGAGCGGCGTGGAGGGACAACTCGCGGGTCGCGACTCGGAATGCTTCGACGCCGGCGATTGTTACAACGAGGCCGCGGACGAGAGCGAAATGGTGTCGACGGAGCGCGATCTTGCCGAAGACGCGCAATGGAAGCGCATCCAGCAGAATACGTTCACGCGATGGGCGAACGAACGCCTCAAAGTCTGCGAGAAACATATCGGTAACTTGGAGACGGACCTCGCCGACGGTCTTCGTCTTATCGCCCTCATCGAAGTGCTTGCTGGTCGCCGCCTTCCTAAACACAACAAGCGGCCTTCCTTCCGCTCACAAAAGTTGGAGAACGTATCCGTCGCGTTGAAATTCCTCCAGGAGGACGAAGGGATTAAAATTATCAATATCGGTAAGTAATTTTACTTAAAATTTTAATTTTTAATTTGTCATAAAATTTAACATTAAATTTGTTGTTGTTGTTAAAACGCGTTTAACACCACAACCAAAGTGGTCAAAACACAGCCGCATGAGTTAAAAGTGAGGAGTCCGATCCTAACCAGTTTTTGTAATCTTTATCTCGCCGGCCGGCATTCCGCATTCATATATTACATCATCGGCTTCGGTCGCGCAGCATCTCTAAGAGAGAGATTCCTCCAAACCGCGCCTAGGTCGCGCCTTGGAAGGTCGACCAGAAGCGAATCTTGACTTGCATGCGCAGCAGGGACCTTTCGGGTCCCAGACAACATAAAAACAAACGTGATCTCATCACCCACAAACACAAATAAAATCATTCCGTCATATTTATTCAGACTTATCACTATCAGGATTTGGTTGATCAATGTTTACAAAACGGCACATGAATCAATGTCTTTTCAACGGCGGCATTTCCATGTAGAGTCATATCTATTTATTAGTAAATAACTTTTAAGTGTTTTGTAAGTCATCTTAGTAAGCAGAAAACGGAGTCAGCAAAAGAGTCGATTACATCACGCGCGAGTATTTTATGCATTTGTGACTTAAGTCAGAATGCAAGGTTTCACGTTTATTTTTTTTATTTTAATTTTTGCCCACGAAGCAAATGTTAATTTCATTATTTTTTTTATCTAATCACCTCAACAAATACTGTTACAAAAAATATACTTCCTTTGTTCACCACAGAGTCTATTAACATTTTTTATCACTATTTATATTAGCATGACCTAAGTAATGTATTAAAATATTTATTCTGGAATGTAACACTCTGCAATCGTGCAAGAATTGACACACAATTCGTCATGAAGTAACCGTGAATCACCAATTGATGAATCAAAGATTGTGATTACGTGAAAAATAGCGTAGGTGTCACTGATAGTCACCATTGTTACCGAAAACAACGCAAATAAAAATCATTCATTAATATTCATTGAAATAATGCCTATAAATAGAATCTGGTACAATTTTCTCTCTCCGCAGTGTTGTAATTGTTATGTTAATTAATGCTAATCAACACTAATTGTGGCGGTTTGTGCTCGAATCCCGCCAAACCGTAAATGGTAACAAATGGTAACCACTAGCTGGTGATACACTGAAACGTTATCGCTTCCAATTTGTTTTCTGTTTTTTGTTTCGTACGTGTTTTACCATAGTTAGCCGTAAACACAAATTTGGTACATGTGTAATGCGTGTTTTCGAACGTGTTTCGGAGCATGTTTTTATTTTTACTCGTGTTCACCGTTTTGGAATGATGTCTCATCCATTCTCCACGAACTGCTAACAATAAAATTAATGATTTATCACTGTAATATTAATTTCTACATCTACATCTTGAGGTGTAAATTATAGGTATTATATTATTGACAGTTATTGTATATTTAAAATATATATTTTTATTCTTTTGGTAAACTTATCGCGTATATAGTTGTTAGGCCCATAAATGGCGTAAATGGATGTGGTTGAGGTTAAGGTGATACTGAGAACTTATGGTGCTTTATTTATTTTGGATTAAGTGTTTTACATGTACACGTACTGAGAGCAGTTAACGATGATGACCTTGTAATACTTTTCGCAGCGAAAAACGTACGCTGATGAACTTGGGAATAATTTTACTTTCAATTTTTTTTTTTCGGAGTTGATTTTCACTTTCTCAGTAATATTACACCGGATAAACATTAAATATTCATAATTGTTATAAAATTGTATCAAATTACAAGAATTTTAATTGAACTTGAATCATGAACTTAACTCCCACTTGATTTTTGATATTTCACTACTATTCATGGCTTCAAATTCATGGTAATGAACTCGTAAATCACTTATATCCATTACCGCACCTCCATTGCACTCGTAAACTACTCGTACTCAAATCCGAGCACTCTTAGCTCAAGTGTTGACTTAAGTGCGTTTGCCTACACGATAATGCGATAAATGTTACTACGTTACTAAAATATGTGTTAATAATATGCCGTCAAGACCCATTTGTAATTTGTAATTTGAAATCTAAGTTCATTGACGTGGTGATTCAGATTCCAGTCACATCGTCGATTGCAAACTGAAGTTAATCTTGGGTTTGATATGGACGCTTATCCTGCACTACTCTATTTCCATCCCACTCTGGGAGGGCGAGGAGGAAATGACCAATGGTGGTTCGGGACCGACTCCCAAACAACGTTTGATGAACTGGATACAATCGAAAGTACCAGGGTTGCCTGTTTCCAACTTTACCACCGATTGGAACAATGGCAAAGCTGTTGGTGCGTTGGTTGATGCTGTCGCACCAGGTCTATGCCCAGATTGGGAGGTAATTATTTTTTTTGTTAAAAAATATTATAAATTATAATTTGAATAAATTTTAGGATTGGGATCCAAAAGATTCTGTACAAAACGCTTCTGAAGCCATGGGTCTGGCTGACGATTGGCTCAATGTCCCACAATTGATCAAACCTGAAGAGATTGTTAATCCCAACGTTGATGAGCAGAGTATGATGACTTATCTCTCGCAATATCCGAATGCCAAGTTAAGAAGTGGTGCTCCTCTACGTGCCAAAGCTAATCCTTCCAGGTAGGTTCACATGGTTAAAATATACCAAAAATTATCCAGATGGTCTTTTATGACATTCTGGATTTTTTTTTTCATTTTTGACACAAAAACTTATTCGGTACTTATTGAATTCCTTTCTGTTCTGCAATCTGCATTCAGTAACCCTTCGTCTCGGTAAGTCACCACAGCGCGAATGACGTATGATGACGCTTTCTCAGATGCTAATACCTTCACTTCTTTCACAGTTTCAAACGTTTTTTCCATTGGATTTATTTTGATCACCGTTTTTATCAAGTTTTTCTTTTTTGATTATCGATGGTCGTGGTGTGGCAAACAATAGCACTGCATGTTTAGAACAGCTTTACCCTCTGTTAAAACCAATACTAATAAAGGGTGATTTTCTATTAGGGTACGAGTTTATGGTCCTGGTGTGGAACCAACTGGTCCAGTGGTTGGAGCACCTGCAAACTTCACCGTGGATACCTTCTCGGCTGGCCGTGGAGAGGTTGATGTGAAAGTGGAAAATCCAAAGGGAGCTTTGGAACCTGTTGATGTGAGGTTCAACAACGATCGGAATCTGACGTATTCTGTTGCCTACACGCCTAAAATTGAGGGTAACCATAAGGTGCAAGTATTGTACACTGGTAGGGAAGTCCCAAAGAGTCCTTTTACTGTGAAAGTTGAAGGACATGCTGGGGATGCTTCTAAAGTCAAAGCTTCTGGACCAGGGTTACAAACTGATGGTGTGTTTGTAGAAAAAGGGACATATTTTGATATTTATACAAAAGGTTCGTAAAAATACCTTTTTCTGATGTTTTTACCTTAAATTTTTATGTTTTTTTTTTGTATTACATAGATGCAGGTAATGGGGTACCTGAAGTTATAATCTTAGACCCAGCCGGTAAAAACGACACGGTGCCAGTGAAACTGCGCCAAACCGCTCCAGACACCTGGCGATGCGAGTACCTCTCGCCGATCACGGGTCTACATTCCGTAAACGTATTCTTCGCCGGTAGAAGCATTCCAAATAGTCCCTTCGGTGTGCGTGTATCCCCACTGGCGGATTCTAAAAAGGTCAAAGCCAGTGGTCGTGGTTTACAAGCACAAGGTGTTCGCGTCAAAGACGCTGCCGATTTTAAAATATGCACCGAAGGGGCAGGCGAAGGTCAAGTAGAAGTCCAGATCATTGGTCCCGGTGGTGTTTCCGTCCCTTGTAAACTCCAAAAAGTCGATGGATACAACTACACTGCCGTCTACAATCCCACAAAAGAAGGTCGTCACGTAGTGATGATTTCCTTCGCTGGTCAAGAGATCCATCGTTCTCCTTTTGAAGTAAACGTTGGACCCTATAAGGAAACCATGATCCGCGCATATGGACCTGGGTTACAAGGCGGTGTCGTAGATTATCCTGCTCTCTTCGTAGTAGAAACCAATGGTGAGACTGGTGCGTTGGGTTTCAGTATCCAAGGACCTTCTCAAGCAAAAATAGAATGTGTTGACAATGGCGATGGGTCAGCTGATGTTAGGTATTATCCAACAGTAGTGGGGGAATATGCAGTGCATATTTTGTGTGACAATGAAGACATTCCAAAGAGCCCTTACATGGCGCAGATACTCCCCAACACAGATTACTATCCGGATAAGGTGGAGGTCTATGGACCTGGTGTGGAAGCAGTGGGTTTAGCAAAGAATGCCCCTGCTAAGTTCACCGTAGATACCAGAAAAGCAGGGAAAGCTCCTTTGGATGTGCAAGTGACAGATGCAAACAGTAATAGTATTCCGGTTAATTTGACTCAGAAACCAGATGGGACTGTTGATGGTGTGTATACCCCGAACTCAGGTGGTAAACATACAGTACAAGTGAATTATGGAGGTGTTGCTACCAAGAAGTCCCCGCATAGGGTCAACGTATCAGAACCATTGAATATCCGTGTGTTTGGACCTGGGTTAGAAGATGGCGTCAAGGCTAAGACACCTGCTTATTTCAACATTGACGCAAGGTACCATTTTTTTTTTAATTTTAAATTTTTTATGTTAATTTATCAATATTTAGGGATGCTGGTGTTGGTAACATGGAAGTTTTGCTCAAAAACGAAGAAACCAACCAATTAACCCCCATCATGCTCACCGACAACCAAGATGGTACCTACTCCGTAGAATACGCCGCAGCTGAACCTGGACTTCACACCATGACTCTAAACTACAACGGTTTGAAGGTACCTACCACCCCAGTCAAATTCCGCGTGGTACCATCAAACAGTGTCGACGTGACCAAGATCAAAGTCGACGGACTTGAACCAAGTAAGTGTCTATCCTCATATCACATCACATTTCACCTCTATCAACCTTCAGATGTCTATTGTCTTCATGTTTCTTCACGAGTAGTTTTCGAATGTTTTATCATCTATAGCCGCCCCCGTCAACAGTTTGCAACAATTTAGGGTCATCACCCAGGATGCGGGTAAAGCCGAGATGGCTATTTCCATCACCACGCCATCGGGTAGTAAAATCCGTGCGCATGTCATACCCACACATGAAGGGTACCTCGTTAACTTCACACCCACACAACTAGGAGAATATTTACTTGGTATTTCCTTTGGTGGAGAACCCATCTCCCAGAGACCTTATAGAATCACATGCCTCACCGGGAGTGATCCAATGAAAGTCAAAGCGACTGGTCCTGGGTTAAGTCGAGGTGTGGTGAATAAACCTGCTGAGTTTATGATAGATACACGAGGTGCAGGTCAAGGTGGTCTGGGTGTGACAGTTGAAGGTCCATGTGAAGCTGCAATTAATTGTCGAGATAATGGTGATGGTACCTGCTCTGTGGCATACCTTCCCACGGAGATTGGCGATTATGGGATTAATATCACCTTCAATGAGGCACACATTCCCGGCAGTCCTTTTCAGGCCATTATTTTACCAGATGTGGATATTAATCGGATACGAGTCACTGGGTTTGGAGTGCAGTTACATGGTAAACTGATGTGACGCATTGCAACCAGATTTTTGGCATTTTATACACTTTTTTGTTTCATAACCATTTTTTTGCCATGTTGTTTCGTATACTAAACGCATTTATTTGTTAAGTGTTTTATTGAATTACTATTTAAATAATTCATCAAATATTACTTAGTAATCTTAAAATTTTTTCTCAAAGGTGTCTTTGTCAGTTCCCCTACGGATTTCTTGGTCGACACACGTGCCATACAGAAAACAAGTGATGATGGTAAAATTACCTGCACGATTACAAACCCTTCAGGTGCCCAGACAGAAAATTTAGTCACACCTCTACAAGATGGTACCTATAAGGTCAGCTACACTCCATTTGAAGAAGGTACCCATACCATTGACATCTTCTATGATAACATGCCTGTACCTGGATCTCCTTTCGTGGTCAATGTACGTCGTGGATGTGATGCGAAAAAGGTCCGCGCCTTTGGTCCTGGTCTTAGTAAGGGTATCGTAGATAACCCTAGTACCTTCACTGTAGAAACAAAAGGTGCTGGTGTTGGAAGTCTGGGTGTAGCTATTGAAGGACCTTCCGAGGCCAAAATGAACTGTTATGATAACCATGATGGTTCATGCTCTGTGAAATACATCCCTACTGAAGCTGGGGAGTATGATGTGACCATCAAATTCGCTGATCAACACATCCCGGGTAGTCCATTCAAAGCCATTGTAGAATACGACAGTGAAGCTAAACTGGTCAAGGCATTCGGACCTGGTCTAGAGGCTAACAAATGTCGTGCGAGTGTCCCTACAGAATTCAAAATCGATGCCTCCAAGTGCCAGAAAGCTCCCATCGATGTAAAAATCTTATCCGATATGGGTCCACTCCCCATTAAACCAGAAGTCTTTGATAACAAAGATGGTACTTATACTGTAAGCTACGTACCACCAGCTGAAGGTGCCAAGTTACAAGCGCAGGTTACTTATAACGGTCAGGATATCCCACATTCTCCATTCAATATGAAGGTGAGACCTTATTGTGAACCGGAAAAGTTGAAAGTGGCTATTCCTGAAAAAGGTGTACCTGCATCACTACCTGCTACAATTAAAATAGATACGAATGAAGCGGGTTATGGTAATTTAGAAGTGACCATGAAAGGTCCCGACGGGGCTGTGAGACCTGTTGAGATTAGAGACAATGGGGATGGTACATATAATGCTACTTTCGTACCAGATGACTTCGGGAGGTATAAATTTGATGTTAAATATGGCGGGAAGAATGTTCCTGGTGCGCCGTTTAATGTCCATGCGTACGCCATTGGAAATGTAAGTATTTTATGAGAAAAATCAACAAAGTAAAAATCTAAAATTTTTAAATTTTGTGATAAAGGCTGAGAAGTGTAAGATAACTGAAGGTGCAGAACGGGCATTAAACAGTGGAGAAGATTACTGCATCACGGTGAATACAGAGAATGCAGGTATAGGTGCTGTGACCTGCAGGATACGATCCAACAAAGGAAGGTTAGTTAAAAATTAAAAGTAATAATAGATTCTGAATTTTAATGGGTAAATATTTGGTTGCGAAAATAGTGATCTGGATATAAATATTGTGGACAACGATGATGGTACCTTCAGCATCTTTTACAACATAGAAGACGATGGGGATTATACCATCAACATCAAATTTGGTGGTCAACAGGTTCCAGGAGGATTATATACCTGCACAGTAAGTGTTTTTATTCATTTTTGAGACATAAAAATTTTTACTTTAAACATGGGCAGTCTAGGCAGTGATTAAAGTACTTTAGTCACGGGTCGAGCTAGTGCCTGTGCATTTGTCCACGAGGCAACACAAAATAGCTTAAGCATCACATGGCTAAACGTTGTTAAACACTCGATTTATTAAACGCTCGTTATGGTCGCTCTTAATCATTCCCGTGACAAAAACTCCCGTTTAGGCACTTGACATTTAATATACTGTTTAAAACGAAAAAGAAAAACGAGGAAAAAATGTCGTGTAGTAATTTTAAGCTTTAAATTCTTTAAATTTTTACGAGTATAAAATTTCAAAAGCTGTTTCCTGACACGACGTTGCCTAGTTGTTGACGGAAACACTTCGTATATCAATGTCACTCTACATTTAACACCTATCACCAAAACATAGAATGTAGTGCGTTGCGCATAAACCGTTTAAACGCAAACGCAAGACACTAATTGAAACGTTACAGACGGTTTCATACCACTAACATTTCATTTCAAACATGGAAACTCTTGCAGTTCATCCACCTCAAACCCAAAGATAATATTTTCATCAAAATCTAAATTTAAATCAAAAATTTTGACCCAAATATTCACCACACCCGCTATTATATTATTTTCTATTTATAATTGTTTGATTTTTGATATTCGCAAAAATCTGATACGAAAATTCGGTCAAACATGTTATGTGTTTATATATCTGACATGGGAATCTATCGTTGTGACTCGTGACGAGTCCCGCAAAAGCGCAGCATCCGGCTACTTATATTTAGCCACACATTTTAATACCATGCCCGAAATTTATCATACGGCCGTATATGTGTCACGCTCGGCGTAAACAACCCGCGGGATAATAACGCGATGCGTATCATAACCCGAGCAAAGTGTTTCTTGGCAACACAACGAATTATATATTCCGCAGAGACACGATCCGCTCAAAACACTTGCATACTGAAAATTTCACATTTGATCACATTGACTGCTAAAATTACATCTGTACGACTAATTAAAATGTATTTTAATTACCGCGACAATGTATAACATGCATACACGAGCGTTGATTGTCTTAATGTTCGTGAAATATGTTTTCGCGCGGTGCAATTTGGACGGCGACCAAAAATGGCACGCGAAACGACCGGATAATTCATGATCCGAACTCTTAATAGAAGCATTACGATCTAAAACGTTTAATAGGTGTCAGAAATATTATTTTGGTAGGTAGGTAAATCATTTTTTTTTTCAAAAAAATTTTTTTTTAAATTTTGATTTCATCGCAATTGTAGAAACACTAAATACAAGTATGTGTGACTAAAGTTTTTATTGCGGCGCAATAAAAAAATCGGTCATTTCCCTCATGACTTCCTGATGGTTCTAATATTAGTCACGATCGAAAATACATGCGGGCGATTTTTCTTATTATTTTTTTTCTTCGCAGTTTATATTTTGATAACAGCGCACATGTTTTCTATTAATTTATTGCGGCGACAGCAAAAACGCAAAAATTCGGTCAAATTTTTCGCGTTCCGGAAAGAAAAACGCGCTAAAAATATCAAAATTCGCGAATAATCGAGATTTATTATCACTTCACGTTGTATTATCAAAAAACCCACGAATTTCCATATTTTTAGAACATTTTATAGAATATTTTATTACAATATTATGTTTGTAATTATTTTGGCATTATTTGACATCACAGGAGCAGCACACGCGTCGTAAAAGTTAATTTTGAGTTTCGTGCTTTGGTTTTTATTACCGCGTGCGGCATCAAAGCAATACTACATGTGGTTAGTATCACTTGACGTTATAGATTTGTTACATACGCAAACGATGCTTCCACTTGCTCAAATGTTTTAGACATTTGCTAATATTTCGTAATTTTACAGCAAAATTTAAACATGGTTGACAGTTTGACGAGTTAACTCTTAACCTGTGGAGATATTCTAACCATCATTAATCTTATGTTAGAATAATTGGCATTCTCTTGAAGATTTCACGCATATTACCAGCATGTTTGTACAATTTGTGATTTTATGATGTCTTGATAGTATTTCGGGCAGCGTTCCTCCTACTCCCCACGTATTTTCGGGACGTTGTGGACGGGGAACGGCAACGCCCCCGAATAATTCCAAAAAATGTGTCTCCTTTTGATATGTAACTCGGTTTCGGTTTAATTATAAATGTTATTTATACATTTTCTCCGGACACAAATAGCACGCGTTTTAAATCCTGCAAAATGCGACATAAAATGATTTTTTGATGATTTTTGTAAAATTTTACACACAGAGAGAAATTAGAATTACATGATATTTAAAGATGTGTAGTTGGGTAGTAGTGGAATTTTTTCTGCTCCTGTTGCTCGGCTGGTGGGTTATAGTAGTGGTTTCGGGAACCGGGCACCCACTTACGCTAGCCGGCCGGCAGAAAGGCGTGTCTTTCGAGCGCTTTTCTAGCGGGTATCAAACTTTTCGATTGTCTTTCAGTGCCTCGCACGCAGCTACGCCGAGATATTATAAGCATTTACTAGGTACGTCTCAAAAAGTTACTTAATCACTCAACACTACAAACAATCATTAAATAAACAATCAATTGTGTATTTATCCATAAAAAACCGAGTGTGATTTGATTATTTTTGAGCTAAAAAAATTAAAATTTTCAAAAATTTTGTGTGTTGCTGATTATCGCGGTGAATAATTCGGTTTGGACATCACTCGCATTTCATCTTAATTACGCGTAACCAATGATCGTTAGCGCCGAGTTTTTACGTTGCTTTTCCGCACGGTTGTACACGAAATTAATGCCTAATTAATGGCGACGTTTAATTGGAGCGTCGCGATGTTGCACCTGTTGGTACATAATTCAACCGCCTCTTCATCACATGCTATTTTCGTTGTGGGCGCACGTGATGCAAGACACGATTTTTCACGTTCGCATTGTGACTAAGTGGATGAACGCCCCCGAGGCTCGAAAATAACACTTTTGCTTGTTGTTGTTATTTAGGCGATTAAGACCGAAAAGGAGACAATCACCCAGTACGATTCCATTCGTCAAACGACCAGTAGTACCTCCACCAGCCACCAGGCGACCACAAAGAAAGCATATCGGGCTTTACATCTCGATAATATTCCATTGCCGACTACAGGGGGCGTTGTTGTCGGTAAGTACTTTCCCTAACCTCACTTTTAAACTATTTTTATGTATTGTTACGTGAATAATTCACTCGCCAAGATTTATTTCTATTGTTACACACAAAGTAACAATTTTTAAAGTTACGCATAATCTAGTTTTTAACTTTTGGCAGAGTTGTTATTATTTCAGCGAGATTCAAAACAAGCAGTGTGAGAAAATGTGTATTGCATGAAAATTATGATCACTGCAGTCCGCAGCTTGTTTATACACGTCCTGCTACGTCTAACTTTAATGTACAAATTATTTATGTTAGTTTTAGAAGGTATTACGAGGTTTGCCTGTTTTTTCTGCGCAGGATTTTGTGCGTGCAACTAAAAATCCAACGAAATTTATTTCAGGCAAACAAATTTTATGTGTGTCTCAACACATTACTGATATTTCCTGGTTGGTGGAGTTGTTACTCTTTTTTTTGAGTATAAATGTAAAAATATCAAATGCGTACTCAGTGCGCGGTTCCAGGCGAACGCAAGAATCGGCAAGCGGGCGTAGCCGAATTTTTTCACGCCGTGCGGCGGCAAATACATGCGATGCTGATATTTTTAGGCGGCGCATATCAAATATTGGCCAGAGATATTCACGAATTCACGAAATATTATTGCTCTTTGAGCGATTGGGCAAGATGCAGCTGTCCCCCATCACGATTTTGATCATCTCGCTCACACGCGATATCCTCGGGAGGCGCGCATCATCGATTCCTCCAAAAATTTCACACGTACTCCGCAGTCTTGCACGCAAATTGCTTAAGCGCAGATCTCCGATATCTCAACCCACAAAAATCACATCTACTAAATTCTGGAGGTTGTTAAATGTTGAGTCAAAAAAGTTTCTGATTAAATTCGCGCAAATTTAGAGGATGTTTTCGTGGTTGAAGTTACCCGAACCTCCGCAGGCAACTTGGAACGACGTGTCTACTTATTACCTCGAAAATCTCAAGTGTTTTACGTATTCGGTGCTGGATCGTGAGGAGATCCCAGTTGTTTATCTCAACGTGCCCTCTACGCCTGTTAACGGTGTTGATTTTCCTTCATTAGTGTATCTGTCGCAATATTTTGTACAAACCCATAAAGGTACCTTTGGTTTTTATATTATTCCTACCATTATTACTTGGTATTACCTCCAAATTTGTTTTCTTTTATTCTATAGCGAATATCAAAATGCCGAGCGGAAATATTGACCTGCCCATCATAGAAGACAATAACGATGGCACCGTAAGCATCAAATATGACCCAAGGGAAGAAGGTCTCCATGAATTGGCCGTAAAGTACAATGGTGAACACGTCCAGGGTTCACCCTTCAAGTTCCATGTGGATTCCATCAGTTCTGGTTATGTAACCGCCTATGGTCCTGGTTTGACCCATGGAGTAACAGGTGAACCCACCAACTTTACCATTTCGACTAAGGGTGCAGGTGCTGGTGGTCTCTCCATGGCCGTTGAAGGTCCCAGCAAGGCTGAGATTTCCTGTCATGATAACAAAGATGGTACTGTTTCTGTATCGTACCTACCAACTGCTCCCGGCGAGTATAAAATTTCTGTCAGATTCGGTGAGAAACACATCAAGGGATCACCTTTTAATGCTAAGATCACTGGTGAAGGTAGAAAGAGGAACCAGATTTCTGTTGGGTCCTGCAGTGAAGTTTCTCTTCCGGGTAAGATCTCCGATGCGGATATCAGATCCCTGAATGCTTCTATTCAAGCCCCGAGTGGGTTGGAAGAACCCTGTTTCTTGAAGAGGTTACCAACAGGAAATATTGGTATTTCCTTCACTCCCAGAGAGATTGGTGAGCATGTGGTATCCGTGAAAAAGTTGGGTAAGCACATTACTAACTCACCATTCAAGATTACTGTCTGTGAAAGAGAAGTGGGTGATGCTAAGAAGGTCACTGTATCTGGTAATACTCTTAAAGAGGGTAAGACCCATGTGGATAACACTTTCACTGTGGATACCAGGAATGCTGGTTTCGGTGGTCTGTCGCTTTCAATTGAAGGACCCAGCAAAGCTGAGATTCAATGCGCTGATAAAGATGATGGAACACTTAATATTTCTTACAAACCCACTGAACCTGGTTACTACATTGTGAATCTTAAATTCGCTGATCACCACGTTGAAGGCTCGCCATTTACTGTGAAGGTCAGCGGTGAGGGTACCAATCGTCAAAGAGAAAAGATCCAACGTCAACGGGAAGCTGTTCCTATCACTGAAGTTGGCAGTCAATGCAAACTCACCTTCAAGATGACTGGTATCACCTCCTTTGACCTTAGCGCTCATGTTACCTCACCAGGAGGAGTTATTGAGGACGCTGTGGTTAAAGAGATCCAGGATGGTTTATATGCTGTTAACTTTGTCCCTAAGGAATTGGGAGTGCATACTGTTTCTGTCAAGTACAAGGACATCCATATTCCTGGTAGGTTAAAATTTTAAATTTGTTAAGTGTGAAGAAAATTAATTTTTTGGGTTGAATAGGCTCCCCCTTCCAATTTACTGTTGGTCCCTTGAAGGATCAAGGCTCCCACTTGGTCAAAGCCGGTGGTTCTGGTCTGGAACGTGGTGAACAAGGTGAACTCAATGAATTCAACGTATGGACCCGTGAAGCAGGTACCGGGCAACTGGCCATTTCAGTCGAGGGTCCCAGCAAAGCAGAAATCAACTTTACCGATCGTAAAGATGGTTCCTGTGATGTTTCCTACAAGGTTTCCGAACCAGGTACAGTAAAAAACGACCTGATGACTGTTTCCATAGATTTTACAAATTCCTAACATAAGTATCCTGTCCACCTAATAATTAAGATAAATACGACCCTCCTGCTTGCTAACAAGCATTCGTTTGACAAAATTTACTGAACACTTGGCGCGCGGTCAAAAACGATTTTTGCGAATTTCCGTTCATCAAACGCGCGCGATGTTAGTGTGTCAATGTGTCCCGCACCTCGAAATGCGACGTTAAATATAGTCGGAAAAACGCAAACGCGTGATTCATATCGACCATAACGCGTTGGAGTCGATCCGAGTGCAGTTATGTACAAAACCTGCCGCGACATTGCGCTCAGCAAAGAAATCCCATCAAGTATATCAACAGATATGAAGCTTACCTTCAACATCTTATTGATATTTTCCAGGCGAGTATCGTATTGGTATGAAGTTCAACGATAGACACATCCCGGACTCACCCTTCAAGGTGTACATCTCTCCAGCGGTGGGTGATGCTCACCTTTTGGAGGTGTTCCAATTCCCAGAGGGCGCTGTCCAGGCTGATAAACCATCTCAGTTCATGGTGCGCAAGAATGGAGCTAAGGGTGAACTCGATGCCAAGGTAAACCATCAAAAAATTAAAAAAAAACAAAAATTCAATTTTTTTCTTCGAAACCAGATCATTGGTCCATCTGGTCATGAAGAGGATTGTTTCATCCAGTTGATAGACATCGATGAATACTCCGTTCGTTTCATGCCACGTGAAAATGGCATTCATAAAATCCACGCTAAATTCAACGGTGTCCATATCCCATGCTCACCATTCAGTGTCCGCGTTGGTAAAGACACCGCAGACCCAGCCGCCGTCCATGCCGCAGGCGCAGGTCTTCAAAATATCAAAACCGGAGCCAAAACCGACTTTATTATTGACACCGTCAACGCCGGAGCTGGTACCCTGGCTGTGACCATTGATGGTCCCAGTAAGGTATCCATGGATTGCACTGAGGTTGATGATGGTTACAAGGTGCGCTATACCCCACTAGCCCCAGGAGATTACTACGTCAGTATTAAATACAATAACAACCATATTGTAGGATCTCCATTCAAGGTGACCAGCACAGGTAAGAATTACAGACCCCAATCTCCATAAATAAACACCCTGTATAACCAAATGTTTCTATTAAGGTGATTCCAATATGGTGGACGTAGGCACACAGGAAACCTCTTCAGTAGTGGTTGAAACAGTAGCAAAAGTGGGTCAAGCCCTGGACAAAGGTCCCAAACTCCCACAATTCAAGAGTGATGCTACAAAGGTGACCTCCAAGGGTATGGGTCTCAAGAAAGCCTACCTGGGTAAACAGAATCAGTTCACGGTTGCTGCCAACGACGCCGGATCCAACATTCTCTTCGTGGGTGTCCATGGACCAAAGGGCCCTTGCGAAGAAGTGTTTATCAAACACTCTGGGCGTAATCAATACAACGTCAACTATTTGGTCAGAGACAGGGGTGATTACATCGTGATTGTCAAGTGGGGCGATGACCACATCCCCGGGTCACCCTTCAAAGTGGAAGTATAATATAGTGTCTTTCTTTTTCATATACATATATTTATTTCATTTACTTGTCGTCTTAGATGTAATTTACGAGATAATACAATTTCTTTGACCCTTTACCCTTGTAACTCTTAGGTCAAAACAATTGACAATCGATAAGTTCTTTATCCACATCTTTAACCAGTTTGTTTTTTGAGTATAATCTATTCATTTGTAAATATTTTATTGGACAATATCTATATACGTTTAATTTTTATATTTGCTTGAGAATGATATTGTAATTATATTGCGGCTTATGATTATTATTATTACATATTGTAAAAGATTACTTTGCTGTTGTTGTTGCTTGGTTTATTTAATCACCTACACGATGATTTAATTTCAGTGGGTAATACAATCTGTGTGCGTCGTTTAGATTAAGCGTACAAACGCGGAACAGGAATAGAACGCGCTAAAAATAAAGCGCTTTCGGTCTCCCGAAGTCAAACGGCAATAACACTACTCAACGCACGACGTGTCGCATTTCTTTTTCCACCGAAAACGCAGTGTTCAATTCTTTTATCTACGACTACGACTAGATTCCAAGGAATAAATTGATTGTGATCCAGTTGGCTAAATTCAGTGAGTTTTTCGGTTTGTTTCTTACCTCAAAGCAGTGTTTATTTTTGGAAGCATGTGGAAACGTTGTCGGGAACACGTGGCTCGATGGTATTTCAACGTTTTCGAGTAGTTTTTATAAGAATTTAGATGTAATGAGTGGAATTATACCTGAAATGACGGTTTGAAATTATCCATTTTTGACAGTTTGTTGTCAATGCGCATGCGTAGTACAAGCACTTCTTGTGTAACGAATCAGGAAGCAGGGCTTGTTTTTATCTTCGCTTCGCCGACGAGCGCTGACTTTGTAAGGTTATAAATGTTTAATATTTGTGTATTTTTATCCAGTATTCGTCTATTTTAATTCGACCTGATTCTTCTCAACGTTGTCCACACCACTGCTCGAATTTCACGTGAGTAATTCGCATTCTTTTCTGTTTTATTCTCGTATGATTTGTAAAAAATAATTGACTATAATCGTTTTGTGTGTACAGTTATTGATAAAACAAAAAACCGGTGAAGAAAATGGAAGCACCAGCAGAAGAAAAGATCACCAATGGCCAGAAACGAAAGGAAGTGAAATTCCGACGACGGGATAATCGCTGCCTGGAAAATATACTGAGATCAGTGAGTACTCTATCAGATGTTGAGAAGTTCGAAGAACTGAAAAGCAAGTATGTTGAGCTGTATGACCAAGTTAGAGTAGCACACAATAATCATTTTGCTATGGAGAACAAAACCAAAGCCATTCAACATCAAATGGAGGCTTTGAGGAATGACCATACTAAATCACTGCTTGCCAGATCAAGATTGGAGAGTTTGTGCAGAGAATTACAGAAACAGAATAAAATTATCAAGGTAAATCAACTGTTTTATAAATATTTCAATATAAAATTAATTATTAATTTATCCAGGAAGAGAACTTAACAAAAATCAAAGAAGAAGAAGAATTACGAAAAGAATTCGCAGGCAAATTTCAAACAACACTCGCTGAAGTCACCAACATGCTACAGGAGAACAACGATAAGAATATGAAACTCCGGGATGACAATCAAGACATGGCTAAGAAGTTGTCCACGCTCTGTTCGGAGTTTCAAAGCGCCGAGCAGGAAATCGCGCGCATGAGTTCGAAAATGAATCTGGAAAAACAACTCTCCGATGCGACTCTAGCTAAAGTTCAATATGAGTTGAAAGCTGAGCGTGATCTCTGGACCAAAGAGCGTGAAATGCTCAATCAGAACTTGAATAAAAGCGAGGAAACATGCGCGCAGCTCCAACAAAACATCAAGGCTCTAGAAACGCATCTTCAGATGTATACAGGAAAGTATGAAGAGTTTGAGAATACTATCAGTAAGAGTAGTCAAGTTTTTGACAGTTGTAAGAATGAAATGGTTAAGATGACAAAACAAAATGGCGTCCTGGATAAAGAACTGAAGAATTGGAAGTCGCGTTGTGAACATTACGCGAAAGTCGTGCTGGATTTAACAGCAGCCAAACAAGTTCATGATAAAGAACTGCATAATGCCGAGAAGAAGATTGAACAGTTGCAGAAACTCTGTCGGCAGTTACAAGTCGACCGTGCGGCTTACCTTAAACTCCTGAAGATGCATTCGATTGAACCATCATCACAAATTTGCGTTGATAATAACTCTGGAGGGAATCAACAGGCGAATTTTAAACCAACTAAAAAGGAACAGGAGTTATCCACATTGAAAAACAGTTTGAAAGCTTTAGAAGAACAATTTGCCAGTAATTTTAATATTTTTCGCTTATTTTTAACATTTTTATGTTTAAATTGCTTGTTTTTTTCAGTTTTAACAACAACTCCGGATCCCAATGGGGAAGCATCACCTGAAGTGAAAGAAATATTGGAGACTGGAGCAACAAACGGCGCAAATGGCACAGATAATAGTATGGGGGTGGAAAATGTGCCCGCAACGACTGAATCTGAAACAGTACCTAGTACGGACACTGCTAACGCTGGTATTGATACAACAGCTGCGCCTGAAACGGCGGAGGTTTTGCCAAACTCAATACCAGCACAAAATTAATCTGAAAATTTCTAGTTTAAGCGTGTATTATTTATAAACTTGACTTAGGTATTGTTAATAAAGCAACTATAAAGTATCAAGACATTTATAACCTAAAATTAATATAATTTTATGTTATACGATGGAAAAATAATGATTTCACATGAAGAATGAAGAATATGGACTGTAATTGGACTGCAGGACGACTTTAGAACCACTGAGTAAGATACGCGCTGCTTTTTGTTATTTTATACCTGATTTTCTCTCTAAAAGGTAGTGGGGGACAAGTTGGCCACTGTGGGTGCATTCGCGTTGGACGCTTACGCGCTGTGAGCGTGCTTACATGTCATTTTCATCGTTCGACTTGGCGCTGTGAGTGTCACATAAGTACGCTCATGGCTGAGTTCGTAGCACAGACTTCGCGCTCATTTATGCTCACGCCACAGAGGTAGGGCAGCGAAAGCGTGAGCGCCAATTTTTATTATCTGTCAGAACGAATGCAACTTGAGCATAAGCTAACCAAAAAATTTCATACGCTCACAATATCCAAAACGAACGAAATTTATTTATTGATTCTAAGCGCCTATAGGCCATCTCGAACACTAAAAATTTGTGCTTATAAGCGTGAGCGCTCACAGCGCGTAAGCGTCCAACGCGAATGCACCCTGTAAGTCATTAAAAACGCTATATGTAGCCTGCGTCGCTACCCCCACTACTTTTTGCAGGTAGTCCACAGCCCGGAAGTATCAAAGTACTCAGTGTTGTCTATGATGTCAACCTGCACTCTCCCAGCTGTTTAATTTCCAATTTTCTTTCACTTTTTACATTTATTACATTATTTTATTAGTTTTAAAACTTCAGTCATTCAATTTATACATAATAGTGACTATATCTTAATATTTACGCTCTGCCAATGCGATATTAATCCCATTCTCGGACTTAAGTATAATGTTGGAGGTTAAACTCAGTTTATGATGTGGTATTGCCGGTATCACTTCAAAGTTTCTTAAAATCGTGCTCAAGAGAGTTTTCAACTCCAACATGGCGAACTTTTGCCCGATGCAGTTCCTAGGACCAGCGCTGAACGGAATAAACGCAAATGGCTTCTTTCCATCGTTATTCTCTCGTGAAAAACGTTCCGGTTCAAACTGTTCAGCATTCTTGTAGTGTTCTTCATCACGATGGATACCATAAGCAAATATACCAATCGTGGTACCTTTTGGGTAAGTAATTCCATCTACAAACAACAAAAAACAGTTTATATCATCATATAACATACTTTTAAAAGTGTATTATGAACATACCAACTGTAAATGTCTCCTGAATCTTTCTTGTGAAAACCGGTGCTGAGGGATATAACCTCAAAGTTTCCTTAATCACCAACTCCAAATATTTCATTGAATTAATATCAGTTAACGTACAATGACGTGTCTTATCATCGCCGAAGATATCCCTCAACTCTTCGAAAGCTTTTTGTTGTGCCTCCGGGTTGTTTCCAAGAAGATACAGTGCATAACTCATCGCGCCAGATGTAGTATCATGACCAGCAACCATAAAAGTAGCAACTTCACTAGCAATCTCATCATCTGTTAAAGGCTGACCATCAGTTGTAGTTGTTTGGAACAATAGGTCCAAGAAAGGTACCTTCTTCTTTCTACCTATATCAATATCATCATTTTGTTTATCTTGATTAACTTGTTTGTTCTTTTGTTGTTCTATGAATGCCTGTCGACGATTACGAATTATACTCGAGTGGTATCCATGAACAATTTTTAAAACTTCTTTTTCTTCACGATACAAAGCAGAGAAGCGGTAAATAAAATCTGAATGTAGGAGAGGGTTAACCACGCGCATTGGGACAATTTTTCCCATTCTGTTGATTGCTTGTACATAAGCGGATGATTCTTCTAGTTGGGCGTTGATTGAAGTCCCCATTGCAGTTTCTGGAAACATAAAAAGTATAAAATATTGTATTAAGTATCAAGTGAGGTAAACGGCACTTTAGGTATGAGTAAGCTCTATCCTGTGACTAAAGCTCGTGACTAAAGTACTTCCAAGCTTAAAGTGTCACTTTTTGTATCTCGAAGCCATGAAAAAAGTGATATTTTAAAGGTGAAAGTATAAAAATATGCTTATTCATGTTTTATGAGTTCTTACCACAAATAACATCCAAAGTACATAGTGTAACATATGAACAAATATCAAAACTCTTCACTCCAACTTGTTTCTTCAATCTGTTCGCCAAAATAACCGCATTATTGTTAAAAACATCAACAAAATCCTCCAAAATCTGAAAGTGGAACGTCGGTGTCAACATCTTCCTCTTACTGCGCCATTGCTGACCGGAACTCGTGAATACACTCAACCCAACCCAGTTTTGAAAGAAATCATATTGAAATCCTTTGTTGATTAAACTATTACTGCTCAAAACATGCTCAATCAAGTTGTAATCTTTCGTGACGATTATAGCTTGTGTCGCGAAGTGTACACGCAGTGATTTTGTCTTTAATGTATTCATATGCCCAGTCACTTTCTCCAAAAACTTTCCAGTGTCACTAAACTCCAGCGCGTTGCCCAAAATCGGCCAAAACTTAGGCGAAGGGATCTTTTTAAGGTATCCATGGAAATAACTGTAGTTATAATACCAGATACCAACTATTCCGATGAGGATACTGCACACGATTAGTAAAAACATGGTTACGCTTTGAATACCATACACAGACTGAATTTATTGGAGTATATAGCGGTAGAAATAGTAAACACACCGAAAAAACGAGTTTTACGTTACATGTGTGGTGATACTTGTACAAAATGCAATATCATGATGAACATTAGCTAATAATAGTCTGGAACCATCGAGATAATGATATATCAAGTGTATATTTGGCTTGTCATCATAATTACATCATTATAAAGTTACAAAAACACCGATTAGTACTTAGTATGACCTTGATGTCTACGTGTTTAATTATTATTTACATTTATGTTTTTATTTATATTTGCGCTCGGCCACAGCGATTTTAATACCGTTGGTTGACTTTGATACAATGGACGGGACCAGATAAAGTTTGTGAACTGGTGAAGCAGGTTTCACTTCAACGTTTCTTAAAATCGTGCTGAGAAGTGTTTTTAGTTCCAACATGGTGAATTTATGTCCGATGCAGTTTCTTGAGCCGGCACTGAACGGAATAAATGCAAATGGCTTCTTTCCGTCGTTTCTTTCTCGGGAGAAACGTTCCGGTTCGAATTTTTCGGAGAGTTATAGCGTCAGGAAGGAAAATCCGACTTATTTTTATATATTAGATAGGCCAAGAATATTGTGGGCAATGGGAGTCATGCGACTCCCAATGGACGTTTCTGTCTTTAGCCCGCTCCAAATGGCCTACAAAAAACAATGTGACTTATTTTTCAATAGCCTTCTTGCAGATACGATACTGCGGGAAAGTAACAAAACTTATGATTCCAATATTGGCACTGATGACTTATGCCAGGGCGATGAGGATGAAGATTTGGAAAACTGATGTCTAATGTGCAACGATTTAAAAAAATACAATTAAATGTGGTTCAGATGCACTTCATGTGGGCTATGGGCTCATGTGGAATGCACTGGGTGGGACTTTGCGGAATATTATGTCTGCGATATGTGCTAGATTTCGTTTAATTCCGATTGTCCCCAGGGTGACCACCATTATACGCTTGTCGGTGTAATGGGAGTCAAATCTGTTTTTTTTTTTAACTTTAATAATATCCAAAATTGATTGTCAAAGTGACTGAAAATTATTTCTAATAATAGGTATTTAAGTAAACAATGCTTATAAGCGATTGCAATAAGTATTTTGTTTATAATTTAAATTATATTTGAGTTCCCCTTAAATGACCCCCATTACCCTCTTTTACCCTACCGATTAAAATACTCGCGAGAATTAACTAAAACATTGTAGCTGGTTGAACGCTCGACGCGAACTGAACGTTAGAGAGATTTTAATCGTCTTGTCAGAATACAAGCTACTCGAAATATCAAGGTCGGTTATTTTTAGGAACATTATGTAATTGAGGCGTATTATATAATTATACTGGATGTTTTATAAATATTGTATATTTTGACTTTGGTTTGAAGTAAATGAGAAAATATGCATGTTATTTTTATTACTTTTCATTTATTGGTATTATTTACTTCTAGATTAGCAGAGTTAATATTAAATAATAGGATAACTTAAAAAAAAATCGATTAAAAAGGGAAATAATAAGTTTACAACGTTTGACATAGGCAACACACATTACTTCACGCTAATAAGCGTGTTTTGACACTAGGGACACTCGTAATTGAAGTTGCCTACGTTTGATTTCTATAAAATAGCAATATCGAAGAAAATATTAAATTTAAGCCAAAAATTAATCTTTTTTTTTTTAATTTTGATAAGATTTGCATCTAAATACAGGATGTTTTATAGATATTTAATGTTTCGGCAAGTGATATTTTGATGCCGTTCGATGACCTTAGAACAATTGTTGGTGTTAAATTAAGTGTGTGATGTGGTGTTGCTGGATTCACTCGGAAGTTTCTTAAAATTTTGCTCAAGAGTGTTTTTAACTCCAACATGGCGAATTTTTGCCCGATGCAGTTTCTTGGTCCGGCACTGAATGGAATAAAGGCGAAAAGTTGTTTTCTGTTGTTTCTTTCTTTGGAGAAACGTTCCGGGTCGAATTTTTCGGGGTTTTCGTAGTGATCTTCATCACGTTGGATGCCATAAGCGAATATGCCAATTGTCATACCTGTTGGGTAGGTTATTCCATCTGAAAATTGAAATAATTTTAGTTTTAGGTTTTTTAAATCAATTTTGGATTTGTTTTTGTTGAGATTAGTAAAATTACTATCAACACAATGGATAATTTTGATAAATGATGATTTAATATAGGCAACAGTGCCTACTTTTTGTTAAACATTCGTAAAAAAGTTACCTAAGTCAGGTTGCAATAAAACTATGTAATAATATCCATGAAAATCTTGGATGCAAACCAAAAAACAATCGTTTTTCTTTTCATTTTTCAAGTTTTACATCGGAATATGCTGTTTTAATACGTTTATGTTTTCTCGTAACAGTCATAATAAAAGTGATTTGTGAAGTAATACTTGTCAGTATTATGTAATTTTGGTTGCATACCAAATGAATTTATTCTTATTTGGTAACATAACCTGTTTCTGTTTATTCTTTCTTTTTTTGCTAATAATTCAAAAGTTACTATTCAAAATTAACACTTTTTTTACTTTCCATAATTTTCCTTGTATACATCGCCGCAGGTGGATATAACTTCAAAGTTTCCTTAATCACCAATTCCAAATACTTCATCTCCTGTATATCAGCCAAAGTAGTATTCAACTATTTTTATTTACAAAAATTAATCTACTATATATATTTTTACTATATTTTACTTCAAGTGTGTAGAAAAACCTTTAAAAGCAATATGTACGTGGACTTCGAGCACAAAATGGCGTCGACGGACTGAAATATAAGGAAAATTGCATATATTTTATGAGAGTTATGCATATTTTTGAAATTTTTTAGTTTTTAGATGTTTTTTCAACAAAACCAGAAGAATTAGAGTGCAAAACAGAATTTTTTGGTTAAGATTATGTTGTTTGACATTGTGCGCATGTAGGCAACGCAGCACACTTCATTGTTTGACATCTGAATGAATGAAAACTGAAATTTGGAAACCGTGATAAGTAATAAATAAATATTTGCTTACTCATAATACCGATAATCGAGAATTTTGTTGAATATAAGTCAGTTCATCATGATACTATGACATAACCTAATATAAACAGATTAGATTACATTATAAACACTTCAAAATCAGAAAAACTGAACAATTTATTAATTTTAGATATTTCAGATTTTATTTACAAAAGTTTATCTACTATTTACATTTATACATTTATACTAGCTTTAACCCGCGGCTTCGCTCGCGTTGAATCCATCAAATAAATATTAGAAATCATTATACATAGTTGAAACGGATTGATAGAAAGAATGTATATTTCACTGCTTGGCTAGGATTATCTATGTGAAAAAATTACTACATGCAATAAAATTTTAAATTTTAGATGGAATGCTAGATGGCGTTAAAGTAGTCAATTAGCCAGATGCAGAGGTATTATTGGCTAAACAATTTCTTTATTTTATTTAAAAAATAATTTTTTTTATTAAATAAAAAGTAGCCTATAACCTATCGGGGACCACTAAGAATATGTGTACAAATTTTCATGATGATCTGTTAAGTAGTTTTTGCGTGAAAGCACGATAAACTTCAGGACATTCGCATTTATAATATTAGTAAGGAGTTAGGATTTTACTCCACGTATGTAGAAAATCCATTAAAAACAATATGTACGTTGACTTCGAGGACAAGATGGCGAAGGTGGACGGCCATCTTGATTCTGCTGTCATCCGTAGAAGTAACCATCTGTCATTGTACACGTATTGTGTACATGCACACGCCGTATTTGATTATTTAAACTTTCTGTGTCTGGATCATGATAACCATGACTATGGTGCATTGGAAGTGGTGTGTTTAATTCGGATTCTCTTGGTGTGGACATATCTAGAGACATATTGCTTGATGTCGCTTGGAATTTCGCTTCTATCGCTGCTGGTACTTCGTGGTGTCTTCATACTAATGCTCGGCTTGTGATTATTATCACACAGAGAAGTGAGGCTGCTCCTAATGTTAATAAGAGGTAGATGTAAGTGTTTTCTTCAATAAAATTCGTTCCTGAAAGAATAAAAAAGGATAGAAAGTGTTAATTTGAGGTTAGATTGGTTTATATTGAGGTTACCTGGTTGAAGTTGTGGGTTTTTGTTGAATGGTCCATGTGATGATGATGAAGTGTTCCCAGAAAGTGCGTTTTCGTTGTTTGTTTCGTTTTGTTTATAAATTTGTTTCATGTTTGGTGCGGTTGATCCTGGCGAGGCTGCAAATTCTCTGATTCGTTCTTTTGTCGAGTCGAAACCGTCGAAATCTTCTTGGTCGTAGGTGAAATCTTGTTCGGTTTCATCTTCTCCTAGTGGTTCTTCGTATTCTGAGTTTAAAACTTTTTGTGGTACTGAAATATCATAAAAATTGTGTAGGTATTAGTTTTAAAACTTCAGTCATTCAATTTATACATAACTAGCTGACCCGGCAAACTTTGTTCCGCCTTGCTTTGCTCTTGTGATTGAGAAGCACAAAGTCGAGTCATACTAACACGGCGCTTTTCACGTACAATTTTTTGTTCTTCTTCAGTCCTTTCAGTCGCACTCCTTCGAATCCTAAGTTGCATTACGGTTTTGTCGGATAAGATTTGATCGTTTTGGTCGCTGCATGTTGAGTGGTGAAGCTACGAAGCATCGCACAAAGAGGAGACGGGGATAATAGAAAACTTTGTATTTGCGTTCTCCTATTCTCCCGCAAGATAATCCATATACGCAAATATGTTTGTCTCTTTTTAGTATCGTTTAGTGCCTTTCTAGAAAAGTTTTTACTTGAAAAACTATCCCATTACCTTCTCCTTGCCCTAAGCTACCTCTCCACCAATTTTTAGCTAAATTGGATTAGCCGTTCTTTAGTTCTAAGCAAGGTAACTAACACGACTTTCTTTTATATATATATAGATAGTGACTATTTCTTAATATTTACGCTCTACCAAAGCAATGTTAATACCATTCTCTGACTTAAGCATAATGTTGGAGATTAAACTCAGTTTGTGATGTGGTTGTGCCGGTATTACTTCAAAGTTCCTCAAAATCATGCTCAAGAGTGTTTTCAACTCCAACATGGCGAACTTTTGTCCGATGCAGTTTCTTGGCCCAGCACTGAACGGAATAAACGCAAATGGCTTCTTTCCATCGTTATTCTCTCGTGAAAAACGTTCCGGTTCAAACTGTTCAGGGTTCTTGTAGTGTTCTTCATCACGATGGATACCATAAGCAAATATACCAATCGTGGTGCCTTTTGGGTAAGTAATACCATCTAAAATGCCAAAAATCAGTTTATATACACATATAACACACTCTTAAACGAGTATTTTCACATACCAACTGTAAATGTCTCTTGGATCTTTCTTGTGAAAACCGGTGCTGAGGGATATAACCTCAAAGTTTCCTTAATCACCAACTCCAAATATTTCATTGAATTAATATCAGTTAACGTACAATGACGTGTCTTATCATCGCCGAAGATATCCCTCAACTCTTCGAAAGCTTTCTGTTGTGCTTCCGGGTTGTTTCCTAGAAGATATAATGCAAAACTCATCGCACCTGACGAAGTATCATGTCCAGCAAACATTAAATTAGCGACTTCACTTGCTATTTCATCATCTGTTAACGGTTGGCCATCAGTTGTAGTTGTTTGGAATAACAGGTCCAAGAAAGGTATCTTCTTCTTTCTACCTACATCAATATCATCATTTTGTTTATTTTGATTAACTTGTTTATTCTTTTGTTGTTCTATGAATGCCTGTCGACGATTACGAATGATACTCGAGTTGTATCCATGCACGATTTTTAAAAGTTCTTGTTCTTCACGATATAAAGCAGAGAAGCGATAGATGAAATCTGAATGTAGGAGAGGGTTTATCATACGCATTGGGGCAATTTTTCCCATTCTGCTGATTGCTTGGACATAAGCGGATGATTCTTCTAGTTGGGCGTTGATTGAAGTCCCCATTGCGGTTTCTGGAAACATAAAAAGTATAAAATAATGTATTAAGTGTCAAATGAGTTAAACGGCACTTTAACCACGAGTAATCTCCACCCCGTGACTAAAGCATGTGACTAAAGTACTTCCAAGCTTAAAGTGCCACTTTTTGTATCTCGAAACCATGAAAAAAGTGATATTTTAAAGGTGAAAGTATTAAAATATGCTTATTCATGTTTTATGAGTTCTTACCACAAATAACATCCAAAGTACATAGTGTAACATATGAACAAATATCAAAACTCTTCACTCCAACTTGTTTCTTCAATCTGTTCGCCAAAATAACCGCATTATTGTTAAAAACATCAACAAAATCCTCCAAAATCTGAAAGTGGAACGTCGGTGTCAACATCTTCCTCTTACTGCGCCATTGCTGACCGGAACTCGTGAATACACTCAACCCAACCCAGTTTTGAAAGAAATCATATTGAAATCCTTTGTTGATTAAACTATTACTGCTCAAAACATGCTCAATCAAGTTGTAATCTTTCGTGACGATTATAGCTTGTGTCGCGAAGTGTACACGCAGTGATTTTGTCTTTAATGTATTCATATGCCCAGTCACTTTCTCCAAAAACTTTCCAGTGTCACTAAACTCCAGCGCGTTGCCCAAAATCGGCCAAAACTTAGGCGAAGGGATCTTTTTAAGGTATCCATGGAAATAACTGTAGTTATAATACCAGATACCAACTATTCCGATGAGGATACTGCACACGATTAGTAAAAACATGGTTACGCTTTGAATACCATACACAGACTGAATTTATTGGAGTATATAGCGGTAGAAATAGTAAACACATCGAAAAAACGTGTTTTATGTTACGTGTTGTGGTGATACTTGTACAAAATGCAATATCATGATGAACATTAGCTAATAATAGTCTGGAACCATCGAGATAATGATATATCAAGTGTATATTTGGCTTGTCATCATAATTACGTCATTATAAAGTTACGAAAATACCGATTAATACCTCGTATGACCTTGATGTCTACGTGTTTAATTATTATTTACATTTATGTTTTTATTTATATTTGCGCTCGGCCACAGCGATTTTAATACCGTTGGTTGACTTTAATACAATGGACGGGACCAGATTAAGTTTGTGAACTGGTGAAGCAGGTTTCACTTCAACGTTTCTTAAAATCGTGCTTAGGAGTGTTTTTAACTCCAACATGGCGAATTTTTGTCCGATGCAATTTCTTGGGCCGGCACTGAATGGGATAAATGCAAATGGTTTCTTTCCGTCGTTTCTTTCTCGGGAGAAACGTTCGGGGTCGAATTTTTCGGGGTTTGGGTAGATTTCTTCGTCGTGATGGATACCGTAAGCAGCAATGCCGATTGTTATACCTTTGGGGTATGTTATTCCATCTGAAAGTTTAAGAAGTAGAGTTTTGGGTGTTTTTAGGTGTTTTTACATCAATTTTTGGTTTGTTTTCGTCGAAATTAGTAAAATTACTAATAATACGACCGATAATTTAAAGAAAAACAAATTTATGAAGGAAAAATGATGTTTTAGAGAAGTTTAGGTTGTTTGACAGTGCGTGCATGTAGGCAACACTGCATACTTTATGCAAAACAAGTTGCCTATGTTTGCTTTCAATAAAACCGCAAAAAATTACGACAATATTAAATAAAAACAAGAAAACAAACGTTTTTCTTTAAATTTTGTTAGTTTTACATCGAAAACACAGTTATTAAATGCTTTTAAGGTTATATTCATGTTTTCCTCACTTACCAACAGTAAAATCCTCCAAAACAGTCCTTGTAAAGTTAGGAGCAGCCGGATACATCCTCAAAGTCTCCTTAATAACCAACTCCAAATATTTCATCTCCTGTATATCCGCCAAAGTACTAGGCCTCTCTTTATCATCCCCAAAAATATCCTTCAACTCCTCAAAACATTTCTGCTGCACCTCCGGATGATTCCCAAGCGCATACAGCGCAAAACTCAACGTTCCCGAAGTAGTATCATGTCCAGCAAACATAAAAGTAGCAACTTCACTAGCAATCTCTTCATCACTCAATGGTTGACCATCAATAGTCGTTTGAATCAACAAATCCAAAAACGGCACTTTTTTCTTCCTACCTAAATCATCTTCATCAATATCAACAAGTTTTGACTTTTGTTCCTCCATAAACTTCTTCCTGCGATTCTGTATGATGTTATTGTGATAATTACGAACATACGCGATGTGTTCTTGTTCTTCTTTATACATAGCAGTGAATTTATACAGGAAATCAGAAGAATACATAAGATTAACAGCACGTGCTGGTACTATTTTTCCCATTACGCTAATAGCTTTGACGTAAGCCGAATCTTCTTCCAATTGCGCATTTACGGAAGTCCCCATTGCAGTCTCTATAAAAATCATCAAAATAATAAACATAAAGTGTTTAATTTGTTTGGCCTTGGCGTATTGGCATAATTATAACTCACCGCATATTACATCGAGTGTACAGAGTGTTGAGTATGGGTAAACGTCAAAACCGGGTGTACCAATTTGTTTTTTGAGTTTATTCACTAAAACAGCGCCGTTTTTGTTGAAAACATCGTGGAATTGTTCGAGGATCTGAAAGTGGAATGTGGGCGTCAACATTTTACGTTTGCTCCGCCATTGTTGACCTAAAAAATTACGTTTTTTGTTTTTTTAATCAAAAAAACATTTATTTTGTGTTGTTGCATACCTGAGCTTGTAAATACACTCAATCCAAGCCAATTTAAAAAGAAATCATATTCGAATCCTTTGTTGATTAACTGTTGACTTCCCAGAATGTATTCAATTAGTTTATATTCTTTCGTCATGATTACAGTTTGTGTTGGTAAATGTATCCGTAGTGTTTTCGTGTTTAATTGTCGGAAATTACGTTCTAGATTTATAAGAAACGCGTCATTATCGTGGAATTCAATCGCGTTGCCCAATACTGGCCAAACTGTTGGTGCAGGTATCTTCTTAAGATATCCATAATAATGGAAGAATTTGTAGTACCATAGGCCGAGTATACCGATTAAAATACTTGCGAGAATTAATAAAAACATTGTTGCTGTTTGAACGCTCGACGCGCACTGAACGTTAGAGAGATTTTTATCGTCTTGTTTATAATGTGTCAGAATGCAAGCTACTCGAAATATCAAGGTCGGTTAATTTTAGAATTATTATGTAATTGAGGCGTTTTATATAATTATACTGGATGTTTTATAGATATTTTATGTTTTGACCTTGATTTGTGGTCAATTAGAAAATATGCATGGTATTTTTATTATTTTTTAGTTTTTGGTTTTGTTTACGTCGAGATTAGCAGAGTTAATATTAAATAATCGAAAAAGTTTAAGAAGAAATCGATGAAAAAGGGAAATAATAAGTTTACAACGTTTGACATAGGCAACACGCGTTACTTCAAGCTAATAAGTGTGTTTTGACACTAGGGACACTCTCAAATCAAGTTGCCTACGTTTGATTTCTATATAAAAACAATATCTCACAAAATATTGTATTAATAAGCCAAAAGGAAACATTTGCATGAAATTTGCATATTTTTGCCTCTATATACTGGATGTTTCTTAAATACTTAATGTTTTGGCCTTGTTTTGAGTTCAATGATAAAACAATTTGTTCTATTTTGTTTATTTACGTTCGGCAAGTGATATTTTGATGCCGTTCGATGACCTTAGAACAACAGTTGGTGTTAAATTAAGTGTGCGTTGTGGTGTAGCTGGATTTACTCGGAAGAAATAGTTTTAGGTGTTTTAAATCAATTTTTGATTTGTTTTTGTTCGGATTAGTAACATTTCTATCAATACGATGGATAATTTTAGTAAAAGCTGTTTGACATAGCGTGCACGTACGCAACACTGGGTACTTTACGCAAAACATTTTGGAAAACAGGTTGTCAGATTTTAATAAAACTGCAATATCTACGAAAATATTATGTTAAAATCGTTTTTCTTTAAAATTTGATAGTTTTACTTCGAAATACGCTGTTTTTAAAACTTTTAAGCTTATAGTAAGTCAGTATTATGTATGTTGGGTTGCATACCATACGAATAATTATAATTTGGAAACATAACCTGTTTTCTCTGCTAATTTTTCCCTTTTTATAATATTTCAAAAGTTGTAAATCAAAATTAACAAATTTTACTCACCAACTGTAAACTCTTCCATAATTTTCCTTGTATACATCGCTGCAGGTGGATATAAACTCAAAGTTTCCTTATTAACCAATTCCAAATATTTCATCTCCTGTATATCCGCCAAAGTTCTCTTTCTTTATCATCTCCAAAAATACCATCCAACTCCTCAAAACACTTCTGTTGAACTTCTGGATGATTACCAAGAGCATACAATGCATAACTCAATGCACCGGAAGTAGTATCATGTCCGGCAACCATAAAAGTAGCAACTTCACTAGAAATTTCTTTATCTGTCAGTGGTTGACCATCAATGCTTGAAACAACAAATCCAAGAAAGGAATCTTTTTCTTTCGGCCTAAATCAACATCGTCTTTATTTTCCGTGTTTATTTTGTTTTCTAATTATTCTTGTAAAAATATCTGTCTACGATTACGTATGATTGTATCATGATAAGCATGAACAGTTTCCAATGTTTTCTTTTCTTCGCGATACAACGCAGTGAATTTATAAATAAAATCAAAGTGAATCATTTTGGAGATTGCTTGGACATATTCTGATGTTTCTTCGAATTGAGCATTTATACAAGTACCCATTGCAGTTTCTAAAGTAGACAAAACATCAAAAAATATAAATTTATTGTAAACTAGCTTTTGCCTGCGACTGCGTTCCGGTAGTGTTTAATAAAAATGTAATTCGTATTTACTCTCTTGTTCTAGACATAGTATGTGTCAATTCTATCAATAAGATTCGCAATTTTATTTTAAACAAATTAATTATATAAAGAATTGCCAATAATGCACTTCAGCGCGCTATCTCTAATTCAACTATTTAACTATAACTATGATTAAATCTCAATGCCAACTTTTATTCTACAGAAAAGGGCTGCCTTTAGAGTTTTCCCGGCAATTATTCGAATTTTTTACCTCACCTTTTAAACATTCCCTAGACCTCTACGAATAATTCAAGATAAGTTAAATCCGTTCAGCCGTTCTCGAGTTTTAACGAGACTAACGAACAGCAATTCATTTTTATATATATAGATAACTAAGTAAATTTTCGTTTTCAGAGGATATTTTTAAAAATATGCATCAGGATGATCTGATAGTGAATATTTGCCTACTCATAATATACGAGTAGATACTCGAATATTTTTTTAGTTTTTTCATCAAAAATAGAAGAATTATCGAGCAAAACAGATTTTTATGGGTAAGATTATGTTGTTTGACATTCTGCACAAATAGGCAACACAGAATACTTCATTGTTTGACAGTTGATTGAATGTAAAATGAAAGTTGGAAACAATTCTAAGCAATATTTGCTTACTCATAATACCGATAATCGAGAATTCCATTGAATATAAGTCAATTCATCATGATACAATGACATAACCTAAAATAATCAGATAAGATTACATTCTAAACACTTCAAAATCCCAAAAACGAAATATTTTTAGATATTTCAGATTTTATTTACAAAAGTTCATCTACTATATACATTTTTACAATATTTTACTCCACGTCCATAGAAAACCATTAAAAACAATATGTACGTTGACTTCGAGGACAAGATGGCGTCGGTGGACGGCCATCTTGACTCTGCTGTCATCCGTAGAAGTAACCGTCTGTCATTGTACACGTATTGTGTACATGCACACGCGGTATTTGATTATTTAAACTTTCTGTGTCTGGATCATGATAACCATGAGTATGAGCGTGGTGCATTGGAAGTGGTGTATTTAATTCGGTTTCTCTTGGTGTGGACATATCTAGAGACATATTGTTTGATGTCGCTTGAAATTTCGCTTCTATTGATGCTGGTACCTCGTGGTGTCTTCGTACCAAAGCTCTGCTTGTGATTATTATCACGCAGAGAAGTGAGGCTGCTCCTAGTGTTAATAAGAGGTAGATGTAAGTGTTTTCTTCAATGGAATTTGTTCCTGAAAGAATAAAAAAGAATAAAAAGTGTTAATTTGAGGTTAGATTGGTTTGTATTGAGGTTACCTGGTTGAAGTTGTGGGTTTTTATTGAATGGTCCATGTGCTGATGATGAGGTGTTCCCTGAAAGAGAGTTTTCGTTGTTTGTTTCGTTTTGTTTATAAATTTGTTTCATGTTTGGTGCGGTTGATCCTGGCGAGGCTGCAAATTCTCTGATTCGTTCTTTTGTTGAGTCGAAACCGTCGAAATCTTCTTGGTCGTAGGTGAAATCTTGTTCGGTTTCATCTTCTCCTAGTGGTTCTTCGTATTCTGAGTTTAAAACTTTTTGTGGTACTGAAATATTAGGAAAATTTTATATAATTTATCTCAGATTTTTTAATTTTTGTATTTTTTGAGTTATCCGAATATATATAGAATATATAGAAGAATTACAGAGCAAAAAAAATTTTTGGGATAAGGTTATGTTGTGTGACATTGTTCACGTATAGGCAACACAACGTAGTTAATTGTTTGACAGCTGATTGATAGAGTGAAAGCTAGTTAGGTAATATTGGTCCTAACAAGTAATAAAAATGCAAATATTTGTTTGTGACGCTTTCACGCACAAACCACTCAACTAATTTTGATACATTTTGGCATGGAAATATTTTTGACTCTGGAAAATGCAATAGGCTACTTTTTATTGCAAAAATATAACCTGAAAAGGGTTAAATATAGGCTGAAAATTGAAATAGACAATAAATCATAGTTATAGTTACATAATTCAAACATAGGTGGCGCTAAAGTCTTTCTTTTTTGCTTATCATGAAAATTAAATAAATTTTTTGAAAATCCGCTCAAACTAAGTCATAAACTAATAAAAATATAAAAAATAACTTCTTACCACATGTATACACTATCCTAAGATACATTTTGGTCTGTGGTCTGCATGGATTACCAAACGTCGAAGCATCAGCCCCAAATTCACACTGCCGCTTCCCATGACACAGCTGCATGACAGTCTCAGTCGCATAACTAACCAAACACGCTACAAAAACAAAAGAAACACAACACACACATATTGCATTACATATAAATTTGTCACAGCGAATTAAATGTTCAAGTGACTAACTTTCTTCAGCAACACCCTGCGGCTGCGGACACTGGAAACTCTCGTACTCCGTACGACCGTAGCTGGCGCTATAAATGGCCACTCGAGAATTAGGATTGCATTGCACTTGGACGCGTTCGTTCTCGCAGGCCACCCGACTTCGGAATTCATCTACAACGTAAATTTTTAAACACGCCAACTATTCAACTGTGCGTTAAAACTTACATGGCCGACATTTATAAGCCACTTCGACATACTTCCGCTCCCCGGGGCACAGATCGCCGTCGAAGGATTTCGGCGACGCCTGAAATTTGCAGCTCTTCTTTTTCTGGCACGCCTCGACAACGGTCTGCAGCAGGGAGTACTGTGTGTGGGGCAAATCCACACATTAAAAAGTCATTTGTCAAACAGGACCACCAAGGCATTGGTATACTCACGCGTCCCCATGTCCCTTTTGTCATTTCCTCCCATTTATTCTAGAAAGAGGTAAATTTAGAGAGGAGAGTAACATAAAAATGCATATAAAATTACAGAGCATTATGAGTGGTTTCGGGAAAGTGGGGAAAAACATGAGAAAATATATTTTAAATAAAATTCAAGAAAAATTTTTGAGAAAAAATTTGATTTTGAGGTTAAAAATTGAATTTTTTGAGTTTTTGTCGTTATTTTTGAGGTTATAAAACTGAAAATTGGCTAAATTTAGAAAAAAAGTGATTGAGGGCCTTTGGAAGTCATTTTCCCCCACTTCTTATTATTTTTGATCACGGAAGTGACGTCATAATTGAGTTTTTTTCTCAAAAATTACGTTTTTTCTACAAATTTCGCCAAAATTTGCAAAAAATTAAAAATTTTAGTCAAAAAAGCATAAAATTCTAACCTGAATAGCTGTTGGCCAAGTACAACTTGAATTCTTAACCTCACTCGTGGATAACTTCGACGGACATTGGCTATTCTTCACCCCACTCTTATCATACTGCGCCAACTCGACGGAAATACTCGTCCCCGGCGGACATTTAAGTGTCATCTGATCATCATCGCAGCCAGTCTGCTCGAATTGCCGCAACGTACCAGATAGAAGCACTGTGCTAGCAGAAATAAAGTCCAATTAGCCACACAAAATCAATGTTATTGTAAATCTCCTGCCGCCGCCTAAAGTTTACCTAAATTATCCGTGCGGATGGACGCCATCAGCTGCGCAATGATGAGAACGCATGTGTACTTCATGATTCGCGTGCGCGCGCTCACCTGCAACACACAATAAACAGCTACGTTTCAATTCATTATCGCTGGCAGGTGTAATGCTAGTTTGTGATGTTAGTTTTGAAGTCCGTATGCTATAAACGTGATTTATCGGCCAACTTTCAATTGATCCTCCTTATTACACCAACCCGACAAATTTGCTAAAAGCATAGAGTATCCTTTTGGGGCAAACTTGGTTGCCTAACACACGCGATGCAACCGAAGAGTTTGATTAAAAAAGACGCTCTGGGTCATAAATATTCCGATGTGGAGACGTGGAGATGACCGGGAACTACTTTCGAAGTTTTAGTTTCCGATAAAAGTTTTCACATCGAAAAAAGTAAACATTTACACAAAAAAAAAACAGAAAAAAATAAAAATAAAACAAATCAATACAAAATACTTTGATTGTTTTTACCTTTGATGGTTTTTGTATTTTGTATTTTGAATTAATTTGTTTTGTTGATGTTTATGTTTGTCATTTGTTTGCGCGCGCGCCAGTTTTGTACTCTTTTGCATTTTAAATTTTTAGTTGGTTGTGTGCGTGCGTAGTATAAATCACGCGGGCGTAATTAAAGCAACCTGCTGCTGTTACGGCCCCCTCAGGCAAGTGGCGGTGGAGGTTTTGCGGTGGTGCACACGCGGGTTGAAATAGAAAGACGCATCTGGCATCTGTGACTTTCCCACGTGTTGGGTTCCGCGCGTGCGACGTGAGCATGCGAGCATAAATTTTACGTATGCGGTATAGTAGGATATTGCCGGCTATTGCCGCCCCCACCGACGCCACGTATTGGGATATGCGCCCGTGGGCGCTTTATTAAACGGCAGTTTTGATCATTGCTCACGGTTGAAACTTTGCCAATTAATTGCAAGCTATCGATATGCACTTAGTTTTGTAATAATAGTTTTATTTTGAGGTTATGGTGTGGAAAATTAATTTGTAAGTTAATATTAGGATTTTGATTAATTTTTATTTTATTTGTAGGAATTTTATTGAAATAAGTTTGAGAGAAGTTTTTATTGCCTTAGAAATTAATTTTTGTGAATAAAAAGTTGCCTATGTTTTATTCTGATGTATAAACTATAATACTACAAAGTTTTATTAATATACATCGAATAGTTTTTGAGTGAAAGAGTAACAAACATATATTTATCTATTTTCTATGTAAATTCATGCTTTTAACGCCATCTCGATTCGAATTAATGAACCATATTACGATTTAATTTTCCAAATATTTTTATTTATTAACCAGCTTTTGCCAGCGACTTCGTCCCGGTAGTGTTTAAAACAAATGTAATTTGTTTTTATTCTCTTGTTCTAGACATAGTATGTGTCATTTCTATCAATAAGATTCGCAATTTTATTTTAAAGAAATTATGCATATAAAGAATTGCTAATAATGCACTTCAGCGCGCCATCTCGGATTCAACTATTTAACTATAACTCTGATTGAATCTCAATGCCAACTTTTATCCTTAGAAAATGGCTGTTTTTAGAGTTTTCCCGGCAATTATTCAAAATTTTCTCGCCGTAAAAACCATCCTTGAACTTTAACAAACATTTTAAAAAAAGAATTAGCCAAATTGGTTTAAGCGTTGTTGAGCTATGCGCTTACCAACTGATTTTGCGATTCATTTTTATATTATTGATTTACACGTTTAGAAATTAATGTTTTTTTTTATAAAAAGTTACCTATCTTTTATTCAGATGTATAACCTATAAAATTACAAAATTCTATCAAAATCCATCGAATAGTTTATTCGTGAAAACGTAACAAACATCCGTATTATTAATATAAATGCTTATATATCAATTTAAAACATGCATAATGCTTACTCTACTATTCCAAACAAAAAATACTGAATAATTTTGTTACTTACATTTGTATAAGACCAGGTTAGTTAGATCCTACCTCCGTCGAAACCTCCACGGCTCCGGATTTGCGTTTGAATAAGCGCGCTTCGTAAATTCATCTCGCCGCCCGAGCTCACGTTTTATCCCGCTCTCTGCATCGTGCAGCGCGGCCGAAAATTAATGAACGCACTTCCGGCGCAAGCCTACCCCGCCAAGTGCGCAAGCCAAAACTAAAGCCAGGTAATAAATAAAACAGCAAACGAGGAAATTTTAAACACAAAATAAAAAGTTTCGTATATTTTATAATGTTAGATGCGAGTATAACTTGCGCTTCAACACTACACACATAAATATTAGAATAATAAATATAAATCTAATAAAACACGATGCGATAAAAACTCAGCGCAAATTAATAACATAGCCTCGCGGCTATTAAGTCTACTTTATACACTTGATTAAAAGATTCGGTGTAATAAATAAGCGCGCGCCAACAAAAAATTTAATCCCGACGCGAAAAAGTTGATAAGTATTTTTTGCGTTTAAGTTACACCAACCCTCGAACTACGACGATAAAACCCTAACGAAGAGTTATAGTAATGCAGGAAGTAAACAATATACAGGGTGTTGCATAAAAATGATTTTTTAGTTTAAAAATTCGACTATAGGTGGCGTTAATATACAAAATTTGTTTTTTGAAAGAAAATTTTTGAAAAAAAAATTTTTTTTCTTTAAAAATTGTATTATCCTGTATAAAATACCACAGTTAACAAATTGGCAGAAACTATACTTCTAGTTTATTTCCGGCCGAGAGTTACAATGGCGTCATAACTCATAACTCGCTGCGAGTTTGTGTTAGCGCAAAAAATTTTAAATAAATCGCGATTTCTTTTATTTTCAACTCACGAATATATCAACAGTCGAGATTTACGCGCTATATATTTTTTATCGAAGCAGATAAAAACAGGAAAACATAAAAAAGGTGCAAAACACGCAGAGGAAGATGTCCTTAACGATATTTAATGTGCTTGAAATATTTATGTGATGCAAATCACTTCGATATTCAATTTTTATACTCGCATTAGCGCGCTTATAAATTTTAGGCTTGTTCGAAATTCAGACGCGCAGATAAAGTGATGTGCTTTACGTGACGCGGAAGATAATCCTATCGCGCGGGTGGCATCTGCCCCCAAGGTTTGTGTGTTCGATGGCGAAGAAGAAGAGAGCCGTGGATCACGTTTAACAACTGCTGCCAGCGCTTAGATATGAATCTTTTGAGGTTAAAAATAAAGTTAAAGTTAGGTTAGTTTTAATTTGACACTCGGAACATGATTAAATTTGCGCATGTGTGTAGGTGGAGAGTGGGATGAAATGTGTGCGAGTCGACTCTTATTAAAGCGGCCGGCGGCAGTCGTCGTCGCTTCTTGTAAGGATTATAATCGCAGAGTGTAAATTAGGTCTTAATCTAGGTCTATTCCGCTGTGTGAACGGTTCAAAGCGTTCTCCTCGCGTGCGCCAGAGAGCTCTGAAATTCGGCGCGCGCAAAACTGACGGTATTAACGCAGAACGCAACATAATGCACAGTTGCGAACAATGGCGGCATTAGCGGTGCTTAAAGCCGCAACTATGCGCACCGGTATTGTTGGAGGGCTGCTGCGGCGTCAAATTTACGTTCGACAAAAATTGCGGGGGGTATTTTTCGGGTGTTATTGTCGTAATATGCGAAATATGTGTAGGGAATAGACAAAAGTTTTGTTTTTGTGATTTTTGGAGGGTGGAAAGTTGTTATTTTAAGTTTTAGTGTGTAAAGAAAGGGGTTTAAGAATAGAAATGTCTATTTTTTTTGTTTTGATAGGTGTAGATATTTTGAAGTGCGTAAAATGGATTTTTTTGTTTTTGTGTGTAAAATATGAATGTGCAAATGTCGAAATTTTTACAGTTTTAATAAAAATGCATATTTTGAGAGTGTGAAAAGTAGTTACTTTAAGTTTTAGTGTGTAAAGTAAGTGATTTAAGAACAGAATTGTCAAAATCTTTATTGTGTTGACAGGTGTAGGTATTTTGAAGTGCGTAAAATTGAATTTTTTGGATTAAGTGTGGAAAATACGAAATTTAAAAGTGAAAATGTCAAAAATTTGACAGTTTTTGCAGATATGCATATTTTTGGGTGTAGAAAGAAGTTATTTTAAGTTTTGTGTGTAAAGTATGTAATTTAAGAACAGAAATGTCAAATTTGTGCGTAAATTTGATTTTTTTGGTTTTTGTGGGTAAAACACGGATGTTTAAAGTAAAAATGTCAAAAGATTGGCAGTTTTTACAGTTATACATATTTTAACGTGTGTAAAGTTGTCATTTATAGCTTTAGTGTGTAAAATTAATATTTTAAGAGCAAAAATATTAAAAATATGACAGTTTTAACCATAAATTTCTTTTAAAGCGTGTAAAGTTGTAGTTTTACGGTTTAATATCCTTAAAAACTGTTTGTTATGGATAAAAATGTAAAACCTGTAAGAATTTGGATAGATATACATATTGTACAGTGTGTAAAGTTGTCATTTTATGTTTTAGTGCTTATAATCGATCTTTAAAAACTAAAAATGTCAAAAATTGGATTATTTCGACAGATATTCTCATTTTTGAGGTTAGTTAAGTGTTACATCACAGGTTTTGTGGTTAGGAGTGTGTAAAATTTTATTTTACACTTCTAAATTATCGATTATAACCTTTAAATTCATCTATCAAGACATTTTATGACATTTTTATCACGATTTGTCACTTTTCACTTTTATTTTACTAGTTTTATTCAGGAATGTATAAAATACCAACTTTATGCACGTTTGATATTTTTAAATCTTTGAGTTTAAGTGTATAAAAGTTTTATTTTGCACACTTGACATACAAAATACCATGCGCACACGCGAAAAATTTCGCCCAACAAATAAACTCTAAAAGAGTGATCCCTGAAAGCGTTTCCTTTAATCCGGCGACCCGGAAATTTAAGACGCATTTATCTGTCATGCATAAAACATCTCCCTGGAGGCAATGCCTTGCCGCGCCTTGCGTTTCAATTCGACAAAATTACAAATCTCGAGACATCTCGTCCCGTGTCTAAATATTTATATAAAACATTTTCGTGAAAATGTCGAATACATGC